TACTCTTCTCCCAATCAATCCGCCCCTTCTCCCTCTCTCTCTCCCTCTCCTTCTCCTTCTCATCCCCACGCGTGCTCGAGCTCTCCGCCGGACTAGCCGCTCTGTGCAGCCGCGCCACCGCTCCCCCTCCTGTTCCTGCTCCTGCTCCACCGCGATTCCGGTGCTGGAACGGATTCAGGAACGCTGGACGGGTATCCGGGTTCTTGATATCCCCGCCCTCGGCCATAGCATCATGATACGCCTCCAGACGACTCAGATCCCAGAAAAAGACTTTCGAGCCCGTGTTGCAGAAGGCGAGCACGGGGTTCATGCCGAGCCCGCCGGGGAACAGCGAGAAGCGCATAAAGAGGATCTCGCTGTCCGGGATGGAGAACTGCAGCAGACGCGTGTAGTGTGTGCTTTTGCCGGATGATACGGTGGTGGTGGTGGTGAAGACGGAGCGCGTGTCGCGCGCAGCGTCGTGGGTTGTGGGCGCTGAGGAGCGGGTCGGGAGGGGAGCGGAACTGGAGAAGTTGTTGATGGACCAGAGGACGATGCAGTTTTCGTTGGCGGCCTTGGAGAGGATTAGGTCGCCGTGGAATGCGACGCTGGTTGATTGATGAGTTAGGATGGTTTGTAGGGGGGAGATGAATGACTTGCCAGTCTACGATGTTTTCGTGGATTTCGGAGGTGGAGAAGTGAGGGTAGTAGATTCGGGTTGGTTTGTTGGTGCCTGTGTTCTTGTCTGGTAATTCTGGTAACGTCCACTGGCTACATTAGAGTTGTTCGTTGAACGAGGTGTAAACTCACTAGGTTAATGATGTGATCTACGCCTCCTGTGAGTAGATACCGGCCTGTGGCATGGAAGCTCTGGGTGATGTTAGAAGCGTATTGTGAGGAGACTGAAATGGTGTTTTACTAGACTCATAACAGCCTCCCTATGCCCATCTCCTTCCAAGATTACAGCACATGGCTGCTTCTCATGGGCAGGATCAAGACTCCATATCCGTACATTCAGATCATTAGATGCTGAAGCTAGGATATACGGATTCGTAGGCGAAACAACGAGATCATTTATTTCCTAAAATATCTCAGCCATGGGAACATCTTCATACTAGGGCCATCTTACCCCTCCATGACCAGATAGTGTCTACTTCATCGTTAGCATTACATCTTATAACCGTCAAAGTCACGACTTACTCGAAGTAATTTGCCCGTTAAAGCATTAATGATCTTGATTGTAGCGTTGAGTCCGGCAATACATAAGAGAGGGTCTCCCGTCTCGAAATCCTTTGTCCATACACAGGTATAATAGTCTTCTTCTTGCTATCTTGAAGTTTAGTCAGGTTTCATTCGATCAGGAGCATTAGAGTACCCACATCATCGCCTTTCTTATCCTTATTCGTTTCTTCGTCAACGCAATACTGTGTGACTTCAACCTTGGTGTTTTCCGCAGCAGGCGGCCGGCAGATCAGGATCTTCCATAGCGTCAATCACAGAGACTGGTTCGGATTGCGGCAGGACTACTTACATGCTTCCCACCTACAATAGCGAAGACAGGATCTACCCCGGGCTCTGTGTATGGGTAAAATTGAACGCCGTAAAAGTCTGTATGGAGTCAGCAGGCTAGTTAGTACATTGACTCGAAAATCACAACACCCTACCCTTTCCGCTTCCAATCCCCTAGTTGTCTATTAGGATACATTTACAGAAGGCTACTTGGGCTACGGAGATGGCTCCTGGTGCTTACAGGGATTTGATGGGATTCTCTGAGGGAGGGGAGTTCCCACTCGGGCTTATGCTGTCGTGAAGCCATGCATGCGTGATATTGCTTTTGCGGCTCTGTAATTAAAGTTGTTGGGCTACTTTAAGGCAAGGCTGCCCGAGAGACAGGGGTGGGGATGATAAGCAGAGACTCGTGTTTCGTACGTGAATAGGTAGGTAGGCTTCTTTGACGTGGCTGGTGAGGTTTGAGCGTGGGTTGAGCGCGAAGTTGATATTGGCTCCTCGGTAAGTTTGACTATGATACTGTACGAAAGTACTGGCGTATGTCAGCCAGGCAATGCATTGTTTGCTATTCGCGCTTTCTTTCCATGGTGGACATATGAATTTGCTTTTTTCTCATGACAGCGAAACATTTCCCCAAGAAGGCCATGAGGTAGGTACATACAAAATAGATAAGTTAAAGGCTACTGTAGCAACTTCAAGCCACCCGCTCTTGGCAAGTCATTCCAGACAGTCTAGACGGTGCAACTATGCAGTCTTGCATCATGCAGCGAGCATTTAGGGGGCTCACTCACCAACCTGTAACCCGCAGATACCTCACATACCGTCAACCAATACCAAGACCCTTGGTGATGTTGGGGTACCTTGGTGATATTGGGGTACCCTGATGTTGTGAGCAAGGATCGACGCGGGCCGGCAAATCCTGCCCCTGCTTCCCCAGAAATATGGTGATAAAGCTATACTTTACCGAGTACTTTACTGTAGTGTTTGACAACGGTACAGGTATATTTTATTTAATGTTTTATCAAAATAAACATCAGTCTTTGAGGTTGGAACTTGCAGTGTTCTCATGTACGGAGGCAGGTGAGGTAAGGTAGGTACACGCCAGTTCGGTACAGTAGCGCGTGCTGCAGGCCAGGCCGGCCCTCGTCAGCCGAAAGCTTCCATTTGTACCACGCTCTACTTCCGTACAAGTATAGTGAGTACCATAGGCACTTTTTTGCGTCTGAGTTTAACAATTAGGTACCTATTCCAAGTACACTCCATGTTTTTCTTTTCCCCTGTCTGCCACCACTCACGCAAAACCAATATTTCGCCAAAGTACCTTGGTACTATGAGCCGAGATGCTATCAATTTTCTGCCTCAACCGGATTCCTGGAATAATTATCCCGGCCAAAAGCAAATATATACAGTACTGTCAGACGGACCAACCAACCAACGTGCGCTGCATGGCCTCCGAGGAGATGGAACAAACGGTTTCCTACATGATATATGATATAACAACCTGGCCTGGGGTTGTTTTCGATCTGGAGGCCGCGCAGGGTTCACGGCGGATCGACGAGTAGGAAGAGATCAATCTGTTTGCATTACTGTATTCATCAAGAGGGTTGTATTTCTATCTTGTTTTCTCATACATGCCCCCTGGCCGTGTAAAACTCTGTGGCTTTGCACTCTAATGAAATCCACCGGTTACGCAAACTCGGGGAATTACCGTACTGTGGTCTGTACATGATTCCCCAAAAACGGGAGGTGTTGCACAACATCCGGCCCAGGGTCCTTCTGTGTTAGGACGGTTAATTGGTGGGCCGGACTAGAATGATAGAGTCTAGATGGGATGGCTTGACCTGAATATCAAGTCATATGTGAGGTGATAAGTCCGTGAATCAGGTACCAGATAGTCACCTGTTGTGGGAAACCAACAGTGAGAGTCTCTCCTTGACGGTTTAGGGATTGATGCAAAATCTATACATACAAACATACATGCATGCGTGTCACTTCAAAGAACGTTATTAGGCCATAGTCCTTAAACCCGGACGTAGAAACCCCTACTTCTAAGTTTCCCAGAACCCAGGTACACTAGTACAGTAGTTGAGAAAATCCATGCAGCTTTGCCGCTTTCTTGCAGTTGCTTCGGATGACAGGGCATTAAAATGCGTCCACATGAATCCAAAGAAGCAGTCTAGACTTCAACATGGACACGATACGTCAAGATGTTCCCAAATGTTTCAATGCCCCAGTGATGATCTACCAACCTAGAAGGTAGTACTACATGCTGTTGGGACTGATGCACTATGCGCCGAGCCTAAATAAAGCTACCTAGGTACGGAGCACTGTACCGGACGGACATCTCTAGCGTGGGAAAATTGGTCCAAGGGAAGGGAAGGGAAGATACGGCTTCTTCATGTTTTGATTCAACCTTACTGAACCTCTCCAGATTCTACAAGTCTCGTCTCATAGCTATCAGATTTCTCCATTCCTCGTTACCGTTACTGGTTCACGCCCATGTGCACGCCAACGCCTCACCTCCAAGGAAAGACCGAGCGCCCTCCATTGGAGCCAATACTCTGGACAACCCATACCGCCCGCCTCTATCCTGCCTGTGCCCGGAGGATCGTCGCCAGGGTCTGCTCGCATGGATAGCCAAATCAAGCGTCACCGGGAGACGATTGGAATATCAGACTTGATACGAGTAGCAAACAAAAATCACTTCTGGAATTTCTCCAAGTAGACATTAGGTTTGAGGGGAAGAAGATATAGGGAAAAAATACGCGAATTGAGGATCATCATCCCTTGCAACGTTATTGACGTCCAAGCATCTTCCCTGCTTCCCGGCTGTCAACTTTCAAACCTACCCTACCTACCTAACCATTACGTTTGCCAATACATAAAGTGGTATATATATATATATATCTCTCTCTCTCTAGCCTGCAGCTTCTCCTTCATCGACTCAACTAAACACTTCGGTACTCGATTCTTGTCAGACCTATCAGGGTCCATCTACAAACTTTCATCTACCCAACGAACTGAGCATCTTCTTAGAGATACAAACGCCAGTATCCCCCAAAATGGAGACTACATTCATGACCATTCACAGTGAGCCCAGTTCACAATATCAAACATTACCATTAGATAGCTGACCCCACTATCACTAGACCTCATCCCTAATGCAAATATTATGTTTGCATCCGAGTCTATTGCCGACATCTTAGGTTACCGTCCGGATGAAGTGATAGGCAGGTCTTGCTTTGAATACTTTCATCCTGATGAGATTCCTTTTGCTCGCGATATCCATAGCCGAGGCGTGCAACTAGACAAGGCTGCCGTCCTTCACTACGCCCGGATCAGAGGCCGAGATGGACAATGGGTTAGTTGTGAATGCGTCTTCACAATTGTCTATGAAGTCCTTGTTGCTTGTACAAGCATCTACAGACAAGATGTGAAGAGCGACCGTAAGCTGCTCCCGGAACACTGAATCTCCTTTTGCTGACCTTGCATCAGGCCGAGCAGCTGAGGCTCCAGCCGTTCGTCGTCTCTTTGCATCATCCCCTAGGGACCCTCGATATCATATGCTAGAACACTTGTCCGCCAAGTTCAGAACTCCACCGCAAGCATCGCTTCTTGAACCCAGGGCTGCCATCGTGCTCAATCGGTTTACACGTACCTTGACTGTCATGTACGCGACCAACGCTGTTTCAAGTATCCTTGGTATTACTCCGGAGCAGTTCACAGACAAGAGTTTCTATGAATGTATTCAAGAAAACTGTCTGCCGGAGGCCATCAGATGCCTAGAGAGTGCAAAAGCCAATGACTCTATTGCTTACCTCCGCTTCTGGTACAGAGATCCTCGCCGGGACGAGGATCTGGACCAGGACATGCGCGAATCTAGTCAGAGCAGTGACTCCGAAGAGGGAGGTGCTGTACTTGAGGGACAGATGGATGTTGACTCGGCTCCCGCTGCTGAAAGCAGCACGGCAAACCAGAATACGGCGCCGAGTGTCTCGTCAGCGGAGGCTCATCACACCTCTTCTGGGGAAAGCAGTGACCTGAGCCATAACTCTTCTGGGGCAATTTTTGACCAATCGCACGCCTCACGATCCTCTACTTCTTCCTTATCTCTCGTATCTCCTGAAGAGCGCAGGCGCGTAAGGCCTGCACCCATTCCTCAAGCCCCTGCGGAACCCTTTGAACTTGAAGCGGTAATCTCGTGTACCTCCGATGGGTTGGTGGTTATTCTGCGCCGCGCTCGTCCACGTATTCCTCAACCCGAACAAGTCTTGCCTCCAATTCAGGCCTTTGCGCCCTGGGGCGTCGATCCCATCCGCCCACATGTGTACCAGCCAGATCCTCGCTTTCCTTTCCAGCATGGTTTCGATGCTCCTCAATACGTGCCAGGAGGACCACCTGTAGATGACTTTCTGAACGTGATAAGAGATGTGGGATGTTTTGCCTGGTCTTTGGTCGGAATAAATGGAAATATTGGGGCATATTCCCGGGGGGTCCCAAAGGGAGAAGCTATTCCTCCAGGTGGCATGCCGATCTGGGATCCTTATGCTCAACCGAACCCAGGCCACTCTCCTCCGGAGAATCAAGCGGTGCTTAGGTGGGCTCGTGAGGCTCGTGAGGCTACTAATCAGCCTGCGGACGAGAAAACACCATACCACCACCCAGCGCGGCAAGAGAATCCCTTGGAGTCTTTTCAGGACAATCATGAGGGCAATATGCGTGGAAATGCCCAAGAGCAACCTGTAATGTCCTCGAACCAGAACCCCCATGCCAACTTTTCTCCAACAACTCAAGATCAGGGACGGAGCCAGGGGGGTCGCTCAGACAAGGACTTATGGTACTAGACAAAAGGCGTTTCTGAAAGTGGGAACGGGAGGTACCTTTGATATGCAGGCAATTTGCCGCGGCGCAGGGTGGAAAGTGCTGAGACTACGCTTCGAAGGCTTGTATTTGCTCTTGATTTCGTAAATGTTGTCTGATCTTGTACATATACCAATCTCTTTTTGTCTCACCTCTTGAGTCCTGGATTTGTAATATATCAATCGTTGACGATTTTGAGTTCTGCGTGGGTTCGACTGGTCAAAAGGGGCAAATAAATCTCACATTCATCCACCAGACCTGTCTACTTCACTTAGAAATGTCCACTGAGATTAAAATTTTACAAACGCTTCTCAACACTCAACTAATTTGCAGGAATTTGAAACAATTAAAAGATATGATGAGTCTTTTCAAGTGGTGTCTGAAATAAGTTGCATATATCTTTTGGGAACAGCCTAGACCTAATTTGAAGTAGCATAGAAGCTTGGGCCATCTGTTGAAGGAACGCGCCAGCTTGAGGAAACCGTGGAATTTCCAGGTGCAACGAAAGAAGAGCTCACTTCATAGCAACGACTATTGACAAAGCATACAGGGCGCAACTCGTAGGGCAATTTCCGAATCACTTTATATCGAACGTATGTTGGTTTGACCAGCCAGACTCCCAAACAACATGGCGTCCTCATCGAATCCATACCAGCACTATGATGAACCACATGTAGAAGAAGACGAAGACCTGATAGACCCCGATGATGGTACACACCTTTCCAATCCTATCCACCCCTCCCCTCCTCTCTACTACTCTCAGAAACTAACTACCAACCCACCAGCCAACCTCGACGATCTCGATGACCCCCTCCAACCCACCTCCTCCCGCGCCCCCCTGACCGGCAACATCAACACAGGCAACACCTCGACCTCCCGCCCCCTCAACGAATCCTACCTAACCTCCCGCGTCCCCGGCGAAGACCGCCGCGCGCCCACCGACACAATCGACGAGTCCGTCTGGGATACCCTGCACCGCGACCTCCTCGCCGTCTGGATTAAGATGCGCGAAGTGCTGTACCCGAAATACCTCTTCGGCGGCTCGATGCTCGAGAACACGACGTCCTTCCGCGGCGCCTACGAGAATATCCGCGGTGCGGGCATCAGTGGTGCGAGAGACGAGCTTGTCGGGTTGGCGGGCAGAGCGATTGATCCGGAGCATTTGCTGGCGCAGGCGAATATGAGTGAGGGGCTGCGGGACTGGGATCTTTGGGGCCCGTTGGTATTTTGCTTGTTGTTGAGTTTGCTGCTTAGTTTTACGGCCAATACGGATCAGAAGAGCTTGGTGTTTTCGGGAGTTTTTGCCATGGTATGGATTGGGGAGGCGGTTGTTACGCTGCAGATTAAGTTGTTGGGAGGGAATATGTGAGTTTTTCTCTATGGGGACGGGGATGTTGGGGTTCTTTGTGCTAATTTGATGGTGGAATAGCTCGTTCGCTCAGAGCGTTTGCATTATTGGGTATACTTTGTTCCCATTAGTCATCGCTGCGCTGCTTTCGGCTATCGGGATCCCGATGATTCCTAGGATACCTGTTTATCTGGTTCTGATCGCCTGGTCGCTGGCAGCGGGTGTTAGTATTCTTGGTGGAAGTGGTGTGGTTAAGAACAGAGTTGGTATTGCGGTTTATCCACTTCTCGTTTTCTACGTAGGGCTGGGATGTTTATGTTTCATCAGCTAAACACGTTATGGGGAGAGGGAAAATATTAAGTGAATTTCATTGAATTGAGCTTTTGAGGGCCTAGCTCGAACAAGGACGAAAATGATATATACTATTAGAGATGCATGTCTGCTTTGTAGCGGCGAATTGAAATATCGTTTCCAGTAGTGTCCGCTAAGAAGTCTTTGTGAGGATCACCTTTATACAAGTGTGAGTTTTTCTTTCATTGATTTTGTGCCATTGCTGATATCTGAATTTAATGTACGGGTGTGTCTTCGCCATATTCCTAGCATCTTCTCACCCCTCGAAATTTCAGACGCTATAAAACAGTAGTTGCTCCTTCCATGCATAATGCAAAATAAAAACTCCATTTTCCGCTTTGATAAACAGAGATTAACTATTCCCAAATGCAATGCAATTCAATTCCCACCGCAATCATCTACATATCCTCTGATAGCAACAGCTCTGGTATGATTAGTGGGAGAAGTTGCTGTGTTGTAGATGCTCTATGACCCTCTCCAGTACCGATCACTCATGACCATTGAGTCTTCAAGGCGTTCTTCCGAGTAGGCAAATGTGCATTGGATATCGGCATCAACTGGGTTGGCTATTTCATGAGATTGGCAGTGTCGTCCATAAAGGGTGATGAGGCTACCAGCTCCAGTTCTAAGCTGAGAAGAAGGAGGAGGACTCGGATGGGTGACATTTGTAGCACCATTCGCGGCCTTGCAAATTACGGTTTTGCCGGCAGCAGTCTCCTCGGTAGCAGTCTTGTCGGGAGCAGTCTTATCGGTAGCAGCGTCGGAATTAGGATACATCTCGCACAATTCATCCATGACTGATCGGAGGAACACAGCCTGACGTCTCGAAATACGAATCTCCTTCAATTTGAGCTTCGTATAAGCCATCAGCGTCTGCAGCATACCAGTCGAGCCAACAGCGTTGGCCGAGCCAGGCCATACCTCCCAGTAACCCATTCCGATCTCGCTGCTTGGCTCCTTGCGAGATCTCCAAGCATTGCACCACTTGAGATTGACTTCCTCCAAGTTAGGCAGCTTGGTCATGATCTTCGATACCATCTTCTGGGCATCTTCGACGTTGGGGAAGCCGTTGTAGGTCAGCAGATCCGTGTTCGTTGGATCGCGCTGTTCTTCTTCTCCTTCGGCTATGGTCTGGGTCCACATTGACTTGTGCAGGAAGATGTTGATGTGAACTGTGGTGATCAGCACGCGGTGTTGGGCAGGGACACGCTCGAAGAAGTAATTCAGAGCATGGAGATTGACTTCTTCGGTGGAGCCCCAGCGTCCATTGCCGACATGGAAGGCGTTGTTGAGGTAAATATATGGGCTTCCTTCTTTGTAAGACTGCTTGTTGACGCGGAGAAGAGCCGTGTGTTGAGTTTGTGGCTTTCTTGGCCGTAGGTTGAATGGTGAAACGACAGAGTACGCTTGATCTGATGGGATGACTAGCCCGTAGATCTGGTTGCGGATCTCGGCTGGCATGGTACACAGATTATGTTTCCCTCCGACCGCTGGGACCGATGGATCTTTGGATGGATCCACAACGGTAAACGGCGTTGAAGGGGAGTAAAGGATCTGTATATCGTTAGATCGTATTCTCATATGGGATGAGGTATTCTTACTTTGGAGTCATTCAACTTGACTCTCTTCCGTGGCATTGATACTATTTGCTTCGAGTATCGATAAGTCTATTGACTATTAGTATGTCCACAAAAACTTGCACAACGGAAGTCAAAAAATTACCTTTTGAGGCAAAGGCGCAGCTGGACGAAGTCGAGCAGACAGCTTCCTCTTGGCCATTATTAGGATGTTTGAAGGATATTGGTTATCAGATTTTTGGTGTTGTGGGTTAATGTGTTGTCCGAGATGGCCAAAAAGAATGATCAATGTGGAAGAAGATCGAATGTTTACGCGAAGACTTTTATAGACGTGTTGTTAATATTCTGGTGGGCAGAGACAGACAACGTGACAGGGATGGTATATATTGCCTTGTATTGCCTGATGTTGTCGGTGAATCATGATAAGTGAATTGGATTTAGTACCGGCGATATAGAATATCTATTTTTGCTATTTAACTCTGATTTTATAAAGAGAATTGGATTTTAAGACACTTGTAGTGCTATCGCTGATTTTCAAACACCTAGTATGTCATTAAAGTAGCTTCATTAGGGCATCCACAACTTCTTTGTTCGGAAACCTAACACTTTACTATAAATATTATTTGATGTATCATGGATACTATGAAGTAGTCTAACGGCTTCTGGCTCCTACGCTTGACGTCTGCAAATATCTGCAATTATTAATACTCGATTACACAGATCTCATCGGAGTATATTTTGTAGATTCGTTGGATATACGAATTCTTAATTCTAATTGAAGTATTAATTAACTCCGTTCATCGGCGATCTAACAAATTAGTACCGTACTCCGTAGTTGATATTGCATCATCTAAAGTGATATCGCTATCGTACACCTCACTATCGCCGTCGCCGTCGTCTCACTGCGACCATATAAAACTTATAGAATTAAAGTCATTTCCATTGATTATTGCTGCTAATACTAGTCCTATACAAAGTTCCCTAGCGATTCTCCGTCTGCATCACGGTCTGCCCATTAGGAAGAAGGAATCGCTCCATAGCGTTGTCCTGCCATTAAGGGGGAGGCTGGGGATAGAGTCAGATTGCAGAGGCGATGAGGGTCGAAGAGCGACGAGAAGGTGGGCGACAGTGATATCTGTGAGGTGAGGTGTGTCTGTGCCATCTATTGGTAAATCCGACCCCAGAGCTCTCTGGTAGATAATGAAAAAGTTCCAATAGAAACGGCTCTCGGGTAGCTAGTGCCTTAGACCGAAACTGTTTTTGTTTATGACGGATGCGGAGGAAGTGTGATAAACTTTGCGGCTTCTGGAATTTCTTTCAAGACTTTCTCGGCTGCTTGTCTCATCTTAATGTTGTAGTGATCGAAGGTTTCGAAGTGTAGTTCTTGGTTGACCAGAATCCGGAACATCTTTACTATCTCTCTAACAGCCTCTTCTGATGTTAAAAGCGGATAGGGGTCGGAATATATATACCATTCAGGACCATCAGTATAGTACTGAAACACTATGGTCTTGAGGCTTGTAAAATGTTTAGCCAAGGCCCGAACCGTGGAATGCAGATCTTTGACGTCCGTCATGGTCCCGATATCATTATCAAGATGACTTAAAACATGTGTAACCGTGCGACAATGTATCAAGACGTTGACCTTCTCGATTCCACTAAGATGATTCTTTGGGACTCTTTTTAGGAAATGCCGTAGACCATGAAGGTTGGGGCACAATTTGGAGCCGTATGGTCCGTTGCCGAAAGTAAAGGTGTTGACGGCGTAAAATATCATGCTAGCTATTTATGGAATCAATACATGCTTTTCATGAACTATTCTGGGAGTAGAGAGTAGAAGTCTTGGGTCATGCTTCGCATTGATGGAGTAAGAATTCAACCAACCTTCTCTATTCACTTGCTTGTTTATGCAAAGAAGCGGACAAAAGTTGGATGGCTTGACCACCTTTCTTATTTCATGCTGCTTGCGAGGGGATCGGATTTTGATGGGTTCGGGAGAGATAACGAGGAGGGAGTATATCTCGTTCCTAATTTCGGGCGGTAGGGAAAAGAAGTCCACTTTTCGGGACGAATCCATTGTTTCAGACGGTGAAATCTTGGGCTATAGATATGATTAGCTATGTGAGGATAAGTAAAGGCCGATAGAGAATTGGAAATTAGACATACGGTTGCCCGGTTTTGCGTTGGTTGGCCCTACCTTGGTCCCTACGTAGCTCGAGACTGGTATTTAGGGACCGTAACTTTGGGACACACTGTACTGTACAATGCCAGCTTGTACCAAAGCTAAGGTAGAATGAGATTAGATAAAACGGGGAATGAGTTGGGTTGGAATTTCACCAAATAAATGGTGAAACTCAAATCACGCCGCTATGTCACAAGGCTGAAAGGCTAGAGGCTTCGAAACTAGGCTGAGAGATGCCTCTCTTGGCGTTGATGAAATATTGAAATCGCCGCGGATTCAAGGGACGAATGTACTGCGAGATTCGTGGAGGATGTTGTCGCAGGTTGTATTTATAGCTTGTTCATGGCTGAACAATTAAACGATTGTTGTCAGTGTAATGAATTGAATTGAATAATGCAGGATACGATACCTTAGGATAGGATATACCTGTACTAACCCATGTTTAGCGCATTATTAGTAGGTAGGGTAGGTACCGTGACCACGCCTTGAAAGTCCGCTCCGCTCTCCGAGTACTCACAATTTGAGGGGCACCAGTGCACGTTATTGTGCTGCGTTGTAGCAAAAAGAGAGCCAACAAAGCAAAGCAAAGCACAGCACAACACAACACAAACAACAAATCACTTGCACACATTCTGTTCTTTTATGCGGAGCCAGGTGCACCATTGCCATGTCTTCCTCTGCAGATGCAGAAGCACATTCATCCACTGCCACAGAACAATCACAGTCTTCAAGCCACCCCCCCGATGTCATGCCCTTGCCAGCGCGAACAATAGCTGACGCCCAATCTGATCATACTACCACCCTCTCCAAAGATGATCCTGCCACCATGGCAGCGAGCGAAGAACTCAAGCACACCAGCATCTCCGACAAAGTTGTGTCTACATCCCCGAAGGACCAGGCTCGGCATGCCGTTGCGGATGAAGATAAGACTATGAAGGAGACGGTGAAAGAGAGCACGCCCGAGGTAGACCTCACCGACGCGCAAGATGAGGAGATGAGAGAACGGATATCTTCACCGAAGAAGAAACGCGGTCGAGACCAGGATGAGGAGACTAGAGAGTTAGACGATAACAACCTCGACGAGCCAGGAACTTCGGCCGATGGGAGCGTCATAAATGGGAGCCGAACAACTAGATTAGGTCCAGAGAAGAAGCGCCCTCGAGACACATCAGAAGACTACACAAATGCGACGGAGAAGGCTGCAGATGTAAAGGCAAGTTTATTGTGTACTTCCTCAATCGGTCTGACTAGTACTAATTCTCTCTTATGCAGGCCATGGCAACAGCCGATACAACAGACACCCCTAAACCTACATCCTCAGAAACCCAACCGACCAAGAATTCTTTAGAATCCTCACAGAAACCAATATTCGGGAGTGGGTTCGGAGATAAGTCTCAGTCCTCTACCTCAGCGTTTGCCAGTTCCGGATTTGGTGCCCTTGCTTCTTCTAGCACCTCTCCATTTGGTATTATTGGAGCAACGAAGCCCAGTGTTTTTGGTGCCGCTCCCACACCCACGGTATCTGGTTTCGGGGCATTAGCCGCGAAATCCCCAGATGCTTCTGCTACCACCCCTTTGGTTGATTCCGCAACTTCGTCCACAGCGAAACCGATGATAAGCTTAGGCTTTGGGGGTGGAGGAACTTCGGGATTTGGCGGGCTCGGAGGATCAAGTGGAAGTGTTTTTGGATCTCGTTTAGGAAATGGATTTGCTGGTGGATCTGGTGCGAAATTGTCGACTTTCGCTGCTCCTGGTACGGAAAGTATTACAAACGCAAAGCCAGCAAAAGCTTTTGGAGCCCCCGAGAGTGATAACGAGGGTAGCGATCAAGATGACAGTGAAGGTAATGGGGCTTCTGATGACGAAGAAGGTGGCAATATAGGTGCAGAGGACAAGAAGAAGCCTTCTAAAGTCTCAAAAGGTACGTTTTCCAAATATTGGCTTATACTGGTTTCAAAGGCTAACCGCAACAGTACATATTGAAGATGGGGAAGCAGGGGAAGCAACTCTTCTACAAATACGTGCCAAGCTCTTTGCTATCGATTCGAAAGAAGCCGGGTGGAAGGAAAGAGGTGTGGGAACGCTCAAAATAAACGTTCCCAAACCTTGCGTAGATTTCGACGAAAATGGTGTTGCAATTCCAGGATCCTTTGATGCTTCGGGACTGGAAGACGAAGAAGAAGACTCGGCTGCTCCTCGAGTGGCGCGTCTCATTATGCGCCAAGAAAACACCCATCGAGTTGTACTCAATACGGTTATTGTTCGCGCTATGGAGTTCAAGGATAAGCCATCCAGTAGCTCGGCGCAATTCCTATTTACGGCTTTTGAAGGCGATAAAGAGCCAAAGCCTATCAATATGCTTCTAAAGGTAAGTCTGTTCCAAACGAAATAGTAATCACGTCTCTAATCTGTTCATAGATGTCGGAGGCCAACGGCAGGTTATTCAGATCCGAAATCGAATCCATTCAGCACGAACTTTGAAGATACCCCACGAGACCACGAGACCACGAGCCTACGAAAAAGGATTTCTGCATCCTCGCAGCCCTCACTCTCTTTTGTTCTAGAATAACCCAAACATGTATCGTCTTTCTCCGGGCGGGAAAAGGAAAGACCTTGTCTTTGGTGTGGTATCATCTGGCAGAATTTTGACGGAGTTTGGCATACCAGCATAGCGGGGCGGTCTAGGACAGGGAACCTGATTATCCCTCGTTTGATGGATGGAATGACTGGATTGATGGATTTCCAAATTTGTGTGCAGATTGCACACAGCACACATGCTTTTACTTATTATCAAAAACGCATATGGAAGTAAATATACCAAATGCATTCAATACAACTGTCCAGCTAGTTCGAGTTTATTAGGTGGGAGGTACTCTATGCCTCGGAGTGCCAACTCCCTGAAGGTTCTTCTCTCACAATACAGCGACGATATTGACGAGTGCCCCTTTAAAACACCTACCACCGTAAGTACGGCTTGACATAGACTTTTTTTTCTTGTAGTTATACCAGGCTTGCAATCAGAAGTACTATATGTTTGTTGCGGGTTTGAAAGGACGACAAGCGGCGATATTTCCACTGCTGATAGTCCTTTAGCCTACTCTACAGCCACCGCAACGCAGCTTTCTTTCCTACTTACTCAACTACCGATTTCTCGTCTTGGATTGGATCTCCCCAGACAGACCTCTTGCATACAAAGGCAAGCAAGAAACGTTAGGATTCTGAACGAAACTAGCTCCTTACAATCTAGTAGGCAAGTAGAACGAAACATAGTGGAACGGAAGGAAGAAGAGATAATGGGCTAAAGAATGCTTGCTGGATTCTTTGTGGGATAGAATAAGGTGAGTCGTGTTGGTAAGAAGATGGAGGGAGATACAATAAAGATTACCTACCGCGCTTAATACAAGTACATCTACATGCACTCCACATGCATGAATTTCAGCACTCTAGGAGTGTTTATCCTATCATTAAACCCGTCCTTGTCCTTTATTTGCAGTCAATAACGCGTTTCCTTCCTGTCATTTGAACTACCTTCCTTCCTTCATACTACAGTACAGTCCTTTGGTGTTTCACTCGACGTATCAATATATCAGGAATACCCATCTCGTTACTAAGGAATAGGAATGCCACAATGCTGGCAGCTATAGTTGTTTCGCTCCGTTTATCCATTATCAGGCACGCAGGTCTATACTGTAGCTCCGTGCTGGCTGTACTGTGTAATATAGGTGCTCTTTCTCCTCTTTCCCTACACCTATCCCGTACTGTCTCGAAAGCACGAGATCTACCTATTTTTTTTTGTTGTTGTAGAAATCGATCGCCACCTTGTTATTATTTAAACCTTGTCTTGTCTTGTCTAGGTTGTTTTGTCTAAAGTAAAGAAGAAAAAGGAGCTTCGTCTGTATCAGGATATGGATTTGGAACAACCGATCATTCCAATCAATCAAATTAGCTTTCTGAATTCGCGCACAGCGCCTGTGTCTATGAATGGAAAGCCATAAATTTAGTTTACAGTAGTGGTGTTTAACGCCGGGAGAGAAGGGCCTAAGGCCAGGCCCTCCAAACCTCCCAAAGAGTAAGGTAATAGGGCGTTTTATGCTAAGCTGGGAATTATATCATATACAGTATACTTACCCCAGATAAATAACCAAAGCAAGTCATAAAGAGCTATCAGATAGCCATACCGTTCACAAGCCGTGTGTAAGTAAAACTTAGATCCCTCCAGAGCCCTAGAGAAGTCATGAGGAATCGGGGAAGTAGTTAGTGGGATAAGATAAGTTTTCGATTGTTGTACTGTAACGTATAGTGAAAATGCTGACCCGGGAGATGACATGACATGACACTATGCCCAACTTCTGTATTCGTACAGAGGGGTTCCCTGGAGTCAGTCGACGTAAGGGAAGGGAACCCGTCTAAGAAGGGAAGTTAGAGGTCGAGTCGAGTTAGCATCTACAAGTATATATATATACAGTAGTTTTACACAGGAACCCTTTAACGCCAAGCACTCACTCATCTCTAGATCTATACTATAGGAGAACGTGTAGATATAATACAATATATTGGTATTCAAAATGTCTATCAGTAGCCCAACCAATCCATCCTACCTCTGAGCTTAATTCTCAGCCTATCCTTCTTCCGTACATATGTCATACTCGTACTGCCGCTCTTCACAATTAATCTCCGTACAACAGTTCAATCCGACAAGTGAGGACAGCTGCTTGCTTACCTGCTAGCTATTTCCGGATGAGGTACTGTACGGAGTAAGCGCGATAGCTGAGATGCGATGCAATAAGGTTGTGCGCTATGCGTGCGTGTCTGGTGCAGTAGTGGTGAATTGAGACGGGACGGGATGGCGGTACGGATGAGCGGAAATGGCTGTCTTGCTGCGGCAGGGCGCGTGCTTGTACCCTTTGGTCCATTTATGTACCACTCACGGGAATTTAAATAATTTAATTTTAATGTACCGAGTATTTATGCAGGATAAGATAATTTCTGGATGGTGTGTATGGGATGGAAATGAAAGGTGATGAGATGAGATGATGGGAGAAAAGGTGAGGTGAAATTATGTTTAATTTGTAAAGTACCGCCAGGTTATTGCAACGCCATGCTAAACTCACAAATTGAGAGGATACTACTATCACACTCTCCCGGTATCATTCCAGGTGTCTTTCCTCTTCTACTACCGAGTATTTTCCAATCCTACCCCTTCCTTTTCCTGCTGCCTTTTCCCTCTGCAACTTACACCATCATCCAAATCATACCTATCAAGCACCAGCTCCGTGTACCGTACTTAAACCATGTTCTCCTTTTCCTTTTGCCTGGTGCTCGCACCCTTGATCAGTGTGCTCAAGTCGCCAACGGGAATCTGGAATGGGAAGTCCAAGGCAGCGAGCATGATAGCGAAGAAGATCCACCAACCGGCCATAGAGGTCACAAAGAGGCTGGCACCGCCAGCAATCTGTAAACGTCCAGCCAGTGCTATTGCAGAAGCATCCTTGCGGCCAATACCGTTGGCGGACTGCCAGTAAGCCCCAGCAAGGAGACTGAAACCCAGAGTAAGAGTGAAGAATATGACGACGAAGCATATGTTCGTTCGCAGGGAGCAGATCAGGAAGATGAAGCTGAGAAGGGCCATGAAGATTAGGAAGAATCCGAACGAGGCAGTGAAACCGACAGTCTGTAGACCGTCCGCTGGAGTGGTAGTTGGGGAGTACGAGCCGTATGCGAAGTAGAAAGGTTGGAGAGTCGAGCCGAATGTAAGCCAGAAAGCACCAAAGGCCATGAAGACGACGGATGGGAAAGTGTTGCCAAGTATGAATTCGAGGAAACCACCAACCAGCATAAGCAGACCACCGAAGAAAAAATAGGCACCGCTATAGAATAGTTAGAGACGATGATGCGGTTATTAGAAGCGAAGTGAAGCTTACATTGCAGCAGCACCACTGCCGCCAGACCCTCGCCAGCCCATCAAGTCACAAGAGAGCGGAGATAGGGCGAGTAGGAAGCCCAGGAGAGCGCTGTATTTCAGTTAGCTGAACTGAATGCATACTCTTGAACATGAACAATGCTAAGACTTACATAGGTGTAGGGTTACCAAAGGTCTTTCGTAGATCACCCTTAACCGCATTTTGAGGAGAGAGATAGAGCTTCTCGAAAAGCTCAGGCGAGATGGAGATGCTGCCCGCGGTCCGGATTCTCCTCAACGCATCATCGCCGCTCATGTTAGTGTCGTTCAGGTGATGTTGGTTTGAGAAATCCTTCTCCAAAGAATCCCCGTTGCCATTGGCTCGAACCTGGTTGCCATTCGGTTCAACGGCCATTGTAAGTGATGCGATGTGATGTTGATGTTGGTGATGGTGTAACTTTGAGGACAAGGTAGGAGGGGTAGATCCACAGAGAGATGAGGTAAAGAGATAACAATACAAACAATTGGGGTCTTCGCCTCATTATGTAGTACCACTTTATGCTCCTAGCTCTCTCATCTCTCCGCACTTACTAGCTGTCGGGCCCCTGGATTCCTTCACGGTAGGTCACTCAGACCGTCCCATCTCGGCAGGCTAAGAGCTTGCACCTCAAAGAGGAGCTGTCTGAAAGTGTACAAGCGGGAACTCGAATCAATGGCGTACGGAGGTAGATCTAGAAACTATCTGGGGAAAGGGGGGAAGCTACCCATCCCCGATCTAGCAGCTAACGACTAATGAGAGGCATAGATCTAGAGGTACAACCCAGTTCTGCAGCACATTTCCCACGAATACATGACGTGGGATTCTCTGGATCTCGAACTCTATTGTTAGAATCGGAGGCCTACAAGTATACTCCATAAACCTCCAACCTCTAGATTGCGTATAGTAGCACTGCCTGAGCTTGGAAGTACCTACTCTACCTAGTAGTAGGTAGACCTGCATCATATTCTGGATGGAAGGAACGGAATGATGCCGCTTTCACGGCAGCCAATTAGAGGAGGCTGAAGTCGACTCCATGCCCTCGGAATAGCGCACGAGTCGCGCAACGACAGCAACACCTCTCCGGTCAAGTGGAAGCGGCCTTGCGGCTTTTACCTACTGTACTGTACGAGCCATGCGGATTACGGATTGGGGCTGACTAGTGCACTGGACTTCCGCACGTCGAATTGCGGGGAGGGGAGCTAGAGCTAGGCCTATGCTGCAACGTGGGGAGATTTGGCTAGGTTACTTGGGCTGTGAGAGGACGCCATAAAGCCTGCAGGAACAAGGAAGGATGATCGCGTGAAGATCAGGAGTTTGATCACTGTATCGTGCGATGAAAGTCCGCGATAGTGTCAAACTTTAAGAAAGAGAAGAGAAGGGACGATAATGAAACCTTCTGTCCGAAGTTACCAAGAAATGCATCTCCACGTGACAGCAAGATAAATTACTCAAAATTCTTGTCAAGACAATATGTCAAGACAAGTATCTTCAAAGGTTTACAAGAATCGAACATTGATAGACTGGCCTTTACCAAATGCCATGCATGTATCCTTGAACGGGGAACCTCCACTTCCCCAGACCCATCCACTCAATCGACAATCATTATATAGATATTCCCCCTCACCCTCTTTTCCACCAACCTATTCCCCACCAAAGAAAAAGAATTCCAACCCTTACCCAACAGTCTAACAATGCAGAAGCACCTGCACGACCACCTGCACAACCACTTAAATTAACGATACCAAACCAACCTCGTACTCGTACTCCCCAACCCCTCCTCTACCCTACTAAGCTTATATGCCGAAATGCGGGGGAACCTCTTCTCCAGGAGCCCCCGTGATAGGGATTGGTTGGTTTTTAAAGAACCAGAACAGACTGTCGATATGTACGAGAGAGACGCCACAATATCCCATCCGATCTTGTGAGCTGGCTGGCAAAATGGATCACGATAGGTAGTTAGAGGTAGTGGTTCTGCTCTGCTTTGGATAGGATACGATACGATGGCTTTTGTTTTCTTCATAGGAAAGACAAGATACATGATACATACATACCTAGATACCTTACTTACCCTTCCCTGTCTGTCTGAGCTTTGCATTTTCTTGATACCAAGAGTTGATTTCTCGTTACTTGGATCCCTCAGGTCTGAAACATTATATACAGGTCCATGTTTAAACTCTTGCTTGTTGCTCATCACTTAATGGGAAAGAGAGAATAATGTGAACCTTCAATGGAAAGTGGCATTTTCAATCTCCAGATCACGTATTCTCTTCGCTCGCGCTCCTTCCTGCCAATAAATAGATTTGGGATAAACATCACCGTACAAGTAATAAAATGCACTTGCTCTTTCCGTGCCATTTCTCCTTTGAGCACTTAGAACTAGCCCAAAGCAAAGGCCTTTCTATGTCACTGCATTTCACTGCAGCAAGTCACGTAAGATGGTAGATAGATAGATAGTTCATAGCTCTTCGCTGTTCATACAATCATTACCCTCCTTCCCGCCGAAATCCCTTTCAACCAATATACCCACCCACTCCCTACGCGCAAAAAGAAGCACGCCAAACTCCAACCCAAACATGCTATGATATGCAAAACAAACACCACACCCCCACAACATAAACACTCAATCAATCAATTGAAATCCGCCGCAGTCAGCGCCTGAACAACACTCGTGCCCTCCGCAAACCGCGTCCTGAAAATACGATTCGCGTTCTGGAACATGTCGTTTTTCAAACTAACCACGATGAATTGAGAGCCCTTGAATCGCGTCTTGATGAGCCGCCCGATGTTCTGCGTGTGCGAGAGATCGAGCGCCGCGTCGACTTCGTCGAGGATGTACATGGGTGCGGGTTTGAATTGGAGGAGCGCCATGATGAGGGAGAGGGCGACGAGGGAGCGTTGGCCGCCGGAGAGTTCGGTGAGGGATTGTTTCCAGACTTTGCCTAGACAGACCTGGTTATTTTTGTCAGTTGCTAGTTTAAAGGTGTGAAAGTAGTTGGGACGAATCTGAACATACCTTTACTTCAAGTCCTTCATTGATAGTCTTTCCTTCCGGTGCCTCAAGCTTACAATAACTCCCAGGCAAAAGCTCTGCAAAGATCTGCCCGAAATCCCCATTGACTTTCTTCCACGTCTCTTGCAGCGCTTTCTTCTTATACTCATCCAAGATCACAATTGTCTCTTCGATCTTCCCCTTGTCCCTGATGACTGTCTTCATCATATTTTTGAGGGAGACTTCTTTCTTTTCCACACTGTCAATCATGTTCATGACTTTAGGATTGATCTTTTTCTTCATGCCCTGGAAGCGCTCTGTCAAATTCCGTAGAGAGGCTTTGCATTCGGCGATATTTTGACCTTTGAAGTCGTAGGGTGTACCGGTGCGGCCGAAGTTGTCTTTTTCGTCAGCGATCCATTCGTGTTCTTTCTCCATGTTCGCGATAATTTGGACGGCGCCTTGTTGTTCCTTGTGAAATTTCTCGATTTGATGGCCGAGCTTCTGCATTTCTAGACCCTCTTCGGTAATGCGTGATGCTTTAGATCGAGAAGCCTCTTCCAAAGAGCGAAGCTCGTCGTCAAAGCCTGTTAACTTGGCTCGTTCATCGTCGAGATGTGCTTGAGCGATGTCATGCAGATCCTATGAAGAATCAGTAAGGATTAGTTTAAGTAGATATTGGAATACAAACCGTCACTTGTTTCTGCTCAGATACTAACCCAGCGATCTCTTCCGCTTGAGACTTCATTGTCACCTCAACATCTTGCAGCTGCTCCTGGGCAGCGGCAAGATCGCCACCCACTTGTTCTGAATCCAGGCGAGCTCCCTGAAGCTCCTTCTGCAAGATCTTCACTGACGCCGAGTTCTTGGTAAGAGTCTTTCGTAGAGAATCTAACGAATTTTGAAGCTCAACAAGCTTTCCATCCTTGTTGCTGTCGAAGTCTTTCATGTCCTTCTCAATACGCTTGACATCCTTATTGGCTTCATCTTGACGCTTCTTAGCCTCGACGAGGTCCGTCTTTAGTTGGACAATAGAGGCCTTCATGTTTTCGACTTCCTGGATGATGGAAGAAGATGAGTTGCCTCCAATTTGCTCCTCGGTAAGTTTGATCTCATGCGACTTGAGATCTAACTCTTGCTTTATTTTTTTTGCCTGGTCGAGCTTCTTCTTCTCTCTTATCATCGTAGCCTGGAGTTCGGCCAAAGTCTGCTCCTGCACTCGAAGCTCCTTTGTCAACTCATTGAGCTTTTGTAAAGTGACCAGCACGCCGCTTGAATTCGGTGAGCTACCACCAGAAAGGGTTCCGGATGGATCATATGAGTCTCCTTCGAGGGTGATACTCTTCATTCGTACAGCAGGGTCAAAAGTGACCCGTTTGGCAGTTGCAGCATCAGCACAGATCAGAGTATTCCCGAAGACATAGTCCATAGCGGTGGAAACTTCATCTTCATAACCGATCAAAGAAAGTGCAAGATCCACCTTGCCAGGAGCAATTTTTTGAGCAGCACCAATCTTTTCTGCAGATGCCCTGAATGCAGCAATTTTGTTGAGAGGAATGATAGTGACACGTTTCCTTAGCTTGCCGTTTTGAAGTAATTGAGTACCGGTAACTTCAGTATCAACCACAACATTGTATAATCGGCCACCTGCACAGATCTCAAGAGCCGTACCAGCGTCTGTCCGGTCTTTATCCAGAGTAAAGAGTTGAGCTACTAATCCCTTTACTTTCGACCGATCAAAATTGGGTGCTGGATCGGCGTAGTTGAAGTCGATGTTTGCAACCTTTCGCTTCATACCATCCGATTCTTGACGAAGCCTTCGGATAGTTTGCTGAAGGGTGGATTCTTGCTTGTACATATCATCCTCCATTCCAGGCTCAAATCCAAGTTTGCCCAATTCCTTCTCAAGCTTCTGAGCCTGTGATCGAAGACCTTCAAGATCTTTCAAAAGACCTGCGTTTTGCTCCTTCGCTTTCTTTGCTCGTGGTTCTTCTTCCTTGACTCGCTTTTCAAGATGGGATGTTTTGAGCTTGGCTTGCTCTTGTTCGGTCGAAGCTGCGCTTACTCGATTTCGTGCGTCTTGCAGTTGTCCCTGATAACCACTTTCCTGGCCCTCTTTAGACGCAACACCAGTTTGTAATGTCTGAAGCAACTCCTCTTTGGTCTCCGCCTCCTGGTTCTGCTTTTCCAGATCTTCCTTTGCGTTGTCATACTGCGCCTGGATCTTCTCGTAAACTTTCGTCTTCTGCTTGAGCAAAGTCTCGAGTTCCTTGACAGTCTTTTGTATAGTCGATTTTCGCTCCTTTTCCTCGGCCATACTCGACTTCTTGAGATCCATAACCGTAGAAAGTCGAACCTGCTCGTTGGAATGCTTCTTGACCTCCACCTCGAGAGCTTGTGCCTTGCCACCCTTCTTCAGCTCCTTATCCCTCTGGGCCTTCACCCCCTTGACATCCTCCGCGAGATTCTCGATCTCGTTCTTCAACCGAACAGCATTATCCTCCAAATCCTTCGCTCTCTGTTTCTTCAATTCGAGGTCTCCCGCTGACTGCTTTAGCTTATCCTGATTCTTGACATAATCGTGTGCAACCACCACTCTGGTAAGTCTCTCGAGATCATTTTGTGTTTGTTGGAAATCCAAGAATGCGCGTTTCTCCGTGCGCAGCTTCTCCAATTTTGGCTCAATCTCGTCGCGAAGCAATTCCGTAATTTCCTGGACCTTCATCTCCTTTTTCGCCATCGTCTTGAACGCCTTATCCCTCCTATCCTCAAACATCCGTGTCCCAGCAGCTTCCTCGATCATAGCCAGGATTTCCACGGGCTTCATATTCAACACTTTGGTGATTCGTCCTTGCATAATGAGGAAATTGGGATTATTGATATTCAGTCCCACTGATTGAAAAAGATTTTGGACTGTTTGTTGTTGTGCTCGGTGTCCGTTTATGAGGTATTTGCTGGTCCCTCCCAGCACGATTTGTCTGGTGACGCTGATTTGTGCATATTCTTCGAATCCTATGGGAGACTTCTTCTTGTCGCGGTTGTCGAAGACGATCGTTACGCTTGCTTTGGTTACTCCTGCTTGTCCGCGCTTGTAGATGAGATCCTAACAGTACCTTGTCAGAGCTATGCGCCAGTCTGGGACGGAATGAAGGGTATACCTGGAGATTCTGCGCGCGGACAGTTGTCATATTCGTGATACCCAGAACGAAACATATTGCGTCAAGGATGTTCGACTTCCCACTCCCGTTGAGCCCCGTAATCGAATTGAAACTCTCGTCCCTATACCAGCGTCAGCGAGCGTTCAAAATTTTGGTGCACTGTTTTGTTTACCATCCCGATATGACCGTTCGCACAGCGTACGATTTGAAGCCCTTATTTCGATCAGCAGAATTCAACATCGCATATTTTGACGATACATACGTCTATGATAACCTCCACGACCCTCATTTTGGCGTTGTAGAATCCGTATTGCCGTCGCTGGTCGGGAAAATATCGTCTTGGTTGCGGCGTGAGAAAGACGCGAAGTCAACAAACAGATACGCGACAAGGCCGCTAGGCATCAATGCATAATCGCTTTCTGAACCTCGGGTCAATCAATTCGGCATGCCGACATCTAATCTTGGAGTATCTTACTCTTACCCCAGAATTTCAGATTATGGCTTTGTTTACAACTTCACTATTCTACCATTCCGAATGACGGGAGACGTGATGGCTCCTCGTAAAATGAAGATTAACATGCCTGGAGTAGCTAGTGGCAAGGAGATAAGTGCGAGTCCGACTGGAGAAGGCTTTACTTCCGAGGAACGAGTGAGGCTTATGCTTCAAGGGTCGATTTCTGAAGAAAGTAATTACGAGGTAAAGACTCCCTCTGTCGTGAGACTATTCAACATTGAAATTAATCTTCCTGGTCACACGATGACTTTCAAAAGTATAAAAGTATACTCTTTCGATGCACATTTCAGTCATCATGCCCTCATTTATTCTTACTACTCCCGCAACCTTCACTTTCACCCTCCGCCCAATACCAATCCCCCAAACAACTAACCTCTCTCTTCCAACCAGGGCTGGGGCGCACACCTCTTCCAAAAAGACATCCAAATCGTCTCCGCCTCCACCGATCCCGGCCGTGTAGTATTCCGCTTCAAAATCCAGGCCGAGCACTGCAACCGTCTAGGAAACCTGCATGGCGGCTGCACAGCAACGATCTTCGATATCTGTACTACGTGTGCTCTTGCTCCTATCGCAAAGGAAGGGTTCTGGGCTTGTAAGTTGGCTGTCTTTCTCTTCTTTTTGTGATGGTGTGGTCACGGAGTTGTGACTTTTGATGGCGCTATACAACTTTCGAGCACAGCTGCGTTCTGATCTCATTTATTGACCTTCAACGGATACTCGACAGCAGGACATACACGTCATGTGTACTATAGTATTTAGCAAAACTACACAACTAATTCTCTCACAGACGCAGGAGTAACCCGCACCCTCTCCGTAACCTACCTCCGCCCCATCCCCGAAGGCGAAACCGTGCTCATCGAAGCAGAAGTAGTGCACGCCGGCAAACGTTTATGTGCGCTGAAGGGCGTGATGAAAAGAGAAAGCGACGGCGCTGTTTTGACGACTTGTGAGCATGGAAAAGCTAGTATTGATCCTGAAGTGTCCAAGTTGTAGGTTACATCTTGGCTCGGTGGATATTGTATCCGGGTTGGCTGGTATAAAGAAAGAGGAAGCGAAGTGGCTTGCATACTCCGAGCTGTCTTTAGTTGCTGAAATGACTGGACTTGACTTGACTTGACTTGAAAGTGTTTTCAGACTAATCCAGAGAGCTCTCATGGACATTCGAAGCCCCGAAGTCCCCCACATTCACATGTCATATAACATACCTTACCTTACCTTACCTTCAAACCAGCCCTATCAAAAGTCCTTGAATAATCCTTCACTTCACATGCCTCACATAAATGTTGAGTTCAACATAACATGCATAGAGGTTGGCAACTCCCGTGGCCTGGATCATGACGTGGTGCATGTTTTGTTGGGATGGAGCGAGTCGAAAAACATGTGATGTTTACCTACCTAGGTATATACCTAGGTAGTTTAATTAGGTTACCTCAGTTAACAACGTACGGTAGAATACTAGAATGTAAGCACTGAGTACAAGGTAGCATGACATCAAATAGGAATGTTTCTTAGTGGTACGATGTATACGGAGGGAGCCGCATTTAATCTATCACTATTAAGGCTCGGTTCCACGGAACATTTGAGCTGTATGAGCCATAAGCTACTCGAATAGCCATGACTAAAATCATGGTTCTAAAATTCACAGGCGCTAATATCTGAGGTATCAAGTTGCAGTCACAATTGAAAGTCCTTCGCTGTTGGGTATTGAATGCTTTTATTTTATTTGTTTGTCATTTAGTAGCCATCGGCCTTTAGTATCTATCACACCAATCCTTGGTCTATCGAGACGCCCACAATAACGACCAAGATATATCAGAAAGAGCGTGTGAATTGTATACGTGAAAAAACCAGAGAATATGCCCCACCTGAACGCCACCATGTATACGCTCAGAAGCATCGAAGCACGAAGAACAAATTTCCCCCAGCCAGACATTCCATGTCATCGACTCATGAGACCCATTTCGAGCCAATACGGATACGAGAGACAATCATGCAGCATCCGCTGATGCTACGGGCTCTGCTATCCTCGTGACCTGGCTACCAGCGCGAATGATTTTTTGGCCTGCGGAGTCGCTGACAAAGGAGATGTCCTTGTTTTCCCGTTGAGCCCGCTTCCAGATCTCGACCTCGCAACCTCCACGGAGAACACCAACTCTCATTGTAGATAACAAGTTGTGTGCGGCGTTGGAGTGGTTGTAGACACCTCCGTTGAAAATAGCAGTTGCGTCCTTGCCGATACCAGAAGTGATGAGAGCCTTTCCACCTGGGTGATCCTTGATGAAATCTGTGATATCGTGGACGACACCAGCAACGGCAACGAGTGCACGGCCGTTCTTGGCCTCGGTTTGGTAAGTGTCCCAGTCGATGATAGGCAATTGCTCGAGAGCAATACCCCAGTCAAGAGTCTGTCTCTTCTGGTCAAGCTTCTTTTGCATTTGCTGGAGACGGCCCTTTTCGATTTCATTTTGCTTGAATTGCTTCAAGTCGTAAGCGAGACCCAATTGCTTCCAGACCCAGATAGACCACTTAGTTGGGTCATATTGAAACCATTCGATAGCATTGCGGTAGTCCGATGGGAACTCGTGGTGGAAGTTGTGGTAACCTTCGCCCAGTGTGACGAAAGCAGTGATAACATGATCACGGGGAGAATTGCGGTCATCGAATGGCTGGTCGCCGAGCCAATGGGCCAAGGAGTTGACACAGAAGGTGGCCTGTTGAACGACGAAGATTCGGAGAATACCAGCGTAGATGAATCCACCCATCCAGTCACCCCAACCAAGTCCAGAAACAAGACAAGGGAAGACCATACCCATGAATATAACGCACTTGATGTAGTTGCGGTGTTGCCAGACAACGACGGGGTCGTCATTCAAATCGGAGATATCGGTACGACCGATGCGCTTTGGATTCTGCTTCATTATCATCCATCCAATATGCGAGTAGACGAGACCCTTTCGAACAGAGTAGGGGTCCTTGTCGGTATCGGTGTATCGGTGATGAGCTCGGTGATCTCTCGACCACCATCGGATTGAGCCTTGTACGGCACCAGCACCGACGGCAGCGAGGAAAATCTTCAATGGAAGTCGTGCAGAGTAACAAGTGTGAGCCCAGAGTCTGTGGTAACCTGCAGATTGGGAGGTTAGCATTAATCGATTCCGGTCGAGAACAAGGAGCAGACATACCAGCTGTAATACCAAGGCCGGTCATGAAGTAGTAGGCGAAGGCGAAAATGGCAGTCTTCAGGTGCAGAGGAGTGTAGTATGCAGTAATCATGCCGTAGATTGGGACTCCAATAATGAGAGTGACATTGAGCCAGTTGACATGCTTAAACCAGTTGGCCTTGGTAATGCGTTCGTCGGTGATGTGAGGTTTCTTGGGATCGAGCTTCTTCTCCCCAGATGCCTTTGCCATGCTTGGAGCTGGCGGGGTAGGTGTTTGAGGAGCAATGGTGTTGAGATGGCAAAGAGGAATGGTCGTGGGGTGAGAAGAATGAAGTGGGAGGGGAGCGTCCAGGTATTATAAAAGGCCGCGGTCACGGTGTTTCGAACCTCCCTAGTAAGTTTACGGGAGGCACTAGCGACAAAATGAAGTGGCGTAATTCGTAATACGGTAAAAGAACTGATCGACTGGCAAATGAGTGGGGCGTCCCTGGATCGTGGGGCGCTTCGTTATCCCCTTTAGTTCGCGTCTCTCCCAATGATGATGGATGATTTGACTGATTTGAGCTGCGTGTGTGTCTTCCCAGAAGTTGCAGTCTGGTAACATGGAAATTAAATAAGTACCTAGGTAAGTATTATTTTCATTGCCGAATACCATAAACTGGCAGCCAGTTCTCCTGTTCACATGCGATTCACCAAAACGGTAGAGTTGTGTTGCGGATAATTTGCTGGGGAATAACAATCAAGGGTCCCCTCCTCAACACTTTTCGATTGTCGGGAGCCAATCACAAAGCTAGCCGAACACATGCAACGCTTCTGCCCAAACAGGATGGAATGCAAATATTACACATAATTCTATCATTTACGTCGTAAAATCGCAAAGGGGTAATTTCATGATTTTCTTGTTTTCCATTCTCTGCCCCCCTGTTGTATTTCTTAATAGCGTTCGCGCGCTCTCTCTCCTATTTTCATGATCCTGATGGCAATCCAGACTGTGCCAAAATAGTATTTTTAGAGTTTAGTGCATGCAGGGTCCATCGTCCAACGTGGAAATCTTAGCCTATCCCATCCCATCCCCCAGCCTTCTTTTGGCATGAAGTCGTCGTCGTCTCGTCTTTTGTCTGCTAACTTTCTCACAGCTCATACAAGAACAGCTGTTCTCTCCTCATCCTCGATGCCCAATCAAAAGATTCAAAACGTTGAACTCACAATGCTTGCCTGTATTTTGTAACGCCATACGTCGGCATTTTGGCATTTTTGGCGCCGCTCAAACGTCTGTGCAGCTTAGCGCCCCAACAAGAAAACTCATCTGATTGTCAGGGGGTAGCGCCTCACGTGCCGAGCCCTTACACCGGTAGAACGTTCGATGCTTCGATATTGACGCCACTCGCTTCTCCACACTTTGGGTGAACTGGTGGCAATTCAACGCTCAGGACGCAACAATGTCCGAGGCTCACATGTTTAGTCATGTGGTACCTGCATACCGCTGCTTTGTTAGGACATTATCACCAGTTGCATTCACAAACCACCAAAACGATCTGAACGAAGGGCTCTAAGTTCCTTTACAAATGTGGTTGTTTTTAAAAAAAAAAAATTATAAAAAGAGAGAAGTGCTGATCATACAGTACAATCCTGAGCTCCATACAATATTTCAGCAAGTAGCTGCATAATTCTTTCCTATAAAACTCGCTCTAGATGTATCAAGTCGAGCGGATCTTTCGAAATAAATATAAAGTGCATGGCTTTTTACGTTCATCACAAGACAACCTGAAAATTACCAGACACAGGTTTCATTTACAACTACTATATAGGATCACTATAGCTATAGGGATCTATCCATCCCGAAAAGCGTTCTGTCACCATTCTCTACCACCCCTCCGATCTTTACGTCTTTCAAAGCATTTGTATTTACAACAAGCATCGCAGTTTCTACAAAATCTGAGTTTTTCGTACTCACAGCGTCCGCATCTAGCACAGTATCTACCGTCCCTCCATATACAATCTCACTCCCGGTACAATATACTCACCGTCTACACCCTTCACATCCACAATAACCCATTACGTCAGTCGTGTCCAATACACACAATACACGAAAAACGAAGACGAGAAGCGAACCTTGACGAGGTCTTTGAACAAGGTTGACAATTCCCGAAGATGGCAGGATCGAATTGACAATGGGAACATGGGTCGCTATTCAGTGACGACAAAGGGCACGACGAAGATGAAGATGAAGATGGAATTTGTTCCAACGTTGTGAACCGAATACAGTTTCCACTCCATAGGAATGCCCTTACATGCCTTCCTAAAACCCAAGCCATTTGATTCAGCACAAAGATTACGTAGCAACTGGAGCTCTTCATGAATATATCACACCTACAGCCTACAGCTAAAACATCTACCCCTTTCCTCCACGAAGGAGCTGATCCTTCAACCCTTGTTACGGACAAATATATCGCCTTACTTGGAAGGTTAGCAAGTAGCTACAGAGAAGAATTTCAAATATATCGGCCAGGGAGAAAATCAAACGCCAATTTGATATTATACTCGGTTTTTGAATGGAATCGAATCAGTTCTGGAAGAAGGCTTAAGTGGCTTTAACCCAGCAACAGGGTGATATCCAGAATTACCATGACCATTATTTCAGCATGACCGAGCTTGCCGGTTTGGCATACAGGGAGCTCAATCTTTTCCAGATAGCATTGAAAAGTCTTGGTGCGAGGTCCGATACAAGCAATGCGACCAAGCCATTCAAGCAACTGGGTTCTAGCATGTCTTTGCAAGATATGACTACCGCTGTAGCGCTTGGGTTTGAACGGTCCCGAAGTGCAATAGAGAAGGCTCAAAAGTATGAAAGAGAGACGTCTGTCATGGGAGTCTAAGAACATGAATCGCACCGGAGGAACTTATTTCTACAATGGATTTTGGGCTATATAGAGAGGAAGTCCATTCGCAGGCCCCTTGGCTCAATGCGTGGATCAACTTTTGTTGCCTTGCAAGTTTTGCTACAAAGGTATGATGTCCTTTTCATTTCTGTTATATGATATACTGAAGTCTTTCAAATTAGAGGGGGTACGGGGGAAACACCAAGGCCGTATAAAGCTCGTGCCCGGTCGTTGACGTTTATCTTGTTTGACTGGGCAGGGTGCTTCGAGTGGTGTTTGAGAAGCTCTCAAATCCTCATCAAAGACGAAATTTTCTACATTCCAGTTATTGTGGTATGAGCTATAAGGAATCGTTCCATGGAACTAGGCTCGAGAGACTAGGGACAACTTCCAAAGCGTTAAGGGCATTGCAGAGTTTTGATGGTCCGCGGGAAAACTTGTCAATTTCAAGCAGCGCGTTCGAGACACTGTTGAAGTTTATCAGCCTGTCACGAAGAAGAACTCAATATGACTAAAGACAAGACGAATCCCCAAAACTCTCAGGCATGGTCGGCTCTATACTCTCTAAACTCTCAGAGCCAAAATATCTCCCTTCCCCACTTCAGATCTCGTGACAACAAACCCCCGCCGAGCCAATTTAGCAAGAAAACCTAGATAGATCCACACTTCTGAGTTATGCCATTGGAAGAGTAATTTAACGATGTCTTTATCAAAGATCTCCATTCAAAAGATATCAAATCAAATCTCTCTCTCTCCACCAAAGTCAGCCCTTCCGGCAACGTTCAAGACCTACAAATCGGAATGTGCCGGTCTCCCCCCAAACCCCCACCAGAGTCCAAATCCAGCCCACAGCCTCGCCGTCCCGCGGCCCCCCAAGATAGATAAGGCTCGCGCGACCGCATGATTGGGATTCGGGAAGCCTCACCATCGGAAGCAGCGACGAGAAAATCGAGCCGCTTGAATCATAGCGGCGTGTTCTCTCTTTTTTTGCTGTGTGCTGATTCGGCGCACTTGCACTTGCACTGTAGGGCGGGGCCAGCCGAGAGGACGTCCGGGGTTGTTGTTCTCCGATCTCGTGGACGAAGCTTAAATTTCTTCTTCTTCTCTTCCGGTGTGTGGTGATTTTATTAATTTTTTGTTTATCTATCATTCCAGCGCGTCTTGGGGGGTCTGGGATTGGGTCTAGAGTGGTTCGTGCCAAGAGGGGGGGGTTGTATATAGCTGTTTGTTTGTACGCTCGTTCTTTGCTGGATTGTTTTGTTAGGATTGATATCGGTGACGGTTTGCATTGAGTTGACTTGGTTGTTACAGCACAGCATCATCACCATCTCGACAATTAGGTTCCATATAAACCTCACAGGTGCTTCTCTTCAATACGGATAATATGGCTGTAACTATCGATGATGGACCACAGGATCTTCCTGATCAGATCACGGCTTCGAATTCCGAGAGCTCGCCAAAGCGGTCGTTTGGAGAACAAGTTCAGCATATCGTCAGGGCTTTTACAACAAAGCAAGGCTTGATTGGGACATATGACTATGGTAACTGACTGCCTCGCGGAAACTGACAAGGAGGGCATAGCTAAAATTGGACTTTAGCTTTCCTCTTCAAACCGAACTTGCCTTTTATCAAAAAGTCTAAGCGCAGAGCGCCTTTCTTCGGGCTTCAGGATTCCATGCCAGTATTTCTATCGCTCCTCTTGGGATTCCAACATGCACTCGCTATGCTAGCAGGAGTCATCACACCACCGATAATCATCGCCTCCGCTGCCGCCTTCGACACAGATATCACGCAGTACCTCGTCTCGACCTCGCTGGTCGTGTGCGGTATCTTGTCCGCGGTGCAGATCACGAGATTCCACATCTACAAGACGCCCTACTACATCGGCACCGGCTTAATCTCCGTGGTCGGAACTTCGTTTGCTATCATCCCCGTCGCGACTAAGGGACTGAGTCAGATGTACAAGAATGGCAAGTGTCCTTCGGCAGCAGACGGCACGCCGCTCCCCTGCCCAGAAGGCTACGGTGCGATCCTCGGGACGGCGTCGCTGTGCGCGCTGTTGGAAATTGGACTTTCGTTTATGACTCCTTCGCTGCTCAAGAAACTGTTCCCGCCGATTGTCACTGGGCCTACGGTGACGCTGATTGGTGTCTCTTTGATCCAGACTGCGCTGGAAGGCTGGGCTGGTGGGAGCGGGAGCTGTTTGGGGCGCCCGACGAGTGGTGATTATATGCTCTGTCCGTCGAATACTGGGGCGCATGCGTTGCCTTGGGGGAGTGCTGAGTTTATCGGTCTTGGATTTTCGGTTTTCGTTACGATTATCATCTGTGAGAGGTTTGGGTCGCCTATTATGAAGTCTTGTAAGTTTAGCTAGCCCACTGTGTGAGAAGCAGGAACACATACTAACGATGTTCAGTGAGCGTTGTGCTTGGACTTCTTGTCGGGTGTATCATCGCAGCTGCAACTGGCTATTTTGACAAGTCCTCTATCGATGCTGCGCCAGTCGCCTCTTTTATTTGGGTCCACACGTTCCCGCTCTCGGTTTACGGCCCTCTCATCTTGCCTATGCTAGCAGTATATCTCATCTTGATGATGGAGGCTATCGGCGATATCACCGCGACGTGCGATGTCTCAAGATTGCAAGTCGACGGAAAGCTCTTCGACTCACGCATCCAAGGCGGTGTCCTCGCTGATGGTCTGAACGGGATGCTCGCCGGACTTTGCACGATCACACCCATGTCGACATTCGCACAGAATAACGGGGTGATAGCTCTCACTCGCTGCGCAAACCGCAAGGCTGGCTACGCTGCTTGTTTCTTCCTGGTAGTCATGGGCGTCTTCTCCAAATTCGCGGCTGCACTGACAGCGATCCCAGCATCCGTATTGGGAGGCATGACGACTTTCCTCTTTGCTAGTGTGGCTGTTTCCGGTATCCGTATCATATCGACCGTGCCGTTCACTCGACGAACACGTTTCATCCTCACGGCTGCTATGTCCTTGGGTTTCGGGGCCATCTTGGTGCCGGATTGGTTCACTTACGTATTCACCTATACAGGGGATAACAAGGCTAAGGCTGGGTTCTTGGATGCTATTGTGTTGGTGCTGGAGACTGGATTCGCGGTCACGGCTTTCATAGCTGTCATCTTGAACTTGATTCTCTCCGAGGAGGACGAGGCGGAGGAGACTGAGAGCTTGGCGGGTGATTTGGTTGAAAGGGACGAGATTGAGAATAGATATGCTGGAAAGGGAGTTGAGACTCACAGTGGACCTTCAACAAGGCCCGATAGTGGAAGAACTGCCGCCGGGGAGTCGAAGAATTAAAGAGATTTATGAAATATTTGTAGATATGGAAATACAAAAGGGGGCGGAGTTTGGGGTATATATTTTCAAGAAGCTGTATATACGTAGCAAGAATATATCATGACATGGCTAGAATCTTTTGATGCAATTCTCTGGTGCGAATAGTTCTATACGAAGGCAGACGTTGTGTGCAAATTGAATAGTCAAAGTCACGTTGATATTTAGGTTAGATGATTCAGATGCGATCAGAGACTCCCCTGAAACAAGCGAAAGTCTGAAGGAATCAATCAGCCTATCAAAATCCCAAAGAGGAATAAAAATAGAGTCTTATGTAATGTAGTGTAAGGCAGGGTTCTTGTAAACAGCTACTCGGGCTCGGAAAGTTGGGTGGTGGGTGTGGGCTCAAAGGCAAAGGCATGCCAAGCCGATGTATTGCAGCTATCGGCATGCCGGGGACACGGAAGCGTCGAATCAGATAACAGTGTGGCTTGACGTACTTACCGTAAGCGTCGTACAGTATAATTAGAAGAGACGCCCGGCATTACAGTATTTCTTCGTCCCGATTGCAAACGGGGAGACGGTGCAATCTCCGGAGCTGCGAAGCTAGAAAGTCTTTGAGCTTGGCAGGGAAGGAGGGCTTCGCTTCTCACCCGAAACTTGCTCTTGCCCTTGCCCTTGCCCTTGCCTTGAGCCTTGAACTTGTTATGACTTGAAGTTGTTGGAACTTGATCTTGTTGGAACTTGAACTTCTTGGATCATTGGATGCATGCAAATCATGCGATATGCGATATGCGATATGCGGAAATGGCACGAAAGTATGACGCTCTTGGGCGCAGACTCACATCATCATAGATCTGGACCAAGATCTGAGCGCATGTCTCTACCATCGGCAAAAGACGTGGCCACCATTCCCTCTCTTCTTCCACCACCGCTGCCCTCCCCCTTTCTCTCTTGCATGTACATACGAGCGAGCCTGAGCTGAGGGGAGCCACGCGTCTTGATCTCGATACCGTAATAGTCTCAACGTACTAGGTCATCATGCCAAGAATTGTTAACACATTATGATTATTTCCCTCTCCAAGAAGAGCAAACGGAGAATAGGACATCCCATTTCTCCGTGCAGACAGGCAAGAGCACTCGATGAGGTCTAGACTCTCGAGCAGGCAGGACTGCACTGCACTGCGCCACAGTACCTTACGGAGGTGAAGACCACCGAAGACTGGCGTGCGTGGGCGTGGACTTCACTACTGGGTGGATGCGCTGAGGAGTGAGGAATAAATCCAGTGAGGGTAAGGCCACCGGGGCGCGCCGTGAGTGGCGAGAGGAGGAGTGGAGAGAGGAAAAGAGAGGTTATTGGTACCAAACAACCCCAGCATCGATTCCAGGGTCCAAGGGTCCCTCCCCTTGATGTGAGGACCCCTAAAATGCGATGCCATGGCTGCACATCGTATGCGGCGGCGGGGGTCTTGAAGGTGAAGGTGAGGGTGAGGGTGAGGGTGAGGATTAAGATTCGTGACACTGAAACTTACTCGCACTTACTGTCAAACAAGCAAATACAAGCCTGTAAACAATTATATCTACATATCATAATACGATACTGTACAATCAATCACTCAATCAATCACATTCCATCCCCCTTTCTCCTTTCTGCCGCACAATAAGAAATAGAGTTAAATAAACCCCCATCATCTCGACCCTCTTTCTTCTTTCATTCGCGGTTCCTTCGCTTTGTCCGTCCCGTGGTGGCCCCATCAAAGAGACGCCTGCGCGCTTTGGGCTTGGCTCTGCTACTGCCGCAAAGTATTCACTGTAACAGTACTACTGCCCTGAACATCCCTCTCGATCCCAATCCGTGCTCCTCCCTCCACTTCCTTCCTTCCTTTTACTTTCGACATCAAACCTACGCAAGAACCAGCAACGTCACACGTGCATTTTCGTTCTTCCCTCTAATCCCTTTTTAATTCTCTTCTTCGTCACTCTTTAACATCCACTTCATGTACATTGTTTGGTAAAAATCCCCACTCCTATTCGCCTACTCACATCTTCTCCTATTCACCCAACAACGTCCACACAAGAGAACCGGCGCTGACTGTTTTTCCCTCTTGCAGCACATAGACAGCACATCCAGTGCCTTTTCTTCCCTCTTCACGCATCATGTCTGCCTTGATCGAACCCTACCGCGAGCTCCTCGAGGACTATTACGAAAGCTACTCTGAGCAATTGCTGGACCAAATCACAAAAATTTCTACTACAACATGCACGTCTACCACCCCCCTTGCCCTGGTCTCTGCTAATACCTAATAGACATACTCACAATTCTGGCCATCTGCATACCTCCAATAATCGCCCTCATAATCTATGAAAACGAGCAAGCGAAGCTCCGTGCGGAGGAACCCAAGGGATGTCGGAAACTTGGCCTGAAAATCGAGAGCAATCTACTCAATGAGTTCGACAAGAAGTTCTCTGAAGGACGACCCCCGAGCACTGAGGAGACGTCTGCAGAGTGGTGGAGGTTGAAAAGCTTGTGGATCTACCCGGTGAAAAGCTGCAAAGGTGTGGAGCTGAATAGGGGGGCGGTGATCTCAACGGGAATGGAATACGACCGCCAATTTACGTTTGCTCAATTGAAGAGCCCCGTCCCCGTCACTTCAAATACCCCGGATAAAGAGAAGGCTGCACACAAGTGGTCGTTCATCACGCAGCGACAGTACCCTTTGTTGGCACGGGTGAGAACTGAGATGTGGGTTCCGGATCAGAGCGTGGATACCTATACTCCCCATGGGGACGACGTTGAGAGTGGAGGTGTGGTCATTATGAGTTTCCCATACCAGGAGCCGGGTTGGAGAGGTACTGTGGCCAAGTGGGGTGCTTCAGTCATGGGAAAGGTGCCAGAGAAGCATTTCAGAGTGCCATTCGACCCTTCCCCTGTCCAGATTGAGAAGGCAGGCTACTCGTACGAGAACATGACTATCTGGAAGGAAACGGTCAGCGCCCTGAACTTGGAGATTGACATTCCCGAGGAGCTCAGATATTATTTGGGTATTAGCAACAAATTGGGCTTGTTCAGAATCGACAACGCAAAGTTACGGGAAGTACACCGGAATGCGCCTAAGAAGTCTGAGCTGGGATACCAGCCAGTGACTGGATTCCAAGATGCTGTATGTTCACCCCACTCCCCTGTTCTCAAGAATCCTGCTAACACCCCTAGTATCCACTCCACCTCATCAACTTGGCAAGCGTTCGCGACGTAGAGCGCCAAATGCCCGCCGTCAAAGGTGCTCCCCGTCTCTCAGCTGCGCGCTTCCGTGCCAACCTGATCATCACTGGCCCCGACGCCTACCTCGAAGACACCTGGCGCCGGATCAAAATCGGCTACTACGAATACGATGTCTCCGCCCGCACCGCCCGTTGCAAGATGCCAAACGTAGACCAAGTCACAGGAGAACGACACCCTAGCGAGCCCGATAGAACGTTAAGGAGTTTCAGGTCAATCGATGAGGGAGCGGGACCTAACGTTGGATGCTTAGGCATGCAAATGGTTCCTATTTCAGTAGAGAGCGCGCTGAGGGTTGGAGACGAGGTCACGGTTTTGGAGACCGGAGAGCATCACTACATTCACCAATGAGCGTTCAACTTGGTGGCGTTGAGGACACGGATTCATTGATTGATGGTTATTGCAGCGCATGCACTCAGGTGCAGGAACAGCACATTAGGCGAAACGGTATATGTGAATGAGGATACCCCCCTACGTACTAGGTTACATTTTTTTCTTTACGTATCTTGTCATTGCGTTGCATGAAATGGGCTACGGGCAGGGCAAAGAAGACACCTAGAAAAAGTTGTAATAAGAATGACGGGCTCCTTTTTTCAATTTTTTTTTTTTTTTCTGGCAATGCTTATGCGCATGCAGTATGAAGCTTCTTCTCCTTCTTTTGTCTCACTGGGTTGGCGTTTAGTAGAATGTGGGTAGTTGCAGCATAGCATAGCAGGCAATATAAACATGCATTGCTGTTTTTTGACAACTTCTGAGAGTCTTTTAAAAGGGTATCTGCGTGAACTGAGGAGGCACTTACTGGTGAATTCTACGTAGTTAAGTAAGTTTCATTGCTTTGCTTTTACAGGGAAGAGAGAGGGAGAGGGAGAGAGAGGGTTGATACTGTAGCACTTTTTCTATAACCCTACCTCCCTATTCTCCTATTCTTTATTTACACCTTTCTTCCCATTTACTAACTACCACGTCTATCCCGGGGGCTCTTACTGTAACATTCCTTTTTCTTTTTTTTCTTTTTCAAAATCAGGTCAGGTTGGTCGAGTACGGCTCTTGTATGTATGTGTTTGCAGATTATGTTAGAAGGGGGGATGAAATACGTGGGAATAAAGTCGTGTGTGTGGGTGGCTCTTCATGGGGCGATTAGAGGGAAGGAAGGGGTCTATTTGTGTGTGTGTGTGTGTGCTGAGGTCGGGTTGGTGTTGTTTGTATTGTATTGTATTGTATCTATTTATCCACTCCTGTTTCTTGTCTTAGCGGTTTACTATTAGCAGCCTTCTCTACTCCACTTCCCTTCGTGGAAGTAGTAGAAGAAGAAAGAAGGTAAGGTCTCGAGTTTTAAGGAGGATTGTGGTAGGGTGTTTTATAGGAGGTCTCTGCTGGGTGGGGTTTGACTAGGTTGTTGAGATAGGTAGGTAGGAGGTTTTGAGTCATGTGAATATTACTTGCTAACTCTTGATCGAATGGTTTGTTTGGGATTTTGGGGGGGGGGGAGGGCGGGAAGTGGGGTAGACGTAGGCTTGATTGACTTATCTTTGATGGTATGGGGGCAATGGGATAATATTTGGAATACTGATATATCTTGAAGTCACGCAGAGAGCGAGGTGTGTATATCAGTGTGTATATATGTGTATATATGTGTATATCAGTGTGTCTTTTGCTACACTCTCCGCTTTGTTAAAGTGGAGCGAGTGAATGAGTAACCATCCCCAGAAAGCAGATAGTTCGATATCGAAATCTCGACATAAATGAGCAGTTTCTATTTCCATCTTTGGACGGCATCTGAGCTCATGCTGTTATAGCCTGAGCTGTAGGTGAGCCGACCTGAGCAAGTGAGTTCAAGGAGGTGAGTCGTTTGGACACCTCGGCTATAACCTGTAGTTGACTAAATTGGAAGAGGTAATGAGGGTTCGTGGGAGACCGTTTCTGGATTCCTGTTCGCAAGAGCCGCCCCAACGACCCCCTAAGCTCGCAATATCAACCCCTGGCTAAGCGAGGGTTTGATTTTACGACATAAGCGAGCGGCGCAAGGGTTCCTCTCGAGGCTCCCAACTCCATCACATCCTCTTCTTCGGTGATGCTCCTCATCTCAAGACAGAGCCCGGTCGCTTCTAAGCTGCTCAAGATAATACGCCGACGAGAACTATACTCTCAATCAGGGACAACAAGGAGTCTCTCGATAACATGTCGCGGTGTGTAAGATCTATTGATCTGTTGCATTGCGGATACTAAATCTGTTCAGGAAAGCCAATTGTCCAAGAGGATATAGCTTTGCTTCAGAAAGCTGCAGATCTCATAGACAGACTTGAATCCTACCTTTCACCCGAACAGGATTCTCGACCCACCCTCTAGCATATAGATCTTCACATAGGCAGCATCTTTGTATCGGAAACAGAACCTTCAAAGATCGTTTCTTAAATCGATTGACAGTCAATCTCAGAGTCATCGTTCTTTCTACACGCTCGTTGGCCTGTATTCCTCAAATCTCCTGATGACTATATCAAAGGTTTCGTCCACCCTTAACTCCCCAGCGACTTTGAAGCAGTGGACGAAGACGACAAAGAACTGGCCACGTAAAAATTCAAACAAGCTTCGAGGGCCAAAGCGTACGCGACTAGCACCTACCTCAAGAACCGCAACGCTTACAATGCCATGAACGTTCCGCGCGTATTTCGAGAGCTTTTCATTCGCTGCGGAGAAGTTTTCGAAGAAGGCGTTCAGCCTCTCCGAGCCTGCCTCATCGAAATCTCCCAATCGTGAGAGGGACTCAAGCTGCCAAGAACCTGTCCATTCTCTTTTACTCCCAATGAGATCAGTGCACATGGAATTTTATTCGAAGAATTCGAAGAGTTGCATCGAGTGCGGGAATTTGCTTTGGAGTATTTGGATACGGATTCGGAAGGTTGGATAGCGCCAGCGATGGATTCTGACGAGAAACAGGCGCAGGACAAGGCTCTGTTTGAATACTACTTGGGGGATTTGGCGGGTGGGAAGAGCAGGGAGGAGTTGCTGCGAATCTGGCCCTTCTCCGAATCATTAGATTGAGCTAGGCAACGCCCGCTGTCGCGGCAATTGCCTTCTGTTGTGCTTTGGGTGTTTTTGCAAGGGTTGGTATGAGGGACTGTTATTAGTCTTGGTAAAGTAGGTAGTGAGCGTCTGTATGGAATTGTATCAACAGAACGGTAACACGAGGGTCTTCAGATGATCATGACTGAAAGTAGCAAAATGAGTCCAAACTTATTGATAGTTAGAAGAGAAAGTACAGAGACGATTGCTTAAATGTTGGGGTTATTAATGAATTTATTTCAATAGCTACATTGACTCTGCTGTAATTGAACAGAGTCTGACTGTGACTGGTACGAGGTATATAAAATACTTAAACGTCAATCTGGTGACATTGTGGGACGGCGATGCTGGCAGTCAGCCATGGCCAAATGAAATTCCCGACCTCAACCTCGACATCAATTTCGATCCTTCTGCCTGCGCCTTGTCCCACCTTTCATACAACAAGAGTCATATAATTGGCTCATCACATATACGGCGGTGCGTCTTTATAGGCGTAATATTCAAGAAAAATAAATAAATCAAAGGGGTTGAGATAAAATTGAGGAGACCATTCTTAACTTGATCTCTTGAAGAGGTTACAGTCAAATGTCAGCGCAACAAAAGCCTCTCTTTCCTATGCCCCTCACGTGAGAAAGTCTTCAGTTCTCAAGTCTACCAACTATTAAGTTTTCTAACTTGGCCACGTTTTCTTGGTAAGAGAGAATGCAGACCATAAGAAAAGTAATTTGCACCTGGTGTGGTATCACATGGTCCGAAGCAGGTAACTAGAAATCAGCTGTCAAGTTTGAAAACCGAGTTCCGAGGTGATGTCTTGCCCTGAGTTGATCTATACTTATACCGGCAACGATGTTGATAGTCAGTACCCTCGCAAGGATTCACCGCTTTTGTTGTCCCCATACCATACGTCAATACTTGTCTAAAAATGGCATACATATATGTGAATAGCCATGCCGTTACTATCCGCCGAAATTTCTTGCAGCTCTAGGAAAAAAGGGATGTCATTTAGTTTTTCATGTTGTAGAGTTAAGCTTGGCAGTTTTGAGAGGGGTATGGGGGTATTCGCAAAAATGTGTTATTGAAACTTCGAGAGATTACTGCAAGGGGTATGGGCCACAGTTCCTTTCCAATGAGTATAATCTCCAACTTAACAAAAGCCTGCTCTTCTTGGAAATGGGTCTCCTTCGCAATAATCACCTGCAGAAGGTATATGCCCCGCAGATCATTGAAAGGAAGAAGCACGTGCCGTTTGGGTTATTCGCAAAGTGGCAAATATAAGCGCACCAACCGCAGGAAACAGATAATCAAGTTACAGTAGGCTTCTGTAGATGGGTTTTCTGTAAGCAAGGAGAGTCGTGCTTGCTCGTTACAGCTTCAGCCCTATCGGTAGACGAAACAAATACTTGCCTAGGAATGACAAGTGGTTTAGTCAGTACTTCTGACTTGAGACTTCCCTGATCTAGATATGACAGACGGAATGGAAGTTTTTAGGACAAAAAGCCTGTGTGATGAGATCGCATGGGAGGTGGCCCGGTCCGCTGAATCGGCGTTCTCCCCACGCTTAAAGTTACCCAATGCGTATGTGGGAAACAGGTCATAGATTCCGTAAGCAACTGTACTGTACAAGTATGGCCAATAAAGTAAAGATCTTTACAAGTAGGACTGAGAGACAGAGAAACGGGTAAGAGCACTCGCATTTAGGCTGAATACCAATTGTGACTCTAGTCATTAGAAGCATTCAAAGTCATTCGAAGTGGCGTACGGCATAGAGATATCAACTGCATACTTGCATGGTGGGGAATGCTTTAGACCATAAGCCTGCATGCTTGAAGAGGGATTTATGGAGGGGCTCAGAGTAACCCTCTGGAAGAAGCCGAGATCGATGCAGAAGAAACCATGTAAGAAAGGACATTAAACAACACAAAATGATAGACAGACATGCAGTAGCCACGTAATATGAAATTGATTTCTACTCAAAGCGGGATCATGAATTATGCCGACTGCCAAGATAGGAAGGGCGGTGTCGAGATTTGAGCATTCTAGAGCTTTTGGCTCAGCTCATTGTATTGACGTGTAACCTGTGGCTTGAGGAACGGTATAATCGTTGGCTTGTTTGTGTAGGGACCACTCGTGGCGCGTCAACAGATGCAATAAGACAGGCTTTAAGCGCAATATTTCGAGTAGCTGCAGTTTGCAAAGCTATAGTACCATTTTGATATCATAGAATTGTCTGGTGAAACCTAGCTAGTTCATTCGGAAGGCTTACTGGAGGATATCTGGGAAGACGAAAGCTTGTGGAACAGCAGCTTGTGTGCGGGAGCCGGACAGCATGGATTTGCAGTGCTATTCATGAGCTTGCAGAGTAGTAGAATAGTGATAGACATCTGAATATCTGTCGCCAAGGTTCCGGGGATTCTGAGGAAGGTTACGAGGCTTCTGAGCGAATAGGGAAAGGGTGCCGTGGACATAATTTCGAAGTTTGAGAATAAATCCGAGAAGTTTATATACGCCCAAATACAATACGGATGTGGAAGCCTTTGTTCCTCCACGATTTGTATGCAACAGGAGTATAGAATCAGTCATATTCCCAGGTGTGTTGTGCTTACAAAGCCTCACAGACCATTCGAAGTCTGGCCATATTTGTCAAAAGAGCCGTGCTAATCTGTAGGGGGCAGCGATCGACAAGATTCCGACCCGGAATCCTGGGTTTTGGCAAGGACCCGCCATCGCAAGATTCCAGATATGATTACCGTAAATTGTAATCTAACATCACTGTACTGTGCGGTTGTAATGTTTAGGCAGAAAGGATACTGGATCAGTGATAGGTACTTTAAGATTTAAGGTTTGTCTGTACTCGCCTTCACTACTCCGTAGATCTTAAACCCCCACCTATACTGTTTGTGGTCGTCCTTCTCTACTGCATCAGGATAGTCCTCCGACCCTTTCTTCAACTCTCGCAGCGCGCAGTATCGGCATCTTCCAAGCCTGCACCAGTGGAAAGATATCGAATGCTCGCCTTATCTGCCGGTGTGTAGGTACTGTAGGTATATTTGTGCATTCGTTTGGTCCCTCGATTGTTTGATCCTCGGCGCATACAGTGTCTCCTTTAGCCGCGTACCTGCCTGCCCATCGAAGTGAAGACTCGGAAACTGCCAGGATATCATCTCTGATAATAAATACAGGGTAATTCTCGGTCAATAGACCCTTGCGGGGCGGAAGTTGTTGCGGCTTTTTGTCCTGGCCTGGCCAATATCGAGGAATGCCTCATCTGGATCCTTTCATGTCTCCGTCCACTCGGTCTGGTCTGTCTTCGTAGGATGCATCCAGCCAACCCGTCCCTGTCCCCAGGTCGATCACGCTGGGACCCTAGCCAACCCGCCAACAGGGTGCTGCGATTCGTACAGTATGGGAGAAGCCTACTTCTATATTCCGCGTTCTATGGAATAATAAACCCCGCAAGTCTGGATCAAGCCTGCATTCTGGGAACGCCTCTAACTGCTTTTTGCTCCCTGATGTGAAAGCCTATTTCTTGCTGCAGCACGACGGATTCAAAGGTACTCAGTCGTATTGGCTGGACCTGCAGTGAGTGCTGATTTCTTTTTCCTCCAGCATGCATCGAACGGCGCATTTATGATGCATGCATGGCGAGCTGTCAGACATTGTCTCGTTAGCCCGGCCCATTCCATCTTCCATCTAGTGTCTTGATGTTGTCTTGAAGCGAAACGTTGGCTGGTTATAGAGTGAACACTTCGTCTCCGAACCTATAGTAGTTTTGTAAGAACCTGCCTATAAATACGAATTATAAGCACGGTACTTGTCGTTTGAGGATATTTTGGGTGCTGATCATGGACCGTCTGGCACTCTGACCCTGGCCACGACTCTTTCCCTGCTATCTGCCGCTTTCTGCACAGACTTACTTCCGTCAAAAGATTATGGTACGCTCCCTACAGTACAGGCTTTGCATGTACCCTAGTCAGCATCCCTTCCATCCTCTGTCATCGACATCTCTTTAGAATCTTCAGATGTTAAGGTCCAACCGCCACTCTTGTTAAGTGAGCTCAATCGATTTCATCTGTTTGTAAGACCGGTGTTCGGGCAATCTATCTCTAGGTCAACTCCTCTCTATTGCCGCCACAGCAGAGTCCGGCCACAATTGCTTTCTTCCCTTGTTGATCGACGTTCGGCTTACATACACGATACATGCCACTTCTTCGAAGAAAAGCCCAGTGCTCATCTGAAGTTGCTATATATCCTCTGCGTGCGGGATATATTTGCAGAAGCTTGCAGCTCAGCGCTGCAATCCGATATCTTGACGAGAGAAATAATGGAGTGACCAACAGGATCGAAAGCACTTTAGATTGGATAACCATACTGTTTCACTTTAAAATCTTTACGCTGCTCAAATCCTGCCATCAGATCATCCCACCTAGTTAGTGAAGAACTTCATGGGCACCAACACGCCTTCTAAACGTTCCATAATTCCTCGGCCCTTCAACAAAAACCCCTGGATCTTGCAGGAACTCTGGCGTCCCTGTTTCTATCCACTATATTGGCACCGCTAAGGAAGGTGTACGGAGTAATTAGAAGTTCTATAGCTTCACGGGCGGCATTTGTGGACTTGTACCGCAAACGTTCCCCGGATACAGATCCGTCAGGCCCAAGCGCATCTTCGGAGTACAATCTTAGATCATCACGGTGGGGCGGCAACTTCTCGCGCTCGGGGGTTATACTGCTATTCTATTTGGATGACCAGAGGAGCCGGTCTATCGACTGACGAGGCTCAGAGCAGGGTTCAATTTACAAGGTTCGACTCAAGTGTCAACGTTCTTGTGTGCCTCTCCACTTCTAGTCGCTCTAGTGTCGTCTACAATTGCAAATCATCTCTGGGTCTCTAACGGCCAAACGACGTATTGCACTCACTTGAGGTTAGTAGGAGGCCGTGAGCGCTGCTAGGGTACTGCGACCTCTGAGCATCTCTGGATACTACTTTGAAGTATCATTTGCCGCGAGTCTCTTTTCAGCGGCTGGAACAACATGGATTACAATCCTCAAGTGCCCGCACACAGTATCGACACTTCACCACACCCCACGGCTCCTTCCGAAGGTGGCACTGAAAAATCTGCCTTACGACCTCCCAAGCAGCTGAGCTCCGCGAGCTCTTACACAGAATTGAACTTTCTTTTTGGCGTTCAGGACCCCACAATGGAGGTCCCAAAGCCCACACGGAACCAAAAAAGGCCCAGTCAAGGCACTGACCATACAAAACATCGCAGGACGCGCTCTGGTTGCTATACCTGTAGGAGTAGGCGGGTGAAGGTATACTACAGTAGACCTCCCCCACTGAAAATCATTGACTTATCTATTCCAGTGTGATGAAGCCCACCCGATTTGTGAAAGTGAGTAACAAATTTTGCTTATTCAACTTCGGACTAACCGGTTATCAATTAGGATGTAGGAAAGGTGGCCGAGATTGCGTCTATCCAGAACCTTCAACGTCGAGCAAATCTTCGCGTAGTAGTGGTTCGTCCAAGCGCTCTCAGACCGCAAACCGTGAAAGCCCTGATTCATCATCCGATGACGATGAACATGAAGATGAAGGAATAGAACGTCTAGAGGCCATACCCGATGAGGATGAACGTCTTCAATCAGGCACATCCACAATCGAATTCCAAAAATCCGGTACTGGCCATTCTTCGAAAGACCGGAAAAGCACTACTCGACATAGCTCTGAGACTCCATCTTTAGTGCAAGACAAAGGAACATCACCTACCCCCTCTGAAGGATCTGTGGGTTATGCCCCTCAGGTGTTGAGTGACTGGCGACTCAACAAACCAAGTTTCTCTCCTGCTGCTTCAGATAAAACCGATTGGTCGTATTTGCCTGCAGATATTCAGTTCTATCTTGCCTACTTCTGTGAGAATATCAGCCACCTGCATTACTCACTCAAGTACGACTCGGAGGACTTCATGAGAACTCAATTTCTGGACGTGGCGCTCGAAAACGAAGCGTTACTCTACGCAATTGTAGGTTTCTCGGCCTTTCAACGAACACTGCATAATCCCCAAGGCAAGATCCAGGACTTCCTTCAGTACTATAATAAGGCAGTATCCTTGCTTCTTAAATCGTTGAAGAAGGGAGAAAGACACAGTATTGGAACATTACTCGCGATCTTACAACTAGCTACTATTGAGGTGAGATTGAAGGACTTCCTGGCTTGTTTCAAATCTAATGCCTAACAGGAATTTCTTGGTGACTGGATTAATCTACTTGGCCATCAAAAAGCCGCCTTTCAATTGCTCACACAATTATACACACCAGAGACTGTGATGCAAAGCGAGATGCCGCGAATCATATTGGGATGGTACATGCGATTCGACGTCTTCGCAGGGCTTATGGGAGGATTTGAAACTGTTCTATCCAGGGAATGGTTTTCTTCTACCTATGAATTTTTCCAGCGCCAGATTGAAAGCGAACCAACACGCCTAAAATGGAAAATTGAAGCATCAATCGCAAAACATCGTCTCGTCGCTACCGATATGTCCTTACTCCTTGTGAGGATGGGGAAAGGTGAACTATCAATAGAACAGTTCATGAGCCAGAATGCCGAGATTGGCAGAAGAATTCAAGAGTGGAAGACCAAAATGGACCCTGCTCTCCAGGATAAACGCTTTCTAGTGACAAACTTTTCGGGAGCCCGACCTCGAGACCCGAATAGCATCGTTGACCCCTACCTGCCAGACATTATCTATAGTGGCCCACTGTGGGTGATGAACATCGCTACGATTGACGTAACCCGCCCCCTCTTTGTTACTCTATATATGCTGTGTTAAGGCTCCCAAGAGCGTTTCATTTTCTCGGCTCTTGCTCTTTACAGGAAACGAAGTACTAATCCGTTGTAGTGCTTCTCTATTGATGTTATGCTCAAATATCAGACGGCCCTGATACTGAAGACTGAACCTGACGATGAACTTCAAAAGATAGCATATAAAACTTGCCAATTATTCGAAGCTCTCGAAAACTGGCCTGGAAGTCCGCCCGGCACAGTGATTGCTTGTCAAGCAAGTCTTGGGATTGCATGCCTGTTCCTCCCCAAAGACCATCATCATGCTATGTGGGCGCGGCGAAAATTTGCACTTATCGAATCGCATGGGTACGATATTTTGTGACCCTCTATCTCTAAGTTTCCATCTAATGAATCGCGTAGCTACATCTACCCATCTACCTTCCGAACAAAAATGGCAGATCTGTATCACGATAGGTCTTGCCTGCATTGGTGGCTCCCCAATGATGAGAACTATCCCCCAATAATACGATCAATTAGGAAGTTTGTGGAAGAACGTACAACACCTGCGAAGGATACTCTCAGTGGGGACCTGCGAGATATGAAAGCCATATTTGCATCCCTAAATATAGACGACGGCAAATCGAGTGTTCCTCCGGGTATCAAAAAGGAGGATGGCTCAAACAACGTGGCAGTTGCGTCAGAGGATTTTGGCAATATGGGTGGGATGGCCGGGGAAGGTGATACTTCTGGATATGGCTATCGTACTCAAACCGGTGGATCCTACGACCTCCACAAGTGAGGACCCACGCAGCCAAGACTTGCAGCCGAAACAAGGCGAAGCACGAATTACATGGGCAATGTGGAACGTTTAATGATGCTTGCTAAATATATGGCCACCGTATGGGGCTGTTTTAGCGATGAAGAAGTTCGACACATAGGAAGTAGTGGTCTGCCAAGGTCGAAGCTGAGAAACTGGCGAAAAGTAGTGGGCGTGAAGAGTCCACCTTTTTGGGCTCCTGGATTGGTCTGGACAGCCTGGGATATTTCAAAGACTTAGTGGAAGAAGCAGGTTCTCAACCTAACTTCCTTCCACGGAACGGCATGAGGTATGAAGATGGCCTTTGAGAACACCTATCGCTATATGGATTAATATTGCACACCATATGGTTGAACGCGGAAGCTTACACGCATCTATTTCGTTTGGGAGCCAATGCCAATGCCAATGAAATAAATGAGAAATGTCACATAGAAGCGGGCCAATGAGAGAGAGGAATAGAAATGAAATGAAGTAGATCGAACTGATATGATATTTCAACCTGGGGAGCCCTTATTCGAGTATGGACTACCCTGACGTACAGTATAAAATTTGGAAGACATTATTGCTTTATGCATGCTAAGAGTGTGGACAATATATAAGGGCTTTCATACAAAAAACTTTTCCCCTCATACAGTTCGAAAATCTAGTTCTGTGATTAGTACTGAGTAAAATATATTTGGTAGCTAAGTATAGCCTAGGCGCAGGCAAGGAAGCAAGGATGTGAAGTTCTGCAGTAGCTTAGTAAGCCAATCACTAGAGCCAAATAGGCACTGCAGCTTTCCCCATGCAACCACCAAGTTAAGATCACCATCTACAATTCGATATCACAGCCTCACATCACAAATCTGCGGATTAATTTTCGACCACAGCCTCCAGCGAACTTGTGCGATCTAGGGAGAATATAGTACACAACCATGAACCGGCCAGGTATGAATGTCAACGCTCTCTTGTTCCCACAGTCTGCCCCGCCGAATGCGAGCCAACAACGATGGCCTTGTTTGCTTTGAGATGAAGGAAATGGCACAAGGTTTTCCCTCTGCGCTCAATATACCCATGATACACTGGTCGGGGTTGTTCTCTACTCCAGCGATGGTCCATATCCCTTCCGGCGTGCGATCAACCCAAACCAACATATCTGTGAAAGCACGCGATCTGGCATTTGAGAAGTCTCTTGGTTACTTTGGAAAGGGCTCTGGCGTGCAGATGGACGGGCAAACACTGAAAATATATGATTGTCATCCCAGGACATTATCCTCAGCTTTACCTGGCCCCATTGCGCTTGGGTCGTCCATACCTTTTGCGCTTTGTGGTTCAAAGGTCCTTTTCATTCTAGAAGATCTTATACTGACCGGATATTGTAATCGTACAGCTGTTGGACCTCAATCCCTACGTGGCATACCAAACGGCTATTCAAGCCAGCAACAAATACCGCAAAACAGAAGTGTATCTGGCAGGCTACCTCCAACTGGAAAGATGGGTATGGGCCCTTAGTGGCTTTTAGATCAGGATAGTGAGCTGTGCTGACGGAGTACTTCGAATTTAGCCAGCAATGGAGCGAGTTGGGCGTTCGGTGGTGGAGTACCAATGGGCAGTACAGGCTTAGGAAACCCTCGACCAAATAATGGACCCACAACGAGCTTCGCACAAACTGTCGGTGGCTCGTCGCAGCCAGCCACTCCTCTGGACATAAAGTGAGTCTGTTGGCGGTTCTTTCCTGCCCCGAAAACCATACCGAATTGCTCCTATTTCCGAACTTCAGAACGGCTTTGTCCCGACCTAATTATCAGCCACGCCTGAATATAAACTGACTGACCTCAGTGAATTTCCTTCATTATCTAACAATCAACCTCAACCAAGCCAGTCAACTTGGGCGGCTTCTGGCAATCGAAATCTAGGACCTTCCGGAAGCATGCGTATGCAACAGCCGTCGCTATCATCGCAGCAGCAATTAAATGCCCAACAACAAACACAGCAGCAACAGGACGACCTCTTCAACTCCTCATCACAACTACCAAGCAGCCAAGGGGGGTTTATATTTGGAGCACAAAATGCTGTTGGGCAGTCCTCCCAATCCAGCATCGTTGACGAATTCCCTCCTCTCAATCGTAATGCAAACGGCGACATCGGCCAAGATCGAAACTCTAGCTTGATGCAAAACGTCGGGTTTGGTGCGCCATCAAATGGTGTGGGGTTCGGCTCTGCAAATCCTCCACAAGCAAATCGGACCAACGGTCTGTTGAATGCGCTTTCAGAAAGTAGTCGAGCTCCTCCAGGGAACCGTATTGCATCGCCGGGAAGTTTATCAGGTAAGCGTTCGTAGAGAAACAAATAACTTTGAAATTCACTAACAATTATGGCAAAGGTGTATCAAGTTCACGATCTCCAATCGAAGGCGGTCGCCTGGGTTTAAGTGGCGTTGGAGAGGACGCAAGCGTGAGTGTGACCGGATTAATTTTAATTCAATCAAACATCCGACTAACAACACTAGAACTTCTCAAACGCCCGATACGACGCGTTAATGTTGCGTGATGAAGGCACACCGCATCCTACAATGAGTGCAGGAGCCAATTCGCGGCTAGATGGCGCACAGCATCAACTTGATGGAGCCGTCCCACGGTCGCAGACGGTCGATTCAGGTGCTGAGCCATCACGAAGCAATGGCGAAGATTCTGGGCCTGTAGTGCTAGATCCTTTAGCAAACATGGGCGAGATTGACAAATGGGGCTTGAAAGGGTTTTCGTTCATGATGAATAACTACCCAGACTATGCCGGTCTTGTCAGTGGTGTCAACATTGGGAATCTTGGATTTGATCTGAGCTCGTCGGAGTAAGTCGCTAGCTTATTTAAATGGCTTGCTTGTTTGCGTTCTGAATTCACTAACTTATTAGACCATTCTCCACGCAATTATACTCATTATGGGACAATGAGCCTAGCAGACCTACGATTCCTCGCTTTTCCATACCTGAGTGCTATCGAGTACTGAACGTTGCTAAGGTGGATACGAAAATCCAGAACTTCAACGACGAAGCCTTGATATTCATGTTCTACAGCAATCCAGGGCATGAGGACCAGGTCAGGGCCGCTCAAGAGCTGTAAGCATTGTTCCCCCCTACTCTTTTAACAAGGGCTTACAAAAGGAAATCTTCAGTCACAACCGGAATTGGCGTTATCATAAGAAGTTACAGCAGTGGTTGACCAAGGATGATATGATGGTTCCCCAAACGTTGGGCAATGGCACGGAACGGGGGTACTATATCTTCTTCGATATCAAACAGTGGAGCAGAGAACGTGTGAGTATTTGATGTCTGGCTTGGTTAATTAAAATCCAGCTAATCACGCTTATAGCGAGAACTCACTTTGGTTTACGACGACCTAGAGAATTTGCCTAATAACGGTGTTAGAGGCCCTCTGACATAGGCCCCAATAATACAAGCTGTTCTATGCGTCAAGCATCCTTGTTTCGAATATTTCCATAGCTGTCTCGCTACTTATGCTTGTGAATGCGGGTTAAAAACGACAGAGCGGATGGCGTTTACTCTGTGGCACAACTCGAATGGATTAGCTGGACTCGGTCTGTGGGCGTTCTGCAACCCGGCGAGGTTTGCATAGTGGCTACTTATAGGGGGGTTTTTTTTTTTTGCCAAAACGACAATGTCGTGTTTCATAGCTACTGAGGAATTCAGAACTGATATTTCGCTCCCTAACTCTCAAAGAAGTGACGTTCTTGCCAGCCTCGCCAGCTTACATATCAATAAACATTTGCACGTGATGTCGAGTACTATCATTTCGGTATCTGTGTGACAGAAGCAACCACCACCCTTGCATCGCAAATACCAGTATCCCAGGTCATTCGATGAGCATTGTTTCTTCACGGTGCTTGAAATCACCTGTTTCAAAAACTAGCATCGGCCACGCAGCTTGGCTCACATCTATTACCGCGCTCGAAAACTAATCCAAAACTAAATCCACTGCGGCCTAATCCTATAACATTTCCATCCCTCCCTCTCTCCGAACCACCTCACCTCACCTCACCTCACCACCATTCGCCATGGCTTCATCGGACCAAACCATAAACCTGCCACAGCTAATCCTAATTCTCGTCCTGGGCGGCCTCGCCATACGATACTTCTTTTCCAGCAACAGCCCTTCAACCGGGAACCGTGGTGCAACATCCGCGAACAATGTGCGGGCGCGGGAGGCGGACGTAGAACGCATACAGCAGATGTTTCCGCAGGTGTCGAGACGGAATATCATGTGGGATCTGCAGCGGAACGGGGGGAATGTGGTGGCGACGACGGAGCGGATATTGAGTGGGAGGGGGCTGGAAGTTGTGAGTACCCTTTTGGGGTTTTCTTTCTCCTTCCGTTTCGAGAAGTGGATTAGAAGTCTATGAGTTATAACTTGTGACTCTGTTTCATGAATCAACCTTAGATACATCCATACTATACTGTGCTGTTGAAAACTTGCTAATCAACACCAGCCTCCACAATCCTTCCAACCACCCCTCCCCTCAACAACCTCCTCCACCACCTCAACCACAACCCCCAAACCCGCGCGACCCCTGCAACCAGACCTCATAACGCGCTACAACCTGGGCTCCAAAATCAACAATCCACCAATAACAACAGACGAAGAAGAAGCAGAGCGAGAAAAGGAAGAGAAGAAACCGCAGGTGCAGAACTCGTCGTGGAGCGCGAATAAGGGCGAGAGACAGGCGCTGTTGCAACGGAGGAGGGAAGAGATGATCCTGGCAGCGAGAAGGAAGATGGAGGCTAAGGTTGCGGCGGAGGCGAGTTTGGGGAAGCAGGGTATATAGCCCGGGGGAGGGAGTGGGAGTTTGGGGAGTTTGAATGAATGATTGTTTGTTTGTTTGGGGTGGAGGGAGGAGGGAAGGTGGTGGTGTATGTACTGTATATCCCTTGTATAGCATGTCTATAATAGGAAATAGCACGGCACGGCACGGCACAGTACGGTACGGTGTGGTATGGCATGATTGATCGGGGAGTCCTCTCTACATACTGCATGTTTTTGGTTGCTATGCTAGGCGTTGGGGTTGAATGGATTTGCGTTTTTGAGTCATTGCTTCCTTACTTGCCTATCTACCTGGCAAAGAAAGTACCTATATCGGGCGCAAGAGCAGTTAGGCGGAACTTCTGCTGTTTCCATCTAAATCAACTTTTAATCAGTCTATAGCCATTTCCCGTAAGTGGTATGTTATGCTTCACGGTTCTCTTCTGTTAAAATATGTCACAAGAACATAGTTACCTGTAGAATTACAATCATCATAGAATAGAGTAAAGACGAGTGTCTATATTTTACGGGTTTTGATTTCTATCCTTTGCTTGTATGATCGCCATCTATAAACGCACCAAAAACTGGAAGCTTTCTTAGCATGTATCAAATCGCAGGAAGAAGAAAATGCAGTCTGATCATGCCACATCGATCTAAACCGCTCTACTAGAATCCTGAGCAAGACCCCAGCGGGCGTTTCTATCGATTCTCTCCATGCATAATAACCATCCATCCATCGACTCCATTATTTCATGACCTCTTCTACCCCAGATAAACTTCAAATACCCCTCACTTCGACTCCTCAGGCTCGACAATCTCATCGGGCTTCGTAGTCGGCTCCGCATCGGTCATCTCCTCGTCCTTGGTACCGTTCGCAGCAGCCTCTTGTGCCATGGCGGCTTTCTTGGCGGCTTCGGCCATCTCTCGCTTTCTTTGAGCCTCGGCGTCCTCGGCAGCCTTTTGTGCAGCACGCTCAGCCTCGACTTTGTCCCAGTAACGTTGGACGATGGGTCCTGCAACGGCACGGATCTCATCCATCTTGGCAATGTAAACAGCCTTTGTAGCGTCCTCGCCTTCGTCGTAGAGCCAGTCCTGTATTCAAATTAGCAATTTAAGTGTCGAAAGAATGACACAAGGAAACTCACCTCGCTAGCCTCAAGCTTGGCCTTCAGCTTCGTCTTCTCTTCATCGCTAGCGAAATCGGCGTATGTGTCGTCAATCTTGTTTCGCATCTCGTAGATGTAGGTCTCGAGTTCGTTCTTCTTCTCTTCTGTGTCAGCAACGAGCTTGTCTTCCATAATCATAGCCAGTTCTTTTTCGGCAGCGGCCGCCTTTGCGGTTTCCTCAAGGGAAGCAGTGCCCGAGATGATGGGGAGGTCGCCTTTTCGGACTTGCTTCTTGACCTTGCGAGTCTTTGGCTTGTCGTCGGTTTCCATAGCCTTCTTGGTTGTTAGCAAGTTTTCGTTCAGGCGAGGACGTTTCGTAGCATGCTCATCTTCGCTGGAAGGTTGAGACGGTACCACTGGATCGCGACGTACATCTGGGTCCTTCTTGTCTCCTTCCTTCTTCTCACTTTCTTTTTCTTCTGGGATTGGCTCTTCAACCTCCATATCTTCTACATAGTACCCAGACTCTACATTCAGAATTCCGTGCAAGTTCAGGCGTGCTTTAAGCTTGCAAACCATGAAATCGTCTTTCGAGTCCGCCTTGACGTTCTTGACAGAAAATCGACCGATCCAGGGGTTGGTCTTGCCTGGCAGTAACTCGGGCTGTGCGTATTTTGCCTCGAGGTTGAATGCCTCCTTGCGGTAGAAGGTGAGAATTTTGGTCGATGGCATCTGGTTTCCTCTGTTGAAAACTGTGAGGCTGGTATCCTCATCTGGAATGTCCGGAGATTTCTCCCATGTAAACTCGATTGGGTAGTTGACGATATCGTGGATGGCGAAGTCACGGACACGGAAGACGGGTGAGAGAATGGCGCAGCTGAAAGCACAACCTCTCGCAATAGCCTCATCTTGGTTGAGTGTGAAGGACAGAGTCTTGCCGAAGAACTTTTGGATACGTTCTTTGAGGGCTGGTACACGTGTGCAACCTCCGACGAGCTCAACGATATCGATGTCGTCCTTGGTCAACTTGGCCTCAAGCAAAGCCTGCTCGAGAGGTACGTGTACACGCTTGAGTAAAGGCTCAACAAGGGCTTCGAGTTCTTCGCGCTTCATCATGGTGGAAACATCGACATCGTTCATCAACGATTCAATGTTGATAGGCGCCTGCAGGTTGGCGGAAAGGATCTTCTTCAACTTCTCGGCAGCTGCGGCAACACGGACTACGGCCTTAGGGTTTGTCTTGATGTCAATCTTGTACTTCTCCTTGAACTCCGCAGCAAAGTGGTCCACTAGAGCCTTGTCGAAGTCGCGGCCACCAAAGTGACGGTCGTACGTAGTTGACTTGACAGTCAGTTCCCCTTTCTTGAATTCCACGATCGAGCAGGAGTAGTTGCTGTGCCCGATATCGATAAACGCCACACGCCTTGGCTTCTCCTCTGCTGCAGGCAGGTCGGTCTTTGTGATACCATACCCTAAAGCAGCTGCGGTTGTGTCGTTCATCAAGCGGAGAAGCTTGAGTCCGGCGATCTCGGCGGCATCCATAAGAGCTCTTCGTTGGATATCGGTGAACCAAGCCGGAACGCTCATGACTAGATCCGAGACTGGGAGTTTTAATTCTGCAGAAGCGGTCGCCTTTACCTTGCTCAAGAACATGGAGACAAGCTGGACGGCGGTGTATTTCTCCTTCTGGCCCATATATGTGACCTCCGCACTGACCTGTCCATTGATATCGACGAGCGGTGCAGAGACATACTGTTGTTCGATTTGGACATCTGGATCAGACAAGCTTCGCCCTGCTAACCGCTTCAAAGATCCGACTGTGTTCTTGAGATTGGAGATCTCTTGTGTCTTCGCAGGTTCGCCGAGGTATCGAGATTTGGGTCCAAAGCCAACTAAAGATCTAGAGAGATTGTAAGTTTTTTTGTTGAGAGCAAAGTAGGAGGTGGGATGGACAACTTACGGTGTAGCTCGATTAGAGACTTCGTTGGTGATCTGCGCAAGGTCAGTATTTCTTGAAGGCCAACATGTAGAAGCAAGATAAGGATACATACAACATCGACCCCGCGATTCCGGGCAACGGCAATAACTGTGTTGGCTGTGCCAAAATCTGGAGGAGGATTAGCAGGTTTCAGAAAGGCTGAGGCTTGTGATTGACGTACCAACACCGACAACAGACATTGCGGGATGTTTCTGCTCGGTCGGAGCGTGAATATGGGAGGTTTAATTGAGGGTAGAAGACAGCGACGTGCGGAAGGGGTGCTTGGAGGGTCGGAGTCGAGGAATAGACCTTGGAAATTTTATGTAGATTGAGTGGTGTTGTCAAGTCCAAGTAGGGTCTTTCAAAAAATTTGATGCGTTTCCCGCCCCGCTACTTTGGTTTGGTCTGCCACCTTTCTCGCTTGCTGGACTTCCACTTCCACTGCCTTCGACGAACATTCGAGCGCTTTCCTTCCACAACCAACGCAACAAACACACATGCCGGTTGCCTACTACCATATCAGATCGTATTGATTCTGTGTGATTCTGCATCATCTACCCTACCGGGACAGCACGTGGCATCTTCTTCCTCTGTCAACAGGCGCAAATCACGTGCGAGGGGTTCGCATCGGATAAGCTATCGCTACAGTATGCTATGATGTCGGTGTTTGGTGGGGCGAAAACAAGGCTTCCCGCTGAAGAGGGTATAACAAGGTAGCTGGGGCAACAACAAAGTGCCCACCTGGCATGGGCAAATAAGTATAATGTTTATAAAGTCGATAATATGTATATACAGAAACCATTTAAAACGTCTCAAAGCAAAGTAGGGTAGTGTTCCATGCTATTTCTTGCAAGGTCGGATTCGTCTAGCTGTTTTATGTATAAATGATAGTCCTTATGCACCCGGGGTTCTTCTTTTCCATCTAAAATACACTCACGAGTAATGCCCATCAGCATGTGCTTTGGCAGTTTATGGTCGGCTAGGCGCTTCCACCTGGGATTCCATTTTGGCCCCTTTAAATTACTCCGTACTGATACGTACCTAGGCTGTACTCTTGGTTGTACGGAGTATCTTGGAAGATCGATTCCATTTTGATAGCACGTCATAGCTTGCAATCATGCCACAGAAAAAGCAACGGATGTACAGTACGGGCCATCTGATATCATGAACGCCCCCACTCAGTCGATACCGAATCGACATACGGAGAAGATGTCTGAGAAATGTTGACAAGGTTACCGCGCTCCATAATCAACTTCCCGACGGTCCTGATTTTCTTGAAGGTTGTCAGGAGAATGCGCAGGGCGTCATCGCTGATCCTCAAGCTCAATATCTTTATACTCAGCAGATGCAGTCCTAATCAAGCTGGCTCTACCCAATGGACTTCGCCCGCTTCGTTGAATCTGTACAGTTGACGCTGGTCGAGGCATTGCTAAAGGACCATCCACGTACGGCCCAGCGTCAGGAGATCCAACGCGTGAGCCAGAGTTGTCAGCTCGTTGATACTCGGATCGATCTTTAGTTTGTCCCAGGTATTCCGCTGAATCCTTCCAACCTCCTTTGCGCAGCTCTGCATCGTCGACCTCGTAAAATTGGCCTATTGGTGGACCCGGCATATATGCACCCCCTGCTGCACGCTGGCTTGCTTGCGCCATTTCGTATTTCTTTCGATCCTCTTCGCCCATGATACTCTCCACACGACGAGGCATGCATATGGAATTGGTGCTAGTCTGTGCGGAGAAGTTGCTGTCGAATGAATCTCTAGGATGGAGTGGCATTCGTCCAGGACCTGCAAGTGCGCCGAGTCAGCATTGTTTGACCAGAAAATATGTCTTCAAGCTTGGGAGTTTGTAAGTTTCTTTTACGTCTCACAACAACGGAGACATCTAAGCAAGACAGTAAAACTCCGGGATATATCCCAGGGGGGAAAGAGAATGCCCGCAGAAGCAGCTCACCACCTGAAGGAAGACCCCCACCCCCTGTACTGAGCATAGAATCATTTCCTTGTTGATACCATCCACCCGGAAGTTTCTCAGCCGCCGTAAAACGTCCTTCAAGCCGGTCAGGTGGCTGAAGAGTGACTTTAGCAAGCTGGTTCTTCTGAGCTTCTGCGGCAGGCTTGAAAGTCTCCGGTACCACGTTGAGATCGTCGCCAGTCGCAACAGCTTTTTCGATAGCCTGTTGGGGAGTCGTTGTGGAATCTGCTGTGCCCGCATCTGCACGAGGTCCTCCCCAAGTCCTTTGGCCGGCTGTGAAGATACCATAGACCCTTGGTTGATGTCAGTATCATAGTTCGGAACTCTCAAGCGCGTTTGGTTAAGGGACTTACATGTAGTACCAGTTGAAGAAAGGATTACAGACGAACATTAGAGGATAGGCCCAAATCTTGAAGCGCTTCAGCTTTGCACCGAAGTAGATCATCATAACCCAGTTCAGACCAAGGGAAATAGCAATAAATCCAACCGGTAGATCTTTGATGTTCTTGGAAGTGCTCAAGATGGAGATGACCATAATGAAGAACAGCAAGGCTGTAGTTCTAATGGTATTTTGCATGAACCTAACCACAGCCAATATTGGGTACCGCTTCCAAATCCTCATGTCTGTCAGCATGCAGACTTCATTTGTAATGAAGCCCAAGAACCATCTTCTGCGTTGCTTGATTAGAGATCGATATGTTTGGACTGCTTCCGTTTTGCAGAAAGCCGTCGTGCACATTTGGATTTGGTACCGTTTCTTGGCTCCAATCATAAACAGATGGGTCAGCCATCGATCCTCTCCCAAATGAGACTTTCCATAATCAAACATGTCCTCACACTGTTCGGCTTTATCAGCGAAGTAGTATTTGGCCATTCTGCGGAAAGCCGAAAATCTCAACATAGTGAGGGCTCCTGGTAAGCAAGTAACGGCTCCACAGCCAGATTCAACAGTTCTTTCGAATAGCTGGCCGTGAATGTATTCCATGTCCTGGAGGAGAGTAATAAAACTGTGTTTCTTGGTCGTTGAAGTGATAACGCCAGTCATTGCCAGCATATCTCTCGAGTTTCCAGGGCTCAACTCCATGTCATATACGAAGTTCTGAAGGCACACACGGTCCAATATACAATCCGAATCTATGAAAAGGATGAAAAGGTTATCGTTTCGCTTCAAATACGCCGTGTAGATTTTGTCGATAAGTCTGTAGGTAGCTTTCTGGCAGTGTCTTTTTCCTCCATGAGGAAAGCGAGATACTGTAATTCGTGCCCCGCGGTACTTTACGTCAATACTCTTCGGGTATGAATCGAGACAAAGCGGGACGCCTAGCTTCTCAATTGTGTTGAGGTATAATTCATCCTCCTGATCACCATCGAACGAGAGAAAGACATGGATGCATGTTGTCGGGTAGTCACAATCAACAACAGAGCCAACCGCGGTCAACAAGACATCTGGATCCTCCATGTAGCATGGCATGACGATAACAACTTTCGGAGCCGAATGCTCATCTAGGACCTGCTTCATGCGTTTTGTTCGTCCAATGGAGTGCGTAACAATTTGATAAACGCAGAAGAGCCAAGGGATCGTTAACAGAGCGGCGAAAGACCAGAATCCAAACCATTGAAGGAAGGTGACCATGGAAAGTGGAAAGTATTGAGTTATGTGATTGGGTAATGGGAGAGTGACAACCATGATCGGTAGGTAGATGCATCTATGAGCATGAGCAATTAGTGCGAGTCATCAAATCGACTTTCTTTTCTAAATAGAACATACCTTAGAAGAGTGAAGACAATTGCCACAACTACTGCTAGAATCTTGACTGACCAATGCTCGGCTTTCTGGTATACCTTCACTAAACAGTACAAAAATGCAGCAAGCCAGAGGAACCATTCAAGGAAAGCAGCCAGTAGAACCGACCCAACGATACCAGTATAGATAATCTGAGCACAAGCGATGGCGTAAGTAAATTATCCCGCAAACAATAGCCAATTAAGACATTGATAGCAAGAGTGCGGCTTACATCTTTGACTGGCCACGGCGAAGTATTGTACGGAGACATCTTGGGAAAAGATAAATCAACGACCGACGCAGATTTGAACAGAGAAAGTCTACTTCGGGGGGGTTTTTTTTTGGATAAAAAGACCCGGGGTTCTTTCAACTCTTACTTTCCACAGGTTGAAGTGCTGCGGGGTCCCGGAAGAGGTCCGCTTGGGAAAGGGTAGCTGCAGGGTGAAGCGTAAGTACTTTAGTTGTTGCAGTGGCCAGCAAGGCGAACAAAGACTTGTACAGGATTGACTTACAATAGCCTAGGAGGGAATGTGACTCCCAATAATTACAGTATCGTTTTGTGAATGTGAATCTGTCAGTCCCTTGAGTCGGTGTTCGGTTGCACAGTCTTAGGAAACCCGTGTTGTACACAATCGTTTTGACCAAGCGGAGAATATGCAATGATTCAAAGAGGTCGAAGCAAGCCGAATGGAGTGATGAAGTGGGAAATGAGTTGTTCCAGCAGATCAGACACTGTTAGAAGGACCGAAGAAACCTTTGGAGGTGTCAAACCAACCGAAGGGTTGTATGATGGTTCATGCAGGCTTCCTGCTACACCATCCATCGATCGTTGCTGCTGTGTTTTGGTCGCGGAGAGAATGGGAGGAGAATGAACGAGTGGTCGCCGGCAAGGCACGAGCAAGGAAATTCAAGAACGGGTCCCACGAAATCAAACTTCATGGAAATTCACTTTTGTGATGGATGACGGCATCATCGATCATGTCTTATTTGACATTGACAGAGAGAAAAGGGAAGACAAGAAAGAAGATACAGAATTCGGAAAGTGCAAGTGAGAAGCAGATCTGGCGGCTATGCAAATACCGAGTAAGGTATACATATATACATATATATGCTCATCTGATGCGGAAGTCGCAATCGAGCCGGGCCTGGACAAATTGGGACCATACAGTACCTAGGTACCTTATATAACTCAACTAACAAACGCAAAGACTGTTTCTGCCTTCACAAAACATCGTGTTCCCACGGCCAAACGTCCAAGAGGCATGTAGTTGAACCGGCAAACCAGGTCCTTGACATCTACATCTACATGGAGGCACAGAGTTTGCACTTATCTGGATACTCAGCCAGACTGCATGTGCTACTCAGGATCGCGTACCTTGTTGCAGCTTGATGTGATGTCCTCGTCGTCGCTAGAGTATTTAAGCTTACTGCACTGCGGAGAAACTACACTACTTGTGGTCATCCTTGCAGCAGATCATTCTCAGTGTCTTAAAACACGTCCACGCCACGTTCACGTTCACATACATATACATATACATCAGCGTACTTCACCAACCACATTAAAATCTATAACATTCCATACCGAAAAGAGCTTTCAAGAATAGCGTCCCACTTTAACTCGGTCCTGGCAACACCCAAGGTCATCGCTGCTCTACTGCAAGATGTTTTGCAGAAATTTCTTGGCTTTGGACCCAGACCAGAGTCCCTCCTTCTGAACTGCCAAAACATTTGGGGTCTACGGCTACGCCAACGCCGTAAGGATCACTCAAGCGAGCTTAGTTCAAGAATACGAAGGGCTCTTTGCCTTCCCCTCGTCGCCAAATAGCAAGAGGAATAAGCGTACAGTACGTCGGCGATACTAGGCCGATGATGCTGAGTCTTTCGGAGATATGGCGAATCGACATCCTATAAAGACAGACTTCGATTACTCTCTTTCAATTTCCTTTTGCCAATTGAAAGCTGCCGTGTGTTTGGTTTAATCTCATCTCTCTTCAAACAAAAATGGCAGCAGAACTGCTTGCAAACCCCGCTTCAAAAGCAGGAGCGATAGAAATCACCAACGGCTCTTGCCTCTGCGGTTCAATAACCTACACAGTCTCAGGCACACCTTCCACAACCGTCCTCTGCCACTGTACAAGCTGCAAAAAGCCATCGGGCTCTGCTTTCATGGCCAACAATTTCTACGAGGCTTCTGTAAAATCCCAATTCCTTGCACCAATCAACAGGCGAGAGAAGTGTGTGTGTCCCGCAAGATGAATGCTTACTGGAATAGAAACTTAATATTACTGGTCCTACGAGTACCCTGAAAAAGTACAATGATACGAGCCCCGATGCTGGTGGTTTCGTCCAGCGTTATTTCTGTGGTGACTGCGGCTCGAACATATTCATCAAGAACTCGAAATGGGAAAATGCTGTGATCGTTGCGACGGGAACGTTGGATTATGAGGAGGCGCTGACGGAATGGAAGCCCGATGCTGAGTTCTTTTGTAAGAGAAGGGGTCCCTGGTTGTCTAATGCTGGAGCGATTGAGGAAAAGAAGTTCAACGCGATGACTTAGAAAGTCTAGCGTCTTGAAGACTGCCTCGCATTTGTGGTTTTCTAAAAAGTGATTGAGAAGCAATATAAGACGCGTTGCGAGGGTTGGGTACTTATCTGCACGAGTAATGCTCTTCTTATAATTACATTTACTAAACAAATTTCAATTCTGCAAAAAGCTCCTAACCACCGTCAACGAAAGCATCTATGGCTATGAATTCGCACCGAGGACAACTAAAACGTCCTGAAAATTGTGTGTTCCTGCATCGCATGGTTCAACGCTTCTCATTTGCATCACAAAAACAACTATGCATGCTTTAGTAGACAGTAGAAGAAAGGGGGTAGTGAGTGTATTTGCGTAGCATGACGATGTTATGCATGCGCTATAATAGCATCGTAACGCAAAAGAAAGAAAATGAATGACTGCGCTCAAAAATCTCCTCCATTCAACCAATCTGTCCGCCTATCCTCCACTGGATAGTCCTCTCCCTCTCCCAACAGCACCTCCACAATCAATAAACAGCCAACCCACTGATCACACCTTCCACCACAATCATTCTTTCATTCGTTCGCCGATTCGAAGGTTGGGTCGAGGTACCGACCGTCGCAGCTGCTGTCGTCTCCAAGGTTCGACAATCCGGGTATGGATGGAGTGGCGTAGTGGTGACTCGAGTGGCTTCGCGTCGATGGGCAGAGAAGAAGGTCCTAGTCATTAGCAATCAAGCTATCAACCAACATGCTCTGATCAGGTCCTATTGTACCCTCGAAAGAGGGGTTTTCATCAGCACTCAGTTCTCATATACTCGCACAAAAGCAAATGCCCCCTTCGACCAGAGGTTACTTCTTGGTCTGGCCTCTGACAGCCTTTAGCGCTTCATGCCCAGCCAGCATTGCTTTCTTGGAGATTTTGCTACCTTGCACCGCTGTCTTTGCAGGCTCTCTCTTCAGAGTCAGCCTGCTGACATCACCGGGTGATGCGACGGCGTTCAGAGGGCCGCGACTAGCAGTTGATGCAGGTCTATCTCTTTCTGGGGAAGGGGGTGCGTTTTTGACTTGCGAAACTTTGCTCTTGGGATCATACCAATCGACATCACTGAGTTGCAACTTTCTCGCTCGTTGGCCACTGCGATTGTTACTCGACTTGTCAGGTCTGAGGTAGTTCGCTGCGGCCGTCTTCTCGAGACCTGCGTTGATCTTGTGAATATTGATGTTGAGGGGTATGGGGGCGAGTATGTCTTCACCATCTTGGTCTTCGCCATCTCGAAGGTCGTAGTTCAGGACCAAGCTCTTGATTCTTTGCTGTTCCTCGCGCTCCGCAGCCTGTTGGGTTTTCATGGCAACCGCGAAAGTTGAGTCGGAAGGAAGTGCGACAGTGCGAGTCTAGTGCTAGTATTAGTATCGTGAACCTTTTTGAAAGGGCTGAAATACAAACCTGTTGTCGATTACCACGCTTTGTGAGGAGGGAGAAGGCCATTGTGCTGCTTGGGGGAGCGTTGCCAACAGGCTCATCGTTCCAGGACTCGTTTGTGGCAGGCACATCGCGGTCCTTGCGTCTGATGGGAAGGGGTACGTCGAAGGTAGATTTGCGTTCGTGCTTTCGCGATTCTAAACTTTCAGCCATCATCTTTGCATACTCACGCTCAAAGTCAGCCTCATCTTCTGGGTCAACTTGTTCCTCCTGTCGAGTAACCACAATAGATTCCTCTTCGGAATCGGTTCCTGCGACTGACGGATTTGCATCGCCATTTGCATCGATCTTTCTCGGAGGTCAGCAGGCGTCAGCAGCGATATCAAGAGCGGTGTGGCTTACATCTGTTTCTTCGTCTGATTCAGAATCTTTCTCGGCATCTCCTTCAGCAAGGCCAGCTTCAGCTTCGGCTTCAGCATCATCCATCCCCTCATCCGAAGAACCATCGCTGTCAGCCTCTTCGGGCTCGGCGACTTTGTCCAGACCAGAAGTTTTCTGGTCTTGTGCCATAGCTAGCTGGAAAGCTTTGCTGGCCTCTTCAATGTTAGAAGCAAGCTTCCATTGGGGCCTAGTCAGCGCAAAAACGTCTTGAACGATGAACTCTATGTCCATAGGAAGAGTATCTTTGGTGTAAATGTAGTACTGAATCACGTTAGTTGTTTTCCGCCAACGAAAAAAGAAAGTACCCACTTGGAAGAACGACAAGAAATAGTCCAACTTCTTGCCAGCGGCTCCACGATTGAAGAAGATACCACAAGTTTCAAGTAAATTTGCCACGAGTCGAATACGGAAGAAGTCATCTGGCATATCAAAGGGGTTGATACGACCTGGAATAGGCGGGCCACCTACATGAATGTTAGTCAAATGCACGTGGAGAAGTTTTGACACGACTTACCATGACCAAATGTCATGATGCGGTACATAGTATCGAAGATTACAGGGTGATCAACCATGCGGTAGTTGTAGAGCTCGCCTAAGTATTTAACTTCTGCGAGTCGGCGCTGATTGAATTTGAAGTCGTTCTGCTCTAGTCCAAGTACAATATATTCCAGGACATTATCGATAACCGCGGTAACAAAGTCTTGGTGGTATCGATACAAGGCGCTCACTAGAATAGCAAGAAGGTGAATGTTACCATACTTGACCTTGCCAGGCTTCGAAAAGATCTTCTCCAAAATGGTGACAACCTCGGCCTCCTCCCAGTGCAATCTGCGAATCTGTTTGAGGCATTTCGTATAGTTGCGATTGTTCATATCCAAGTACACGAGCTTGCGAATGAAAAGATCAATTGGCGTCCTCTCTTTTTGCTGGATAGCAGCTCTGACAGGTGGATCGACATAGTAGACGGCGTTCTCAATGAGCATGCGCTCTTGTTGCCCAATATGCTGAACTGACTTCTTTCTCTTTAGAGTCTCTAGGAATGAAGTCATGCGAGGAGAAGTTTCCGGATTTCGAAGCAGATATCGACCGCAGTTTTCAAGGAGGTTACAGATGATCTCAATGTTCATTCTCGAGAAATCATCCAAGCTGACCTTGAGGCAATGGAAAATGACATGCTCGGGAACAACACCAAACTTTGTCAATTCAGCAAGGTAGCGAATGTTTCCGAGTCGAGCTTGGCCTAAGAATTCCTTTTCTTTGCGTCTTTGGAGACTTCTAAATTCTTGATCAAGATGATCAACCAGACCTTTCGGGATATCCGGCATGTATTTGCCCAATGTAGCGACAAGTCGAGAGTACGACGGTAAGAGATCACTACGTCCTTTGGGAATCTCTTGAACGGCTTTGACCAAACGGTTCCGAGAAGCCTTCGAGTTGAGGAAACAAAAATCGATGGCGGCTTGATCAATCAAGTCTTTGTTGGTGAGATCTGGGAGTCGTGCCAGTAGAGCATCAACCTGGGCACCAATAGTCTTATTGGCAATGGCAGTAGACTGGTCATCCTCGGCGGTCTTGGCACTGGACTCAGCAGAGCTTGATTCTGAAGTATCGATCTTCTTTCCCACTTGCTCATCTGTATCTGGTTTCTTCTTCTTCCCGTCTTCGAGCAACATTCCAGGAACCTTGCCTTTTAGGTCAACGAGATTTTCATAGAATCTCCTCTCGTCCTCGTCTTCCCAGATACCTGCACCTTCGCCTTCACCACGCAAATATTCCCCAGTCTTGACCAGGCCGATGCCTCCATTGCCGGTAGCAGAAGTATCCTCGGAGTCTTTGAGATCTGGCATATCCCCACCAATAGCATCTGCGAGAGTTTGGGCATTCGAAACCAGTCGTTCCTGAGCCTTAACGACCTTCTCGTAACTTGCCTGTCTATCCTCAAATACTTGTCCAGACTTGACGTAAGCTTCAGCATCTTTTCGAGCCTGCTTACTGATGGCTTTCTGATCGCGAGTAAGGTGTGCTTTGACATCTTCAAAATAACGCTTCAGAATGTTACGGAATCGCTCCTGAAGCTGGGGCGATGCAAGAGGTGGGTCATCAATGGAATTACTTGGTGATGTGACTTCCAAAGGAGATTCATCATCTGCCTCTGTAGCACCCTCGGTGATTTTTGTGGCTCCATCTTCTTCAACAGTCTTGCGTCCTTCAGCACTAGCTTCTTTGACACCAAGAATGTCCCAGCCGAAGGCTTTAACGAATATGACCAGCAATGGTAGGTTTGCATGCTCTCTGTCATGACCTAATAGATCCTTGAGAACTTCTAGAGGAAATGGCTCAGCACCACCACCTTTGCCTGCCCCATTGGACTTCGATTTGACATCAGGAACCTTCCCAGCGGCGCTTGAGAGTGATTCTTTGCCTCGTGAAGCATCATCTGGGCGACTGACATCATCCAACGTCCTCAAAACACCTACAAGCCATAATTCCGTGACAACCCTGAGAAGTACCCTCTGACGTGTGATGCGCTCTTTTTCCTCCTTCTCTCTAACATCGGCAGCAAGGCTCTTCAGTAGCGACTTCTCGGGCGTTGCTAATCCCTTGCCTACAAGCCATCCCAGAAACTCCGTGAATTCTATAGGTCCAAAACGTTGGTGCAAGGCGCTCACTATTTCCACCCCAGCTTCAATTTCACCTGGTGACTTCAATCTACACAGCCCTTCGTAGCATGCGGATATGATTTCGGATAGGTATTTGTGCAGACTGAGTGTTCGAATTTCTTGCAGAAAAGTTCCGAGGGTCGCAGAAGTGATAGCCGTCCGCAGTCGCTTTATGAAGGCTGTATTCTTCTTCAGGGAGGAATCGAGGGACTTGTTAACTTCGTAGATGTCTGTACTGGTGTTAGAGCATAACTTCCCCCACTCGTCCTTGAGTAACCGACCTTTCTCCCCATCCCAGGCTCTGCTGTTCAATTCGCGCAATTCGCCTGTAGGTCCATGACATTAGCAGAGAGACCTTTGTTTTTCGGCAGATACAACATCACTCACGCTTTCTCTTGCGATCCATGAGGATCAGTCTAAGCCTCTGTAGGCCAAATCGCGGGTACTTGTGGAGGTATGGGCGTCTTGATGTTCCTTGTGACCCCACATTCGTGACTTCTAGGGGCGCATTAAGGTCTTGTGGAAATATTCTGCAGAAGCAATGAAATGCATCTGAATGGACTCTGCGGATAGTTCTACTAGATGTCGGATTGCTTTCAAGAAACTGCGTCCCTTCTTGTGCCAGACAATGTGGAATTTGCGGTGGGAATTTGTAGCTCTATCGATTAGATTCCGCTAGCCAACATAAACGCGCTTGCGGTGACTCTTGCCGCGCCGTACCTACCTGCGTACATGGGCATTTATTCTGGAAGGTACGTCGAATGGTTTTGTAATTGATGTGAATCACAGTTTGTATTTCAATTTATTTTCTAATTCGTTGAGATTTATGGTGCTTTTATAAATTTGATTTGTTTACAGTATGACTATTCCATTGCGTAGTTATGGAAGCAAATGAGGGGTTCAGTCCTTGTGCACGCGCGTGCCATCTCAATTTCGCTCGCTCTTTATGTTTACAGTACCTATATCGTCATGTTTCAAAACTTCTAGCATCGAGCTCCTGTTCTGTCAATGGTTCCTCTCTCAATGCTGTCCTCATCAAACGAAAAAAAGCCAACTCAAGATGTCCACCTCGATGACTGGCAAGTAAGCCAGCCCCGTCGTTGCGTGAAAGCACAGAGTACGCGTCGCGCTGACCTACAGCTGCGACCAGCGCACCGCTGAAAGTGCTGTGAACCTTTCTTCTTATATAGAGGGCTCTTGGGTGCAATTCTGAAGCAGCAGCTTGCTTTGCTGGCTAATACTAGTAAGTTGGTTTACTTCCCAGCACGAAATAGGCCCTTGAAATGTATCCTTGCTGCTTCAACAACTTCCCCCAGAAATACAGTGAAATTAGCAAGTGCCAGCGCATATGCCTGCTATTTGAAATTTGGGAAACTTTGAGCTGCGAGGTGCAGGATCCTAGAAAGAATCACAGGGAGAAATGTAGAATCTGACGAGGGCCTTAGAAAGACCACCCCGATTGGACCTCATCGTTGACTTGAAAAGTTCCCCAGAATTGACATTTGACATAATACCTCGTGTATGGAAAACGTTCTCCAGAGGCTCGATTACGCATAGACATACAGATAATCATCTGGTGGCTAGGGACCAGCATGATACTGTTTTGTGCCCTACCTTCCAGATGAAAGAATTGGTATATCACATCCAATTTAGGAAGAGGCCACTCTACTTCACACGTTACATCTTCACATCAGATATTCCTTTTTGTTAGGCAAACGGGAAGGATCAAGGTGCTCGGGCAACGCTCAAACCCAACACCCAAATCCAAGACTCCAGCCGTTTGCCAACCTCGCCCACCAATATCATTGACTTACTCCCTGTACCACGATCGTCTATTGTAATGTGTGGCACAACATTCCGAACCGTGAAAGCTGTTTCGAGAGCTAGACAATGCCTCGGAGCGCAATTTCGGACAGAAAACAAGCCGCGCGAGTCCATAGCACGGGTATATCGCGGGCGACAATTTCGAAGACACGAGTTATTGTTCAGCCGACGACGGCAGCAACCACGACAGGAATTCCGCAAGCTATTTCATGCGTGAAGCTTGTGCTCACTCGTCCAATAAGCAATTGGAGAACTTTGTTTATGTTGAGGTCTCTAGGTCAAGGTTTGACCTAATTGTTTTGACAAAAAGAGATATTCGAACCATCAAGTCTTCTGGGAATTGTATCGTTCGCTTGCCAGAGGTAAAGCGCTAGGTAAGGCTATATCAAGTCATTATTCAAAAAGGACAGCCCCTCGCAGTGGCTTCCAATTTTCGAGGCAGGAGACATCGAGTTGCAATGTAAGATCTTACTATTTCCAAGGAAGTGTGTGTGTGTGTACAAATGGGCCGACCGCTAACGTAGTTTCCGGTTAGTGCTAATAATAAGGTACTGTAAGCTATCTACAGCGCGGAGAAGCCAAAAATGGCGCTTCTCCGCACGACCAAGTCGACGAATCACGAGCCTCTAATCTTATCTCACGGAGGCAAATTTTAACAGGACTTCCGCGGCCTCACATCTTGAACTACACTGTCACCAGGAGGATTTGCCCAGCAATGCAGCTTGTGGAAGCTTTTGGGTCCATCATGTAAGAGCGCTCTTCTCCACGCAATTGTCTGATCTTTCATGAAATCTATTTTCAAACATGTACAATTTACAAATCTCATCCATGTCGATCCATTTATTCTCTTTGAATCTTCTTTGGGCTGCTTCAGTGCATATAATATAACATCCAATCTGCCCCGGCTGGCAGTACATGCACCTCATCCCTTGACTGCGTGTCCATTCTCAGTTACAGTTGCGTCATAAATAGATACTTTTGACTTAGCTCTCTTCGATCAAACCTACACCAATCATGTCTACAGCTACAACGCCCTCACTACCTCGAAATATTGAAAAACAGTCAAAGGCGTCAAGCTCATTGGCGATAGTCAATGTTGTCAAGTTACCACCTTCTCCACCTCAATCGACCGATGCTGGCAGCGAATTGTCCGACCAAACCACGTTGAGTTCAAGAAGATCGAGTGAAGGTCGACCAGAGTCCCGATATTCACTACCTCCACCATCAAAACAACCCAAAGAAATCCTCAAAGAAGATATCAAGACTCCGGACAGTCATGTTCCTCGAGATTCTCGATTGATACGTCTTACTGGCATCCACCCTTTTAACGTCGAACCACCCCTAAGTTCTCTGTACGATGAAGGTTTTCTCACATCTCCCGAGCTCTTCTATGTCCGAAATCATGGCGCTGTACCAGAAGTGGACGACGCAACGATCCCGGATTGGGAATTTTCGATTGAAGGGTTGGTCAAGAAGCCTATTACCATGACACTGAAACAACTTATTGAGAAATACGAGCAAATCACGGTCCCAATTACTCTCGTTTGCGCTGGGAATAGACGGAAAGAGCAGAACCAAGTTCGGAAATCGAAAGGCTTCTCGTGGGGAGCTGCAGGCGTTTCTACTGCTCTATGGACTGGTGTGCCAATTGGCGAATTAATCAAGAGGGCTGTCCCGATGCGTGGGGCCAAATATGTGTGCATGGAAGGTGCAGACAAGCTCCCAAATGGTTATTATGGGACATCCGTGAAGCTGAACTGGGCAATGGACCCCAACCGGGGCATTTTGCTTGCCCACAAGATGAATGGGGAAATGCTACGACCGGATCACGGGAAGCCTCTGCGAGTCGTCGTCCCAGGCCAAATTGGGGGTCGCAGTGTCAAGTGGTTGAAGAAGCTCGTAATCACTGCCGCACCTAGCGATAATTGGTATCACATCTATGATAATAGAGTATTGCCAACGATGATTAGTCCGGAGCAGAGTGCAAATGAGCCGAAATGGTGGACGGACGAGAGATATGCCATCTATGACCTGAGTACGAATAGTGCAACGGCATACCCAGCCCATGATGAGAGATTTTCTTTGAATAATTTATCCGAGACATACAAAGTACGAGGTTATGCTTATGGTGGCGGTGGGAGAAGAGTGACTAGAGTTGAGGTGACCCTCGATAAGGGGAAGTCGTGGGCGTTAGCGAATATCAGGTACTTCGAAGATGACTACCGGGACAACGCAAATGAAGATGAACAGCTTTATGGTGGGAGATTAGATGTGTCATGGCGAGAAACATCTTTTACTTGGTGTTTTTGGGATATTGATTTGAAAATAGAGGACTTGGAGATGTCAAGTGACGTTATGGTGAGAGCAATGGATGAGAGCATGAATGTGCAACCCAGGGATATGTATTGGAGCGTGCTTGGGATGATGAATAACCCATGGTACCGAGTCACAATTACCAAAGAAGGCGACTCGTTACTGTTTGAGCATCCTACACAACCAGCTCTGATGCCCGGGGGATGGATGGAGAAAGTCAAGAAGCGGGGCGGAAACCTCGCTAATGGGTTCTGGGGCGAGAAAATGGGAGGTGATGGAGAAGAAGAAGTGCTGGTTGAAGCAAAAGCAGAGATCAGGTTAGTGAAAGAAGGCGTCGACAGGAAGATTACCATTGATGAATTACGAAAACATGGGGGTGACGAGAATCCATGGTTTGTTGTGGATGGCGAAGTCTTTGATGGCACGGCGTTCTTGAAAGGCCATCCGGGAGGGGCAACAAGTATCGTCGGTGCAGCAGGACAAGATGCCACCGATGAGTTCATGGCAATCCGTCGGTGTCCCAATTACCGCCTCTTCCTTGAAAACTCGCTAACAAACTTGCAGACTCTGAAACAGCAAAGTCGCAAATGCCAGAATACCATATAGGTACCCTCGATGAAGCATCCCGAGCCATTCTCTTCAACGGCGAAGCCCCCGAATCAGCTACATCGTCAGAACCCCGCCCCATCTTCCTGCAGTCCAAAAATTGGACGAAAGCCGTCCTCTCCGCCAAAAAGATAATCTCATGGGACACCCGTATCTTAACCTTCACACTCGAGCACGGGGATCAAATTGTCGGATTACCAATAGGCCAACATCTCATGATTCGATTACGAGATCCCGTTACTAGAGAGGCTATCATTCGTTCCTATACCCCTATTTCTGAAGGTTCAGAAAAGGGGGTCTTGCATGTATTAGTAAAGGTGTACTTTGACACCAAGGAACGAATAGGAGGTAAGATGACGAAGGCACTGGATGCTATCCCCGTGGGCCATTTTGTTGATTTCAAGGGACCGATTGGAAAATTCGAGTACTTCGGTAAAGGTAATTGCGCCATTGGCGGTAAACGCAGATTTGTCAAGCGTTTCCTCATGATCTGTGCTGGCAGTGGCATTACCCCTATCTTTCAAGTATTGCGCGCCGTGCTCAAAGATCCGGACGATCAGACCAAGTGTCTGGTGCTAGATGGAAATAGGCTGGAGGAGGACATCCTCTGCAAGAAGGACATGGACGCTCTGGTGGCTGGGAACGAAGAGCGATGCAGACTACTGTATGCTTTGACTCAGCCGACGGATAGATGGGGAGGTATCAAGGGAAGAGTGAGTAAGGAAATACTAGAGAAAGAAGTCGGGAACTGTCCTAGAGTGGGAGAGGATTTAGTACTAATCTGTGGGCCGGAGGCTTTAGAAAAGGCTATACATGGGTATTTGAACGACATGGGGTGGCAGGATCAGGATTTGTTGTTTTTCTAAGTGAAGGAAGCAAGCTGTTCCGTGCCACCGTGGTCCGCGGGGTTGTACTATCGGAAGTAAACTTCCAGCATTCGTGTTTAGAACTGTGTTATGGTATTGGCCGCACAAGAGTCTGTTGTGTGGAGTTCAAGCTGCACAGATTAATACAAGAAACAAAGTTACCTGCTTCATATGTATTTTCTGGTTTGCCCTTTTCAAGCAATAACTCCACGCACCTTGTCTCACGTCCAACAATAACCACAAGTGAAAACAGAAATAACCACTCACTTCAAGTACAAGCGCATACTTGTAACACGCTTTTGAGGTTCCATAGCCGGATATCGGTACCTCATTGCGGGCGGCGATTACCTTGACATTCACTGCTATAGGCATTACTTGAACAAAGGCTATCTACCAAACCCAAACCAGCCCTTCTTCTGCTGAGCCGCCTGTTCCGCACCCTTAACTGGGTTAGTCTTGTCCCTAGCCCCATTTTCAGCACCTTTCTCGACCTCTCGTCCTGGATACTCGATGTAATTCCATGCGGCGTCGAAAAACAGTGGCTTCACTGGTACCGGCTCCAGTTTTGGCGGGTAGGTGACTAGGTTTGACAACGTCACCCCGGCGGTTGGGTAGTCGTTCAAACGCTCGACAAGCGGTTGTGGGCTCTCGGATGTCTTTTGGGTGTTTTCAAGGTTAGAGAGCTCGACTAGTGCTCTGTAACGCTGGACTTCGCCATCCAGAAGATCTTTGAGGAATTTAGCTTCAGAGGCAGAGACCGCAATGTTAGGCGGCGAGGAGTCTGAGGCGTCCATGGACGAAGATAAATGAGAGTTTGCGGCATTGGATTTTTCTGAAGCTCGGGCTAGCAGTGCGAGGGCATTCTTTGGGTTCGATAGCAAAGAGTGGGAGCGGGCTATGTTCAAGCATCTATTTGGTATGAATTAGTAGCTATTCTGTAATCGAAGGCAGGAAATTCTTACTTTAGTGCTGAGAAATAGCCGTGTTTTGATTCCAGCTCGCCCAAAAATGACGAATCTGCGGCAACGCCTGGGAGCTCCTTGATTGAATCCAAACTTTGCAGAATTGCATCGTATAGTACAGCCTTCTCTCTGAAATGCGCAAGCTTTCGTCCTGTCCCTTCTTCTTTAATTGGCTTTTGGTTCTTCTTTTTGGGTTTGTTCGGAGCTAATTCTACTACTATTGCTCCATCCCGTTCACCAACCATCACCCTGTTTCGGCCGATTCGCCAACTGACCATAGCATAGCTGACTGCTGTACGCGTAATCTGCAGACTTTGTATACGCCTATCGCCCTGTCCAACGCCCTCTGCTATTAACTCGTCTATTGCATGCTTTGTTGCATCAACTGCATCTTGACTTGAAATAAGGATATCATCATAGGCTGCAGCTCGATCTCTGGCCTGAGTAGCTTTAGCAGATGCTAATGTCTCTGATAACTTCTGTGAAGCACTATTAACAGATGCCAGCGCTGTTGCTATTGCCGCATCCTCCAACTCCACCGTCCGAGATCTCCAGGTGATTGTTTTGGGAACCGCTGCAGTCTCCGTGGCCTCTCGAGCTTTTGTAGGCTGGTCGTTCAACACATCGGGATCCAACTTTTCCACTTGTGAAACCAGCCCGGTGTCTTCTCTGGGAAAGAACTTTCGAGCAATAGCAGGCACTGCCACTGTCCGCGGCATTCTCATTTGATATGCTCCATATCGTATGCTAACATCGACTGGATCTGACAGTAAATCTTTGAAGATTTCGCTCTTTGTAGCAGTAGCCAGGGCACTGTATATGATTCTAGCTTCTGAATAGCTCTTCACACATCCCTCCCAGCCTTGCTTCTCGAATTCCCTAGCCCCAGTGAGTGAAGCTGCATACGCACGTGCTTCAAGCACATCTTCATCTTCGGCACCTGTTCCGGCCTGATCACTAAGAAGCCTGAATAGATCGTTCGCATAGATGGTAGCCTTGTGTAATCGGGATATTATGTGGGATCGAGTCGAGCCAGTAATTCCTTTCTTCTCCGTCGAGTGTACTTCCCGCATTGACATAGCATTCGCCCAGGCTCGTTCCGATGTAAGTAGGAGGAGGTGAACGAATCTAGAGATTAGATCAGTATGAATCCAGGAGGGGCATCCCCAAAAATACATTTGTACATACTCTTGATTGCGTCCAATGTCTTCTGGTGTCACCGGGGCTTTGGCGGTATATTTCGCGCGGGGTTTGGTTGCAATACCAAGTCTTTTGCGAAGGTTGTGGATGCGATTTGACAGCTGCGATCGGTATGTCGCATAGTCGCCGTAAAGCTTTGCCTTGTCGCGCCCAGAGACGACAAACTTGGTGATCTCCATTTCGCTGTGGGCTCGAAAATTGGTTGAAGATTGAGAGCAGTTTCTTGAATGTAAATGTGGAGGGGCACACTCAGTCCTTAGGTTGGATAGGCTTGAGTGATGGTGGGCATCGAGACCCCTGCTAAAAATGTCGAGCTAAGTGTGTATCTGGTACGATTTCATGACTTTTGCTTTTATTTGCTTTGCTTTGCCTCCTTTTCAAAGTCTTCCAGCTCAGCTCAGCACCCAATCTACAGTACTCTCAATCACACTGGCGATGAAAGCCATCTCTTCTCCCTAACTTAACGCGCGGTTGAGTTTCCATTTCCCAAGCCTGTCGCATGGTAATTCACCATATTAGAACTCTGCCATCAAGCATCAACTGATACATCTCTGCTGCAGATTAATATCTCAAAACCAATTCGACCCCTTGAAGATTACGAAGACCGAGTTACTGCAGGAAGCTTCACGTGGGCACTTGGTTTAGATAGGGCATGCTGGAGCGCACGGCGGGATGTCTAGAATCAGGCAGTTTGCGTTGCCTGCTACCAACATCCAGGAAGTCTTTGAAGAGTCGCAGAACACTGCACTCCGGCTTTTGGAACCACGCAGCAGGAGATCTTGAGCTTTCGTCCCCATTATGGGCCGCCTTGGTTCGAAGCGCCGATTCCGTTGCTCAGGAAGCAGAGACCGCTGAACAGAAAATCTTGACTGGCAATGGGGGCATGTTCTTGGACTTCTTGTACCCCGTTGGGACAATGAACCTTTTCAAGCATTACTCAGGCTGGGGTGTTGATAGACAGGATTCGCGGTGGGCCAGCAATGGACTCGCAAAGCTCGGTCAAAGATTATACACGTCCTCCGCTACAGATCCTCCATTACCGGACCACGGTGCATATTCTACTGGTCAAGAAGGAGAAACGTCGGAGAATTCCGAAACTGATATACTTCGTGGCAAGATGGGACTTACAAGAGCCACTGATTATGAAGAAGCGTGGCGACAGTATCTTCTACTGGGCGAGGCCGATCGAATACGGGTCCGAAAGCAACTGATACAGTACTACTCTACATCGGACCGAGTACTCGACGCGGAAAGGACCATTGATCTGTTTGAAGGTATGGGAGCCGAGGAGAGAGACGCCCCGACTTATCAAAAGACGATACGGTCCTATTTGAGACTCCGCAATTTGCATGACGCTACTCTGATGTATAGAACCAGTCTTGAAATCCTCAAGGTACCAGCTGGTGCCGATGAGCTTCTGGCCCACCTGTTCAATCTTTCATCGTGGTCCGAAGCTTGTGATATATGGTCGGACGTTCAACAGCCCAGCCAGGAACAGCCGCAATTCAATTACGATATATACACACTCGTTGAGAAGCTGCCAAACTTTAGAGAACTCGTTTGTAATTTGGCTAATCATACCAATAAGTTAATTCCACGGAAAGGTGGGAGAAAATCTGGCATGCGTCCTCTATTCGATTTCGCTCAAACGATGATTCGGATGGCCTTATTCAGAGAGGAATCATTTAAATCGACTGAGTTTTCAGAACTTCTAGACCATTTGATTAGTTTGCGCTGTATGACTTCGGATGATTTTCAGCGGATTTACAAAATGCTGATTTCCCTGGATGAAAGGAAGCTACTCATTCAATGCTACGAGAAAGTGCGAAGAGAAACAAGAATTGAGTTCCGCCATTACGCACTTAATGGGATATTGAAGATTTTCTGTCGTTCTCATAATATTCAAGGGATGAATTGGGTTCTGGATGACTTTGTTCGCTGCCATGGGAGACCGTCAGAAATGACGTACAGGATATGTCTAACAGAGTTTGCTGCCCAGGGCGATGCAACTACTGTTCATACACTCTTCGATCAGTATATGGCATACTATGTCTCGAAGGCTCATCCGCTACTCGACTCGGATCGCTTGTCTCCTATCCTCCAGGTACATGCGAAGCGTGGTGAGATTGATAAAGTCATCAAAGCTTTCAACGAGATTTCAGACACCTATGGGCTGAAGCCGACCATCCTCTCGTGGAATATCCTTATCAGTGCCCATTGCAAGGTGCAGAATATCGATGAAGCATTCACTTGCTTACAGTTGATTCTCGAATCCCCTGATATCGACCCAGATGACTATACTATTGGAACCCTGATGGGAATTTGTGTAAACCGCGGAGATCTTGAAAGTGCTGTTGAGCTCTACCGGTATGCCGAAGATCTTCAAATTAAGAAGAGTGCTGCTATGGTCGATTGTCTCGTGCTTGCACATGTCCAAGATGACCGTTTCCAAGAAGCCGAAGAAATCTGTGTGGAAGCTGCTGGCATGGACCTTGAAGGGAGCCGGACACGGATGTGGAACTATCTCATTGTTGGATGCGCTCTCAACCGCGACCTGCCAAATGGGAACCGAATACTCCAACGCATGTCTTCGTTTGGCATTGAACCGGATGAATTTACATATACAGCATTAATGCAAGCACTTTGCATGGTACGGCAACCGAATCAATGCCTCCGGATCCTACGAGAAGTTCTACCAGCTGCAGGATATAAGGTGAACGCGTTCCACTTTGCAGTCATCATGGGTGGCTATGTTGCAACTAAACAGTACTGGAAGGTTTTCGAACTCAACAAGGAGTTGAGAGAGCATAACATACGACAATCAGCCAGCACGAACGCCGTGATGCTGAGAGCCCAAGTCTCAAGCGATGCGGTGGTATTTAAGCGAGGTACTGAATTCCAGCAATATCAATCCGCAGTAGCAATGTTCTTGGATTATGTTGGATCTATGGATCCTCGAGATATATCAGATCCTGCTAGGAAGCTCATGAAGGGAAGCCCGCTCGATATTGCATATCCAACATCAATGTACAGCTATATAATGTACGTCCTCGCACAAAGCAACGATACTGAGTCGGCGAAAGAATTATTCGAAAGTTACAAGGCCGCCCTTCCAGAGAACCGACGGAAAACCCCTCCAATATCGATTCTGTCGGCCTTGTTACTGGTGAAATGGCGGGAGCGTGACATGAACGGGGTCGAAGAGAGCTGGAACCTCGTGCTTGCAGCCGCCAAAGAGCAAGGGTCACCGCTGAGGCCTCCAGGGCCATTTTGGAAACATAATGATCCTACCAACGATGTCTCAACAACACGACCTAAGATATTGTACGCACATGAGATAGAACTAGCACAGTGCCTATCCTGGTACTTGGAATCTCTAGCTTACCAGGGATTGGCGGACAAAATGATCATCACCGTCCATGACTTCATCAGAGACGGCTTCGTGCTCGACATGCGAAACTGGAATACCTACATCCAGCTCCTTGCCCGGGAAGGGCGTCCAAAGTTAGCTTTCGAAGTCTGCGAGAAGTACCTTATGCCTAATTGGACAGGTTGGTCGAGGATCCGGCGATACCTGCCAGTACCGGACCGCCTCCCGAAGGAGATTCGGGCCAAGAGGAAAAATCCACGCCATATTCGGCCGATCACAACCACGTTGCTTATACTGGCGCGCAGTTACATGGATATCGTGGCCGCGGCTGCAGAATCGAAGGCTTACCGATGGCAGCTTGATGACCTAGAGCGCTTATATCCGAAGACAGTTGATGCCATCAAAACCATGCAACGATCCTATAGCGAGCAAGAGGAACAGATATTGAAGCGCTTTTGAATGTACAGTGTTGGCTGTGTATTTATTATGGTGTGTGAGTGTATTTTTGTTTGTGAGTATGTATTTTTAGACTGTATGAGCTGGTAGAAGTGTAGATGATGAAATGAGGAAGTAATACTACTCCCAAGGGATCAAGCTCCACAAACCTCATATTGTTGGCATAACATCGAGGCTATAAGTGAGTTGCTCCTCATCTGTTCCAGCACAGCAACTACAGCTCCAAGATATGGAGAGAGAGAAATCACTGGTCTAACAAATCTCGTTCAATATTATTCCAACCATTTCTCGGGACCTGCTGGGTAGCTACTAACAGCACGCCTACAAATGTAGCATCTTGCTCCCAAGACCTAAGAGAGCATTTGAATATCACCCCTACCAAGCCCATCAAGCACACAAGAAATCCAGCATCCCCGTACACCATCCCCTCACCCTAATCCACCCCCAGCCGTCCTCATCCTCCGACTCGTAATCCCCAGCCCACCCCCGGCACTCCCTAACACAAACATAGCCGCTTCTCCCGCATCCACACTATAATTCAAATGTGCAGCACCCACCCCATCACCTCCCTTACAAATATCGTCCCCAGCATGACAAACCGTCAGCACTTTCCTAGCATCGACCCCCTGCAGTGCAGTCCCGTTTTCTGGATCTCCGAATAGGACCACCGAGGCGACTTGGGAGGTTGTGTTTGAGGGCAGGGAGGAGGTGACTAGGTGTACGATTTGTGCGCCTTGCGAGTAGCCGGAGAGGACTAACGGTGTGGTGGGGCAGAGGGAGAGTGTGTGGTTTATAAGTGCTATCCTGTTTTTTTGTTTTTTGTTTCAATAGTGTTTGGTGAAGGAAAGCCTGCGAAGAGGGAGGGGAATAATACATCAAAGCACTGCCGATAACACTTCCACCTGCGAGAAAGCCGCTGACATCTGCCAGATAATCGACGCCTTGGATAGCAAGTTGATTTGTGTCGTTCATGTAGTCTGCTATTGCGGCGAAGAATGGGGGGCAGCTAGGATTCCCACGTTGCCTTTGCTTTTTCGTTAACTATTACCATCTTCGAATCCCGAGGAGGGAAAGAACTACCAGGTTCATTTGTCCCCCTAGCAAACAGTACTGTCATTTTCGGACAAGTAGTAGCATTCTTCAACACATCGTTCTTGGATGTGACGGCATGGAGATCTCCGACGAGGGTCTTAAGAAGTCCCGAATTCTTGTTATCGAGGAGACTGCTCTTGTCCCCCTCTTCGGATTTTGGGAATGGAAAGGCCAGGGCTAGTAATGGAAGGAGCAGAAGAATGGTCAAGATCGGCCGATGCATCACGGCAACAGGAAATGGGATAGCCTCTAGGGCGTCAATATATTAAAAGTGAGTAGTGCCAAGACCAGCTTTTCGTAATTAGAAGGAGGGTTGAAGTTTAAGTCATGTTGGAAATCTTAAAAGAGATAGTTGTGCACAAAAGAAGGTATAACGAATGGACGTTGAGTTGATAAAGGACATGGCGCAAACAGTTCCAGACTTGCGGAACGTCATGCATAAAACTCTCGACAGAATGCTTTGCGAGGTATCATTATCCGAGAATCAATTGCTGGATCGGCGTCTGTTTTGGAGATCGTTTTGACCGGCTGGAGATGGTGTCGCGAATCTGGTTTCAAAAGATAAAGAGCCGTACAGGGATGGGTTGAAACTTCCTCAAAGTAGTACGAGACCACTATATTTGCCTTAATCAGTGCATTGTTGAACGTCGTCAGAAATTTAAATGATTTATGTAAATTTAAAAAACATTGTAAGTGGAGAGCCTTTCAAGGCTTCGTAAGTCTATGTAAATACACCCCCATAGCAACCTAAACATATTTCCAAAAATGATACACCAAGCACCTCGCGTTGAAATCCAGGGGTATTCTCATAACAATCCAAAAAGCACTCCCGCTGTCAAGTGATTTGACTCACATGCCGTCCAAACGATCTTGCTGAGTAGGTCTACCAACTCCAAGATCTCGCAGCTTCTTCGCCAGTAGTCCCTCAGCCACGACTTGCTTGCCATCAGGGGAGCTTGCAAAGGCATTGCCTCCGTATCCAATGTCGCCTTTGTGTAGCTTATCGTAACCGTGGATACCACTTGTGCTATTACTATTCCAAGACATCGACGTACCGGACTCGTTTGAAGTGGTTGGCCGGCTGCTCTTACTCGAGTTCGGCGACTGTATATTTTCAGGCCGATCTTGGCCAGCATCATCTTCACGCCGAACCGGTTTTCGAAAAAGGCTGAATGGAATAGGCTGAATAGGTATGGCGCAACTGATGTCTCGGTCTCGTGAAGACGCCGGGCCACCACTTGTACCTTTATTCAAAGCTTGAGTGATTCCATCCATGCTATCGTAGTTACGGTTCGAGTGGCCAAGAGCAAAACCAGAACTGCGTCTTCTATAAGCCTTGTCTGCAGCAAGACTAGCCGCTGCACCGCCATTAAGAGCAAGCCCAAGACTTGATTCACGCCCTGGTTTATATACACCGAATCTTGGTTCAGGGAGTGAAATTTCATTGCGTAACTTTTCCTTTCCGTCTGGTACTCGATTTGCGAAAACAACTCTAATGCTTTTGTATAGATAAAATCGACCCCGAGACGGGGAACATATGTGCACATGTACAAGATATCGAAGCGTTGGCCGATCTGCTGGATTTATTGCAGGGCTTTGCTGTATTGAAGAGGATAATACAGAGTCAATAATAGGCCCGGCCGAGTAGCTTCGTTGACGGATGAAGGTCTTCGTCCCTGGTTCCATCCCAGAAAGGTCATATGGAACCAAAAACAATTTCACCGCGGTTTTGTTCGGGTTCTTAATTATAATCTGAAGTTGCCCTCTTTCGGGGATTCTGTAACTGCCACCAGGAGGTGCTCTGGACGAGGCTGATTGTCGTTTCTGTTGATCAGCTCTACGAATCTCTCGTTCCGTAAGCTGGTTCGTATTTGGACCGTCAACCATATCCATCTCATCACTGCGACTTCGACCAACACTGGCACTGGGTCGTTTCCGCTTGTTGTCACGTGCCTCATCCGGATTTGACAGACTGTTCTCCAGATCAATTTGACCTACATACGGGCTAGGTCCATCTTCAGACTTCCCCAAACGACCATGGCTTGTAGTTTCATAGCTGTAGAACACCGCCGGGAAGGGAATGGTCACGTGAGCTGGACATCGAAGACTCGCCTTGCACTTACCAAGACCCAAAACGCCTATCTGAGCAACAAAATCCAAAGGCTTTGAGGGAGTAGTCGACATGCGTCCTTGGAGGATGCTTTCTTCATATGATCCGACCATGGATGCGTGAAGAGGAGAACTATCAGAGGTATACGAAGGTCTTCTCGAACGTGAGAAATTCGGCGTTTGAGGTGATGATGACGGCAGGCCCGCATTGGACGTAAGAGATCTTCTTGGCTGATGGGCTTGGTAGGGAAACGTATTGTCTCGTCGGAGATGTGGTAGTGGTTTGTTAAAATTTGATGTTGTCAGGACTGATGGTGTTGAATGCATCGAATGCGATGCTTCTAGGGTGTGTCGCCGAGGACTTCTTCTCGAATCCGTGTTTATGTCGATAGGATACGAATTTGTTGAAAAGTCAAAATCATCATTACTTTCCGAATGTACTAATGGACTCGTAGGCGGTTTCAGGATAAAACTCGACGAATACGAGGATGACAATGAGGGAATTCGCGACCGTAATTCTAGTTCAGAGTCGAGCCTGTCTGCTGGTGGAAATCGAGTGTCGAGCTGAAATGGAGAGAAATTTCTTGGTGGCGATGTAGCAAGCCACTCTTGTCTGTCTGAATTGTACAGGCCTGGGTTCGCCTGCAGGAGCCCATGGTCCCCTGCTATGCTCTGCTGTGGTCCTTCGGTAAAGTCACCACTATGTAAAGCCGACCGTGGCCTCTCAATTTGTAGGCCTGCATGTGATGGCTCGATATCAGTTGTAGATGTGCGTTTAGCTTCTGAGATATCGGGGGATGGTAATAAGGGCGAGGAACTGGAGGCATTGGCAGTGGGTTTCTGAGGTGTCTCGTAATCTTGAAGCAATGACTCCAGCTATAGATCCGAATTAGTCAATAGCCAAAATTTGAGATCCAGGGATTATGAATCATTACATACATTTCGATTTGATTTCTTAAGTCGACTAATGATTTCTCTTCGGTCGGAGGTTCCATGTATCGGGAATGAGAAGCTTGCATCCAAAATGCCCACAGAACTATTCCTTTGCTCCTCCGGCGTGTCCAGCAGAGGCCCTTCACATAATTCCGTCCGGATGCTCTCCTCTGAAAGCTTTCTTGTCATAGGAATGGCCTCAAGTGGCGAATGGGATCGACTCTTCTTTGCTGGCGTCTCGGGTGATACTTGGCCACTGACCAGGTCATCTTGGAATATGGGCATTTTGTGAGCACAAATATTGCTCCCTCTTGTGTCATGTAGCCATTGCGAGAAAGGTAGGCAATTTTGTTGGAAGAAAATGATCGTTGAAGAGGCAAGGAAGCTGTGATGTAAAGGCTGGTCGTCTGTTTCGGAGCGGGGGCGGGCGGCAGTCTTTATTCTTTCGGAAGTATGCAAAACTTTCACCAAACCTGTCCTTTTTGTAGATTGGTCTCCATATAGTAAGAACGAAAGCAATTCTTGGACTCTATTCGGAATATATTTGCATTTTCTCCATTCCAAATGAAAGTCGGTGTAGAGGAAGTAAAGAAGTGGAGGAGGTGAAGTGTGATCTGCTCAGTAAGTGGACCTGCAGCTATGGCGGATAAGCTGGCGCTGCTCGCTGCGTCACAATCGCTCCCGCTAAGTAGGAATATATGAACCTTGCTAGCGTGTCCTGAAATATTTTGTTCCCCTCGCCTCGCCCTCGTGCCGACAACCTCAAGAAATTCCACAGATCCTTCATCAGTATATACACAAGAATGGCATTCAAACGACCCCTCGAGGATGATGCCACGGCATCACAGCACAAGAAACACAAATCTAAGTTTAACATCGGGCCGGACAACTTACCAGATGGAACCTACAGAAGAAAAGGTACGCAGCCCATCTACATATAGGAATCCCTCTCTCATAAGATACTCCCCCTCTTCTTTAGCAAGCAACAACTAATACATTTATCAAAGTGATTAAAATAAAAAAAGACCTAATCCACAAAGCCAAAGTAAAAAAATCATACGCAAAACTCAAGGCCCGCGACCCCGACCTTGCAGCCTCCTCCGCACCCCCTCCCACCGAATCCGAACCAGAACCAGAACCAGTAACCCAAGAACTTCACCCTGAACGACAAGCAATGCTCGATGCCCCCCGCTCTCCCACACCGCCTCCAAACCAAGATTCAAACCCAAATCCGTATCCCGGCAACCGCCAACCCCGCCGCAATAACGGTAAACGCCCCGCTTATTTCGAAAAAGAACAAGCCTTCGCAGCGCAACAAAAGTCGGACGCGGAAGCGAAAAGGATAGAGAGGGAACGTAGGGAGAAAGAGAGGGGCGAGAAGGTTGAGGAGAGGGAACGATTTCGGAGGGCGATGGCGAAGGCGAGGACGGGAGGCAGGAATGGACAGAGGAAGTTAGGGAGGGAGAGTAAGGTGCTTTTGGAGAGAGTTAGACGGGTTGTTGGCGAATAAGTAAGAGACGATGATTTATACCCTATGGGATGCGAGGATTTTGCGGTTTAAATGGAGTACAGTCTGTCTGGTATAAGCGTCTTACAAGAATTGAGATCCTTGAACTTGCATATATTTCGACATCTGAGAATTCCGTAGTTGTACCCCTTTGCTATCATATCGCTGTCATATCGCTGCCTCTTTCCTTCCGTCCGATGTTCCCATAAAGCATTTCCTTCTATGCAGCAAGCAGTTTCCCATCAATATATACCCAGGAACTGTTAGGTTAAAAAAAATCCAAGTATCTTAAAAACCATTACCCGAAGAAAAGCTTCAAGCACGCTTGCTTAAAATAGTATGTATAAATACGAAGAAAATAGACGTCGGTATTGTAATGAAAGGTCTGGGCGAATGAGCAGCGAAATTATAACTTGACTAAAGATTAGGAACATATTATTAGAGTAAATAATCACTGGACTTGAGGTATGATAGTAGAATTAAAGTATTAGAAGCTGATTGTCAATAGATGGCATCTTGAAGAAATCCAATGTAATGTGGCTCGCCACCCGCTCTATAATAATAAAGATGGAAATGAAGAACTACCCAAACCCTTCCACCCTCCGACCACGAGGCCCAACCCCTAATAACAACCATAGTAACCGCTACGACTCGTCAACCATTCCGCCGTCATCTCCATCCTCTTCTGCTTCCGATCCATGATAGCAGCCTGCTCCGCATAATCCGCCAACTCCATCCGCATCAGCTTCCTCTGCTCCGTATCGATATCATAAAACCTGCCTTCTTGACTCTGCGGGATATAATCATGAATGGTAGTTCGCCAATGGCCGGTGACGGTGATTTGAGGTGCAGGCATTTTCATGGACTGGCCGTACCGAATCCGCTCTTCGCCATCGAATTCGTCTGCTAAGTCAAGAAGATCCTGCTTGCGTCGTTTCTTGGGGGAGGGTGTCTGAGGTTTATTTTTGGTTAGTGGTGGGAAATGTGGGAGTAGATAGGGCAGAATTGAATTCACCTCCAGTCGTTCGACTTCATCCGGGTCCATGTTCATGGCTGCTCGAGATTTGCGTATACGGTCTGCAGCGATTAAGAGCCGTTTCTTCTCCCAAGCCCCAATCGGTTCCGGTAGATTCTCAATCCTTCCCATAACTTGATCTATTGAGCAGCGTTAGCAATCGCTTGAACCAGTGAAATATTATCCTTTCGCCTACCCTTTCTTTCCCTATACTCTCTCGTGGCTTCTTTCGTCTCCATATGACGGATCTCTTCAAGTAACGGCGTCTTTTGACGTTGAATGAGCTCCCATTCGCGGGAGTTGGCCTGAGATTCGAGTGAAATGAGAGTCGCGATCTCATATTTGAGCTCTTCCAGAATCGGATTCAATGGCCTGCGGGATCTAGGTAATACAATATGGCTTCGAGACAGTAAGTCCTTCACTTGTTTGTCTCGAAGCTCGTCCCTGGTTAGAATATGCTCGCCAAAGATACTATCAGCCTCATCATCTGGCTCCCGCTTGAAGCCACCATTGATTGATGCGCCCAACATAAGGCTATCATCATCTAGTATGAAAGCAGCATTGACTGGTGCGTCGGGGTCGAGATCTTCTGTTGTATTGTTAACGTGGTCATCGTCTATCGGTATCTTGAGTCGGCTTGCGAGTACTTCTTTGCGCAAGAAGGCTTGCAAATTACTTGGGCGCCTCGCCATCTTGACAAGTTGTTAGTGGCTGTCTTAGGAAGGTTTCTTTATATCGGAACAAGACAGAAAACTTCAGGACAAGGAAGAAGGGTTTTATGCTTCTCAATTAACTGCGGAAAGAGAGAAATCATGGTTTGTAGCAGTGAATGTGATGAATGACCACTATATAGTACTGAACGAATGATATTTCTACCTAGCAGCTGTTCGGATGACTTGCGATGAATTGAAAAACCAATCGTTAAGCAAGAGTTCCCAGCCCTTAATGACCGTGGCAAGAGAATGATTTGCTGATAATTATAATTAGATGGTGTACCAGCTCTAATGTTATAGACAGCTCTTCAGTTGTAAATTTTAAATTGAGCTAGTCACGATACTTGGAAAAAGGATGTGTGACGCAGCTCAAGTGGTGTATTGATTAGTAGTCGAGATATGGGATATAATTGTGGGCTTTGTTTAAGTGATTGGGCACTCTCTTATAGCATCGGGAAGAGCCATCCATGCATGTAGCCGAGCCCCTTTCCTTGTAACACCATCTAGGGGGCGCGACTGTCTGACAACTATTTATTTCTTCATCGCTAGGTAATGGATGTTATCTACAACGATGATACATTCAATAATAAATGCCTTGCATGCCCTTCCTACTAGAAGCAAGCCCCGGGTCACATCTCATATTTCATGAACTTAGATTGAATCGAAACTCTTCCCCGGAATCTCCATCTCATCGGCTTCCGTACTGTTCTCTAAAAGCGAAACTCCACACCATCGAAAGGAAATGGATATCGATTTGAAGCAAAATAATAGCCTGCGAAACCTCGCCAAAATGCACGGAATGAAAATGAACAATGAATAACGCCAATGAACCATCAAAACCAACGCGCTGATCCAAAGCAAGAACGCCCGCCGTTTTCGGCATGGGGAATGTACAATTCGGAGAGGAGCTGCGAGTCGAAAGGCAGTCGTAAAGTATGAGCGGAGGACGTGGCATCGGGTTTTATGCATTGCCAAAGATTTCGTGACTGTTTTCGATAACGAATTGTACAGCACCGTTTTTGGAGTGCATGTCGGTCATTTCACGTTCCAAGCTGTGATCTCGCATGATAGTGGGGGCAAAGACGACCGCTAGATTCTTAGGTGTCATCTGAAACGTATCAGTGGTGGCTCTTGAACGGGGAGAAGAATAAAGGAAGTGAGGTGACATACTAAATTCTCGCTTTCTCTCACAGCCACGCGAGCAAGATGGAAAATTAAGAATTCAAGACAATCACGATGCTTGGGAGGAAGCATATTGAAGGTTTTTCTGAGATGTGTACAACGCTCTTTGTCATCATCGATAGCTAGATATGTGTTAGTGGAACCCATAAGAAGTTTGCAAGGTGTCTTACAGATCGATTCCAAGACGCGGTCATAAACGTCAAAAGTCAAAAGTGGAGTGGGTAGCTTGCGGAAATATTGTTTGAGAACACTGGTGACCGCAGTAATATCCAAATCAGGGTCCGAAATGTCGTAATCGGTAGTCTTGTCAAATCCTTCCTGTATGATCTTCACCAGGCCACTTCCACCAGTCTTGCGGTATATGCCTTCGATGTCCATTCCACGAAGCTCTACCTCCTCGATGCAACGGGTCACAACACTTGGGATCTGGCGACGTTCATAATTTGCCCTCTCCACCAACTCGGACCCAAACAATTTGGATGGGTCTTCCGCGGGTGCAAAATTCCCGTTAGACATGGATCGTGGCATAGTACCCTTTTTGAACATCCCAAAGCCTTGCCTTGAAGGATCATTCGAAGCCGAACGTGGAAGGCTACCAGATGATCCACCAGCAGGGGCCTCAACAGGTACAACAGTCATATTGTAAGGCATTCCAATGCTGTCGCCAGTCTGGCCCTGCCATTGGTTTCTCTCCGGTTGCTGCACAGAGCTAAAGGCGCCCTTGAAGCCCTTAGACACACCTTTTGCCACAGTCTGACTACCCTTCTTCCAGTTGAACTTCTTTGCTTGGCCCTTGCGAATATTGATTACATGAGGTGCAGATAGTACTGTTGCTGGTTCCATACTGGGATCCTGATCCATAGGTTGCGGATAGCTGTTCGTGGAACCAAACACGGTTGTGCTCGTAGATGGTCTGAGACTGGCATCGTCCATGTGAATAGACACATTAGACTTGTCCTTGTTGTGATGCGTGTATATTCCTAAGCCATTCATTGGTGGTCGGGGGCTCTCTGTGGTGGATCCACTTTGCGCCTTGAAGCGCTCCTGAATCTGGTGTGTCAGGTCGTTGTTCATGTCGGCGAGTTGAGCGTTCTTAGAAGAAAGCTGTTCAAATTCAACCAAAGCTCTGTCGCGGTCGGCCATGATTTGATTCGTCTCTGCCATGACCTGGCTCTTTTCCTCCAAAAGCTTATTACGATCTTCATATAGCGACTCGACCGAGCTAGACATGGTTTGTTTTAAACGCTCTAGCTTCTGAACAAACTCCTTGATGGCTGAGTCTTCGAGCTCTGCAATTTCAAGCGGTTGCTTGGAATCTTTGGCTTTCTCCACATATCCAGCAAGAACTTCCAGTTGCCTAATCATGATCTCAGTTTGCGAGTCCAACACCGATACGGTCTTTCTCTTCTCTATCAACTTCTTATTCAGGGACTTGAGATCCTTCTCACTAACGAACTGGCGTTCGAGCTCAGCTACTCGCTGCTCTGAGTTACGCAGTTGTCTGCGTAAAATTGCAGGATCCTCGCCAAGTACAGGAGAAGTGATAGAGATAGGACTGCTGATCTCCTTTGGAGGATTTGAGTTTTCAGCGACTGTTGGCGTTTTTGGCCAGCGTGGAGACGCAACTGTGCGAGCAGTGGTTTCGCTAACACTACGACCGTGACCCTGGTGCCGGATATTAACGCTTGCTTCACTATTATTCCTGCCATGACGCACAGCGTTGGAAACACGGCGGAGGATGGATTGTGAGCTTTCGTCGGTTTCTCCTAAAATGCGCGCCATATCCTCATCCATTGTGAAGTCCCCACCAGCGCTCCATCGTGGTAGGTTGGGAGAAGTTGAAGCGCCGTTTACTTGGTGTGTCGATTCCTTGGGGTTATGTGAACCAAGTGGTGGTGGTGCTGGGGGGGCTCTGGGTGCCATATAAGTATCGCTAAGTTTCTGTTGAGGACCAGTCGGGCGAGTTGGCGCGCGGGATGGGGGAACAAGATCATCATCCGATGAAGATTGGAGAACAGGCCCGGATATGCTTTTGCCGTTTATAGTTGGTGTGTGACCAGGAGTATCAGTCGAGGAAGCAGTTGTTGAAGGAGATGTCTCCGGGCCAGAAGAAGAACCCATAGAGCTCATTGTTGTTTTCACTGCTCCCGACGAAATCTCCTTACGGGGTATTGACCTCCCTGTTTCCCCTGAGTCGACCCTTTGAACCTCGTTCGAAGAATTGTTTAACTCAATTGATGAGCGAGGTCCAGCATCGTCTCTTCTTCTAGAATCTTGGGAAGACCGAGGTGTTCCAGCCTTTTCGGTAGCAAGAAGTGACTTAGGCGAATCTGTTTGGGGAATGCCGATCGCTGACTCTTTCCGAGATGGTACAGAGGAGGGTCCCCCACTAGATGTTGATCTCGAGGAAGTATCGCCATAGTCCGATTGTGAATTGCTCCTTGAGGTCCCAGACTTCTTTCCTTTGGGTACATCACCCAACCTAAACTTTTCATTTGATGTTTGGCTTTTGTTATGCGGACTGGAGCTTGGGGGAGACGTGGCGTGCTGTACCCGCACATCGTCACTTCCGATCACTGGCGATCCCCTTGCCGAGCCTTTACCTCCTGCTTGGGCCCTATGTATGCTCTCTTTAATCCGTAATGTCTCCTCGGACGAAGGCTCTCGGCCCTTCTCCTGAAATGCAATATGGGGCGAGTCCGCGGTCTTCTGAGAGCCAGATCGTCCATTACTCTTAGAAAGATTGAAGTAGTCCTTTTCGGACACCTTGTTCTCTTTGGTGTCTTTGGGTTTCTTCGATAGATCTCCCCATGCCTCAGAGGTCGATCGCGGGGTAGGATTGGGGGCTGGGCTTGGGTCGAAGGCAAGGGGTATGAAGAGACTTTCTCCATCACCGCCATTGACATCCGAAGCTTGTGATATAGCCGAATGCCTGTGATTACGGTAAGTAGTAGTCGGCAGAATCAAGCCATCTTTAGCTGGCCCGTCACTAGAAGTGCGTTCTGCTGAGGGGTCACGAGTGCGCCTGGAGCTACTTCTCGATGAAGAATCGTGCTGATATGTTGTGCGCGGTCTAGGAGACAGTTCTGTTGGTGTATCATTATCGACAGAGCCAGGAGTATCTCGGTCTGGTGAGAATGCACTCTGCGAGACCGCGTTTGGTGGGAGAGCAGGGAGAGACTTATCGACCAGCATAGGAGACTGGTCGTCCTTTTTGAGCTTTGCGTTGGCTGCTGCCCTTGATTTTTTCCTCCTTCGTGCCATGAGTGATTCGTGACAGCTCATGCAAAATATACCCTGTGAAGTTCGTGCATATCTGAGGTTCTCGATTTTCCGCTTGCAATTCCTACATCGGAAGCACGTCGCGCAAAAAGCCTGGTCACCGGTGAGGATAGCCAAATCTTCAATCTTATTGCCGCAGGCGCTACAGCTGTATGTGCAGTTGTTGCAAATCAAAGATCCATCACCCAATAGCAGCAGATTCGCGTCCGAGTCGAGGAGGGTTGAGCAGGTATTGCACCGAAAGCAATCGAGATGCCATCTGTGGCCAGCTGTACTATCGTTAGCTGGTTGCCTTTGAGAAAGAATGCTGAAACAGTTCTGCGATTTCGCTCATCGACACACTGTCATGGTGCATGTTCAAAGGCAAGATCACCCTGGAATTAGATACATAAGAGAAGGGCAACATACCCAGTTCGAAGGCTTTACCTTCCTCCAGAATCTATGTCTTCGTCAGCGTATGCCCCAAATCTGCCATTCGAATGGATATATTCACTTCCCCACAGCCCTTGCAAGGAAAGGCCACATCATCACTGTCAACCAGGGGAGAGTCCAAATAATCGGCCGGCGATTCCATCTTGAACTCTAGTCGAGACCGTTCAGCAACTCTTGATCAACCAAGCTTCTGCAAAGACTGCTCCTCCTCGAATAATTCGACGATCAAGCGCTTTAGATCATGAATGGAGAAGATGCGATCCCTCCTCGTCAGCCGTGTCGATACGAAGTATGAAGACAACGCGCACGCACGGTGGCAGGAGAATTACGGGAACAGGGGCTTTATTAGTCGAGGAACGATGGTTTATTGAGTGGAGATGCTAGCGGCAGACGGCATGGAGACTGCAACGACGATGAAGGCGAGCAAAGGGGTGCAATGGTAAGCACCCGCATGTACAATATTGTTCGACGGCGACGTTGTTGTGGTTGTAAAATAATTAATGCGATTATATGCAAGAGCGTGGTCGAGTCGTCGAGATGAAAGGGACTACTGGGGCTGTGTGTTCCTAGAACTACAAAAGTACGAAACTATTTAACATTCCAGCCAACCAAGCCCAAATTCAAACACCAAACGAGCATTTACGATTAAATCATAAGATAGGGAGACATTGGATTACCAAGCCGCAGTTTCACTGGTCAAGTTCAATTTAATATAGTAAGTAGTCTGGTTACTCTTCCTTTTGTCTTTTTACGCTCTCTCACAAGTCACAACACGACAAGTATACCAACCCAAAGTATCTTAAAACAGGCCAGGATGTTGCTTGATGGAGTAGTAGTGACAGTCCCGGATTCGCCGGCTTCCTGAAGGATATATAAGGTTATAATTCATCCGCCAAGGAGTTGAGGATAGGATAGTACTCCGTAGTTCGATGCAGGATGCAGTTAATTTTCTTTTGTAGCCAAGAACTTCGAAAACCCGCCTTACCTTACAAACCCCTCATTTGGCAAATTCTGCAGACTCTGGCTACGGGTTTTCCCTCATACCAGAAGGTCGTTTCGTGTACAACTCAATGCAGCGAATGCAGCGCGTCAATTCTTGGGTTCGTTTCAAGTTGATTGTCGCGGGGCTGAAAGCCACTCGGCGATTTCCTAGCTCGCAACCATACCGGCCCGGCATCACTTCCAAACCCTCTTGTTACTACTGCGTGTATATCTGGTGAGATACCATGCTGCATACCGGCAATACAAAAAGACACGTTTTATTAAATGTCTTTAAACCAGCATCTGGTTTGGAGCACTGCAGGCGGTTTGACAGGGTCTGGCCGGGTGCCAACTGCTTGGTTGGTCGTATGCCGGCCCCCTCGACAATCGAAGATATAAGACTCGTGTCCTTTGTACCACAAGATTGAACGGCATGCTTTGGAAGAGTGACAAGACAATAGACCTTGCCGAGATTTCCGTAACATGCCGTGTTACTTGGAGCACGACAGGCTGGATATGTCTTGAGTTGTGATTTTGGGAAATAGATAGCGGTAAATCAAGGCAGGTCTCTTTCCCAATCTTTAGAGTTCTATCTCATTCTGTTATGATATAGAGTATTCCCAGCGGTGTTCCACCAATCGATTTGTGTTCAGTTGTCTTTGAATACTTTGTCAAGGGGATTCAAGCGAATGCAAGTTCCCACTGACTATCTTGGTTTTGTGCAAAGATTTTGACCTTATTCCATGTTCGCACTCACAAGAAGTAAAAAATATGTCCTGAGTAGTATGCGTATTGAGGCACACTGCATTGATTAGAAAGGTCTAGTTCAAAGGCTCTGTGGTTTCTAGCATCGTCCCTGAGTGTACATCCTACAGTCGTCGTAGTGAGTGTAGTAAACCCAACCCGAGGAATGGATATTTCCGGTATAAGTTGGGGTCTAATACTCTCTATGCTTAATGACTTGTTATGGTCAGAAGTGTCTTTCGCCCTCAAACTCCTTCGATACTTGCTCTCTCTTTTCTAATACTGTTACCATTACCCTCACTTCCTTATCCTTATTTTGACAGGACCTACGAGAACTAGTAATGATTACAATACCGATACCATCCTATTAATTCCCCTTCTCTATGTCGCTTGAACATATTTGGTAATAATTTTGAAATTAGCAGCCTGTTAGTGGGTTTTTGCAGGATTGAAAATGAAACAACCTAGCTAACGTAATTTCTCGTATCTCGCAAGAGGTATCTTGATCAGGGACACAGCGTACTTGGAAAACCCAAATCAGAGATCTGGAAGGGAAACTAGAATTTGATTGTTGTTGGCTAGAAGTTTGGAATAAAATTTGTGAGCAGGATCGCACGTTTGATATTCCTGGGCCAGGTCGTGCAGGCCCTGAAAAAAAGCGAAGCCCCCATATTCTACCGCAGATCCTGATCGTTTCTAGGGGATTGATATCTACGTAAATATCATTGTATTCCGGAATCGATCAGGAATCAATGAATTTGACCTCATTAAATCCATGTCTTAATGCTTATCACGTAAACATAAACTAAGCCCACCAGGCCTAATATGTATAGTCTAAGCCTATTTTAGATGTGATACTATAATTTTACCTACTTAGGTATAGTGAGACCATCCCCTATATAACTGACTAATCAATAGATACGGTAAGAATCATCAAATTCAGGAATTTAATTCGCAAATAGTATTAACTTCAATACGGAAATTCAAGGGTGCCGAAACCCTAATCGTTTCATCTCTGTGAGATGCGGTGATACGATTATATTACGATGAGACATTCCAACGGCCTCACCGCTAAAACCACCTGAAATTACTCGCCATCAGCAGCTCTCTGGACCCATGGCTATCCCCCACAAGCCCACAAGCCCGCATGAGTACAAAACCTCAGCTCTCCACCCACCCCATCTTCCAAACATCATGCGCTGCCAAAAACGCCATGCACCAACCAACATATGGCTCTCTTCTGTGGCGCACCTTGAGTTCAAAACGTTTGCGGATTGCGCCATCAAAACGCATTTGATAAGTATCCGGCGCATCTTACCCGAACTAGACGATGATCACCTCCCCCATCGCCCAAAGCAGTGAAACCCCTTATTCCGTAAGCCCTTCCATTAATTCCCATCGCCGATCACGTGGCACGGTTCCCGTTCTAGATCTCCCTCAAGAATCGGGATCGTATCCTGAGAGTTCGAGATCGTCGACAACTTGAAGATTTGATCTGAGCTTCCCACCCGCACAGACGAAACAAGCGCTCAGACATGCACACGTACCGCATCCGTTTCCCGAAAGAAGAGCTGTTGCAATTCGCATGCGCCTCGTCCAGGGACTCGGGGTCGTGTACGTCAAATATAAGCGTGGACGGCCGTCAGCTTACACCTCATATCCCTTTATACATGAAACATTTATGCTAAATATATAAAGTGCGAGGAGAGATGTAGATGTGGCTGAGTAAACGAGACGAGGGAGGTATTATCAGGCTAATGCATTATAATTCAGTACAAATTTACAAAGTCGTAAAAGAAGTAAACCCAAAAAGCAACGCCAGACTCGTGCACTGCAGCGAACACCAGCCCCCTAAAACATCATGTTCATACACAAAACCCCTTCTCAGAACCGTAATTTCAACGCCACACCATCCTTTTTGCCACTAAGCCCTAAACTAAAATACCCATCAACTACTCGCTGCAACCTCGCGTTGCCTCTTTACGATGTAATAAGTAATCAGGCTCTTCGGGTCATCCTTAATGCCTCCCAGCGCAGCCCAGAATCTATTCTCGCCAATGCGAGCGTTCACACTGACACATAATTGTACGGCATCCAGACGGACGCCACTCTCTGAGCTTTCTAAGCATCTGATGGCGAGCTTGCACATCTCGTTGACCTCTCCGTCAGTTGGCGCAAAGTCTTTCTTCGCCTCAATAATCTCTTTCAGGACGTGTAGGCCCATGCTCAATGTTCGGCAACCTTCTAGTGTCATCTGCTCGTTCTGGAGTGTCGTAGTGATGATTGCGGTTGTCTGCTTGGGCTCAGAGAGAGTGACAAGCTCGTCGGCGAGGAGCTCAAGACCGCTGACGATGTGAGCGCGGGAGTCGTAGCAGCTGCGTGTGACGAGAATAGATTCAAGGCCCTTCACCACATGAGGACGAAAACCATCACGTTCCTTCTTGTACATTAGCTTGATCGTAGCTAGGATCTGAGCCTTGACATCTTGGACCTTCTCTGGCGAGAGAGAGGCTAAGGGTGCTTCTAAATACTCGAAAAGACCGAAAAGTAAGACGTCGAATTTATCTTCTGACCAAGCAGCCTTGTTATCTCTGATCATGCCTTGCAGCTTTCGGAAACCATGTACATCTAACGATTTCGCCTTAATCTTAGCAATGCCGCTATCGAGTAGCCGGGAGCTCTGCTTGAATCGTTCTGGCGACATCGGTGGAGCTTTTATTGACTCCACACCATTTATTTCAGTCCTGACTAGATTCATGGCATCTTCATTGACGGCCACCTCTTCCAACACTGGTGCAGTAATAGTCGGCCGTGGAGTTGTTTGGTCATCTGTACTGGAGAAAGGGTCTTCATACACGTGCAAAGGCTTCGGTGGGGTAACTAAATCTTCATCGTCCGACGAATCTATCTTAGGAGGTTTGGATGCTTGAGACTCCGCCAGACCTGTCAGAGTGGGTACCACCATAGTAAAGTCCTCATCTCTTGAGGGGCTTGATCCCATTGTTTTGCTGGTAGCCAGTCTCGGCTTAGGCGGGCTTGGTCGAGGCGATGCAGCTACTTTGCTGACCGTGGTTTTGGCTGGACTTGCATGGCTGGTTTGAGGTGCATGACCTGAGAGGGTGGAATGGGTGGAATGACTTGTGTTGGGTCTTGTTGGCCTCCTCTGCGGACTAGGGTTACTGGCACTTGGCGCTATTGCTTTCCTGGTGGTCGTGGGGCTGGTGCCAGTATCACTGTTGGTTGGTGCATGGGCTGGACGTCGAACTGAATACGGGCCTGCTGTAGCGGGTCTAGCAATAAGTTCAGGCTTTGGAGTAGGTCGGATTTTGGCTCTCCGCATCGGCGCCACAGAGAGGCCGCCGTGAGAGACTGTGGTTGTTGGTTCTGGCCGCGGTCCTCTGACTGGTGCATCCGAAGAAGTGGAAGCGTTGGAAGAAGACGAAACTGTCCGCATTGGGGAGAAACTTGACATCGCGGATCCAGGTCTAGCTTGTAGGTTCTTGTTGGTCATTGCGGCCTTCGTTTTTTGGGCTAGCATTATAGTCTCCTTCAAAGAAGGTTTTGGTGGTCCAGTCGTGCTCTTCGAGAAGCCCATACCTGGTCGAGCAACCACTGGCTCAGCCTTCTTGGGGGGAGAATGGGGATTATCCGGCGCATTTCGCAAAAGCTTTTGCTGGGTTGCGTCAAGAGTGTCCATGATACTAGAGATCCTGTCAGGGTTTGCCACACTAGTCAAGAGTCAGGAGTACTTACGCTTCTGCCTTTGCAGGCCAAATTTGAGCAAATGCCCAGTATGTTGATCGCATGTGCTCCCTGACACCAGGATTCGCGTCTGCAAGGCCTTTCTTGATGCACTTTTCGATTAGGTCCAGACCTCCTGTATGTTCAATGTGATTCTTGTGATGCGACTCCTTCTTCAATAGAGTCTTCAGCCATGCACTTGCGTATGTCCTTGGTTGAACGTTCTTATCTTGGCATGCCAAGTAAATGTGTTGCAGGATCCGGAGATTGTACGAGACCTTGCTAATTATGATATCAACGGTCACATTCCCGTTTTGAGAACTGATCTTCTTTGTCCCACCACATAACTTGACGAGGTTTTGGAGAAGAAGTTCGACCATCGGATCAAGTCCTGGGCCAGCGGTCCTCGCAAGCTCCTGAACCAAGCTACAACCTTCTTTCGAAAGACTAGTTCGTAGTGAGTTTACGGCCTTCAGAATACCATCCAAAAGGCCCTTGATACCGGCGATAAAGGCCTCATGGAAATCGCTAGGGGCGTTTCCAGCGTTCAGCCTGCGAAGTTTCGTGCAAAACTGTTCTCGCTTCAACCAGTTGGCCTCGGATTCTTTACCTTCAAAGAATGGATACATATCTCTGAAGTTATCTTCCAATTCTCTTAAGGTATTGACATATGCTGGATCCACTTTCTCAACCTTCACCTCTATCACGGGGGTTGCCGGTCTAAGGCTGGACGCCATGGAAGAGACACTATTTGCAAACTGCGGTCTGGCAGGAGGAGCTTCTATCTCTGGTTCTACTTGCTCGGGAGGGCCTCCTGGGGCCAGATGGGAGGTGATCGCGGCAACTATTGTCGGCCGAACATTGAAGTTCTTCAATTGCTTCTTCAAATCGGATTTGGCAGCATTTGGGGCATCTCTATCGCAATAGTCAGCAGAGACGAGGGAAATCGCTAACGTTGAACGTACTGAAACAGTGCAATCACTGAATTTCTAGCTGTATCTCTGACCATACCATCGGCGTCCTCGAGCAGATCCATTAATGTTGAAACGAAACTCTTGAAAGGCATTCCGTGGTCTTGGTGCATCTAAGTTGGATATACGTTAGAATCAGTATACGGCGAATCCGATGACGGCTATCTTCACCTGTACGATCCAACTCATCGAGGTTTCCTTCATCCTTGCATTCTTTCCTACCAAGCCAGCACTCTTAACAATTCTCTCTACGTCCATAGGAACGGCTTTCCAAAATGTCGTTAGACACTGCGCCGCAAGTTGTCTATATTTCTCCTTCTGGTCGCCCATCTTTTCAATGACCAGGGGAAGGGTCCTCCCCGCCTCCCTACTGATATATTTTGGTTCTTGACGTGACAATCTTGTTAAGAGGTGATTTAAGGTAGAAAAGCCGGCATTGACAATAGCGGCATGTTGGGAGGTCATCGAGGAGCGCGTGGCTTCAAAGAGGGGTAATACGCAGGCTTCCGGCACATTGTTCTGTTTGATGCCGGACTTGACATTGTTGATTTGATGAACTTTGGCATCGTTGGAGGCATCGGTTCCTAGTATCGCTAGCAGATTTTCAACTTGCTCTTCGGTGATCTTTTCGCCCATTTTGAGATTGGTGAGCGATGTGGGTGGGTGCCTCTGTTGATGTGTTGTCAGTAAATACTCAGGGGCACACAAGCAAAGTTAGAATCAAAATGGCCTACTGTGGACTATTCCAGGGATCACACAGTACGCAGTGAAGGCAAAGGGTTGAGGGCCAGATTTGCGACTTACCAGGCGGGATGGAGGGGAAGTCTAAGGTTGAGGGATTGTCAGTCACATCAAAACAAATATGCTAAGGTCGCGTTGCTCAGGCAGGTGCAGGTACACTTTTAGCATATCCACACCATATCCTTGAAATATGTCCGTGCTCAAAGTTAGATACCTTAGGGTACGGTACGGTACTAGACTAGGCTAAGGATGACTAGCACGTTCTCTCTTCTGTCCAGAATCCAGATACCTGTCCCATTTCTCCATACATAAACTCATTACTACGTACTTTTTTCTATGCGATCTCTTCCTTGCCAGTCTTTAAATCTTTCTCCACACATAACTACTCGCACTTTGGGGAACATTTCAGATTGATCCTCCTGAAACTACGCATTCTATAATACTATGAAAGACCACCCCGCAACAAGCCCACTACCAACCCTTGTCTTCATGCCTCCTCAATCACCCCGCGTTACTCCAATTCCGATTCCAGCTCCTGGGAAGCTGATAGAGACTCCAAATCTAGAGTCTACAGCCTCGGCGTTAGTACCAAAGTTTACACTTCCAAAACTACGCCTCGAAATTCGTGACCTAAACCATGATGGAGCTCAGACCTTCCTCACTGCGGTGACTGCCAACAAGGCCCTCCAGAAAGCAGTTCAAAGCGTCCTTTTTCTCCTCTACCAATCCCCAGACTCGCCCACAACCACTGTCCCTCCAACCCGGTCCGTCACACTCATCATGCGGTCAATGCCTGGCGTTGCGTATACAACGGGCAGTGACCTCGACGGCGACCACAAGGAAATTCACTTCTCCCTCGATTACATCCACTCTTCAGTGAGCAATGATAGAAAGGCCCACGAGATTATGGGCGTCTTGACCCACGAGATGGTTCACTGCTACCAATACAATGCCAAAGGAACGTGCCCTGGAGGACTTATTGAAGGCATAGCGGACTGGGTCAGATTACACGCCGATTTAAGCCCACCACACTGGAAGAAAGAAGCTACCGGGAAATGGGATGCTGGATACCAACATACTGGCTATTTCTTGGATTATCTGGAGAAACGATTTGGGGAAGGGCTAATTCGCCGACTGAATGAGAAGTTACGGATTGAGAGGTACGAAGAGAAGAGGTTTTGGACGGAATTATGTGGACGACCAGTGGAGCAGCTATGGGGTGATTACGGGAATGCTTTAGAGAAGGAAAAGAAGAAGGCGGAGGACGATGAGTGCGTGCTTGTGGATAGAGAAGATGCAGCTGCGCCAACGAACAAGGATGCCAAGGACATCGAAACCACAGCTGGAAACTAGAAGTCGAGGCCATGGTGTTTGGCATATCAGAGATTATCGCATTATCTTCGAATTGACCATGCATGGGAATCAAAGCATTGGAATAAGGGGCTCGGTGTATTGTTGATATCTTCAAAAAATACCAAGATTGCCAGATATATGGAAGTTACCACTCTACGACCAGGATCTCCCCACATACATTATTTTACTCGTACTTGGCTTTTCAAATCAACATGTAAGATTATAACCATACGCCCCAGATCACGCATTTCCAATTTTATCCAGAACTCCTCTGTTACAATTGTTGTCATGTATCATACATCCTCCTTTGCAAGTCTAATCTTCCGAGCTTGCCTGTGGTTCGGCTGGGGTCCTTTTAAATGATATGTGGTGAGCTTGGTGAAGGTGATGCGAAGGGGTCACTTGTGTCTCTCCGAGACAAGGTACGACAGGCACCAGTGGCCAAAGTGTTAGTGGTGGATAGAAAAAGCGGCACCGTATTTATAATGTACCAGGTGGTGTGGGACATTAAAATCGATGAGAATAAGTGCCGCTTGTTCTATAAGCGGATTATAGCAGCGCCTCTCTTTTGGGGAAGGCCGTAAAATACTATAGGAATTAACAAGATCGTTTTCGTACCGCCAAACTTTGGGGATAGTTGGTCTGTTGGTGGGCAGAAGGAAGAGGCTATGAGCTTCAGGGCGTGACTTCAGTTCAATAGGAAAGCTTCGCGAGCCGCGTCTCGTTATTTGGGGTAAAGCTGACTAACAGCGTCAGTTCTATTCGAGATATGGGTAGCTTGTACAATGAGAGATATTGGGGCGGAAGCACTTATAATCGGCGTCCAAGGCTCGGAGAATCTCTCATGCCTTTATTCCTTTTTAATTTTGCTACAAATTGTACCCGAGAAATTAAGAACGCTTTTCTCTATTTCGTGCCTATGTGAAAATGTAAAACAACGATATCTCATCAAGCGCTTGCTCCAACCATAATTATCAGGGGCCGCGCTAGAAGGATTCGCAGTCATCGCCACCGGTTTTGAAGAGAGAGCAACGACCCATAGAGTAGAGGTTGTAGACAAAAGAATAAAGAAACGCTAGCATTGCTATACATGCTGGATGCAAAAACCGCACTTATCCTTATCGACTTCTGATGTCCCCACGAGGCTATTTTTGTAGGAGATTATCATGTACGTATATATATAGATATCCCTCCCTTATCTTGGTTACGCCACTTCCTTACTGTAGCGGGGGAGCAGCGCAGCCACCCCACCCCCGAGGTTTACCGCAGGTCGTCGTAACTATCTACATTCATAGATCTCAACCTGTACTCGTACATAAACTATTCCTACCTCTTTCCCTTGGAATCCCCTCCTTTTCTTGTTGGTACATTTCCAGATGGCTGCCCCCGTAGCAAAAGGTCAGCCACAGCTTTTCTTGTTTCCCAGTGTCAAACTCGTGCCATGAGTGGCGCGCTGATCCTATCACGAGCCCGGCCAGGCAGAGAGTCGAGTGGCGTTGGTAGGTACGCGCAAGTGATTCTGTCTCGAGGCATCCAAACTCCTAAGCATTTACACTGCTATTTTTCGGTCGAATTCTAATTTACGGATAACCACTGAATTTCTGTTTCCTATTCTACGTACCCAAATCGTGGAACAAAATGCCTAACCACCCTGTTGCTGTTTCAGGTGCCATAATCGTGGTCGGTGTTGCTGTAGCTGTAAGTCTAATTATCCTCACTCCAAAACACCTACTGATTCCCCAGGCTGCAATCGCTGTTTACGAATCCCCTCAAGCACGGCAATTCGCCGAAGACGTCCGCCGAAAGATTGCCGTTGCCCTTCACTCCCTAGGTGATGAAATCAATCCCGCAGCCCGACAGCCTCGATTCAACCGTCCTGAAGATGCAGAAGGGTTTATGGAGAGCACAGGGAGTGCCGGGCGTGCTGAGCCTGGTGTGGATGCAGATGAGGAATCTCGAAAACGCCAGAGAGAAGAGCTGATGTACTGGAACGCTGTGCACATGGAGAAGATGGAGAAGGAGAGGAAGTTGGCAGGCGAAGGACCAGCAAACAGAAGCCGGATTTCAAGTTTTGACGATTTCTTACAAGAAGACCCGGCAGCTGAGAAGGGAACTTACGTCTATAATACTGGCACAGATGTAAATGGCGTCTCGGACGATGGTCTCCGAAGCCGCGGTGTTCGAGGTCTAAACCATGGTTCATTTTACGCCAACCCGTTCAGCGATGAGCACAACATCGACTGGGATGAGCAGCGTGCTATCGATGCTAGCCTCATTTCCCCCGAAGCCTCCGAGAAAATGGAAGTCATGTCTGACCTCTACAGCGCACAAGAAGACCCCAAGCCCTCTCGCGAGACAACCGCCACCATCGCCGAACAACTAATTGATACCTCCGAAGAGCCCGTCCCCGACCCACCTGTCGCTCTACCAAGCCTAGAAATGATGCAAGAGACGAACTTTACCAACATGTCTGAACGCATAAGAGACGACTCGGCATATGCTTCAATCCATGCATGGGCCGACAACGCAAACACCAGTTTCTACTCCCCTCTTCCTGTAACTCCAGGAGCCACTACACCTCAACAACAACACGAACCTGTTCCCGGCTCACCAGCAGTCAGCGACCCTCCTCTTTCTGTGCCAGGAGATGGCGACATGACGCCCACCGACTCGGCATCCCTTGCTGGTTCAGGCTCAGAGGTCTGGGCTCCTAGAAGTGGAGCGACGAGCGATGCGGACGTTATGAGTATTGATGGCGAGGGTATTTCTACTCCTGGTTCTTGGACCGAGGTTGGAAGCGTGGTCAGTGAGAATGATGTTGGGACTGGCATTCATCATTAGATGCATTAGCTTGGAATGGCGAATGGAGTGCTGGATCTGGATTTGTATGGACGTTGGCAGAACAGCGCCTGGTTTTGGGACGGAACGGTCTTGCTGGCTTTTAAAGGGGAGTCTGGGTTACTTTGAAGGCATTAGGGAAAATACACTTTTCATTCTAGTACTGGGCTTCAAATATCTTTCAGCCCAACTTTGAAATGCTTAGTGAACGATGAGTGATATGCAACCAAGTCTCCCAGCTAAAGTGAGGCTTCTAACAAAACAAGTCCATAAGGGAGCGAACAAGTCGACGTTGCTCAAGAAATATATTAGTAATAATATACACACGAATCCTCATACAAACCAATCCCTTATTAACTGTTGGTATTACAGGTGCATCGCTTCGTATCACGGACTAGTCGTCTAGTAATGATCTCTTTGGGTTGCTTGTCTTGTATTCTTAGTGGTGTTGTGGACACGAAGAGAATATGCCTCCTCGCTTACTAAGCTACACTAAGTCACGTGGTACACGTGATATATGCATTGCAACATTAACACCACCTTGATCCTACTTATACATCATCCTTTCGGTGTCTAATTTTCTATCCAAGCCATGCCAAGCCGTATCCCCCAAACTTAATCTATACCCAAAAAGTCGATCCAAAAATATATACGCAAGAAACAAACGTTATTAACCGTCATCAGGAAGGCACGCCTTCGTACACAAACCCATTACCACCCCTCCGCCTCGACCGCCTCCTCCCTCTGCTACCCCCTACTACTTTGACGAAGATGGTGAGAGCCGTGACGATCAAAGCAATCGTAGCTGCTATGGCAGGAACCTATATCAAATGCCTTTAGCAGATGCAAACGGATGGGGAGAGGGGAGAAGACATACCAAAATAATCCTCTCGTGCAAATCATCCTGCTGACGCAAACTATCACTATAAGGACAAGTAGCATTCGGCCCACCCTCAACCCAACAACTCTTATAATCCAAACTATTAAAGTCAACCCAAGCACCATGGCCATCGTAATCCCTGTGATTATCCCTCAACGCCTTGCTCAGATAACTATTCTCCAGCGCCGTTCTCGGCGCTGAGAACTGGTAACCATCTGGGCAGGCGTCTACGGCGAAGGAATACGAGGTCGAGTAAGTGGTTATAGTCCAATTGTAAGGCTGGCCGCTTGCACGACATGCGGCGTAGTATTTTTGCGAACAGTCGGCTGCGATCCAGCGGCCTGCGAGGTCGATTTTGGCGGTTGCACAGCGGAAGAGGGATTCGGTGCTTGCGTCGGAGGAGGTGTAATTTCGTGGTTCGTTAGCGGCCCAGGACCAGATCGTGCTGTAGGTGAAGTTTTGGTAGGGGATGGGATTATCGTGGGCTGTGGCATTTAGGAGGGTTACGTTTAGGAAGGGGGAGATGCCGCATTTTACAGAGTTGGTAGTGAGGTTAAGGAGAGAAGTTATGTTTGCTGATAGTGTGGTTGGGTAGTTGAATGTGTCGATGGCCCAGGATGAATTGATTTTGCTCAGTTCGTCAGTGTTGTCTTGCATGAAGCAACCGCTGGTTAAATCCCCTGAGATATCTGCTACCACGTCTGTTTGAATGTCCTGTATGTAGCCATTGGGAAAAATGGTTCCTGCGTCTGCATTGAAGTCGTATCCATCCATTTGTGGGTCCACTCGCCCCCATCCCAACAATAGTCGTTTGCTTTTCGAGAACTCAACATAGCTCGTTGCCGGCCAACCATCCTCAGTTGTGTCAATACCGTATTGGTTTTTTCTAACAGTGTAGTAGTCTTCTATGGGTCTATACATCGTCTGGACAGTGTACCATGAATTATTCAGGTTTGCTCGATCAGAAGCGAGATTGTTTGGCGTGTAGACGTAGTTAGAGAGGTTTCCATAGAAAAGACTACTAAGGGTATTCGAAGCTCCTGGGAGGTCTGTTGGGGCCGAAGGACTCGAGAGCGGAGATTTGTCGGAAGCAGCGGCGTGTATATTTAAAGTTACATAAAGAAGGGTAGCGTCCAAGGTGTTCTCAGTTTGCTCAATAAAGCTCAGAATCTGACTCGTAAAGGTAGACAGATTGATAGTCGTTGTACAGACGTAAGGCCCGATAGATATCAATGGATTATTGGAGCTATCCGGGAGAACAACAACGGTAGGAGAAGCATTCCCAAGGGAGGTTGGAGATGCATTTGAAACGGTCCCAGAGATCCTAGGTAGTTCGGATCCTATAAGTACACTTGACGAACCCGATGTCTCAGACGTAGAGGAAAATTCAGAGCCTGTAGCTTGTCTTGCCTCTAGCATGGACCTAGAAGAAGCGGCTGCGAGCGATGTAGATGTTAAAGTTGCACTCAATGCATCTTTTGAATGAGCAGTAGCGTTTGGTATAGAATCCGGTATGGCAACAGGACAGAATGACCAGACATTTCTCCCCGAATCCCAGTACAAATCGAGTTCAAACCTTCGGAAGCCAACGGCAAGTAGATTCGAAAGACAGTCTCCAGAGCTGTCATCCTCATACCTTAGCCGAGGAAAGCAAGCAGCCTGTAAAGAAACTCCCGGGGATGTGACATAATTTATAGGGATTCTCAAACCCAGATCTCTTTCTGACTAAGAGGGGATTAGTAGGACATACATAGATAGGATGAGAAGTTGTTCCGATTCTTACAAGGAAAACAGTTGAAAGTAGAGAGCCGGACACAGGCTGAACTCCAGGATCCGGAGAGTAACTTTCACTCATTTCGATGTCATTGACGTTGTCGGAGGTCTTTCCGAGAGGCCATCGGGAGAGCCGGATATAGTGAAAACGCAGTAATAGATAGCTTGAGAGAAATGTGTATTCTCAAATCACCTATTAATGAGCAAAGTAGTATCTTTTCCCGATTCACAGCAACATCGCGAGAATTTCCATCCTTGAACGTAATCCATAGCAGGTTCATGAGCCCAGAATGAAGGGGAGCTCGAGGTGAGGTAAGGTGTGTAAGTAGCTTATTTTCTAGTGGACCGGAGCGGAGTCCTGATGAGGGGATGCGGTGCCACCTGTGGCGTCTACATCCCTGCAATCTGGCCTTACAGTAAAGCCGACACGTACATAACTATTATTTCAGCATCGCTCCGCTCCTCCCTCCATACCTCCACATTCCAACAACAATCCGCAGACTGCGTCGCAATAATGGCAACTCCACCCGCCCAAGGAGGTCCTCCCGGAGGAATCAATTTCCAGCTACCGAATGGCCAGCGACCAACCCCAGAGCAGATTGCTGCTATGCAAAGACAGATAGCTATTGACGCAGAGAAGAATGGAATGACAGTTCAAGAATTCGTCAAGAAGTTACAGGCTCAAGCTATGGCACAACAACAGGCTGCTCAGCAACAAGGAGCCCAGCAAGGAGGACAAGCACAGCAACCTCCGCAGCAACAGCAACAGCAACAGCAGCAGGCGCAACAACCCATTACCCCAGGTCCTCCCAAACCTGAAGCTCTCGCAGTCGCCAAGTTTTTAAGAGGCCAGGATTTGAAGACACGAACATGTATTCTGAATGGACAGCGCAAGGACATGTTCAAGGGTAACTTCTCAATTCACTCTGTTGCCTTTAAACATTATTTTAATAACTTCATAGTCAAGCGTGCACTACGAGCTCTACAATCTGATGCCTATACCAAAGCACGAAAGAAGAATCCACTCCTCCCTGAGATTACCGATCGTGCCTCGCTTGAAAATACCTTCAAGCTCCTCCCTCTTTCACTCATCGCTCTCCGAGTGTCCAAGGTTGACCCCCACGAAGGACACGATCATGCCCCGGGAGCCCATAAGACCAAGAGAGTGAAAGGACTGTGGACCGTTAAGATCGAGCAGCAGCAAGAATGTCGCGAAGAGCTACATTTCGTGTGGTTGTATGAGGGATCTCAAATTAAGCAAAAGTTATACGCAGCCGGTGCGCTGGCCGTCGTATTTGCCGTGGTCATGTTCCCTCTCTGGCCCATGAAGATGCGTCTTGGAGTTTGGTATCTGAGTATGGGTATGCTTGGATTGATTGGATTATTCTTCGCCATGGCGATCTTTCGTCTGATCCTCTTTGCAATCACAATGTTCGCTGTGCCCCCCGGATTGTGGCTTTATCCAAATTTGTTTGAGGACGTGGGATTCTTTGATAGTTTTAGACCTGTTTGGGGATGGCAAGAGGTATGTTCTAGCTCTCTTGGGTAGCTTTCGAATATTGGCTAACACATTGGACATAGGAGAAGAAGAAAAAGAAGAAGGCCAAGAGTTCTGGCTCCGCAAATGCAGGTGCTACAATGGCGGCTATGACAGGACAGCCAGCTCCAGCTACAGCAACCACTAGTTCGTCAGCTCCTCAAATGGCCACTGGAACACCAACACAGAGAGGCCTTACTCCCAGAGTGGAGGAAGTCTTTGACGAGGACTAGGTACGAACAGATTGCGATATATTGCGTCTGTTTCGATTGCATAGGGTACCTGCCTGGGCATGGTATTTCAACTGATTTGAGGAAAGATTGGGCGCAAAGGAGAGAGCGGCTCTCTATCATTGATTCTAGCCCGCGAGGAAAAGCATGTATTATAGTTTGTATCTCTATTTCGCAGTACAATACCATCCTACTTCCATTACTACTCGACTTTTAATATGCCGGGCATGAAAAGCTCCAGCCTATCGCGCTAAATGTTTAAAGGCTTTGCTTTTATATAACACGCTTCACATTTTATGATTGCAATTTAATTCGAAACATGTCCATTTTATCATCTATTTATCAGCTTCTATTTCAATATTCCAAAGGATGCCAAGTTTAGGCACATGATCTGCCCCCTTTCTCGCCTGCGTCTGCAGCCAAAATAGAAATGAGAGGAAAGCTGATATGCATACCCTCAAGCGACTCGCAAGAACTCTTTTTAGAAGCACACTTAAAAGCAAGTTCAGTATGCCTTTCCTTGTCTTGAGTTCTACCGTTAGTGTAAACTATAGCACCAAAGCTTCTAGAACATTTCCAGTGCCCATGATACATCCCATAAACCACTCCGTATTCCACCATATTACATCCATCTAGCGGAGTCATGAAAACACGCATCCTTCAGATGCATAGATAATCTCAATGCGAAACGTCCACCATCTCTTTTTCTCAACAAACCAAGTCGGTGGTTGAAATCGCCGCTACGATTATCTATATATATTCCCATTCCTTACATCACCCCAACCAAACCCGCAATAATTGATTGCATAAAACGTGCACGAAGTTCATACCAAAAACACCTCTCACAATCAAAACCCCCGTCGCAAAACCTCTACATGACTTCCTTTTCAAATTCCACATGCGCCCTAAGCCTCCTTCTCACCCGCAATCGTTTCCCCCATTCCTGGAAAAACCTCCCGAGCAAATTGAATTGCATGAACGACTGCGAACAATAGTTGTTCTCCTACCAGCCGTTTCGTTTCCTATTCGTGTGGAATTACAGATCGAGGCGATGTGCAATGAAAAAGGGTATAGTTACTATATATAACTAGAGGTAGGTAGAGCCTCCAGCTAAGTAACACGCCGCGTTGTTGTACTATCATTAAGGCTAGGTTAGTACCTACCTACCTATAGCGGAGACATTTTTTGAAAAGGCGAGCGCGCCAGCTAAAATCAAAGCTTCTGCTGCACTGCACCCGCGTTATAACCTTGGTATAACTAACCTCTCCAAGCTCCAAATAGTCTCATTCTGTCGCAAACGCAATATCTTTCCCAAGACCATAGATTTCCTCATTTTTCTTTATATGTCTGGGAAGAGTATCACTCAAAGCATATGTGTTGAGATTTTTATTGGGATCTGTCGAATGGATATGTTTTGCGTAATGGTTTTGTCTTTTTCGAGATTTGTGGGTATTTCCTAGTTGGGCGAAATTAGAGATTACTACGATGTGCAACGTACCGATGTAGGTGATGCTGTATTTGGCCAAGCTTTTGGCTGGTGGGTTGGGTGGTTGACGCTTGATGTAATGGATGTTATGTACCTTACCTTAAGCTGGACCAGTTTTTGAAAAAGTATATCTGCGACTACTTCATAATGGGCTGGAGAACACTTTGCTATTGCAAATCGCTCACGCTTGTATTTTTTAGTGTTGAAATGTATTTGCCTTTCTTTCTTGTTTCTCGTTTCATTCTTTCAGTTCTAGTAGAGAAATTATGAAAAGGTGGGGGGGGGGGGGGGGCGGGACTCTTGGGGCATGTTAGAGCCGTCTTCAATTCTTTTTGCGTATCGATGCAATGCGGAAGTAGGGGTAGTGGGGATTCAAGGTAGAGAAGGTTTCCGGCGCCATGTAAAGGTTTGGTTCATGAGCGCACTTGACTGCCACAACCACTACGAGGAGAAGTGGCTTGGGTGATATCTTTTCGTATTAGCCAGGGCTTTCAAAAGCCCGTTATCAGTGCAAAGTAATCCCTAGGTATTCTTACTCGAGTATACCTGGGCAAAAGCAAACAAGTTGAGCGAGAAGGAGAAATATGAGTATAGTACAAGGAATGAATCAACTGTCTATTATCCTTCCTCGACAGCTAATCGAGTAGCAATTTACTATTCGACATTCCTTCAGGGGGGCATATTGAAATAAGTGATCAAGTATCACAAATAAACTTCCTACGGAACTCCAACGTTTAGGAGATCATAGAACTCAATTTTATTATTAGGGAAGCCTTGCATTCGCAGTGATCTTCTTTATAATCCATTCTTGATGCGCCTGTCCCGACCAGCCAGGTTGTCCAACGCACCCAAACGCGCAAACTATGAGAGACGCCTATACCTAAAGACAGCTATACTCCCAAGTTTTTGTCGTGTCCACTCTTTCAATCCCGAATCAACGCCAAGCCCGCAGTTTCCAATCCCAATCCAATAAAACCAACCTCGTCTGATGACGGTGATTATTCACTCTTTATTTCCGTGTTTGGGTCTGCAGTGGCCGGTGTTGGTGGCTGCTCTTCAGAAACAGAGGTGGAGCGAAGTAGGTGTGATGGTGTAATAGGCTCATGAGTAATAGATGAGTTCGCATGAATTTCCGCTACATGACGCTCTGTTTCAATAATTAGCATTTGGTAACCAAAAAATACCATGATATCAACTAACCCAATTCCCTGATTCTTTGACGCAGCATCTGGTTTTCCCTCACCATCATCTGGGTCTCGGCTTGGTAGAAAGCACTTTCATCACGTCCTGCTAGACTGAAAGGCTCACTATTTTCTCCGCTAATTGATGTGGATCTAATTCGGGGTGAAGCCGTTTGACTTGGAGTACGCGATCGTCGCTGTGCGAGATCTGCTCGGGCCACATCGAAAGAGGTATGAGGATGAAGAACCGTAGATGGCGAACGGGGGGTGGATGTAGATGATTGTGGCTGGGGAGTAGGGGCATTGGTGAACGACAGCGACCGCTCTGATGTTGGTGTAGACTCGTCGATGACAGCAGGGTTCGAGGATTGGCCGCTTGCTGCTTGAAGTTGTTGGAGATGTTGTTGTTGGTTACGTATCATCTGAAGAAGGCGGTTCTGCATCTTATTAGCAAATCTTTCCGATACAGCTTAGCATCAGCTACTACATACGACTTGCGCTTCTTGCTCCTGTTCTATCTCTTGATGTATTTCGCCCAGGCTAGGGTTACGGTTGTGGTGAGGATCCCCGCTGGGAATGAGGGGTGAACCAGTCATAGAATGTGGACTGGATGTACGATATGAAGCTGTATGTCCTTCGGTAATCATTTCGCCTGGAGATGGTAGATTTGGATCATTGAGTTGGAGATTCACGAGCACAGCAGAGCGTCTGCGGCCCGTGTATGATGGCTGTCGATTGCGTGGGGCGGAGTTGCTGGCCGATCCTAAAAATCTATTAGCAGACTCAGGTTAGATAGAGAGATCTAATGGAAGCATACGGGGTACGGCTCTAGAGTCTTCTTGTTGTAAACCAGCATTAACGGCGGCGGCGGCTTGAAGTGAAATTGAAGTGGAGCGCGGTGAGGGGGAGGGACTTTGTCCCCGTAATGCTAATGGTGCAGACTCTCCCGAGCTTGATAATGCGCGTCCCATGGCTGAGGAAGATGATCTGGAGGCAGGTAGAGAGTTCAGATCTGGAGCCATCGCAGCAGGATTCGCGGTGTTTTATGGCTCAAAGGACAGGATGGCGGGGTAGGTGAAGGAAGGGACCGGGATTGGCAAGATTCGATTTGGAGGATACGAGTATGAAGGAAGAAGTCGGAAAAAGAAAGGGGATATCAGCACTGAAATGAATGGCTATGACTGTTTGTTACGTAGGTGGGTAGAGGTAGGCGGTGTTCAAGCAAACAAAGTATCCTGACAATCTGAACTTCTGAAGGCTTTAGGCCTTTGAGGAAGCTGGCTGTGCTTTGCTTTGAGATGAATGACGTTCAGCTTACCTGGGTACACCAGTACAAAGGTCTGAGCGGCCGCATTTTCTCGTCACGGGATCGGGGCTAAGAAGCGCATCCCGCCGAAACCAGGCCAGCAAGGTCAGGCCACAGCACACAAGTGGAGGAACTTCAGCTTCTTGGCTCTCAGTCCAGTGAAGGATTTTGGATAGCAGATGATGACCCATGGCGGTGAAGGTCATGGGGAGTGCAGATATTTCCAGTCTTGCCTTTTCTTTTGGGACATGATCTACAATGCAAATTTGCATAAGTACTGTACTCCGTACCTATACGTGAATAGGTGCAGGCATTAGGTACTTACCAATCATCTGAGGCACTAGGAGGTAAGTGTAGGGAGGTGAACTCGGTGAGGTACCTAGGTACCTAAGGTAGGTATGTAAATCTATGCACATACCACTTACTCCGTACTCGAGGTGGAAAAAGACATAGGTATCTCTTCCCGTTCCGAAAAGCTATCTCCTAAGTTCTACAGTTCTACTTTCACTTCTACTTCTACTCAAGTAAAGTTGCGGTTGCTCCTTACCGGTAGTCTCGTTTCGATTTCCAAGCCTTCTCTCTGGCCATCTAGGGTTTCCCTGTGCTTGAAATTGCACAGACCAGGACTCGCGAAAGGGGGTTTAGCCCTAGATCTTACCTGGTATCCTTGTGCCATATCATTGTTACCTTATAGTACGGAGAGTGCCGTACGGAGTACCGTAAGGCTAGGCTCCTGTTGGTATTATTAGTAAAGGGAAGTAAGTGTATGACTTTCAACCTCTGGCTGATTATTATTCCTTTTCCCTTTCCTGTCCTGTCCTTTACGAGGACACATTTTCTCTTCTCGTCTTTGAGTTGCTTACTTCGTACCTAGGTACTTAGCGCCTACTATGTGTGGACCCTTGTCTTGCGGCTGCATCTCGACAACCCCTCGACAGTGCTTCTGGCTTGTGACTCTCTTGCAGAACGGACGGATTTACGATGCAGGTGCAGCCACGCTAACCCGGGGACTACTGTCAGGCACAGATGCTCCGTGCGACCCGCACTGAGCAGGGCGTGTCCTTTCATGAGCATTGGGCGCCGAGCAGTTGAATTATCTACAGAGTATTTACAGAATAAGAAAAGAGTCGTTCCAGGGTACAGTACCCCGTAATATGTATAATATCCCGTCAATCGGAGATTCAGCCTTCTACTCCACGCTTACTCTACGCCTACTGAGTACTTCGTACCTACTTACAGTTACTACCCAATGTTTTTAGGCGAGGCGGATGGTGAAAATTTTGGTTTCAAATAATGCGGCCGTTGAGGGTTTGATCACTTCGTACTGTACTGCGGCACTGTATGGATAGTCTACACAGGCCTGCTTCCCATTGGGCAAATAATAGGGCTCCCTTGGAAACGGCTAACCTGTAGTAGTGTCTGTTTCGCTTCTTCCGACCTTTGCAGACAAAGAATTAAACTTTGTATCTTCGTATCGATCCTACCCTGCCTTACGGAGTATGACTCGAGTCCTCTGCGGAGACATAACCAGTCGACACAACATACTTCAAAGTAACTTCTTGAGCAGTCAAGCGTTCCCTGCTCGCGGAACTATAAGCAAAGAACAGGGCTACACACATCCAGTTAGTTTACCGGTACTATGATCCTTGGCCTGATGCTGAGCCCTGCTCACTGACTAGGGTCCACGCTTGCCGGACCGCTGGGAAATGCACACCTCGTTTTTATTCGCAAGGGCAGGCCTCTACTTCTGACCAAGTGGGTTGAGAGGAGAAGCGCTGGGAACCTCCATCCCTGAAGAAGTCTTCGACCGGGGGTCGTTACTTAGTTTGAACTTCATCTTCTGCTATCTTTCCTCACTGCTCGTGTCTACCTTGTTTATTATACTTTAATCTTTCACCTCCTTTTTTCCACTCGTTGCTTTTGAAATGTATATATCCTCATAGGACGCGCCGTCTACGCCGTTTTACTGCATACTAAGTCTACGCTAAGTGTGATATGAAACGGCTTCTTTTCTTTTCACATAGCGTCTTGTCCCAAGATCACCCCACACGCGTCAAACTCTTCTTTGCGACCTCGTTCCATGTCCTCTGACCAGCAACGATTCCTCACCCCAAGTCGGTCTTTTTTACACGCCCCTAGTGACAGAAACTATATCTACAAGTTTACCTTAGCCACAATCTCAATTGACTAGATTGTATGTGTTTTGTGCGCGTCTTTGGAAACCAACATATGAGGATCTTAAGCCTATTCGCTACCTAGGCATCCTGTTGCGAAACATTCTGGGGAATGGCAAGCCTCGACATTATCTGAAGCTTTGAACTCCGCACCGCCCTTACAGCACAAACAAAAACAAACCCGAATGTCGAGTTCTATACGAACAAGAAGAGTTGAAACCGTTGCAATGGCCAATACCCATGCCGAAAACCCATTTCAGGATACTGATCCATCTCATCGATTCAACCCTCCCCAATCTAATTTTGGCTTCAAACGCCGCACACGTCCACCTCCAGTACATCTTAATGGTGTAAGAGATGCGGAAAGTCGGGTGCCTTTGAAGTTGGAACGGCCAGAATCGAAAGGTGGATTACGTGGAATCTTTAGCAGGAACAACAGGTCAAATGTTACCCTTGACCCAGCCCCAGAAGACACACCTCCAGTTTCTGCATTCTCTGAGAGGTCGATGAAGGCTGTTGCAGAAAGAAGTCTTCCTCGAAGCCTGTCGGTAAAACGAACAACGACTGCCCAAACGAGGCCAGTCACCCCGAAGCCTACCACTAGGCTACCTCGAATGAATCTGAGATCCAAGTCTGTGAAACAGGCCAACGTGCCTCCTAGCAAGAAACCGATTATTCCATCGAGGACGAGTAAATCGAGTCCGAGGTCTACGAAAACATACCCACAACCACCAACTCGTACATCACCTACTTGGGATCCTCCACCTCTTTTCCAAGCATACCCACAAGCGGTCAAGCATGCAACGCTGTCTGCCTCGACGCTGTCCGCTGATGCAATATTGCGAATAAGTAATCACAAGCGGAATAGTAGTGTACGGGAAGAGACGACCCAAGCTCGGCAAAATGGGGGCGATCCAATTGCAGCTGTAAAGAAGACGGAAAGGGCGAAAGGCAGACACCGAAGGCAAATCTCTGGCTCAATATCTAAAGCAGATTGGACCCAGAAGATTTTCATTCTGGTCACGTCAGGGTATCTTCTCCAATATGCGGCAACTGGCTCATTTGATAGACTGCCAGAAAAGATGATGAAGCTTGGCAAGGAATCGGTTGCATTTGCAAGTGATGTAATTCCAGGAAAACATTGGGTTCTTCAAATTTCTCAAGCAATGGACTCCGATGGAGTCCCAGCTGCTGACTCCCGGTCCTTGTTGTCAAGGCTCACTTTTAGGGGTGCTGATTATCGAAGAAGTGCAACCAGTTTACTATTAGTTCTAAATAGTGCAGAAGACATGGATGCCTGTAAGTCAAGTTTCCATACAAAGAAGCTACATTTTATGTGCGAGCTCCAGAGCCGAGAGCTGTGTTAGGAGCAAAGGAAACGTATTCCGCAGTATGGAATCCCGGCTCCTCAGACAGCTCCCGAACTCTGTAGCTTATTAGACCGATTCTATTTTTGTTTTAACATACTAATTCGTTGGGCAGGGATGGCTGTTGTGCGAAAAGAGATTGAGGCCCTAGGTGGCAAGAAGCTTGTTTCTGAGACAGGAAAACCAAAAGCGGATGGCAATGTGATGCAGCTCAAGGAGCGGCCGAGTCATCGCTATTTAGTGCAGAAGGATCCTGATCAGTTTTCGAATCCTGCTTCCCCTCAAGCTCTCTGCTTTGCCCCCCCTTGGAACGTTGAGAACCCAACTGGAGAAACAATGGAAGATGCTGCATCTACTCTGGTCGATCCAGAACCTCCGGTGATTCGACCTTCAACTGGCCACTGTTCTAGAACGAACAGCACCACGTCGCGCGATGAGCAGCAGCTTGATAATTTGAGGCATAGCACCAATCGCCTCTCCTACATGTCTTCTGGCCAGCGAACTTTGATCTCTTCACCAGCTACTTCACCAAACAGAGAGAGTTTCTCAGCATCTGAGGATATCCCTCCCAGCATATTTACTGAAGAATCAAGGCCAAGACCAATTGCGTCCGCCATCAATGAGCGCCGAAGGTCCATGCAGAATATGCCTGTTCCACTCCTTGAAGCACATACGCCAAAAGGTTACCGACATTCGACCTACGGAGGCCCTTCCCGCCCAATTCGAAACCCGTCGTCTCCTGTTCCTCCAAATTTCAGTATCCCAACCTCGTCCATCCAAAGATATACAACAATTAAAGGCCCTGTTATCATAATTCCAGGACAACCCACTAACGAGATGCCCATCAACGAGATTCCTACCATAATTACGACCACACCGACTAAAATATGCGAGGCGTTACCCCAGGGGCCTAGGAAGATACCACCAGTAGCACTGAAACTAACCGTAGCCCAATCACTCCCTCTTGTCAAAGATAGCCAATCTCCTCTGCACCAAATGCAGGTCTCCACACCCACCAAGTCTTTGGAGGATGTATCACAAATCAAACCACGGACTCCGAGTGAAATTGCCTCTTCACCAAATGAAGTCGCTGATTCATCCCGCGGTTTCAGCGTATTGCCTCTGAATTCACACGAAACTTCGCATGTCGGCTTCCACCTTCCTGGTAGACCCTCGAGCACGCGTACTCTAGTTGATACAGAAGATCGACTCCCAGAAGCACCACTACGGCCTGCACCGCCGTATCCATCTGAAGCGCTGTCAACACCGTTACCAGTCTCACCACCTATTACTGAGATGAAGGAAGAAGCGAACGTCACAAGTGCTCACACAGAGAAAGAATTACTGTCACCACTACCAGCTATCACAAACACGAGAATTAAGCTCCGACGTCCAGTAAGCATGCAAATTCGAGCTACAGAACGCTCGCAATCTCAGAGCCCTCGATCAATACCCAAATGTACGTTGACGCCCCGAAACCGGCCATTGTTGTCTCCATCGAAAGAAACGACATCAGCATCATCGCTTCTATCACCATCAATGCAGCGCTTGAAATCAGCAGGGAATGCGAAGTCGTTGGCAAATAGAAAGAGCATGCCAGTACTTATCAATGGGCCACCTGCTCCCCCGCCGTCCTGCGCATTGCCACCACTGCCACCAGGAAGTAGTTCGAGCAGCTTGAAATCTCCCGCTTCGGCGAAGAGTGTTAGGGCTTCCGTGCCTGCTTGAGAAGATAGTTTGTCAATTTATTGTATCCTTTTTCGGTACACGTGTTTTAGAGTTGTATCGGATACCTAAAACGCCTTTTTCTTTTCACACCACACGTATCGTTCGATACCATTTTATTGTGTCAACTTGTATAACAGGAAATACTCTCCGAGAGGAAGAGGGCAAATACACCTAGGTATGGGAGCGAGCAATGGCGTACTGGGTGCGCAACAGAGATATTGTAGATGGACCGAATACATTCATTGAGATGGTTTTTTTGTGGATTGTTTTTTGTTTCCTTGGCGGGCATCTGAATGAGGGTTATATGATTGAGACGAGATCTGAATGTATTATTATATAATGACTAGTGCTGTACAATACGGAGAAGGAGATAAAATAAATATACCTATATCTATTAAGCTAAGGCAAAAGATCTGCAATAACACTCCCAAGGACAAAAACTTTGCATTCTTCATTAACACACGTAGTGCAGTAAATTGGAAAAGAAGCATCAATGAAATGATGCTAACTCCGAGTGTCAGCCTTGCATATTCAGCCTCGCAGATTTTTACATCACCACCTTTAATCGCATTAACGAACGATAACACGACATTTTCAATGTCCAAGAACGTAAATCAGAGGACTGCATTGCAATTACAATGAGACGATACGTATGAGCACTGAAAGCCTATACAAAGCATGTTTTCTCGGGCTCTGGGGAGTCAATTGGCAGCCAAAACTGCGTGGCGGGGCTTCGCAACGACCGCAGTGAGGGAGGCTGATTTTACTCATGCTGTATGTCTCACGGGAACTCCGCCGAGTAGGGCTAATCTTAGTATGTACAGATCATTGGCGGCGGTGCAATTGGATTGGCCATTGCAAGACAATTGGCAGGTAGAGATGGGACGAGTACATTACTTGTAGAACGAAATGGTGGGGTTGGGATGGAAACAAGCTCACGGAATTCAGAAGTGAGTGTTATTACACCACCGAAGAGTATCTACTGACCTACTCTCTAGGTAATACACGCTGGGCTCTACTATGGTGCCGACTCCCTCAAGACAAAGCTCTGCATCCAAGGCCGCCATATGATGTACGACCTCTGCCAAAAGCACTCCATCCCGCACAACAACATGGGCAAATGGATTGTGGCCCAGACAGATCAACAGTGGGAAGAATTGGTCAAGGTCCATGAATTTACACGCAGCATCGAAGGCGTACCTACCAGCTTCGTCTCCCTAGCAGAAGCAGCCAAGCAAGAGCCTGACGTGCAAGCCAAAGCCGGGATCCTCGAATCCCCAACAACAGGCATCATCGACTCGCATGCATACATGCAATTCCTACTCGGCGATTTCGAAGACCGCGGCGGCGACGTAGCGCTCCAGTCCCCCGTCGTCGCCATTACCCCCCTCGGGCAAAACGGCAGCGCGGGCTGGGAAGTAACCACGAAAGACAAATCCTCGGGCGAAGAAAGCACCTTCACAACCGAGATCCTCGTCAACTCCGCGGGTCTCGGAGCTTGTGATATAAACAACATGATCCTGCCTCCCAGCAGACACCAAAAGCAATACTACGCCAAAGGAAACTACTTCTCCTATGCCGCCTCGCAGCCCAGCACAAAACACCTCATTTACCCCGCGCCCGAACCCGGTCTCGGCGGTCTAGGCACGCATCTCACGCTCGACATCTCCGGACGGATTCGCTTTGGTCCGGATGTGGAGTGGGTAGACAGTCCTGATGATTTGAAGGTCAATGATGCGAGATTGCCGCAGGCTATTGAGCAGATCAAGAAGTTTCTCCCGGGCGTAAGGGAGGAGGCTATTCAGCCGGATTATGCGGGGATTCGACCGAAGTTGGGACATCTCTCGGCCGTTGCGACTGGGAAGAGCTTTTTGGATTTTGTGATTAGGAGGGAGGACGGCTACGAGGGGTTTGTAAATTTGCTTGGGATTGAAAGTCCCGGGCTGACGGCCAGTTTGGCGATTGGGGAGATGGTAGAGGGGTTGTTGTATAGATGATTCCAATGAGTGATGAGAGATATATATGATACTATGTTGTATAGAATATTCACAAGATTTAGTTAGATTTGATAGTCTCGGGTTCGTAATCAAGCAGTATTCTCAACCTCATATTTTCTGTAGTTTGAGGTGTTACTTATTCTCAATCCCAAATACGGAGATGAGGGTGTGATCACTCCCTTCACATCCTTAATGATCCCCCACAAGAGCAAAATAGCTTTCGTCCCCATCTTCATACGCACCCCCAGCAAAGAACATGCACTTCCTAGGCCCTATAACAGGTTCCACCATGTGTTCTTTAAGCGCAGCGACAAAAGCTTCAAACTCAGGCGTGCTGGTGAGACCCTCATCATTATAGAGATGGAAAGTCAATCCGTCGTATTGCCTGAATTGGAGCAAGGGTCTACACCAGTTTGCTACCGAGTCCAAATCGGCGGTCCAGGTAGCTGCATCGGTGTCCTCGACCTGGCCTGAAGATAATGTTTAGTAAGGATCGCTGAGATGGTATAGCTAGAAATAGGGAAAATCACCACTAGTCACCACTTGCATAGCCAGATCTAGCTTCGGTTCGCCTTTATACTTCAAATCTGAAATCCCCACATCCCAGCTCCACCCGCCTCGACCAACTTGATATCGTTTGTACATCCTCTCCGTATTGTTTTCATAATAGCAGCGGGAGTAGTAGAAATAAATAGGTTCTCTCAGCATGGCTGGCTTGTCTTCTGGTTTGGGATCCATGTGAAGCTATTCCAGTATCAGTAATAAGACTACGAGGGCGACGGCAGACACTTACAGATTTTCGCTCCCATGGATTACTAAAATAGTTTAAAATACCGTTCCACAATTCGAAATTCTCACTACTTGCAATGTTGTGCGGAAGAGCTAATTTCAAGTGAGTTATGGAAGACCGCTGGGGTTCGGAAAGGCCGAACAGGAATGCGTCGGCTGTTTTAAGGTCTGCGAATTGAAAGGCGGTTTGGGAGGAGAATGTTGTTTCTGCGTCTGGAAGTTCGAGGAGAAATTGCTTGCAGGTAAGTCTGATGTCGGGATAGTTGCTTGGTCCAGTCTAGAATAGTGAGTGAGTGTCGCTGCAGGTTGTAGGATAATTGAGGTCTGGACAGGGGAAGAGCAAACAAAACTTGACAGGAATTTGTCTGAGATGTCTCAGAACATATCTAATATGCTCCACCTGGCCGAACAAAACCTTTTACTTCCAGAATCCCATGACTTATGACATTCTCCTGTCCCGGACAAAACTTCCCTGGAATCCTCAAAACAGACAGGAAAAGAGAACAGGTAATTAAGAGATCAAGTAAGGTGAAGAAAATCAGAACCTTACAATAGAGCAATTAGCATGATCTCCCACACCAGGCGGACAAGCCGAACTCCCCGCACCCTTCTCAGCCCTACAAACATGAAAGCAAAACTTCCCTGCCTTCCTCCCCCAAAAAGACCATCCAGCTCTGCTGGGAGAAACATGAACAACATTCCCTAGAGCTACCTCGGCCCAAATCTTGTCCCTAATCTCTCTAGGTAGATTCAAAAGAGGAGAATTGGATTGCCGCTCGCACGCCCCTCTGTGAGCTTCGTGCCTTTCCGCCTGATCCGCGAGGACTTGGGCGTTTTGGGCGGGATAGGTGTCAAGGAGGAATTCCTGGAAACCGGAGAGGAGTTCTGGGTCTTGGTTGAAGAGACGGGATACTTGGGCGTGGACTTCCTGAAAGGGGCGAGGGTTGCTTTCGTAATCGCAGAGGATTTCGTCGAATTCATCGGCGATGTTCCAGCGCTGGTCGTCCAGGTGTTCCTTTAGGGTTCGTTAGCTAGCTATGGGGTTTTATGATATTGTAAGTTTAAAAGGAACTTGGTTTCAAGGGGAAGAACTAATCGCGATTTGAGGAGGATACTCGTGACTAATGGAGGTGTTGTTCTCAGCATGAGTGGAATTGGGTTGGCTTACCTGGACTTTCTGGCGATAGTCGAATGATTCCATAGTGGCATGCAATCCAGAAGTTATCGAGTATTAGACTTGGGTGACTTGATAAATGATAATTTTATGGTCAGTTGGGGAAGAGACTATTAGTGCGAGATACTGCGGTCTATGTCAAGGCAGCACAGCACACCAAGTCATGTGCTCACGCGACCCGCTAGGCAGCTTGGAAGTGGGGGTATTACAGTAGGCATTGTATTGTGTCGAATACTGTCTATTATTCGCTATGCTAGTCTCCAACTTTCCTATTGAGAGGGTGTTGGCTCCAGTAACTAAATGATGGGCTATTTTGGTACCCAAGTGATGTACACGTTGTATAATATGCCAATGCTTGCACTCCTTACGCCGTGTTCATTCCGCCGTGTTCATCCCACCCCCCGCTATCGTAACACCAGACTGGGGAACACTTTCCGACTAGCTATGTTCACATGGAATTCGTGAATTCCATCCTCAGCGCCGACATAGCTGCACTAGTTAGTCCAGTCTGCGGCAACAGCAGGAGCGTACTTACAGTATCCGGCCATCCTGGCTCCAGCTGCATCCCATCGTCTCAAGAGACCCATTCCGCAGCATACTCCTCAGCACACTACTGTGCCCGCCGCGAGACTCCGTTCCAGTTTGATTCAAGTCATCCGAGGGACGCCATGGTTGCCTCAATCGTTGCGCAAAGTCTCGTCGATCTTCATCCTCTATTTCGATTCTCAAACGCGTAGACCGGTCAAGAGGGGGATCCGAAGGGAACCTAGCTCTGTAGAGAGCGTCTATTTCTGCCCAAGGATTATTAGGTGAGTCGGTTCCACGAGGCGGTTGACGGGACGGCGTTAAAGTCAGACGTTCGAGAGCGGATGCTGTGTCGTTATTGTTTCTTGGAGCATCAGGTCCCAATGTTTCCCGCTCAATCGCACTTTCTGCGGCGGCCAACTGAATCAAATTAAGCCGCCTAGGCTCCTGTTCAGCTTGAGATCGCCGTTCTCTGTCTTGATTTCTCTCATTGATGAACGATCTGAAGGAAGCCGCAGATCGCTCTGGATTAACAAATTCTCGAAGAGCGGCTGGTAAATTTGATGTTGATATCCGACGCTCTGCAGGTCGGGATGTATTTGTGTTTGTTAGAGTTTGAATATCTCTCAATAAGCTCAATCTTGATGAGCTTGCTCTCTCTGAACTTTCTCGTGCTTCATTTGCCTCATCCCTTTGACGTCGAGCGATTCGATGGGCCTGAAGCACCTCTAATTCTTCGGTAGTTAGGGGAGCTTGATGTCTGTCTAACATCTCACGAGTCAAGTGTCTGAGTTGCCTTCTTTCAAGATCCAGTCCCAGGTAATCCGGAGTGGTACTATTCGAAGGAGACTCCGCGCGGAAACTACGGAGACGTGGATCTATTGCACTATCATTCGGTCTTGATGTCACAAGTGCTCTTTCGACTCCTTCGGCATGTGAATCGAGCGAGATGACCTGTCTTGTAAGGAACATATTCCGAAGGTCTGCAATGATTATTCTCTCACTCGATTCGGTCCATACAAGAAGGTCGAATGGTCCTGGGGAGAACGACATTGCCCTTATTGCTCCACCCCTTTGACCTGGCCGCGAACTTGTGAAAACTTTCAGTAATGAATCGACATTTTCGTCCAGAAGTGTCACCGTATCAAATATTGAAATGACACCGTATTGTGTTGCAATAGCTAGGTACTTGCCCGAGTTTGAGAAGCATGCCGCAAAACTTCCTCTCATATCAGACTTGTCAGACTGCTTTTGTCCTTCTAGTCGGAGACGACCTTGACTTTCCCATTGATAGCCTTCATCCACAGGGATATGACCCTTCCAATGTGCTTTTCTCTTTACCCTTGTATGTAGGTAGAGATAAGGATCGTCACAGATTGAGACAAGCAAAGTGCCATCTGGAGATAGAAGAGCTCGGTTCACAGGATCCGGCAAGTCAATTTGGTCTAGGATTTTGGATTCAGCGACATCAAGAATGAAGACCGAATGGTCATTGTTGGAAAGTACAGCAATCGGTATGTCGTATGCGGCTTCTGACGCAATGGGACTGGGCGACCAAAGCTCAACACAGTTGACGATCTCTAAGCCAATTTTCGAAGCCTTGGAGGAAAGCGGCCCCCGGGGCCTACGAGACGAGGAGAACAACGAGCCAATTGACGAAGCTTCTCGGGCTGTAGTACGACTTGATGGATCCAGATCCAGAGGCAATCGAGCATCAGGATCTGTATCTCCTTCGGCCGCAGCCCTCTTGTTGTCATCTAAACATACAGACACATATTTTCCGTCATCCCCCCCACAGCACAACCAGTCCTTCGAGGCAGTAAGACATCTTGGGGCAAATGATAGCGTCGTTATGATCTCGCGTTCCTGCTTCTTGGTATCGAGCCGGATGATTTCGTTTCCACTAGGGTAGTAGACTAAGTTCTGCTGCGGGGAGCTTATGAGGGAGCGCAATTGCCAATGCCTATATACATTATTAGATCAACTGGTTCCCAATTCTTAAAGTGGCGTACTCGGTCTGAATTGCAGCTCGATAGTATTTCCTGGGCTTTGGGAGGATAAAGTCTTCCGTAGCATTATGTCTAAAAATGGTGGTCAGTATACGTGTTTGCGTTGGACAGCCATCTAGCTGGTTGTACAGACTAAACCTACAAGCTTTCCTGTTTGACCGCCATGCTCGCTGCCCAGCGCGTGAGGTCTAACTTGTAGTGCTCATGAACATCGATACAAGCCTCGGTGGAGGACTGGGCAACCGAAGATAGGAAACAGTTCTTGAGATGAAAAGTATTTTGTTAATATGAAGGGAAGGGTGTGTAGGGGGTGTTGCCACCGCGGATTCCTACGGTACTTGGTCTTCGTATTATAGTTGGATGATAGTCTGTGAGGCTCGCGTCGGTTCGATGCCACCATCGCCAACAATTGCGCCTGTACTAGTCGACGTCAGGATTTGGTGGAGCAACATAGAAGTAGCTAGCTGGCCAGTGCTTATTTGTGATTACAGTACGGAGGTACGGCTCGGGCGGTACTGATATGCAGAGTTGCCTGATTTTGAGACCGTGACGCCAGAAATACCAGGTCAACGGAAGTCCATGGAAGACCACGCTAACGAGCCGGTCAAAAAATTTAAGTCATCTTTTTCAACCCGAGGGTTCTCCTTCTTTGCATCTCCATCTCCTTTTTCAAACCACCTCTCCTGTTCACCACTTCACTACCTATTCCCATCCAAACCGCATCCTGTTCCCATACCTGTTTATTTGTAGCGACTACTCCTGCAGATATGTTGTCCTCTAGATTCGCGCGAGCTGTAAGTTGTCGCCAATTTTGATAATATCGTCACGTCCATTGACATTCCAATAGCTTCCTCGAGCTACATCTTCCGCCACACGATCATCAACACTTCTCCGCAAACCTTTTTCATCCTCATTTGTAAGATATAACTCGGAAGATGGCGACAAGAAGATTAGGGGGCCAGTTATCGGTATCGACTTGGGTAAGTCTTCAATTCTAAAGCGCCGCTCTTGACGCAATCAATGGCATGCTAATAAACCCTCTAGGTACCACCAACTCTGCTGTAGCGATCATGGAAGGCCCCTCGGCCAAGATCATTGAGAACTCAGAAGGTAGGCAATATAGTCAAGTCCAATCCCTTCAGCCCCTGACAATCCATAGGTGCTCGCACAACCCCTTCCGTCGTGGCATTTGCCCAAGATGGCGAGAGATTAGTTGGTGTCTCTGCAAAACGGCAAGCTGTTGTAAACCCAGAAAACACATTATTCGCCACAAAGCGATTGATTGGGCGCAAGTTCACCGACGGTGAGGTCCAGCGTGATCTTAAGGAGGTTCCATACAAGATTGTACAACATACAAACGGCGATGCGTGGGTTGAGGCACGAGGCCAGAAATATTCTCCATCCCAAATCGGTGGCTTCGTCCTGCAGAAGATGAAGGAGACTGCCGAAGCTTACCTCACCAAGCCCATTCAGAATGCCGTTGTCACTGTTCCCGCCTACTTCAACGACTCTCAACGTCAAGCTACCAAGGATGCTGGTCAAATTGCCGGTCTTAATGTTCTCCGTGTTGTCAATGAGCCAACTGCTGCTGCTCTTGCTTATGGCTTGGAGAAAGACGAGGATAAGATCATTGCAGTATACGATTTGGGTGGAGGAACCTTCGATATCTCGGTCCTCGAGATCCAAAAGGGCGTATTCGAGGTCAAGTCGACCAATGGTGATACCCACTTGGGTGGAGAAGATTTCGATATCCACTTGGTCAGACACCTTGTGCAGCAATTCAAGAAGGACTCTGGCATTGATCTTACCGGTGATCGTATGGCTATTCAACGAATCCGTGAGGCCGCTGAGAAGGCCAAGATTGAGCTGTCCTCTTCTATGCAGACCGATATCAACCTCCCATTCATCACTGCCGACTCTTCCGGACCCAAGCACATCAACTCCAAGCTCTCTCGATCACAACTCGAGAAGCTTGTTGACCCTCTCATTTCCCGCACTATCGATCCGGTCCGCAAGGCCTTGAAAGATGCCAACCTTCAGGCCAAGGACATCCAGGAAGTCATCCTGGTCGGAGGTATGACCCGTATGCCAAAGGTCAGCGAGTCTGTCAAGAGCATCTTTGGACGTGATCCTGCCAAGTCTGTCAACCCAGACGAGGCTGTCGCCATGGGTGCCGCCATTCAAGGTGGTGTCCTTGCCGGTAATGTCACCGACGTCCTGCTTTTGGATGTTACACCTCTTTCTCTCGGTATCGAGACTCTCGGTGGCGTCTTCACCCGTTTGATCAACCGAAACACCACCATTCCCACCAAGAAGTCCCAAGTCTTCTCAACAGCAGCTGATTACCAAACTGCCGTCGAGATCAAGGTTTACCAGGGTGAGCGTGAACTGGTCCGTGATAATAAGATGCTTGGTAACTTCCAACTTACCGGTATCCCACCTGCTTCCCGAGGTGTCCCACAAATTGAGGTCACTTTCGACATTGATGCTGATGCGATTGTTCACGTTCACGCCAAGGACAAATCTTCAAACAAAGATCAATCTATTACCATTGCTTCAGGGTCCGGTCTTTCTGACTCTGAGATTCAAAACATGGTTGACGACTCTGAGCGATACGCCGAATCCGACAAGGAGCGGAAGAACGCTATTGAGGCTGCCAACCGTTCGGACAGCGTCTTGAACGATACTGAGAAGGCCCTGAACGAGTTCGCTGACAAGCTTGACAAGACTGAAGCTGACTCCATCCGCGAGAAGATTACCGCTCTCCGTGAGTTCGTTAGCAAGAGCCAATCTGGCGAGGGCAGCGCCACCGCTGCCGAGTTGAAGGAGAAGACCGATGAGCTCCAGGTGGCGAGCTTGAGCCTTTTCGACAAAATGCACAAGGCCCGCGCCGAATCAGGCGAGACTCAACAGCCAGCTGGTGAGGCGAGCTCCGCAGAGGGCGAGGCCAAGGACGGCGAGAAGAAGCCTTGAACAGCCGTTTAGAAACATCATTTTATTTTCACATTTCTAGCGGTTTTGGGCGGGCTCAACTAGACTTTACGGTCATGTAATTATTGTACTCATATGTCGCACGTGGCGACTCTTCTTTGTTGTCATACCTACATGCTTTACTACTGCTTTTGGGCAAACGGCGTTGGAGCGCGCATTGCTCTGCGCTAGGAGCCAGCGTTCAGAGCTTGTGTGGTGGAGAGTTGCACAGAAAAGGGTATACTATAGCTGTATGAAATAGGATAAGACGAATAATATGACCTCTCCTCTCACGCACTTCATGGCTCTCAGTTCCTCGAGTGATAATAAGTTGCGGCAACCATGCTCACTCAGCAGGGCCCAAAATGCAGCAAACAATGCGCAGGAAGAGAAAGGATTGCAGAACAAATAGATGAATCATAACCATGCCATGAGGCAAATTAGAATGAAATGGATCTGTTGTACTTTGCAATTCCATAGAATGTCATCCTTGCTTTATTCAAGTTTGTTTTCTCCGATATGCTCCTGTTCACACAGTCCTGTCCGGTTTGAACACCGGATTTGGCACTATTACATCAACCGCTGCAATATATATGCCCTAGATAGAATCTGCTTTTCTGTCGACTCAATGACTGTCTTTAAAATCCGTAAAGTAGCAGTTTCTTTGAGAATATTCATTATTATACTCAAGGCCTGCAGATTTGGTTGTTTTAGGGCAGAAGAAGCGAAGGGAAGTAGCGCAGCTCAGCTCCACTGCAATACAAAAGAAACAGAATGCAACAAAATGAGTCAAACATTCGTAAACTACTAGATTGCAATTCCATTACACATATACTGAGTAATCCAACAAGAGGCGAAGAAATTGTGACTCTTACCAACCAACAATCTACAGATCACGTGTGATAAATTCGGACTAGCGAAATCGCACTACCAAACAAACATTCTTCCAACTTGACGAAAATATACCCGGACACGACCTGAGCATTTCGAAAACACTGAGATATTTCTCTGCACAAGATATCGAGTCAAATCAACGCGTTAAACGCACCTAAAATCCCCCGAAGATGGCCACTAAGGCTATTCCCACCAAGTAAGACACACCCCTCTCTTTCTCCACCTGCCACCAACCTTCTAACCCTCCAACAGGGGCGCCGACTGGGCTGATGATGAAGATCTCGACGATACCGTAGATGCTCTACCTCAAGGCACTACAACGACCAACAAGGACGGTACCAAGACGATTGTGACATGGCGATTCAACGACGATGGCAAGAAGGTCAAGACAACCCGCCGGATACGATTTACCACACACAAGGAAGTCGTCAACCCTCGAGTGGCAGAGCGGAAGCAATGGGGCAAGTTTGGATTATCGGCCAAGGATGCAGCAGGGCCAACAGCTGATACAACTTCGTATGGGTCATCACGATATGTCATTGAAAAAAAACTAATCTCATTCTTTAGTGTCGGCGAGAACATCATATTTAGACCGAGCTCGAACTGGCGAAAAGATTCAAAGGAGGAGAAGACCGAGGCCGGAAGCATGAAGGAGAAGCTTGAGGGCAAGAAGGTCAAATGTCGTATCTGTAACGGAGAGCATTTCACAGCAAGATGTCCCTTTAAGGACACCATGACACCGGTTGGAGAGGAGGGCGCAGCGGACCCGGCTGCTGGACCAGCAGATTCTGTTGCCGATGCAGCTGGTGGTCTTGGAAAAGGAAAGAGCTCATATGTGGCACCTCACTTACGAGGAGATGGGGCTGGTGCTGGTGCTGGAGACAGAATGGGTGGTGGCAAGTATGAGCGAGACGACTTGGCTACGCTTCGTGTCACAAATGTAAGATCCCAATACCTTTCCATACTCATTTCGTTATGTACTAACTCACTATGTAGGTCTCGGAGATGGCGGAAGAACAGGAGTTGCGGGATATGTTCGAGCGCTTCGGACGTGTCACAAGAGTCTTCCTTGCGAAGGATAGAGAGACTGGTCTTGCAAAGGGCTTTGCGTTCATTTCATTCCAGGAGAGAACAGATGCTGCGAAGGCGTGCGAAAAGATGGATGGCTACGGATTCAAGCATTTGATCTTGAGAGTCGAATTTGCAAAAAAGGCGGCGGCTTGATTCAATCCAGGACCAAGTGTATTGTACAGGGCTATTACGAAGACATGCCGAATTCTTCTCCTATGGTCATGAGGCTAAGAAAAGGCTATAGGAGCCACAAACTAGCTCGTAATGGAGAGTTAGCTTCATATATCAGGCATTTCACGACCACTAGTCAGTCACCTGAGGACTTCAAAACCTGAAACATTCCTTCATATGATTCACAGTAACTCCCCTCATCTACCCTCCCCGCCCTTTCAGGCCCGGTCCGAGTATCCCTGTGGCTTCTAAAATGGTTTGCCTATTTTAACATTTCCATGTTCTCGTTCCACGTTTCACTACATGCACTTAGATCAGATCCCCTACTGAGTGCAGAGTTTCTCTTTGCGCTGTTCTAGCCCTATCTTGATTAAACGCCTCCAACATGTTCCCACCGCTTTGTTGGGTATCGAAGGCACATGCGCGATCGCGCGTGAGGCGGCGATTCCGTGTTAATTACTATCAGCCTCATGGGCTAACAAACAGACCCCAAACACATCATGTATATTTAGCAAATAACCGAAAGGTCCTGGTCCGAATCCTTGAAGTCGAGTGGCAGGTTCGGTGGGGACTTCTTTAGGCTATACTCAATCACGAAGGTATGGTGGCGTGCTTCCAATACCACACAGGATCTCCGAATCCTTTATCAGCTCCTCCCAGCCGAATTCTTGCTGGGCCGGGCATTCATACCGTACCAACGAGGCTGCGGCATAATGAATTTCTGTACGGCCTTCTCGCTTGAAGCGCCGTGTGAGCAAGACTTATTATGATTGGGTACGTCGGATACCTGTTTACCTAGAGAATGCCAATAAATCGCATTTCAACTTTACCAATTCACTCCACTTGAGCAAGGACTAAGAAGCCTCCGGTCAAGGTAAGGTCGTCTCAGGCGAGCCTCGTTCCACATCACTCGGCCAAGTCTTTGATATCTGTTCTTGTCCTCTATGTAGAAGGACAGGCAAAGGGTTTGTGAAGTAATGCAGTTGCCTCCGCCCGAGGTGCTTGCTGCTCTCCCAAAACCGAATTATGTCGACCCCGTCACGAGGGGTGATGCCAAGGTCGTTCTTAATGTTGTTTTATACACCATTTTGCTGGGCTTCATTGGGCTTCGCATCTATACGCGAACGCATCTGAGGAAGTTCTTTGGCACTGATGATGTGCTGATTCTGGTTGCGCTGGTAAACTTCCCCGCCTTGCGCCCATCTTGTGTAACCCATTGACTCTGACACCTGGGGATAGATTCCTACTTCCGTATTCTTCATTATAAGTATTCTTGCGGACACAAAGTTCCACTGGACTCGTCACTCTGTAAGTAGTTGAATTGGACCCTGGTATGCATATGGAGCAGGTATACTAATGTAGTCAGAATGATATACCACGCTCTGAAATCACCCGGGGATTGAAGATCGTCCTTTGTGTCGAGTTAATGTTTGCAGCGGCATGTACTTTGACAAAGTTATCTATGCTCGTGTTTACCTATCGATTGCTCGCATCTTCTACGCGGTTTTGGCGGAGAGTCACTTCCGCTGCAATTGCGGTGGTCTCATTGCAGGGTGGGATTTTTTGCATTTGTTTGATCTTCCAGTGCAGGTCAGTTACTTCTCATTGTTTTCATTCAGATGTCTTCCTACCAAAGCCGGCACATTTTGCGTTCCTTCAAAGTTGTCTCGGCAATTACAACATATTTCCATACTAACAACCCCTTCAATCTAGGCCACCGTCACATTACTGGAAGATAACGGTTAACCCGCAGCCAGAATGCATCAGTGAAACCTGGTCTCTCCTCATTGCTGGTACAATCAATACCTTCACAGACTTTGTTGCAGTGGCGCTTCCCATCCGAACGGTCTTGTCCCTTCAACTACAAGCCAAGCAAATCATCCCAATAGTGATCCTCTTCTGTTTTGGCTTCCTGTCCTGTTCTTTCGGGATCGTCAGAACCTACTACACCTATAAGGTCTCTACGAGCTATGATCAGGTCTGGGATTCATACCCCGTATGGATAACTGCCGCCCTGGAGTTATATATTGGAATCGTATGTTTCGTCCTTTCCTTCCTTCACCCAGTCACACAACATTGCAGCCACTTACCTAATCCCAATACCTAGATCTGCGCCTCAATACCCGCAACGAAACCCTTCTTCTCCACCATCCTCCCCCACATCTTCGGCTCCATCGACCCCCTCTCAGACCGCTCAGCCTACAACTACACCTCCGCCTCCCGGCAATTCAACCAATCCCGCAGCGCCAAGATGACGTCTTCGACTGCAGACACCGATGCCGAGCACGGCGAAGAATTACTGAATCTCGACAAAGCGTTGGGAAGTAGGAACGATAAGGGTGTGGCTTTTAGCACGACTACGATTACGGGGGGTAGGGGAGATAGCGAGTCCGAGGCGCCCGAGGAGTATTTGAGGATACGGCAGACGGTCGATTATGTTACGAGCCAGGGAAGGAGACGATGAGTGAATAGGGTTGTTAATACGTGCATATGAGGAGTATTGGAAGGGCATTATAACATGGAGTCTTTGGAGTGGGCAGTTGTACATATATACTGATACGCATAGATGCCTTGAATTTGCTTGGATGGCGATACCCAGAGTGCTTTGTACGGTTATGAGAGAGACGGGAAAAAGTTGCGATAATGAATGTCAGCATCAAGATACCCAACCGTACTGCTGTCTGCTCACATTTATCTTGCGAGCCCTCGTGTTTAAAAGTCTCATTTTGCACACAAGTAAAGCTTAGAGAAAGACTGGCCTTTAAGAAATAGAGGCAAATGCCGAGTTGCTAAGCAAAGAAGAAAGGAGGTTGACATTAAACGTAGATATAGATGAAACGTTATTATAGAACTGTGGAAGTTGATAATGACGACGAGCTGACATAGCATTATAAGCTCCCGTTTCCTCGGGTTATGGACTGGGCTTTGGTAGCTTAGGTGTTGATAGACTTAGACATATTTGAAATATTGTATATCTGAAGAACAGGGGTTGAGAGCATTGCGGAACCGAGGCAGAACTTGGTAAACTCAAGAGTGATACAAGGAGTTCGTTCGCGATGAGATTGTGTCACTTCTGAAGAGAAAGAAAGAGGCGAGCTAGGACAATGAAGAAGTGTCAAAAATGTTAATGTCCCGCAAGTCGCTTTATTGCATTCTGATATAACTTCCTGTCCGTCAAACCACACAAACGAAGATCCTCCCTGCTACTCTATTTACGGATATTGCTCGTCCCAAATTACTCCTCACCAACCAAGTTAGTACCCTCTCTTAATCCCTCAACAACAAGATCGTGACCCTCTGCCCGACGGTAGATATCCTTGACATCATCGGTCGTAGTCTCAAAGTGGCTAGTAGCGTCATAGCTCTTGGAGATGAAAATGTTGTCGTTTATTCCGCTTTCTAGAGGCTCGTAGAGTGGGATGGAAGGACCCTGATACTATTAGTCTCTAGATAACAGTTAAGATGGAAGGATACTTACCATGAACTTCTCTTCAATTCGTCCAAGGCGTTCAAAGCCAGGTGCCAGTTCAAGATGGTGGTTGGCTGAGGTCTCAGCAATAGTCGAGACAATAGCGATGTAATACCCCTTCGGGCAGACATTATGGGCGCTTGAAACGACAGCGATGTAGATATCTATCTCGTTATTTTGTGAACTCGAAAGCCAATCTGAGCCAACATACCGTTTTTGCGTCCAACTTGAGACTGGGGAATAATCAGCTGACATGAGTCGCTGTTGTCCGTGCCGGCAAGAGGATGGTTCAAGATACAGATGGCCTTCAGGAGTTGTCCGGTTACCTGAGCCTTGCTGGGGAAGTAAGACGGATCGGCAAGAATCTTCTTGCACTTGGTGGTGAACTTCATTGGCTCCTCTCCTCCCCTGTCCTGCATAGTGGCCTTGATGCCCACTGCCTTATCACCTTCATATAGAACCTCGTCAATGTTGGTATTGAGCATGTAGGTTCCGCCATAAATAGCGGAAAGGCGGGCAAAGCCTTGCGGCAGCTCTCCAAGACCGTAAAGGGGGTAGATGTATGGCGACTTTCCGTATCGAGACACCGAGTTTCCGTAAAGACGAATACGCTCGATGGTCTCTGGGCTGGTACCCTTTTCATTAATGTAGCTGTCGGTTTGGTAAAGGGCCATAGCGTGACCAATGAAATCGCGAGTACCAGCCTCGAGCCCGAATTTGTCATATACGTCCTTCATTGTGCAGGTGTTGATGTTGAGCCCTGAGGGAAGTTAGCGAATACTCTGTCAAATAACCAATATATGTATATACCCTTGTGGCTTGCAGAGTCTTTAGCATCGAATGTCCCAACCCACTCAATGAAGCTCTTCATGCGTCTCTTCTCGAAGATACCCATCAAGGAGGATCTAAGCGCCTCCCCCGCATCTGAGGGAACCTTCGCAACAGTGGCCTTTGCACCAGAGCCTTGTTGCACATAGCTTCCAGCCACTTGTTTGAATTCGAGGTATCTTGTGACATCGGTGGAAACGAGGATGTTCGTCAATTCGCCACAGGACATCAAGAGTTTGGGGACGAGATCAATGTTCCAGTCGTTGACGCGTCCGTACTTCTTCCATGGTTCCTCGCCCTTTGTGTAGTTTCCGTACTTCTTGAAGAGCTGAAAAGAGTTAGAGGAGTTGGCAGAGACTTTGGAGCGGGGTACTTACAGTCTCGATATTGACAGAAGCCGCTTCGCTGTTTGTTTGTTAGTTTGGCTGAGGTTGGGGAGCGGTGGGCTCGTACCCTCCATAATGGTCATTGCGGTCGATATGCAATACTTTCTTGCCTTTGACACTGAGAACACTAGAAAGCTTGTCAGCTGGTAAGGCCATAATCCCAAGCCTTAAGCTGCATACCCAGAAAGCACACATTCAGTCAAACCTAATTGCGGTCAGCTACCTCGATGCCCCTCAGTGCGGGGTCGTTGCATACCTGTTCCAAGGACAATAACATCGTATTCGGGGGCAATATCATCCATGGCGATGTCAGGCGGAGAGAGTATATCAGGGAGAGAGGCACGAGAGAGCTCTTAGATTGGGATGCTTGGAATATTCGGTGAGGACAAGCTAAAGTTGTGTCTTGCTTGCAGTGATTATCGCCGGTGGTTGGCCTCGCTAAAAGGTCTCAGTGCACCAGGTGTTTATGCGGCTAGGATAGTTGTATCAACAAACTTATGCTAGGCCTAAAATCATTAACATAATATATATGCGTCGGTAGATTATAGTACAATTCTTTTTTACAAGGTCTACTCGCAGATGCATGCTCCTATCTGATATCCAGCTCATCAGTAACCTCAATCCCTTTTACAGTACACAACCCCCATCATTGATAGGCTAGGCCCGCATATATCTACAAATGTAAACCCAACGTTTGTTTACGCCCCTGTAATTTCGTACACCACCTTAAGCGTTTGGCTGGTTCTTCACCTCTGGCTTCGCTTCTGGCTCAGGCAGGTCGAGTGCGGCTCCAGTTTCTGGGGATGGATCGTACTCGGACTCGTCCGTGAAAGCATCCTCTTCCTCAATGAAGTCCACTGGCATATAAGCTGGACCATCCCCCGAGAGGTTGACCTCCGGGTCCTGCTGTGCAACTTTCTCTGCCTCTCTCCAAGAATAATAGCGCTCTGTCAGGGCCTGCTTGATCCCTCTCATAGTAACTCTCACCTAAGATAACAATCAGCACATGCCCACTCCATATTTTCTCACACAGGGAAGACTCACAACACGATCTCTCGCCTCACTCTCAAAATCACCATATCCAGCCTCTAGCCTGTGCCTCTCATAAGACTCCGTGGCAATCCTATTTCTTTCCTTACAACACACCCACCACAGCGAATGTAGATCCTCCCAACTCTTATTCCTTAGCTCAACCACAGCCCACGATCTCCCATGCGCGTTATCCTCCTCTGGGGTGTTCATAGGCTTGTCTCTGCTGTGGAAAAACTCCCATAGTCCATGATCCTTATCGACTTGCGCTTGGGAGCGTTTCTTCGGGTCGAGTACGGGTTTGGGGAGTGGTGCCTTGGAAATTGAGACTGGCTGGCGTAGACCGGTATGCCTTTGCGTAGAGACTCCTCGTAGGGGGTTGTTGTCTCGGGGGTAGAGGGAGCTGGTGGTACTGGAGAAAGGGGAGCTCTGTTGAGTTGGAACGAGCATTGAAGGTAGGAGGAAGGTCGGGGGCGTTTGCGATATCCTGCTGGGCTTCAGCAGCCGCCTTGCTATAGGCCGTATAGTTGTAGATGCCGACATTGTGGATGTAAATACACAATTGCAGTGCTCTTGCTGGCTCAATTCGCGAGTACAAGAAATATTTCTACACGTGTTTTGGGATTAGGCCCCCGTAGAATATTAAAGTACGGTGCCGCATTGGCACCAAATATACATAAACCGGGTAGATCATCTAGATCTCCAGGACCAACACTTCACATGACGGATGTGTTACACAAGAAGTTCGGGAAATTCTTTTCTGCTCGTCGCTTTTACAACCCAGGGGTTTCACATGATTTCAGGTGGCAGACGCCTTTTCGCCTTTGGGTAACGCCAGGAGCCAATGAGTACTTGTTCCGCACCGCTTTCTCAACGTCTCAGTACAACCTTACATGAAGCAAAGGCGAAAGGTTATTTCAACTGTCAAGTACCTACGTACTGAAGTATGTAGCCCAATTAATATAATTTTGCAAATACTTGTCAAAGCAAAAAGTGATGAATGCAACCTAGTATGGCTAAATCATCCCGAGGTAGGCATGGCACCAACTCAAGAAAGAAGAGGGAAGTTCATCTAATCATCACATAATATTACTTTTGGTACTTTTCTCATTGTGACATACATGGTGCTGTTTATACTGCTGCTTTTGCGTAACCCAGTATGCAGGCGTCCGAACCTCAACATAATTGCGACTCAAAACGCCTGGCTAAAGCAACTCCCTCCAAATTAGACGGTCTGATTACACTTTCCTCTTAACTGGCTGACGTGGGCAGAACCAAGCCCTTAATTCAATCCAATACCCGGCTCACTGCTGACCCAGAACCAGTAAAGTAGTCAATGTCTTTTTTACACAACGGCTTCTTTACAGAAGGAATGCAAATCCTGCTGCAACGGCACCAACGAGGCCATGGACCGAGTTGGCGGCAGCCGCATTCGGCGTAGTTGATGCGGCACCTGCTAATCCGGTAGAAGTTGACGATCCAGAAGACGAAGAGCTGGTGTTCAAGCTGCCCGACGCGGCAGAAGTTGACGATCCCGAAGGCGAAGAGACAGAGGCATTCAAGCTGCCAGACGCGGTACCAGATCCCGAAGAAGCTCCAGATCCGGATGCTGAGGGGGAAGCAGACGCAGATGATGTGATTGTGCTGCCAGGCGCACTAGTAGAAGATGGAAGTGCTGATGAAACAGAGTCAGACGCCGAGCCGAAAGCTGAGCTGACAACCGATGTTTGGGACGAAATTGCGGCTGAAGTCGTCTTTCCCGTGATCATGGCACTTGACTGAGCAAAGCTTGAAGCGTAACTTGACCGAGCAAAGCCTGAAGCAGTGCTAGAGGCGGCTGTTGTGGACGCTGCTCCGTTCAGCTGAAGATAACTTGGGGAGTAAGTCGCTGTCCCTGAATAGGCAGCGCAACCCGGGACTGTTGTCTTTGGGGGGGCGCGACCGCCGCCGCAGTCAATGAAAGCGCAGATTTCACCACTTCCTGGAACATAGTAGAGCACAGATGCTTCCCCATAAACGTCCTTTGTCAATGAAGAGACGCAACCAGATAAATCAGTCTTGGCGGCGGCGAAACCCACCAATGCGACGATGAAAAGTGATGAATACATTTTTAGGTAGAGCTTGTAAAGACAGTTTGGCGCAAAAAGGCGATATTGCAAGTTTTGGAGATAACTGAAAAATTAAGCTTAAAAGGGAATCCTTGAACGAAAGTGTGAAGTTGGTTTCTTGATTAGGTTGTGGAGAAGCAGATCAGAAGGAAAGGAAAAATCCGACGATTTAAAGATACTGCTGCGGCGCAGGCTGCGGCGCAGAATCTCTAAGCGACAGGCAAAGCTTGAAGTTGAAATTAGATATAAGCTCCTCACGTGTCCTTCGTATTTCGGAAGAGTCTTAACAGCATCGAATTGGGCTATTAGAGAGACATCTGAAACTAGTCACTCTGCACTTGATAAATAGTAATTCGGAGTCAGTAGAGGATATGTGATGGGAATGCTAGCAGATGCTAAAGGAACTGTAGGTCTTATACAACGAGAAAGCCAACGCTTCAGAGTAGTTTACCATCTAGCAAACTATCAACGATAATCAAGAGACGTATAATAACTTGAAAACATAGTTAGATAGGAAATTTCAAGAGTACCATATTTAAAAGTAGCGAATAACGAGAAATTCTAACGTGTAACCGAAACTTACGTCCTCTGAGGTAGTCAAAAGTCCAACGACTAGTATAGTAGGTAGAGAAGTTATACAAGGCTGAAAAGTACTTGACCACATTTCCTAGGACACCAGAAAGTTCCAAGTACCGTACAGATATTGGGCTTCTGAAGAGATGAAACCATGACCTTTACCTCTAGCACTGCGCAGAAGCATGAGATTCGAGAGACAACCTCGATTTGAGCAAGGGGACGGTGTGTAGATGTAATGCGACCCCTGGACATTTGTGGCGCCATCAATGCCAGTACATGACTCGGGGTCACCTTATGGCAGCGTCCTTTCGTAAGTCTTCCGCGTACACTTGCGTTGCCCTCGACTCGAGCGGAAACAGCGCGCACTTAAAATTCAAACAACTCCTTCCAGGACGTCCGCGAAGAGTTGCAAATGGACAACGGGCCCCTGCGAAGCTCTTGTTTGGAAGTAAATTTACTTCGCGTGTGCGCGGCCTGTCCTTGGTATGTATTTAGCGCTACCAGAGTGACGAGTAAAATTGAGCTGCTTACTGACCTAGTTCCTGCCGTATCGTAAATTGTGGACGCTTGTTTACGTTTAAGTGGACATAATTACCGGTTTCCAAGGAGGAGTCCAATCCGTGGCACTTTCAGCCCATCCGTAGGGATGTCGTGCAGTTTAGGAACAGTGGAAACAGTAGAAAAAGTGGAAAGAGTGGAAACCAACCACGTGTCTTGGCATTACAGTACAGTACTTGACAGCGCTTATACTCCGGAGTGTATCGCAGATGAGGCTTTTGATGATTCGATAAATCTTTCAAAATTGTATGATCTACATTGGGTTTGTTGGGCTTGAGAAAGTTTATACGAGACGTGGCGGGTTTCTGGGAAAATACTTCGGAATGAAAATGTTGGAAGCCGAAGAATTCGGCGTTTGTCAGATCATTGGATTTGTTCCTTGCCATGATGAAGCAAAACAAAGCTTGGAAGTTAGATTCTCGTGAAGTCGAAAGCAACTCTACGCTGAAGATCTTCCTCAGGATGACATCCAAATTTGGCATCAGTTTCTTGATGAAGTTGCACTTGCGTGGCCTTCGGAGATAGCTTCATATTAGAAATAGCGCCTAGGAGTTACGGTATTCATAAAAAGATCCGGAGCAAGCTCGGCAAACGTTTGAATATATGCATAGGATAGTAGTTATTCAAGGGACAAGAATTCTGTCTTTAGAAATAAGAAAAGCAGAGAGTGATTGTTAGAGTAAACTTACTCATCGTTACAAATGAATTAAGAATGTCAAACTGCGTCTATCGTCAACCGGAAGCATTACTTATAAATCTACAAAGTACCGTACTTGTACTTTTCAGTCTTGCCCTAACTCGCGGCATTCTTCCGGCTGGTACGTATCGTTGGCGGCGCTATTGGGTGATGATGCGTGTTCCCTGCTCACTCCCTGGTCATCGATAAGTTGCCGTAAAGTTTCTTTCCCGTAAGGAATTATTCAAGCGGCAAGCCAGCCAGCCTCACCGAGGAATATTTTGAGTCGTGAGTCTTGACATGGTGATGACGCGAGCACGATTAATTAATCATAGGATCCTATCGTCCTAAAGAATAATCACGAAGAAATTTCTGCAAACACTCGCCACTACTGTAGGTGGCGGATGAAAATTGGCCACTACTGTCCAGAACTCAAGGCTTGCACAGAAACAGCACATCTTTGCATCTAGTAGTAACGGGCGGCCTTTGAGATTTGCGTTGTTCGGCATAGTTGCCGAAAGATAATATTAATAGACGCAGACAGCAGACACCTCCGTCATTATCGGGAGTCCCAAGCGGCACTGTGAATTGGAAACTTATCCTAATGTAGTAATCCGGGCTTGTCATCTGTTGGCACATGGCCGGATACAGCATGAGCCAAACCACTCAAGTCACATCCGCACGTATCTGCTCAGAGCTTGAATCCGGGGAATAATCATAGGCAGGCATAGCCATAATCATAACCATAGCCATAGCCATAGCCATAGGCTTGTTTAGAAAGACAGGAAAGGCCGGTCGGTGAAGATAAAACGGTGAAGATAAAATGTTAGCTGCATTTTCTATAAGCTAATAGGAAAATACCGCTTGCGAATTCCATGCTAAAATAGCTCCAGCCGGACTCTTACGGCCTTTCTCGGATTCATTATTATCTCTTGCACCCGGACGTGACGGGATGGTAGACCTCAGGTGAGAAAAGGCTGCTAACGAATCACAGAGTGCAAAGCTGCTTGCTGCTGTGGCAGAACATATTTCGGACAGAAGAACATCAACTGCCGCGTCGTAGGGGTGCTCACGGCTCGGCCGTTTTCAAAACCTGCCGCATTGTGTGAGAGGTTCTGACAAAGAAAGCACAGGAATATTCAGAACACCGGTACCTATAGCATAATATACCACTGAGAAGAGATGGAAGACTAGGTAGGTATTGACGGCTTTCCAGGTAGACAAGTTTGGGTATACTAATTTGTATTAATATTCCAATAATAAAGTGAAGTGTCGGCAATGTGGGCGGATGAATGGATGGATGGATGGACTGATTAAATCCATCTTGAACCTCAAACAGCAGCGTCGTGGCAGTCATGTACTGGCGCTTGCAGTCTCTTTATTCGTTTTAGAAGTCAAACTTGCACTCGTACGAAGTAAGACTCACTCCCTCCCTCCCAGCACACACGCATACGGACCTATACGAGTACGTTTCAAGGATAACGTCTTTCATTCCTACGCTTCCACGAGTACATCTCTCACTCCTACGCAGCCCGAGTCGCGCAACGGAACAAGCCATGGGACTCAGGGTGCGCCATCGTCGGCTATCGGGGCGCGGTGAATTCTGTCAGGCAAGGATGATGATTGATAACTGACTGAGCAAAATGCTGCAGCTCGCTACAGTAGGGTCAGGGTAGCAGCTTAGGGCGGCATGGAAAGGCGAATGAGGAAAAGGTTCTTTCTCGCTGCTCTGCTCTCGTCAACTTGTCCCAACTCGAAGTTCTTCTGTTCCTCCCTCGTCGAAAGAAGAACTTTTTTATTAAAATAAAATAAATCTTCTCCCCGAAGAATCAAACAAACCAATAATTCCCCCAACACCGACCACCAGCAAGCACACTCACTTATTTGCCTGGCCTGCACTCACAAGGTCATCCACCCACCATCCACCGTCAACAACACCTACCCACTCAATCGACGCGTGCTTATTTTACCGGTACCGTCTTTTCTTTCGTTCGACCCTCCCAGCTTCTCGGTTGTCGCGGCCCCATCTGTCCCGCCGTACGTGATCGCCTCAATTCGCAGAGACAAAAGCAAGGTCCCCACCACCGCGTTTATTTCCCGCCCACCTTTGGGACCACAACAACGGATAAAGTCTCGCTGGCTCCACTTAACCCTCGAACCTTCAATGACAAAGAAAGAAAGATAGAAGGAAAGGAAAATATCTTAAGCCTCAATCAAAACAATCCATTCGACCTTTCTCTCTCCGTGCGCAAGAAACCTTGTCGCCCGCACCTTCTATAGGCTGTGTGTTGAATTGAAGACTCGATACAGCAAGCAGTGCCGACGGCAAAACAAAAAAAAAATCCTTCGAGGGGCAGCTACCCACGCACCACGCACCACCGCCGTCCGTCAATCAACACCACTCTTTTATACTTCTCGTCGATAAGCGCGACAGCTGCGACCGTGCCAATTGACATTCATCACGTCCCCCAATCCACGAAAAACTCTCTTGTGACGTGACCCTGACGTTGCGAATTGACGACATCGGATTTGGATGGTAGACATCACAACAAAACTAGATCTGTTCAGACTTTCTATACTATGGACTCCTCCCAATACCATCCGAATTCTATGAGCAACAACAATTCGCCATATCAATCTTTACCTAACATCTCGCCGCATCAACTGCAACACAACTCGTTACCCCCGCTCCAAGGCCCCCAGCACGGCGCAGCCATGCAGCCTATGTACGGCAGCGCGCCTCATACACCGAGAACGCCGGTCACTCCCAACACTCCAGGCGCCGTGAACAACATGGGAAACTTCTCGCAGATGGGTGGACAGCAGCCAAGAGGTTATCCCCAAATGATGCCCGGCAATGGCTACCAGCAACCACCTCAACAATACAGAACATCGTCCTCAATGATGCCGCAGTCTTCTACCGCCATGTCCCATCCCCAGCCTATTGCCCCAGCTCCGGCACAGAGCCGTATGCCCCAGGCCCTGAGACCTATGCCACCAAACGGTATGCATATGGGACAACCTATGGGTTCGCCTTATGGGCAGAGCATGATGATGCAAGAGATGGACCCGCCAACTCATGTTGTAGGCTCACAAGGCCGAAGAGGTATTCTTCCGAGTGCTCCAGGCAGACCAGCTGTCACTGCAACCGGCACTGGCTCAACTAAAAATGCCATGATTCCTGCTAAAGATGCTGACGGAAAATTCCCCTGCCCTCACTGCACTAAGACTTACTTACACGCAAAGCACTTGAAGCGTCATCTCCTCCGACGTAAGCCCATTCAATTTTTTTTTTTTTTTTTTCCATACACGAACAATCTAACCTAGCGCAGACACTGGTGACCGCCCGTACATGTGTGTGCTCTGTAGAGACACCTTTTCCAGGAGCGACATCTTGAAGCGTCACTTCCAAAAATGTTCTATTCGTCGCGGAAATCCTACAGGAGCTAGTCATCTGTCTCACGCACAAGCTCACTTGAAAAAGTCACACCCGGGTCCTCACAAGAGCACACCTTCGATGTCGAGTGAAAACGATATTATGAGCTCCAACGGGATGAACAGCTTGGCCGACCCTGCCCTTCACCCATTCGGCGTTATTGCGGACGGAAGTGTACCAGACGCGGGCTCCAACCTGACCAACGAGCAGGCGGAGCAAATACGAAATGGCAGTACTGTTGGAGGAAGTAATGGAAGAAGCATAAGTGGTCCCGGAGGCTCGAATCGAGCTAGCTTCGATCAAAGCTATGCCGGTGGCACCCTGCCTCCTGGTATGAACCCTTCACTTGCGTACAATATTTCCAGCGGTCTAAACGGTCACCAGGGCTTTGATTTCGCCTCCCATGGCAACGGCATGCAACCTCACCCTGCTTCCAGCATGTCGACCGTGCAGAACGGACGAAGTGTATATCCAGTGACTAGTGCAGGACAACAGCAGAGTCTGAATGGTTGGCAATCGATGTATCAAGCCAGTCCTCAAGCTGGATTTATGAACTCGTATAACCAAAGTATCAATACCCATCATGTACCAATTAAGTCGGAACCGTCCAACAATTCAAGCAGTACCCTTTATAGTGGCGTCTACAGCAGTGCAGTGAATGGAGTCGCTGTTTCTGTCTCGGATTTTCCCACCTGGCATAACCTTCAAAATGATCCCCTCCAGTCCGTATCCAGCAGGTTAATAATTTTCTGCTTTCCAAACAATCAAATCATTGGTCGCAGCAATGACATCAGAAAGTATCTGTCTGCCGAGTATATCAAGCATTTCTTGGAGCTCTTCAGCAATTTTCAAGGCCATTTCCCCATCATCCATATGCCTACCTTTGCAACATCCGACGCTTATGACGGGCTTCTTCTAGGAATGATATGTGTTGGGGCTGTTTACTCGGACCGTATCACTCCCTCTCAAGTCCGCGACATGGTGGAACTATCCAAGGCAGTTATTGAGCGAAACTCTTCTGTTCTTGTAAACCTCGCTCAAGATCAAAGCTCGGACGTTGGACTGGGAAAAGAATCGCACAGCTCAAGTAAAACCGAACTCGAGCAAATCACCGCCATATTTCTGATGCAGATGTTGTCTACTTGGCACGGCACTCCAGTCCAGCGTGAAATGGCACGCATGCGATTTCCCACCCTCGTTGCACTTGCACGAAGAGCTGATCTGACTACACCAATGACCACGTCTGCCACAACTCCATTTAGTGTTTTGCATCAACGACACGTTAAAGTTGAGAACTTCAATTCGGTCAGCTTCGACTGGAACGCTTGGGTTGAGCAGGAGAAACGATCCCGACTAATTTTCGCAATATACCTCATGGATGCGACAATGGTTATGTACTTCAATACACCGCCTTTGTTTGATGCACTCGAGATTCGTGTTCCGCTCCCGGCTGATGATGCTGCTTGGGATGCTCGTACCTCTACCCAGTGTGCCGAGGCCCTTGGTCTTCATGGCCCGAGTGTTGCACGCGATATAAACATGGCAGGTAGCCGACGGCCGAAGCAGCCAGAAATGCATAGCGCTCTTGAGACGTTGATGCGTCCCGAACTCGATCTTCAACCCGGAACAACGAATTTGTATTCAAAATTCATTTTGATTCATTCCCTGCACGTACAACTGTGGGCAGCTCAGAAACAACTATCCCAAGAGCCAAATCAGTCGAGCCTTCAAAACTACGGGTTGCCATCCAGTACTTCGAGCACTCCTTTATCTCAAAATGATTGGGTAATTCGGGGTATGGATGGGACTGGAAGCGGCGGTCATAGCGCGAGTAGTAGTGGGCGTGCAACTCCTGTTGAAGCTGCAGGTCAGTCGGCGACGATGCAGCAGTTGAGATCGACCACCATTGCATTCGAAAAGTGGAAGCAAGTCTGGGATGAAGATATCGCCATACAGTACCCACCCTCATCTACGAGTTATCGTCGCTTTGGATTCTGCCGAGATGGTGTTCATTTCTACTGGCTAGGAAAATATTTGATGAAGCACAGCCGCGGGACTGAACTGCAGATGGCTCCTGACCAGCGCTTTGCACAGGTCATGCATCTATTGAAATACGTTAAGAATTGGGTTGCGTCAGACAGTGCCAAGCGAGGAGAAGAACCTGGATCGGTCAGCGATATCGACAAGGACTATGGCAGTAAAGAGTTAACCTTGGACATGGCGCAGCTTTTCAAACCAATCAACAAACAAATCGATTCCCCTGTCGCGGGTGTACATACGGGTAGGAACGGCATGCAATGAGCATGAATATACATGGAAGGGCAAACAATTTTTAGAGGATATCGCTTTTGACAAAAAGGAGTTAACCATTATCGGGTGGGAGGAAATATATATCTCGTCGTGTTTTCAAGGCATTGCGCTGGCGTTATTTGGTTCGTTCTTGCATGCGTCGGCGACTGGGTAGGAGACCGAGCGCGTGCACAAAATTTACAACTTCTCTAAGGTTTCGATGGGTGGAGGCATTTACATTGGTTGGGTGGCTGCTGCTTGTGCGTTACGGTTGCATTACGTGAACGTCAAAAAGATGGTTCATAATATAGAAAAGGCGCTGCATTAGATTGGTCTGGTTTTGCTTTACTGTTGCGCGGTGGGATATCATGGAGTTGGTGACGCCAAAATGCAATTGGTGTTTCTTAACTCTCTACAAGTACTGGAGATGTATATGCCTATAGCTTAGGATCATGCGCCACATGAGCCTTGAATGAAAATAGATACATTTGAAACTTGAAACTCCCTTCGCTCTGTGAATTGTAGTAATATGGGAGGGCTCACACTGCGGCGGCAGTGTTCATGACACGCAAGATCCTAAGAGTGTAGTTTTACCGGGCAGTTCCCATCATTTACAATATGCATAGGGTAGAATGTGTGTGTCCTGGACCAATAAATACATCATCTTGTCTGGAGCTACTTCTCGTTTGACTTCAATTTCACTTTTACCACGAGGTGCAGAGAACTAACAGACTTATGATTAATTAGTGCAATGCTGTTGTTCTGTCGACTGTTGCGGAGACTTCGCTGACGGATCACAACATCAAGCTGCTATTTCAGCTACTATAAAAGCAAAATCAGCTGTCTATTGCACAGTTGTAGAGCCATTGTAACACCATCCATTTCCTGACCCCGAACGAGAGGAAACAGCTGAGACAGACTTGTACCTTAGCCCTCTTTACATATCCTTAATCGAGGTTTGGGAACCACAGCCTGTATACACTTGATGCCATCGTATGCACATCCCCCTCTGAAAGCCTCCCAGCAAAGCCGTCCTGTTCCCATGCACCTTTGTCGTCCATCCATCAAGCGTGGCTGTGCCGACTCGAAAGCAGTTCTTATCCCATCCCCCAATCCACATCAACTCTTCCCCTCCCTCTCCACAATCGTGATCCTCGGCAATGCCTCTCTATCTCTCTCGGTCGCCTCAAGCCCAAACTTCTTCTCAGCACGATCCGACAGGTACAGACCGATTGTGCCCCATGCGATGAACCCGACACCGAGACCCAAGCGCGTGCGCGGGGAGAGATTGCGGAAACTTCTGGATGCGTGTTAAAGGTGGGAGATTGAGGTGGAGAGGGGGGACGTACTGGAACATGGACATGGGCTTGGGTGTGGTGGCTGTAGTTCTGGTGGTTGGATTGGATGTTGATAACCCTTGAAGAGAAGGCTGGATGTTGTTCCGAGCCGAGGTCTTCTGAGTGGGGTTTTGTCAGTTCCCCATGCCAGTTTCAGTTGCTATTATATTTACTTATTCAGGTCTTCTATTCTAGCTGGTTGCACGTCAATCCACGATCTGATTGTCTTTGCTTTATCACTTTGAACTTGTGTATGTGAAGCCCCGGTCATAACTGCGGGATTCGTTGAGGTCATTATTCCTCCTTCATTTTGCCACAATCTACCAGATAACGATCCAGAGCAGAGGACCCCAAAGCAATAGAAGCAAATCTTTCTCCTTATACAATGGACGAATTACCCACTGAACTTCGTCGAGCTGTCTTTGAACAGTGTGACCGGGAAACTGTCAGGTCACTCCGACGAGCTTCTAAAGCATGGGCCAAGATTGGGGAAGAATATCTCCTTCCGTCTACTTTCACCACCTATCCATATCGAAATGATACAGACCGCCTAGATTCCATCTCTCAATATGAGGGTCTAGCAAAACAAATCCAGAGGCTATGCTTAAATCATGGAGAGATCAATGAATGGCATGCTCGGCACAACACTTACTTCCTGAACTATATGCGAAATTCAGAGGAAGTCTCAGAGGAGATGGCAACAGCATGGCATCACTACAACAGCCTCAAAAAGCTGATGGAGCTATATCACTTAAACTCCTGCACAATTGAGCGGCTAGAGCCCATCTTCGCTCGTCTCCCTAATCTCCAAAGCGTCGAAATCAGTTTAATGAACTGCATTTTCTATCAAGAAGACGACCCGCTTGTCTTGAAGCAAATCTGGAGTATCCCGTCAACTCGTCGAGTACCACGCGAAGCTACAGTAGACCGATTCACCAACATACTATTAGCTCTACAAACGAACGCTGTCACGCACCTTTCGCACGACAGGATACCGTTCGAGTTCTTCGCCCAAAGCGAAGACGTCCTCGAAAAAGTCATTCCTGTCTTCCAGCGCCTCACGTCTGTAAAGCTGTCTATGGATCTAATCGACAGACCTATAGACACCGAGTCCAACCATAGCAAAGCATTCAAAAACCTCTCTCGATTCCTGCGCTCCACGACCGGTCTTCGAGCTCTAGAACTCGACTTCCATGGCCGCCGAAAAGTAGATCTCGAGCCTCTATTCTCATCTCTGTGCAGACATGACTTTGTGTTCGAGCACTTGGAAGAACTCACTTTGAAAGAATTCACAAGCACCGAGTTTGCCATTGGTGAGTTCTTGGCAAAGCAAAAGTCATTGAAGACGCTGCATCTTGGAGGCGCGGGAGATAAGCCTAAGCATCATCCGCCGTGCGGAGGGGTGTGGTTGGATGAGGGGTCTTTTAAGGGGCTTTTTGAGAGAGTTGATAGGGAGATGGAACTAGAGAGCTTTTTGATGCAGGGTGATTTGCTAGGGCTAGAGAGTAATGAGAGTTGGGAGCTGGAGGAGCCTGTTGCGTGGGAGGATTTAGGTGATGCGCCGGCCGGTAAGTCCCTTTCGAGAGGATGCATTCATATCTCATCAAATATTTTGGGGTGGTTTACTCTCAATAAGTCTTGAGAGTAGACTTATCCTGTAATATCAATCCAATCCTAGATATACGTCCCATGGCAGGCAATACTGATTGAGGCCTTGACTTTTAGGGAGGCATTTGGTTCCTGTGGGACCTGTTATCGGATAAAAAGCGTTTGATGTGTATATCAAAAGCCTATGTCTCGTAAAAGATTTCCAAGGGAATTTTTAGCAACGGATAACTGGTACTAAGAGTTCCAGAAATACTAAAAGTAACGATTCCCACATTTTCTCCTTCGACGCCCACGGGGGTGGTTCTAGGGTTTGCATTCCATAAAAGTCTGTTTCTGGCTACTGGTAAGTTCGCATTCCAGGGATATTATTTTCAGAGGTATGGAATGCTAGTATTTTCCTAACACTGCAGTACTGTCACACACCTTGGTATCTTTCTATCTTGTACCTATTTTTGCAGTTTGCGAAACACCTCTGTATTTGAGGTATTTTAAAATTATCACGACCCTGTGACGATCCACAAGATGCCTCCCAAAATAGCCGCAAAGACCAAATTGTTGCTCAAAGATTGGGATGATATTGAGCTCCTTGTAGCGGGGGCTATAGCGGGCATGTATTTAATTCTTATGGCCTTCGAGCACTGCTAATTCATCTTAAGAGCCAGACCGCGAAATACGACCTCCGAGTCTCTCCAACCTAGTTCACAGGCTCTTCAGACGAGAAAGATGGAGAGTGAACGATACGGAATATAAAAAGCTTCTCCCAGCCATGCGCCTCGCTTCCAATCTGATTGAAGTGGGCATGCCCTACATTGCGAACTTTCTGCCAGCCGACGATCTTTTGGAAGACTCTCAATTTGCTATCAAGGGCGAGGAAGTCCCGGTAGATGGAAACCACTCTCATGGGAAAATACAGCGTGCGAAAGAGGCCCTCGATGAGATCGCAGACAGCGTACATTGGGAACTAGACTGGAACATATACTCCGTATTGGGGTCATGGGGAATGAACTTTATAACAGAACAAAAACCCCCTTACAAGAAAGAAGAGCCATTTATGATACTCGAATCCGATAAAGATCTTGCAAGGCGCGGCATTTGGATTCGCCCTGTGACTGTTGTCATCGCTAGACAATATTTCGATACCATCTCGAAGGTAGACGAGAATACTGAGGAATACCTTCGGGCCGTATGGCATTGTGGAATCACCCTGGCCCACGAGATTGGCCACACTATATTGCTGCACGACACTCGGTGGGTTTCTGCTGACTGTAGTGAGCCATATGTGGGCGATGACACTTTCTCTGAACTTGGACTGGCTTTCATAAGCTGGATATTCTCTGGCTGCAATCCTGAAACGACCAAACGAGGCAACTTGTCCTACAAATTTGATGCCCCGTTATATTGGAGGAAGGAGCGACAAATGACAGACGGAAATCGAGAGCCCTACAGAGTCCATTACTCGATATCGACTCAATATCTAGCAGATCTACTTTCCCAGTCTTTCTGGGACGAGTTTCGTAATGCGCCTGACTACTCCGCCAGGGCTAAAGGAAGAATAAAGCCCGTACTAGAGACGGGACAGCCGAAACCAGCAACAGCGGTTGTTGCCGACTTCTGGGTTCGAGAAAAGGGCAAATCCTTCAAGAAAAGAAGACTTGACCAAGAGAAGCGGACAGAGAAAATTGCGACATGGAAGAATGAGTTCCGAGACCGAAGTGAGAGACCGGAATTGCCTCTCAAGAAACTTTCTTCGTTGGAGCTTGACCTAGCCTTTGAAAACCAGAAAGCCATGAATGCGCGAGTCCCAGAGTTCGACTTCGATCAAGATGAGAGTGGCCTGATTATAAGCGACGACTATTTAATTGATCATATCCCATTCTTACCTCCTTCAGGAACGGGTCCACAAGCTCCTGCTGAGGAGACAGATATTTATGTGAGGGTTGAGGTTGCATATACCCATCGAGAATTGTCACTGTCATCCAAACGACCAAGAGATGACGACTCTGATTCCGACGAGGACGAGGAAAATTACAAAAGACTCAAAAGAGGACATCGCGTTAAAGTCGCTTACGATTCTGATGAAGAAATTCCTGGTGACTATGACAAAACTCTAGAAGACGAATTACTGGAAATCAGTGTTCCGTACATCGAAAGTGGCTACACACGCCGCCAAGCCAATGAATTCTGTAAAGAGTTCGGCCTGAGAGAATACAATTCCATACCAAAATACCTCACCTGGCAGAAAGCCAATCTTAATCGCCAATATGACGATGACCGAGGCAAAATCTCCCAGATACGAGTCTTCTTCTTGCAAAGGTTAATAGAGAAACACAAGGGCGACAAACAGGCCGAGTTGAAGATTCGACAAGTCATCGCAGATTCCATCTATGATTGGGACTTGGTGGAGCTTTTGCAATACTGCGTGGATAACGGATTGCACTACAATGAAATTGAGGATAATCACGAGGACCTCCACGCAAGGATCGAGGACCACATGGCCTCGGAGATAGCCTTCATAAAGGGTTACCCTGGAAGAGAAAAATCTCCAACCCGGTACGAAGACAGCGACCAAGAAGAAGACGAGCCTCTTCGGGGAGATTGGGACGAGATCAAATTCAAAGACTACTTTCTTGAGCATGACTTACCTGTATGGGGTAACATCAACGTCTGGAGAGAACGATACTACGCATACCGATACGAGCAAAAACACGGCTCTCCCCGACCCAGGAAAACATCCTCGATCCGTCAGAAAACAGGCTCAAATGGAGCAGAGATTTACAGCTGGCTCGTCAACCCGTTGACGCACAGCATCTTGGATCTCAAAAGCGCAATCTACTGCATGGCCGTCCTGCCCTCCACCGGCGTCCTCCATCTCTCCACCAACATGTTCAACGATATAGAAGAGCCCGATGACAAACTGCTAAACGACATCCCGGGCGTGCACGAAAGCATTCGTTTCGTCATGACGGTATCCGAGTACGAGCCGCCGACGAAACCGGAGCTTTTACTGCCGCAGCCAGCGCGGAAGGTTCTTTGGGATAAGAAGGAACGGGTTTATAACGCGTTGAGACATATGAGGGCCAACAATAAAAAGACGAGAGCGAATGCAATTCCCATTGCATCTCCCGAACCCACGCTCGCACAACGCATGGCTTTGATAGCGGACCAGGCACAAGCTCTGGACCGAGTGTTCTTGCCTTCTATCCACAATATATACCAGCCGCTATCTGGCGATCGGCTTCTAGATGCGCTGGAGGATCTCGAGGAGCGGAATACGAGGCTGGGGATTAGGAGTACTGGGACGGCGGCGGCGGAGGCGGAGGTGCGGTTTGAGGAGGATTATGAGAGTGAGGATGATGGGGATGGGTTGGGGAAGGGCTTTGGGATCGGTCAGTCGCATATGGGGGATATTTATCGGGCGATTGGCGTGCTGAAGAAACCGGCTGGGAAGGGTGGGATTCCAGTAAAGGTTGGGTTGCCCGAGCCTGGGGTTAATAGGGGGGCTTTTATGCTGTAATGGTCATACATGGGAATGGAAATGTGGTGAAGGGTAATTGAAGTGGAAGCGGGTGGCATATAAGATCTTGATGCTCTTGAGAAGGATGAGCTTCGGAATGGCATTTGAATTCGTAGGAGTAGGTGAGAGTAATAGGGGGGTGACGAGCTTGGGCTTTCTCTAAGGATCGTTGCTTTACTCCGTAACATCACAACTACATCTTTACCCACCTACTCCGTCCAGGCACTGAAATTGAAAGCCAAGCCAAACTCTTCCTCCTATACAGTAGCACTTACCTCACCATGCCATGTTGTTTCCAGATGCTTCTCCAGTGATGTAACATCACCACATGTTCCGTCTCTCTTCCCTTGACATGACATGACATGTTTCCTATCCGTAGCAATTCCTTCCCAACATTGTGATTACGTCCATCTCGTCCCATCTACCTTACACATAACATAACCCTCATGCAAGCAAGCATGAGCTGTCACCAGTACAGTATCCGGAAATAGCTTAGCTCGCGATCTTCATGGATTAGGTTAAAATTTCCGAAAACCGCACTAAGCCATATTTGCTGTGGTTCTGGAATGCAGGTTTCCTTATCGCATAGGTAAGGTACCTTTTCATCTGCACGCTAGGGTATGTAATGGGGATGTTTACTTTCTGTTTGCATGCATGCGATGTGCATATCCGCTTGTTACTTTGAGGGCGTTTGGTTTATTATATGTTTGTTGATTGATTGATTGATTGATGAATTGACTGTACTTTCTCCAACGTCAAAGAGAGCCGTCTCGGGTCCTCATTTCTCATTCTTCGGCCAATCTAGGCGCCTCATGCCTGGCCAGATGTTGTTGATCCCTGCCTATCGTAGTGCTGGTCTCTCACTGCTGCTTGAGCCGCCACGCGCCACGGCCCACTGACCGACATTTGCATATCTTTTCTCCAACCCACTTTCTGCCCCACCTACCCACAACAAAGCCCAACCACCACAAAACATGCCGAAAGGAACTGAGCACAACATGACATGGCAGCGCAGTGAATCCCAAACACAACACACAGGATGGTACAAGCGATGCAATCTGCAAGGTTTGAAGGCCTGAATTGATGTGCAGTCTTCTCGCTTCCAGTATTCCTGATTCCCCCGTCCGAAAACGGACTTGTTAGTTATAGTCTAGGTACACACACACAACCTCATATTATCGTATAATTCTCTTTTCTCCCATCCCCTCGTTCTTCTTCCGTCAGACAACTATACCCCATTTCATACAATCCTACAATCAACCATCCCATTTTGAACCCCGAATTGAAAGTCCCTCTGTTGTGCGCCTTTCATCCTTGCCACACAGTATCTCAATTCTCGAGTTCAAATCGTAAGATTCAAGCCAGGCCTACAAGCAATGACCCTAACAAAGCAAAGATCGATTCGAGACCCAAATGCCTTCCCAACCACTCAATTGTTCTTGCTTGGTGAGTCTCTTCTTCCTCCCTATACCCATACGTCACCGCCCACAAAACTGACCCGACTTGTCGCATAGCTATCGTACGCCTCGCCGAGCCAATTGCACTTACATCGATCTTCCCATATGCCTGGCCGCTGGTAAAGAAATTCCACGTCGGCAATGAGGCCGATGCCTCCTTCTATGCAGGCCTCCTCATCAGCGCGTTTGCGCTGGCTGAGAGTCTGACGGGCATGTACTGGGGAGGTTTGTCTGATAGGGTTGGTCGGAAACCAGTTTTGCTGATAGGATGCACTGGCACAATGCTGAGCATGCTTATAATGGGCTTTGCGTCGAATATATGGCTTGCCTTGGCGGGGAGGGCACTAGGGGGATTCTTAAATGGGAATATTGGCGTTATACAGTAAGTTTCTCAGGCGTCGACCCTTCCCGCACTGGCGGGCTTAGCAGCTTCAAGACACTCTTGAGAGTCTTTTCCTGTTGAAGTATCTTATGGTCGTTGGTCCTTCTGTTATCAGAATCACGTTGAAATATCTAGCCAAGTTTGCTAACGTCTGATGTGCAGGACTATGGTCGGCGAATTGGTCACGAAGCCAGAACATGAACCTCGTGCCTACAGCATTATGCCTTTTATCTGGTCGATCGGAACTATCATTGGACCTGCGATTGGGGGAGCTTTCGCTGATCCCGCAACCTCCTTCCCAAACACATTCTCCAAAGACGGCCTCTTTGCACAATTTCCATACCTTCTGCCGAATCTCCTTTGCTCAGGACTTCTCCTAATCAGCATCATTGCCGGTTACTTTCTCCTCGAGGAAACACATCCAGACATGAAACCCCGCGTCTTTCTGCCAGACTCCACCTACGTATCCGACGAAACACCCCTGATTGCAACAGCAGACGCGATCAAGACTCCTGCAGTTGATCTGCGAGCCGAGACATACGGCACATTCGAAGGCAGTGACGACAGCAAATGGCGCCACGCCCAAACAAAAATCAAGCCCGTGAAGATCTTCACAAAGCGTATTATAGCCACTATTTTCGCCCTCGGCATTTTTACATACCACAGCATGTCTTATGATCACCTCCTACCCATATTCTTAGAAGACAAGCGTGGCGAATCCGTCTCCATCTTTGCGCAATCGGCAATGGGTATCAACTCCTTTTCCTCCCCCGGCGGTCTCGGTCTCAGCGTGCAGAAAGTAGGAGTCATAATGTCCATAAACGGCGTCATAGCCCTCTTCGTGCAAGCAGTCGTCTTCCCCTTTGCTGCGGAGAAGCTCGGTATCCACAGACTTTTCATCCTGGTCTCACTTCTGCACCCGGTGGCATATCTCGTCATGCCATATCTCATCTACCTACCTGCCAAGTGGCTCATGCTAGGGATTTACTTTTGTCTAACAATTCGCAATATGCTATCTATCCTTGCGTACCCGGTCCTACTTATTCTTATCAAGGAGGCGACGCCTAGTCCTTGCGTGCTGGGGAAAATCAATGGTTTGGCTGCCTCTGCCGGAGCAGCTTGCAGAACTATTGCTCCTCCTGTGAGTGGATATCTATATACGCTCGGATCGAGAATGGATTTCACTGGTCTGGCATGGTATGGGAGTGCTCTCGTTGCTGGTGTTGGCGCCGTGCAATGCTTCGGGGTGAGAAGAGCAAGGAACGAGGTGGATGATAAAGAGGCCAAGGAAGAAGGGCCTGCTGTTACCGTCGGGGAAGTTGATGAGGAGTATCGAGATGCAAATGCATAGAAGGATCTTGGAGCATAAAAGTTTTAGATGGTTTTGGAAAGAATTGGAAATGGGCGCATCTGGTTTTAGCATGGGGTGGCATTTGACAGCGTTTTAGCAAGCGTGTGTTTCGAGAGGGTCTTGAAGCAGTAAATACATAGACATGTTTTGTCAGGTTGTTATTTGGAGTTGGGAGGGGTAAAATTAGAGGGGGGGTTTTGGTACATAGAACCGAATCACATAAAGATCATGAAATCAAATAGCTCTTAGGTGACATGGTGGTTTATTTCCTTTGCTTAGACATGACTTAGATGTATTACTTTCATAACAGTACCCAAGTCATTTGGATTTTGATAAATTTAGAGAAAGATAGCAAAGAGATTTGCTTAGGTATAGAGGTAGGTGCAAGCGCAACTGATTAGCTAGCTAAAACCCAATCTCAAAAACTCCACATCGCCTAGGAAATTTCTTCTTTACTATAATACCATAATAATAGCGCAGGGTCATCAGCCAATCATACTACCGCCTATTAGCTACATGTCCTACTAGAGCATATCGCCAAAGCCAACTCTCATGAAACTCTCACGATGCCTCGTGACCGTTTCATTCCCATGCAGTACAGAACACTACGGTACGGCAATGCGCAGGTCAGGTCATTGAGTTTATCCCCCGATGGATGATAGGACGGGTATTCTGTCCTACCCTACCTTAGGTACGGTACCGTGCACCACAGCGTCGGGCGCGGATACCTACCTGCATAAGTATATTAATTGTTATGCACTTATGTTCGGAAGCTGTTGATGCTGATGATTTCTAAGCCATGGTACACGGTGTTTTGCAGGAAGGAGTTGATGTTGTATAATTTGGCTGGAAGTAGTTAACTTCATCTCCGCGTGTAGATCCACAGATCCTCCATATGGCCTTTAGCTCCACGGGTTCCCCAGCTCGCGGTGGGGCGAGGTGGATCCAAAAGCGGCGCTTAAGATGATTGAATTTTAATGTGCCACTTGGGCTTGGAATCTTGGAATTTAGTGCCGCTTTTCAGCCCACTTAGAGCCGCCATAATGGCGGAAATAGGATTTATGCTCGTTTATGTATTTTCTGCACACTGCTTATCCCATACATATCTTCCGAATACGACGGGCGGACAGTATGTTGACCAATTGCGAGCCTCTATATACCCTTAGCTGCTTATTTACTTCGTAAGTTACCCGAGTTGCACAATTTATCCATATTCATAATTGGTTTTCGGGAAAGGAGATATTTTTATATATATTCCTTCCAAGTATGTCAGATCTGGTTTTTCATTCCATTCTTCCTTTCGTTGTATCTTTCTTCTCGCCCACCCCTTTTTTCCTCCAAGAATTACGGCTTGGATTGGCTGCTTGTTGTTACCGCTCACGTTACCTATTTCTCGAGCCTCACTTTCCCTTCGCGTATCTTAAGTTTCGTAGCCTTATGATCTGAGGCTCCATCCCACTTCTTTGCACGTCTAGGAACAGTACAGTCATATCAAGATGTCTTCCAACCGAGATCTCGAGAAGGACCTAGATGATGGCACGACCATGACAGGATCCACCGCGCATTCAGACAAAATCTTGGCAGATGGCGCCATAGGTGAGCCCGATTCAGACCACGATGAAGTCGAACAAATGGATGAAGGGCATTTGGATGATCTTGTCAGACAACGAGTATGTAAATCTACCCCTCCACAAAGTACCCCGCTAAGTTTTCAAGACAGGGCTAGAATCCATCAAAGCTGGGAAGGGAAAAACACTAGAAGACTCAGCCTTGGAGCGAACAACTTCGAAATCGAGTACAAAGAGCAGAATCTCCCGCATGGCAACGAATCTTACTTCAAGAAGCAAGAAAGAGAGACTTGCGCCTGTACCGCTACCGACTTCGGATCTGGATAACGGCATTGTAGGATGGGAAGGGCAGGATGATCCAGAGATGCCTCTCAATTTCGCAGACTCTAGAAAATGGCTGTTGATCTCCTTGCTTGCAAGTATCACCTTCATTTCTCCTCTCGCATCCTCCATGTTCGCCCCTGGAGTCTTGTTCATGGACGAGACTTTCCACAACACCTCCACAATTCTCAGCTCCCTGACTGTGAGTATCTTCGTGCTGGGCTACGTTATTGGCCCTTTGATCCTGGCTCCTCTGTCCGAGATCTACGGGCGTCGATTTGTTTTGACAGGCGCCAACGCATTCTTCTGCGTGTGGCAAATTGGATGTGCGCTTGCTCCAAATCTAGCATCGCTAATCATCTTTCGATTCTTGGCCGGTATTGGAGGCTCTGGATGCCTCACAATTGGAGGGGGTGTCATTGCAGATCTTTTCAATGCAGACCGCCGTGGACTTGCGACGGCTGTTTACAGTCTTGGTCCGCTTTTTGGGCCAGTGGTTGGCCCTATATGTGGTGGGTTCATAGCCCAACAGATTGGGTGGCGCTGGGTGTTCTGGATTCTCCTGATCTCAGGATCTCTCGTCACCATCGGTATCGAGACTCTGAATCGAGAGACAAACCCCCGAGTTCTCATCTCGCGGAAAGTCAAGCGTCTCCAGAAAGAGCTGAACAGAACAGATCTTCGCAGCTGCTACGAGCCAGAAGGCCCCGCCCACAGTGCGGCACACATCCTCACGAAGGGCTTCTTACGACCTTTGATCATGCTTCTCAAGTCCCCCATCGTCTTCCTGCTCTCTCTCTACATGGCCGTTATCTACGGGCTGCTCTACTTACTCTTCACGACCATCACGACCGTGTATATCGAGACCTACCACTGGCAACCCGAGCTCTGTGGCCTTGCCTACATTGGACTAGGCGGGGGCTTCTTCCTAGGAATCCTCGTCGTAAGCAAGATTTCTGACCCCACAGTGGTGAGAATGACCAAGGCGAACGGCGGTGTTTTCGAGCCCGAGATGAGATTACCAGCGTGTATATTCTTCGCGTGCTTCATCCCGATTTCATTCTTCTGGTATGGATGGGCCGCTGATAAAGCTGTGCATGTAAGACCCCTCTGCCTCTGTAAGATCTTTCTTTCATACTGACAAAACCACAAGTGGATCGTCCCAATCCTAGGACTCATCCCCTTCGGCTTCGGCATGATGGGAATCTTCATCCCCATCCAGACCTACATAATCGACTCTTTCCCTTCCTTTGCTGCCTCCGGAATCGCAGCCCTCACCGTCTCGCGTTCCCTCTTCGGCGCCTTCCTCCCCCTCGCCGGTCCGCCCATGTATTCCTCGCTCGGACTCGGATGGGGGAACAGCGTATTGGGATTCGTCGCTCTTGGCTTGATTCCCGCCCCTCTATTAATCTACAAGTTCGGCGGTCGGATCCGGAAGAACCACCCTATCAAGTTGTGAAGCTAGCTAGCTCTTGATTCTGTCGGGTTTCATTGCGTTGAGTTTTCGTTTGGGAAATGCGGATGGTACTTACATTGCATTGCATAGATTTTTGTTCTAAAGGCATTTTATAATATCAATATCAATTTCAATTCCAATTTCAATATCAATGCGTCTTTCACGGCTAGAGCGGTTCGTGGATGGATAGATAGATAGATGGACATTACAAAGAGCAAATGAGAAACAATGCAGAAAGACAGACAAGAAACAAAATCTTATCAGGATGGATTGGATTTGGATTTGATCCGAACATCCGTTGATTACTATCTATCTATTGTAGTGAGAATAAGGTTTGCACACGTAATTACCTGTGTACAGTAATGCTTTCTTGTAGGACCAATCATAGGTAGGTACAGTATCTGACTAGTTTTCCGCCTCGTGCGAGTTGCTCAGTAGGTAAAACCGGATCGACGGAAGCCGCCTCTGGAATTTTGCTTATGCCTTTCATTGGCTTGAGGTGAGAGTAAATAGCTTGGTAGGTACCCAGGTAGGTTACGTTGGAACCCCTATTCACAAGCGAGGCAAGGCGAGGAGAGGACAGGACTTTTTCGTATAAACTTTTTATTTCATTTCGTAATGAGACCGTCAAGTCATATAATAAATATGCCACCCATTTGTTCGTATCAAAGACCAGGGTAGCATCATTCCGTAGGTAATACCATCTCTCAGCTAAATGCATCCATCTTTTCAGCAAAAACAGCCACCAAATATGCAAAGACGACGACGCTTTATATAGATTAGAACAGAAAGAAGACGATTCCATCTACCACTCAAGCGGTTCCTTAATCTCCTCTCCCCGATTCGTCTTCGGCACTGGCACAGCCTTGACCGCCAGCTTTCCATTCCGGCCTCGCTTCAAATACGCCCGGCCATCCAACCACGGCGTGTTTGTTGTCATCTTCTTCTCAAAAGCCTCAATCTTATCATCCATCTGCATCGTCAGTCCAATATCATCAAGCCCATTGATCAAGCAATGCTTCCTAAACTCTTCAACCTCAAAATTGCAGATTTTCTTGCCCGAGCCGTCGTTGATGACTTGGTTCGGTAAATCAACCTCGATTTCTTTGCCCTCACGCGCTTCGGCAGCGATAGCTTCTAGGTCGCTCTCGTTGGTTATGGCGATGGGTAGCATGCCGTTTTTGAAGGTGTTGTTGAAGAAGATATCGGCGTACGACGGCGCGATTACGCAAGTGATGCCGAAATCCAAGAGGGCCCAAGGCGCGTGTTCTCGCGAGCTTCCACATCCGAAGTTGGGGCCTGTGACGACGAGGATCTTGGATTTACGGTAGCGGTCTTGGTTGAGGACAAAATCGGGCTTCTCGGAGCCGTCAACGTTGTAGCGGAGGCCGTGGAAGAGGGCTGAGCCGAGCCCGGTGCGCTTGATTGTTTTTAAGAATTGCTTGGGGATGATGGCGTCGGTATCAACGTTTGCACGCTCCATTGGAGCTGCGATGCCCTTGAGAACCGTAAATTTTGGTAGGCCGGTGGAGCTGTGGGAAGCTACGGTGTTGGTGTGTGGGACGGTGGCATCGTCTTCTGGCTGGTCACCAATGATCTCTCGCTCAGCATCATCGGTTTCGACTCTCTCATCGATATGAGCTTTGCCGAGGACTGTTTTGGGCGACGCAGGACGAGGTGTAGCATTGCTATCCGCGAATTTTCGGACATCAGCGAGCTTGCCAACGATAGCACAGGCCGCAGCTGTAACAGGAGAGACCAAATGAGTTCGACCACCAGCACCTTGTCGGCCCTCAAAGTTACGGTTACTTGTGCTTGCACAACGCTCTTGTGGTGCCAGAATATCGGGGTTCATGCCGAGACACATACTGCAACCAGCTTCACGCCATTCGAAACCGGCATCGGTGAAGATCTTGTCAAGACCCTCTGCTTCAGCTCGGTCTTTGACAAGACCAGATCCAGGGACAATCATTGCACGTTTGATGTTTGCTGCGATCTTTCGGCCCTTGACAACTCCAGCGGCAGCTCGAAGATCCTCGATACGGGCATTCGTACATGATCCGATGAAGATCTTGTCAAGAACGACTTCTTCCATAGGTGTTCCAGCTGTGAGACCCATGTACTCGAGCATCCGCCGGCCTGACTCCTTCTTTTCCTCGGTTGCAAAGGTCTCGGGATCTGGGACGACACCGGTAATAGGTACAACGTTCTCAGGGCTAGTACCCCATGTAACAGAGGGGGGAATATCTTTGGCATCAATAGTAACATCGATATCGTATTTCGCACCTGGGTCTGACTTGAGGCTCTTCCAGTACGTGACCGCCTTGTTCCATTCCGCAGAACCGAAGTCAGGCGCCAAAGGCCGTCCCTTGAGGTATGAGAATGTAACCTCATCCGGCGCGATCATGCCAGCTCTAGCACCTCCCTCAATTGACATGTTGCAAATCGACATCCTGGCCTCCATGCTTAAAGCCTCAATAGCAGAACCGCAGAATTCAATGACGGCGCCAGTTCCACCAGCTGTTCCAATCTTGCCAATAGCATGAAGAATGATATCTTTTGAGCTGACACCGGGAGTAAGCTCGCCATCGACCTTAATCCTCATGTTCTTGCTTCGTTTCGTAATTAGAGTCTGGGTAGCAAGGACATGCTCGACCTCACTTGTGCCAATACCGAAGGCCAAAGCTCCAAAGGCTCCGTGTGTCGAGGTATGACTGTCGCCACAAACAACTGTGGTACCTGGGAGGGTGAAGCCTTGCTCGGGCCCGATGATGTGAACAATTCCCTGGCGCTTGTCACCAAGACCAAAATATGTGATGCCAAAGTCCTTGACATTTTCTTCGAGGGTCATGCATTGGAGTCTGGAGTCTTCCACGTCGACGAATTGCTCGATGTTCTTGAAGGATTTCCGGGAGGAGGTGGGAACATTCTGTGGTTGGTGTCAGTAATTGTAGTCGTGAATGCGCGAGTTTACTGTGACGTACGTGATCGGTGGTAGCAAGAGTACAGTCTGGTCGTCTGACTTTTCGGCTTGCGTTCTTCAAGCCCTCAAAAGCTTGCTGGATGGCGTCAGTTAGTGTTTTGTGGCGATTGCGGGGAACGGGTTCAGTTCACATACTGGTGAAGTCACTTCGTGGACCAGATGCCTGTCTGTGGAGGGAGGAGGGTCAGCCGGGGGTTTTGTCAGATGGGTTTTGAGTGTTGCATACCAATGTAGAGCAGAATTGTGCCGTCAAGTCTCTCGTCGACGATATGATCCTGAAAGACCTTATCGTAGAGAGTCCGCGGACCACCTTCGGCAGTAGGCATGGCTGGCTGGCTGGCTGGCTGTGGATGGTGTCTAAGGGTTATTGGATTGTGGATTGATATGAAGCTGGGGAGCAGAGGTGGGAGACAATGGGAACAAGTTTAAGAAGGAAAAGAAAAGAGGCGACGTGGTTGAGAGTTTATGGGACTTTTGGGATGCTGCTGCTGCTGCGGGGTGGCTGTTTTTGCGAATAATACCAGAACTGGCCGGTATCGGCGACGGTCCTCCGGACGAGAGACCCTGGTTCGGTGGGGTGAGTACAAATGGTCGAGTGTTAATTGGCCGAGAGCAGATCCCAGCCACACGACTGCATGCAGCTCATCGCACACAACATCGATAGGTACCTACACTCGCTACAGTACCTAGGTATCTACATCTACAGAATCTGTATATGTACTGTCTGTATACTCAAAAGCTGGCCAGTGAGATACACTCTAGAGTGGGATCCAAACTTCTACCACAATAATACAGCCACGGGTAATAAGGATGTTCACAGTCAGTCTCACATAGAGGTTTGGGAGAGGTTTTGGTTTTTTGGTTTTTTTTGGTTTTTTTTAGTTTACATGAAAGTTGTCGCGGCACGCCCTGTCTATCCATGGACAGAGCGTTCCGCGACTGAGCGTCTATGTTGCTGCCGTAAATTAGATTTTGGCGCGTGTGGATAGGCCCCTCTTCGTGGAGGAAGAAAATGGCGAATTTCGATGCATTTTCCTCCACGAAGAGGGCCCATCAATAATCAATCCAACATCCAACTACAAGACCACCAAGCAGCCTGGAACATGAACAAGAACCCCCTCACCAATGAACCTGGTCTCACACTTTTCCTCCACTAATAACCAGAAATCCAACTACTAAACCACCAAGCAGCCTGGAACATTAACAATAACCTCCCGAATGAACCTGGTCTCCTAATTTTCCTCCACTAATTACCAGTAATCCAAGTACCAAACCACCACGTAGCATGGAACAACAAAACAAGAATCTTCCAGATTAACACCAGGCCTTGTCGCCGAATCTCTTCAGCATTTGCCTGCTTCCGTCCCGCCGTCTCTTTGCTTCGTGTTGGATGCCAAACTACCAATTGATCATCTTCATTATTAGAAGGACTTCCGGTGTCTCCTATTTCTTGAAGAATTTCTTCGGCTTCTTTGTTGACATCCCTCATTTCTTTAGCATCTGCTTGCTTCCGACCCGCCTTCTCTTCGCTTGGTGTCGGATGCCAAACTACTAATCGATCATCTTCATTACTATTGGAAGGACTTCCGGTGTCTCCTAGTCCTCGAAGGACTGCTTCGAGGTCCTTGATGATGTCTCTGGAATTCTCTGCCTTTGGTCGTAGCCTCGGGCAAGACATCTGTTGGTAGAATTAGTGGAATGCCTGAAAATGAGCGGCAGAATATCTCACCTCGCCTTCCTCCATCGAGCTCTGACCTTTCTTTACCGCCAGTTCGTGCCTCATACTCTGGTACTCTGTAGTAGTCCGAGCTGCGCTTCGTGCTACTGATGGGGTCTGCTTTTGAAGGCCTCCATTTGCTGAAGCCCGAGCGGCATTCCGTTCGCGGACTGCATTGCGCGCCACTATCGCGTTTTGTTTTTGAATACTGCGGCTTCTTGGGGTTGCTGTGGGCGTATCCGGAGCGGCATTTTGGACTTGAGCTGCCTCCTGTGCCACTATCGCACCCAAGCTCTTCTGGCTTGCGCTTCGTGGGGTCGCTGGGGGCAAAGCCTGAGCAACATTTCGAGCTCGAGCTGCCTCCCGCGCGACTATCGCATTCCGCTTCTTCTGGCTTGCGCTTCGCGGCGTCGCTGGGGGCAAAGCCTGGGCAGTAATCTGTTCCCGAGATGCGTTCAGGGTCACTTCTTCGTCTTGATTCCGCTTGCAGAGACAGCCTCGAGTCGCTAGAGGGGTTGCTAGAGGCGTAGCGCGAGCAGCGGCGACTCGTTCGCGAGCAGCGTTCCGTGCCATTGCTGCATTTTGCTCCTGCACACTGGCACTTCTTGGAGTCGCTAGAGGCGTTCCCCGAGCAGCGGCAATTCGCTCGCGAGCAGCGTTCCGTGCCCCTGGTGCCCTCTGCTTCGTGGGGCTTAGCAGGGACGTATATATGGATGTGGGTGTGTTCTTCATCTCGACCCTCTCTCCTTCTAGTGAAGTCAGATGACACAATTTTAAGGTCCTCTGCTTCGTCTGATCCAGTTTGTGTTCCGATGATATAACGGTGTCGACTGGAGTGGTTGGGGACCCGTTGCCGAGCGTGTTGCTCTGTACGTTGTTTGTACCTAAGTGGTACATTGTACGTAGAGGGATGTTGCTCAGTTTGCGACGGAGTGGTGAAGGCCTCATCAGGTCCTTCACCGTCTCGCCCTCGCCGTAGAACTGGCATGGGATGGGATGATTTTGAAAGCAACCAATAGTGGTGGTGGTGGAGGTGTTGGACGATAGGAAAATGTCCGGCTCCGTGTCGAGGATTTTGGGGGGAGCCCATACTGCTGGGTGCGGGTGGCTCAGTGGGTGGGAGTTCTGTGGGGTGCGGGCTGCCACAGGATCCTTGAAGTACACTGGGGGTAGGTTGAGCGGGAGAATACGCTTTTCCTGGATGGAAGCCTGCTGGTTTTGGACCAATGGCTGGCGGATTTCGACTTGTTTCGTCGATACTGACTGGCATGAGGTCGCTGTACTTTTGTTTTCGACTCGCGGGCCCGATTCGGATTCCAACTGGTCTAAAAAAGAGTCCAGCTCTTGACCTGATGTTTGCTTATCAAGACACCCAGTCTCTCCAGCTAGTGCTGTTACCATCTTAGAAGTCTCACTTGGGTGTGGCTTCTTGATATGGTATGTATCATGTAGCTCATTATTAGCCTCTGGATACTTTGTGATGTCGGGAAGAACTTTGAAAGGGTCCTCCTTTTGACTCAATGTGTGATTATCAAGACACCCGGTTTTTCCGACTGGTGCCATTACCATTTTAGAAGTCTCACTTGGGTGTGGCTTCTTGATATGGTATGTATCATGTAGCATGTTATTAGCTTCTGGATACTTTGTGATGTCGGGAAGAACTTTGAAAGAGTCCTCCTTCTGACTTGATGTTTGTTCAGCCGGCTTCTGCTTCTTGATATTAAGATGAAGTACAGTATCGTCCGACTTGTTGCCTTGCTGGCGACTATTGTACGAACCCACAGGCTTTCGAGGGATCGTTGTTTCCGGTGACATTTTGTAGGCAGATTCGGCAGGCTTGCTGCTGGATCGCTCACATACGAAAGGGGAAAATGAGGTTGGGAGGCCAACAAAGTAGTCTCTCGGCTTGGTAGGGGTTTGGGGGACATGATGGGATGCAATTTTTCCAGTGAGTACCGGGAGAATCTGACCTTCAGGTGCAGTCTCTGTATGCAAGTGTTAGCTCCACATAAATCAGGGTGAGTATTAGACACTGACCTCTCATTGGACTTCCAGCCAATGACTGCTCAATTGGGCTCAATGCAGGCTCCGCGATGCTGCTCCATTCATTTTCGGCAGCTTTCCACCTTGGTACACGCTTCTGATTCAAATTGTATTCGAGCTCCTTCCGCTCTGCTTTCTGTTTCTTCCTTAGGTCCCTGTCTGACTCAGCTCTCTCCATTTCCGTGTAATGCTGAGCCTCTGCGGCTTTAGATTTTGCAAACTGTTCTTTCATATCGACATTCTCTGTGGCTCGCACTTCGAGCTTATTCTTCATATCATCCGTTGTTTGACTCAACTCAGTGCTACTAGTCGCATCACTGGAGTCCCAGTAGCCAGTTCTTGGATTAGCGCCCTGGACGCCAAGGAAGTCGCCGCTCTCTTGTAGGGCTCGTCTTTGTTCCCTGCGACGAGCCTTCTTCTCCTCAAACATTTGTTGACTTTTAGAAACTTCCTTCTCCACTGTGGGTTTCGATTCTTTAGGTTCAACAACGATAATGGCATGACTCTCGGCTTCTGCTGGATCTTGCGAAGAGCGCTTCAGAGAATACGCCTGAGAATTCATGACCATTCTCTCAGCCCGCGGGGCCATCTTGGGCTTTTCTTTTTCAATAACCTTGAGTTGGGGCCCGAAGGTTTTACTCAGTCGTCCATGTCCATTTGACTGGACGGTCTCTGCATTGTCACCCCGACTAGAATGGCCCCATCTGTTCCGAGAAGACCGGCTTGAAACGCCAACCTTCGTTGTCAGAGTAGAATGGCCATGTTTGATCTTCTCTGAAGGATGTGTGAGTTTGAGTCCAGGTATGAAATCAACAGCAAGATCCTGAGAGTGATTTGTGTCTTCATTTTGAAGGTCGGGTCGCAATGTATGTCCCTTTTCCTCACGGCGAGTTGGAAGTATACGTGATACTAAGTTTTGCAGTGAGGTAGACCGACGGTGAGCGGGTTGAGGAGACTCTGTATTGAGAGATGCTCGGGATAGACTGTGTGAGAGGCTACGGAGACTGAGGCGGCGCGGTAAGTGATGTTGCACATGATTGATGTGCGGGGGTGGCGTGGGCGGTTGCACGTCTGTAGACATTTTCGTGTTTAGCTTTGATCAAGCGGGAATACGAAGAGTCGAAGAAGTGTGAATTGGGCAATTATGCAATAATTGTTGAGGTGTGTATTGAGAGAGTTGATGAATTGCGTATGAGGATTGGCGTTGATGTGGTGTGAGAATATTGATGCACAGTGATCAGCTTAATGGATCAGGGGCGTGTGACGGGATGAGACGTCGATAGGGTATTATCAGCTTGTAAGAACAAGGTGAGTTGATGAGGTGCGTATGAGAAGTGGTGTTGATGAGTGTATATGGGGAGTGGTGTTAATAGGTGATCAGCTTTGCTGGATCAAGTCCGCACGACGCATCAACGATGCACGAATTAGACGTCGACAGGTTGTTATCAGCTTGTTAAAACAAGGGAGAACTGAAAAGTCGATGGAAACCGTATAGAATGAGTTGATGAGGTGCGTATGAAGAAGTGGTGAGAATATGCGTCTGAGAGGACCCGACGCGACCGTGCTGAGCACAATAAATCGTAGCACACACGACGACTGTTGATCGAGTGCGTATGAAAACAGTTGAGAAGTGTGTATTGCAAGTAGTTAAAGAGTTTGTATGAAGTTTGGGTGTGTGTGAGAGAAGGGTTGATGGTTGTGGGTGTGGGCGTGTCGAATGCAGAGTGCATGAAGGGGAAGAAAGAGACGGGCACGACGATGTTTGTTTACATCTGATTTAGCTAATGCTGTCATGCCACTGTCGTGGCTTCCAAAACGGGAGAAGAGGATGCTGGCGCCAACTAGGTAGGGTAAGAGCGACGGCGACCTAGCTACAGAACACACGGTGGGTACCCCAACAAAAAGAGATTCGAAAACTCACGGAGGAAAACCTTGTATTGTGAAATGGTAAATGCATCAATTCACTACCGTTATATTCTATCCTTTGACCCTATACAGAGTATGCTTTATGCCTAACAATGCTAAAATTCTCTCCTGAGTTAAACGAACCGGGACGGAGCCCGCCTGTAAGGACTATTATACTGCGGCCCAGGCAGTGGTTTCAATCCGAACCCAGGAGAACTTGTGCGTCTATCATTCTCTAGTCCAAGAAGAGACCTAGGAGCTTCGCTTTGCCTTTTAGCTGGACTATGGCTTCTCTCCCGGTGGTTTTGGATTTCTCGCCCCGCCATCTCGAACGAATTGCGTGGAGGGTCACGTGCGCTGCCTTGAATGTCATACATACTCGTAGCCTTTTTTAGAGGAGAGTTTGCATGACTATAGACTCCCAGGTTTCCCCCATCGCCTGTGCCTGTACCAGTTGAGATGGCACCGCCAACACTTTGACGGAATTGAGGCTGGCGGATGGGTGGCCGTGGCGTCATTCCACTGAAAGGCGTTGGCTCACGAGAATTATAGGCTGATGGAGTGTATGAAGACACCGGCGAAAGTACCTGTCGAGAAATTCGTTCAGTATTGTCTGGGTCCACGTGCTTGGCGTAGTTAGGGTTTGGGTTTGTGCGGAATCCTCGTTTGAGAATAACCGTGGGTGTGTAGGTATCGACCACCCCTTCCTCCTCCTCTCTGATCTCCTTATTCGCGCCCGTATATTGGGTGCCGACATCGCGAACAAGAGGGTTTAGTCGCGGGTGGACGTATTTGATATCATATTCGCTCATAACCTCTTTATGTATGATAGCAGAGTCCTTCTCTTGCTGTGAAAATGCTGACTGCAAAAGGAGTAGCTGTGAAGATAGGAGGACCTCTAGAAGCAATGCTGTGAAAACCGTCATGCTCGGTCGAGGATCCGAGGACAGTGTGGGGAGGAAGAGCCAATAGACTAGAACATGGCCAGGGCTAAAAAAACAGAATAAACGGAGGCAAATTGGTATTGGGTCCCACACTGCTATTTCCCAGACATCGCGGGTTGGATCAGGATGTGCCCTTGATTCAGCACTGGTGTCTCCAAGTATGGATGTAAGCAGCCGTAGTGGTGAGGAAGAGACGGGCGAAGAATCAACGCGAACTCGATGTGCTGAAGGGGTATTCTGCGAAGTGTCGATGGAGCTCTCAAACAATCGGTAATGTCGTCTGCGAAGAAATGTGTATGCTGCATTTGCAATAGAGAAACAGGTTAACAGATATACAATGAAAGAAGCCTGCGAAACAAGTCAGTGAGGTCTATTGTTGGAAGTGTGGAAATTCCATTACAATGTAGCTCAGCCAACCAGTACTAGAGTAGTCTTCCCCAAACACATCATCTGCTCCAGTGGTAGATCTGCCACTATTCGCCCTAGCAATCAACAGAACAATATGCAGTCCTAGAGCCAAAGGTGTCGCAAAATGCTTAGAATCCCAGTCCCTAGTCTCGACCTCCTCGGACAGCCAGAGCAAGAAGTCGGCGGGGTTGATGAAGTCTTTTACGCGCTCAATGAAGGGCTTTCTGCGTACAAGTCTCGGCATTATGGGCGAGATGTTTACGTTGTCCTCACATCATCAGGTTGGTTTGGTGTTTTGGCAGTTCAGCAAAGAACTGTTGTTCTTTGTTTACAAGTGTCATAATTTCAGGAGCTGGAAGCTGTGGCTGTTTGCAGGGCAGGGCAGGGGTTGTGGATAGCGCTCGCTTTAGCGTCATGCCGCAGCTTCGGGCTTCCCTTCCCGCCTTGCCTTGCTGTATTGTATGTATGAGATTGCAACATTGAAATGGAAGTCTAAGATCACTTGCGAAGACATCACCAACTCAGAGGAAAGATGGCAGCTCCAGCATCTGCATATAAGGACAGGCAATTCCTTGCTGTTATTGGGGATGAGGTGAGCTGCTCTTACGACTGGCATTGGGACGCTCTACTAACCATCTGCGCAGGACTCAGTAACTGGATTGCTGCTGGCTGGTATTGGTGTAAGGACTCGGGACAGCACACGCACATATGATACGGGAGTGCTGATAGTGAAATAGCATGTCACTTCACCTCCGGATTCGCAAAAGAACTTTCTAGTCGTCGACAGCAAGACCGAGAACGCAGCCATTGAAGAAGCTTTTAATCGCTTCACAACTGAGCGGAAGGACATTGGTATTCTCCTGATCAACCAACATGTAGGATTGTCTTAGACAGATAGCGGTCGCAGAAGCTGATGTGTCTAGATTGCCGAGAGAATACGTCACCGAGTCGATACCTACACAGCTGCCTTTCCAGCTTTACTCGAGATTCCAAGCAAGGACCATCCATATGACCCCGAGAAGGACAGCGTTCTGAGGAGAGTACGAAGATTATTCGGCGAGTAGGCTTAGCAGGGGAGCATGGATATTTGGCTGGGTCTGAGGGAACAGGTCTCCCTCTATGTGGTCTATAAGGCTTGAGCTACTGGCGTTGTTTGTACGAATGCAAAAATATTCATGGACCACCTTGCTATTAGAGCTACCAGTATGCCGGGGATTATCTGTGCATATGTATGTTCTACTACTGCTTCTAGAATGTGGAGAGTCTTGGTGTGGAATACTAGATCAGGATATTGGAGCACATCAAACCGGTCCGTTTTCACACAGCAACAGAAGATCAACAGCCAAGAAGATTGCTAGGTCCATTGCTGATGGTAAAATTACCCAGTATATGCTGCGCTCGATTATGAGCGTATTCGTAGTTACAAATGCATGTCCGTAGGAAAGAACTCCGCGACCAAGGTATCTGCAAAAGCAAGCGATGTATCTCTCCCTCTCAATCACAACTCCTCCCCTAAGCATCCCCTCCTACCAATTTCCTCTGCCTCCATCTCAATCGAACTGAACAGTAGCTTCCAAGCAGACAATCTTCTTACCATCCGCCGTGTACGCATCAGCAAAGACGGTGTATTTTCCCTATCATCATATTAGCATAGGCAATAAAATCGCAGTATGACAGGTACTCACAGGTGGGATCTCCCCTGGCAACTCAACATCCTTCGTAATAACCGCCTTACCCTTCTCAATCGGGCATTCCATATCCACATTCGAGACTTGCTCGCAGAGATCTGCTTTCGTGCTAACAAGTCTAATCAAGCCATACTTGACCTGCAGAATCACATATGCGCCCTCCTCAACCTTTTCCTTTAGTGTTCCAACAGCTTCGATCGTGAGCGTGTTTCCTCTATTGCTTGGGTCAGCGTGAGCCTTAGATATGGAACGAGAATACGTACTTAAGAGGGGGATTTGGGGTCAGATTAATGTGCTCCAGCTCAAGGATATCGTCGCCATGATCGGCTTTGCAGAAGGTGAGGGGGTTCTCGCCGGGAACAGCTTCTCCCTTATCGTCGAGGACCTTTTGGCCTCCTGGGAAGAACGATAAGTCCACTGATGCGACCAGCGTACTCAGGAAGAGTGATAGGATGGCGAGGGAGAACTTCATCGTTATCTGATTTCGTGGTGTTGAAGGTCGGTTTACTGTAGGTTGGTTGTAAGAGAGCAGGGTAAGGCTGGCCTTGGAAGTTGTGGAGATGCGTATGGGGGTTGGAAAGTGGCGGGGATCCTTGGTACAGTAGCGTGGCAGATGACGGAGTCAGACGATGTTGAATCCTTTGTGAGCGTTTCAAGAAATACAGTACACATTATTTTTGATAGCATTGATTATTATATACATGGAAACTTCACGCCAATTCCCAATAACTGGTGCCTAGGTACCTACCTATAGCAGTCACATCTAGAGGCTATGGTTGAATCATTCATCCTCGCCAAGTTCCCCAGCTAGGGAACGGATACTGTATATTCACAGATATTAAACGTGTTATGTATGTATCTAATTAATGCAGAATAAAAGTTGACTCCACCAGAGTCAAGGGCTATGAGGTAAAGCATCATTCCCGGGTTTAAGAAGTGATGTCTTCTCAAAGTGAGAATAGCAACCTGGGAGCTTCGCATGAATGAGTGATAGCGAAACACAAAAGTCCTGGAAAAGCACCAGAGCCTTTCTCTTCTGTTGTTGTATAAATCATGCCGTTCCATCTGTTCATACATCATGTACAATACTATTAATGTATCTTAAGCAGCAACAAACACATTGGGGATTATTTCGTTTTTAATTTTCTATTGCACTCTATGGGAAATGTTGTTAGCTGGTGATGTCTCTACTTTTCTTTAATGTCGAAGTTTGCAATCCTCCTTGATCTTTTATAACCTACCTGTCTTCGTGAAATATTCTATATTGTACCCAGGTGAGTAGGTAAGTAGGTAGTGTTGCAACAGTGAGCATGGCCTCCAAAAGTACAGCTATACAAAGGTTGCCTAAAAGAGGAAAGGTGCCACCAGTTTGCTCAAACTGCATCTTTTCTTCACTGGCTAACCGAGATATATGCTGAGTCATCGTTTTAGCGCCTTTCCTGGATATAAATTCTTCTCTCCGCTCCCCAACTCCTACTTTTCTTCTTCATACTTACCTTGTTGAAGCTCTCCACGATCATGAATATGGAAGCTACAATACGAATCCTCCATTGCACATCGGGGAGATGAGAATTGTTCAATTGGTTTCGGCCACTTGTTCGGCGGAATTTTTGATTGCTCACGGCTTGCCCGTACCTTTTTTCATTGTGCTCGTCGCTTCGCGCGATAGTATGAAGAAGAAAAGTTTAGATGGTTTTAGATTCAGGGTTGGTTATGAGTTTTGCTTAAGACGGCACGGTTAAGGTACTATGGTGGTGAACATAAAAGGCGCATTAATGTGATCTAGGCTCCGTGTCACGACATGAAAGAGACGAGCTTCGGAATCGCAACATGACAGATGGTTTACAACAGCTGTCTGGCGAGGGAGGAGGCTTAAGGGCATATGTGGTTTGCTTTTGAAGCTCGTGACCATTAATATTACTACTTTTATGTACTCGAGTAAAGTAGGTTCTCCAGAAAGGTGCATTTCGCATGTTTGTCACTCTTGCCGTCGCCTTGCAAAACTGAAGCCATCACCACCGCCACCACAAATTCATGTTCTATAATTCCCTATTGCCTTCACAATGTTTTCTTCACACTGCCATTGACTGCTAGCTTACTCGATAGTGCAAACGCCCTCGCTGATGCCTTAATGCTGCTGTATAGACACACTACCAAATATTAGCCATAATCATGTTGCGTCCAAGGATCACTTACGTAAAGGGATTATGATCCAGAAGGCATTCATAACCACAAAGTAGAACCAAAAGTAATATGGCTCAGGGCGATAGAACCTCCTGCCCGAAAAGTAATCGTCAAACAAACTGGTCGTATAATAAAGGAAATCACCGTAAAATTGACCTGTCGAAACAAGGGCTTGGATGGCCTTTCAAGAAATTAGTACCTAATATCAGAGGCAAAACAGAGAAATGGAAATGGCTTGATTACGTGTCGGTAGGGAGAGTCCTTGGTGATGAGCACAGCTGTCAAGAATGACAATGGGCCCCAGGTGATCTGAAGTTGTCAGTAGGTGAAGCGGAGGAGGTTTAAGGAATCCTAACCGCGGTCCAAGTCTCCATACACAGCACGAAGGGATCAGAGAGCATGTATCTAGAATCAGACAACGCGTACTCTTTCCACAATTGACCAAACAAATCCATCCGGCTTCCCATTCGAGAATGATTGTACATGAAATAGCCTTCGAAGAAGAGATGAATTGTCCCACCTGTCTGGAAGTTAGAACGTGTCAGAATGTCCCACAGATCAACAAGCATTCTCCCTCCTTGTGAATATAAATAAGAGACTCACTCAACACAAACCATAGTATCAAAGCCCTGTCTGTGAACTTCAAACTCGGATTGACACGCTTTACAAGCAGCAAAGTTGAGCCCAGAATGACGGTACATCCTGCTCCGAAGGCTGCGACTAGACCTACGGCATCAAGGCTATTCGGGATAAAATTAGATCCGGACAGGAGAATGCCTTCTGGGTAGTAGGGATGAGGAGGAGGAATGATGTCGGTCTCAGCCATGATGGTTGTGGGGATGAACGTGGAGGAGAGGAAAGTATAAGTCTGGTCTGAGTATATTTTATACTTTTATAAGGGGTATAATTTGGCAACTTGTTAAATGAAAGCCTACCTCGGTACTGGGACCGGAAGGATACCTCTATTCATATACTGACCCTCACAACTTTTAAGTTCATAATAGGAAAATGATATCCAAGATTATACTACTCACGTGACATAACAGAGCCTCAGCCATATTCAAGTGATTTTGGGTCATGTCATGACTTTATATTGTTATTATTACCTCCGTGAATAAGGTAATTAGTCAGCGGCGTTCTGATGGCTGCAAGTTGATTTAATGCACGGTCGAAATACGGTTTAGGGCTTACCTTATCAAGTCTGGAGGGCACTGGTGGGCACTGGTGGGCACTGGTGGGCACAACAGGGCATTTGGAGAAGGAATGCTCTCCTCATTCGCCGATAAACCCCTGGAAGACTTGCACCGGCAGCAGGCTAACCGGCACCAAACCAAAGTAATGCCTGGCCGTAGCCCCCAACGACTCTAGACAGGCCAATCGCAGTGTCTGTGCCTCTCTGCGTTCCCTGAACTCATTTCATCGTCTTTTTTTCCTGCTTGCCCGCCCGCCTCTCTGCCTGCTAGCCTCAGCCCGCAGTGCTTGCTTTGCCTGCCTGCCTGTCTGCCAGACCAAACTCGACTCAACACAAACTCATTTTACCCTACAGTACACCTACCTACTGTACAGTACCTACCTTATCTACCTACTCCCGGTACAGTACTGTATTGTCGAGGATGGACTGACTACTGACTCACTTGTTTATTGCTACTTCGCATTTCCCCAGCTCACTGCAAACTAATCTTCCTTACAGGCGCATTTCTTTCTTTCATTTATCATTAACCACTCTTCTCTTCTCTCGACTGCCTCTCCCCCCGCTCTGCGCTCATTTGCCGTGGGCCGTACAGCTTGCGTGCAGACGGTACGGTGGGCTAACGATGCAGCGCACATGGCTCCCTACGTCCGACCGAGTCCATAAGGCCAGCGAAACGGACCTATTGTGAGCTTTACGCTAACCTGAGAGGAGTTCAGCAAAGGCGGGTGCCCAGGCCAGCAGCAAGTCTTTCCCAATTCCTTCCCCCTCCTCACTTTCCAACATCTTCATGCAAGCTAAAGTCGACCTGGCCATCCGCCTCGAACCCAACCCTCTCTACCCCTCGAGTCTTCCACTGCGATTGCGACGCGCGAGCCGTTGAACGCATGGCCTGTTGACAACCTGTCTTTGTACTCTGGATACTACCACTCCGTTCTCTCGTCCCCTTCGCCTCCTTCCGGTTGGAAGAGCCTTCAATCACGAATTTGAGCTCACAGCAGGCCTCGCAACAGCCATACGAGTCCATCTTTGGCCATATCACGGCGAACAACACGGTTTAGGAAGCATTCGTCGTCGTCAACTCTCGTCTTGGCCCCCTCCCTCTTCGTCTTGCCGTCTCTCGAGTCACCATTGTTCATACACATCGAGGATCAGGCGGTCCTACACTTTGTTCTGACATCTGATGAAAGCCATAGTCTCGACATATCCTTCTCCTTGCTCTGCGACAGTTCTTTCCTTTGAGTCGCGGCCGTCTTCGTCATGCGACTCAGGCTTAGGAATCAGTGAACCCACCTTTGTCCCTTCACTCGAACAGCCACCTAAAGGCTCTTGCTAGATTATGACAGAAAGACCTCTCTCGATCACAACGCAGGTCGCGACTCCGATCCAGACTACCTTTAATTCCGCTGCTTCAAACTCTGCCAATGATGCGCTCCTCGTCACCGAGTCTATGGACGAGGAGCCCTACACAATCAAATGCATTTGCGACTATCCTGACGATGATGGAAATACAATATATTGCGAGACATGCGATACCTGGCAGCACATCGAATGTTTCTATCCTGGCCGAGTCGCCGATGCTTCGAAAGCGGAATTCGACCACTCTTGTGCAGATTGCAAACCGCGACCCCTAGACAGGCGGCATGCGACCGAGCGACAACGGCATCATCGACAGAACAAAGCAAGCAACGATAGTAGCGACAAGAAAACCAAGCGGCCACCTTCAAAGAGTCATAAGAAGAAGTCGAAGCCTGCGGAGCTACAGATCAACGGATTCCACGATCTCGATGGTCACAGAAACGGCAGTCCTCAAGAGCATCCACCCCATACGAAGAAAAAAGGCCACCGGTCGACTCAATCTATCAACTCGCAACACAAACGCAGCCCACCCATCAATTCACGCCCAAATATACATGCTCATCCTCCCAGTCCAGCCCACACACCACCGGACCTCCCCATTGACCTTCAAGTGCACTCCTATTCGGACAGCTTCCTCAGACTCTACGACGATGATGCCGACGTCCAACTAAGGCCCACAAACTCATTTGCGAGCCTTTCAGTAACGAATTCCATGTCAGCCTGGCTTCGCGATCCGCAAATTCTACACAACGACACAGGCATTGCGAACCCAGAGGACCATTTCCAACAGCTGAAGATCCCAGTCGACACATTGAAATGGCCCGAACTAGTCATCAAGACGATGAACACTACGATCAGCGACATACCTCTTTCGTGGCGGACCTTAATCACACCGACAGCTCTTTCTCAGTCCGGCCGTATTGGAGAATTGAACGGCATCGTAGGTTTTCAGAAGGATTATTGCGAGGATGCTGAGAACCAGTGGTCCGACATGGCTCACTCAAGGCCCTTCATCTTCTTCCATCCCCGCTTACCTCTCTGCATTGACACCCGCACTGAAGGATCTATCTGCCGTTACGTGCGCCGCAGCTGTCGGGCGAATACATCCATAGAAACCTTCATTGCTTCAAGGTCTGCGTATCACTTTTGGCTGGTAAGCGAACGACCGCTTGCTGCCAATGAACAAATCACCCTTCCTTGGGACTTCCGGTTCCCAGCAAATTTACGGTCGCGGTACCTACATCAGCTGAACCTGGGAGATGAAGACGGGACACCCTTCGATGGTGGAAGCATCAATGAAGAAGAGTACAACCAGCTTTCCCAGATGGTCCATAACGTTCTTTCAGATCATGGAGGTTGTGCATGTGATCTCGGCAACGACTGTGCGTTTGCTCGATTCCATCGAAACTACCACGGGAGATCCCATGTTCAATTGAATGGAGTGAAATCGAAGAAGGGTCGCAGACCGAAGCAAAATCATGTCTCTCCAACAAGTACGGGTTATGCTACAAATAGTCGAGCTGCTAGTGAAGGTGAACCAGATCCTTGTGATGAGGATGACAATCGCTCGGTTTCTGGATCAAGTCGAGGCAAACCTCACAGCCGAGATCTAACACCTAACGGAGTTGGGGAGTCCAACGGCATTTTGACTGGACAGACGGAGCGCGAAAAGAGGAAGATCCAAATGACCGAAGAGTCATTCAAGAAAATGGAACAGCCCCAAAAACGGCAGAGGAACTCAATGGGGAAATCGACCACACCTCAACCAGCTCCGAAATCCAAGCAGCGGTCTAAAGCTCCTCGAATGTCAATCTCCCAATCAAACGGTCGCTCGAAGCAATACGTGGATGCAAGTACTTCGGGTCGAAAGTCCGGGTCGCCCTTCAGTGCTGTGTCACCCACAGCTGTTCCAACAGATATTCATGTTCCGCGGACTGGATCAGTGCCATACCAATCACGGCAGGGCTCGATCATTCCTAAGGGTGCATACGCCGACTCTTCAACACAAACCGACGATCCCGACAACTCTTGGTGGAAACAACCGACAGTGAAGCCCAAGAGAACGATTGTGCCACTTGCGAAGCGTCTCCTCAAGAATCGCCAGAGGATACAATCTCAACAACTGTCTGGGATAAGTGATCAACCTGAATCGACGCATTCTACCGAAGACTTGAATGTGAACGGTCAGGCATCTCCTGTAGTAGCGATGGAGTTAGATCTGCCAGTTCGATATAGTACAGAATCACCCGTCGAGGTTAAGGGGAGAAACGCAAGCATCGCTTCTTCAACGCCATCCGTGGAGCTCTCGGGAGATGTACCCATGAGCGATTTGCCCGCTATATTGATTGGTAATTCAATAAAGCCTCCTCCACCACCATGGCCGGGTAATTCGAACAATGGGCCACATCCCCCAGGGCCAAGGTCGCCTGAATTACGGGTTCAGATGCCTCCTACTCCTACTTTCACAACCCCGAATATGTCAGGGCCGCTATCTGGTTCTATCACCCCGTCTTCGGCAGCGGGGTCCATAGCACAGTCTCCTTTTGGGACCGTGCACTTCCCCGGTACATTTGTTCCGGCTGTCAACGGCATCGTTCAACATCCTAGTCCGGCCAAGCCGACAAAGAAGATGAGCTTGAGCGATTATAAGGCTGCCAGGATGAAGAAGAACGACCATTCGCACACGAGCAACAACAGCGGAGGAAGCAGTCCGACAATCGCTCCAGCTGTCCTGAAGCCTTCGCTATCGACGATCGACGAAGCTAAGGCACCGGGATTATTAGAAGGCTCGGCGATCGTTGACACACCTATAGTTGAGAAATCTTTGGATCCAATGTCTTCAGCCCCCATCTCTACTCCAGATCTTGCTGCCAGGTCTACTTTGCCATCAGAACGAATGAATGGTACTTTGTAACATACTTAGAACTCTTTCGCTTCACGCGGTTTGCTGCTAATGGCGCACGGCGTTTTTTCTTTTGTGACTTTGAGCGTTTTTTCTCACGAATGGGCTGGGTTCAAAAGGGGGCTTGAGATAAGGCGTATTACGGGCGGCCGTACTCTATGCGTGGTCACGCATGTTTGATCCCGTTTGCTGGGCACACATCAATGTTCTTCTTATTTAGAAGGCAATACCTTGTTGTACAAGTAGCTCCATATATGATGAAGCCTCTACGGCATTCCAAAAAATTTAAAAAATCCCTGAACCAATCAATCATTCGATGATCAAATTGCTTGCTTGTTTGTGACATTAGTGTACGAATTTATCGCTCAAGACACTGGGTATCCAAATTATACATTCAAGTTGTCGGACTCGAACAGTAGCAGAGCAAAGTTGTGCCTAGCAAACAGCCCAAAAAGACCAACAGCGAACTGCATGGCCAAGATCTCTATGGCCAATCTATCTTCCCTCTTCGGTCCAAACCATACAAGCCACAAATTCAAAATGGTAAAGTTCGTACTCTCCACAATTTGCCCCTGGCTATTCGTCTCAACTCTTAATAAATTCAGTCTGTGCAGCAGCTTCAACACCTTTGCAACCACGGGCTTGGGAGGATACTGCCACTCTGTCACCGAACATTCCATCAAGCCTGTCCGGGCATTGAAACGAGGCATCCGATGACGTGGGCAGGGCACAACACGGAATAATTGAGGCGCGGAATAGAGGAAGTTGAAGATCTGCGGGATGAAGAGCAAGAGCAGCGTTTTGGAGAAGTGGCCTAGGATCCCTACGACTGCGAAAACCATACCTGCGAAATAGCAGTATGTGTCTCCGACGAAGACTTTGGAGGGGTACCAATTGTGGCACCATAATGCTAGGGAGACGCCGATGAAGGGTAGCAGCATGTAGAGGGAGAAGAGATGCGAGTCTACTGCTGGATGTGGGTATGGTACTAGCAGATAGTAGCAATCGTTTAGGACCAGGAGGATGGCGATCACGAGGGATTGGGAGACTTCGATGCCGTTCACGCCAGCAAGGATGTTGATGCTGTTTGGGCAGAAGATGGCGACGGCGAACATGTAGAGATAGTAGAGAACTCCTAACTGGAGCAGTTCTCCTAGATAGGGGCGTAAAGGGATGGGGACGACGATGTGGGTTACCCCGAAATCGACAAAGTAGACGATTAGGAGGGGTATGCTGGCGATTCCTGGGATGAAGAATTTATGGCGCCAACGAATGTCGAAGAGGTCGTCGCCAATACCCAGGATGGAAACAGATTGAACTGTGATAATTGCAGAGAGATAAGCTGCAAGCTGGGTTTCCTGTTAACCTCCAGATTCCCAAAGAATATCGTGGAGAGCATACCTTGCTATGTGGGAATTTATGCAAAAATCTCCCCCTTTGTACATGTTCAATGGTCTCCTGAACCACATCCCTATTCCCACCTCCAGAAGTCGCTGCCACAATATCCTTATAGAACGGAAAGGGTATGAACACAGTAACGATCAAGATATATACTACAGCACAGACAGCACCCATCGTCTCGGGAATCTCCTTTTTATGTAGTTTACTCATATCTTTCCCTTTCAGACCAGCTTTCATGAATGTTGGACCCAGCCATCGTATCATGGAGTATGAACCAGCGAACGCAATGCCGCTGAATGCGAGTGAGGCAACGAGAGGAGCGCCATCGCCTTGGAAGGTGTTTGCAATTACAGCAAAGCTTGCGAGCGAGAGGGACAGGAGACTCAGAGTCTCTGTGAAGGAGAGTGCGGCCGCAGAAGAAGGTGGATGGGTCATTGTCGTGGAGCGAATGACCATTATTTACTGGAGAAAAAGTTTCAATGAGCAGGAGGAGCGCGCCAGCTCCATATGAGAGTTGTCGAGGTGGCGATCAGACGAAATGTGTTATTGAAGATGACGAGGCTGAAGTGAAAAGCCACGAATGCAAGAAAGTCGCACTAGCTAGCCTTGTGTGCACGGGCCCTCCCCTCAATGGCTCCAGCTCCTCCCGCCAGCCCCTCAGACTCAAGGATCACTAGAACTTGTTATGACAAGGTACCTATGTAGTTCCTCCGCGAACAAACTCCTTTACAACTCACCGAATGGACGACGATCTTCATGAGATGGAGCCAGAGGGCTTCTCTCTTCTTCAGAATGGGCATCGAGATATGATACAAGCCACGGCTTTCAACACTTATGGGAATCGCTTTGCTTCCGGCTCTGCAGATGGCAAAATAAAAGTATACAATCTGCACCATGACGGGACCTGGAACCTGTGCGATACATGGGGAGCCCATAACTCTGAAGTTCTAGAAGTAAACCCATCTCATCCATTGCCTCGCAGATAGTATATCTAATCTAAACTAGATCCATTGGTTCCCTCCAACTATCCACCCCAACCTCTTAGCATCCATAGGCATGGACGGGCGCTTTAAGATCTGGGTGGAAGACCCAACTCTAGCCCCAGGTAAAGGCCGACGCTTCAATTCCCATAACAACAAGCCAGTCTGTGAGCTGCGCTCCGTAGCACGCGCACCCTACCTCTCCTTCTCCATAAAACACAATCCAGAAACAAGACACACGTACCTAGCGCTCATAAATCGCAATGGTATGCTAATCGTATATGAGAACGAGGAGCCGGAAAGCATGGAAAATTGGACCGAGTTGGATACCATTAAAGTGTGCGATAAACCTGCACGGGGGGAAGAGGTTGCGTTCAAGGTGATGTTTGACCCGAATCTGGAGCCGTGCTATGCGGCTATTCGGCAGGGGGTTCAGAGGGATGCTTTGGGGGTTGTAGTTGCCAGTATGGACAGAGCGACTATCTGGCGTACTAAGGAGATCTCCCACGCCGTTACTCTAGGTGCTTCTAGCACAAAAGAATTCTATCGTGCTGCAGAGCTGAAGGGCCATAGGGGACTAGTGAGGGATATAGCTTGGGCGCCGGGCAGTATTAGGGGCTTTGATGTTGTGGCTACGGCGTGTAAAGATGGGTTTGTGAGAGTGTATCAGGTCACGACGCCGCCAAAGGGGGGGAAGGAGCTTAGGAGCAAGGATTACTCGAAGTTGCCGGAGAAAGTTGTTGCTTCTGCGCAAAGAACCCCGGAAAATGGTGCGAAGAATGCTCCTTCTGGCATAGGAGCTGGATTGGCTAGTAGTCGGTCGGGTCGACATCAGGGGAGTCAGGGCAAGGGTGGAGAGGTATTGCATGTTGCTAAAGAAGTGTCGAGATTGGAGCCTAGTGGGACACCTGTGTGGCGTGTGGATTTTGATGATGACGGGCAGTTACTGGGATCATCTGGAGATGATGGGAAATTGATCCTTTTTAGGAGAGAACCGAGTGGGACTTGGACTAAGAGTTCAGAGTTGGCAATGGCCAAAGCTCTTTCCTCTTAGCATGCTAAATAATATGCAGAGGGTTGAGGTCATTTTAGAGGGCGTTAAAGGACTATATTGGGAAGAGCAAATCTGGCGTTCTATGGCTCATGAAGAAACATACACATCACTCAATACATAATATGTTAATGACAGAACCCGTCAAATTACTGATTACCTCTTGTGAGCTATACGTGAAACCTAATTCCGAACGACGCTCAAACGCTATGCCCAATCCCAATCCCAAGCCCAACGCCGGTTCCGATTCCAGTCCCAATCCAATCCTTTATCCATCGCCATGCTTCCATCCTAATTGCATAAACATGAGAGCGTAAAGTTCATTCAACAACAGCCTCAACTACAGCATCCAACATGTTCTGCCAATTCGGCATATTCCACTGCCACCATCTACTCTCCCACCAAGAAGCCTCACCATCTTTTTTCCATTTGTCCTCCAGTACCTTTCTGACTTTATCGTCATCACCCAGATCAGTACCTTCTTTTTCCACCCATTGGCGCTCTGCCTCTTCTTTTGCTTTCTTGACCACAACCTCATCATCCTCGCATCGATACAGATCACACTTAGAGCATTCCATACAGCCTCCTCCGCCGTTAGGGCGGAAGTGTTCACAGAAATGCCTGTAGCCTTCTCCATTTCCAATGTCTTTACGACATACGTAGCACATTTGATATCCACAAACACAAGTGAGTTTGTTACAGCCAGATGACTTAACGAAAGATGTATTGCATCGAGGGCAAGTCCGTTTGATGGCCAGGGACATTGCTAGCTCGACTTGTGTCCGTAGAGCGATAAGGGAGGATTCGTGACAGATGTGGATATCACTCCATCCTTTAGAGCACGAGATGCAGGATGGACGTCCACATTCTGGGTTCTGGCAGACGAATTTTAAACCATGTCGTTTTCGACGAAGCCGTAGAACTGAGGCATTAAGAAGACCAACGGCATAGTCGCCGAAAGTCTGTTGCGAGGATACCAGGATGAAAAGGAAGGAAAATAGCAAAAACACCGGTAAAAGGAAGGGTATCGTGCCAACGCTCAAGACCAAAATTGAAAGGGTATAGATGAAAGGAGGCCCCGCCCGTTTTAAACGCCAAGACCTATGAGTCTCCGGGAGGTAGATCTCGTCAATTTCTGCGTAGCTGCAAAAAGGACACCGGATGAGTGGGAGTTGAATTTTCAGAAGGTTGTCTTCTGCCAGACGTTCGTCGAGTTTGCGGAGGATGTCTTTTCCTGCCTTGTCCTCGGCGAATGCCCGTCTAATAAGATCGTGCGGTATGCACCCTTGACAATCATCAGACATGGCTGCTAGACACCTCAGGGTACCATTGTCAACATTGATGCTTCGTTGCCATCCCTGCCCAAAGACTGCCTCATTGACCGCATGTCTCACGCACTGGAAGCATAGGAAGTGGCCACCAATATCACATGCCGAAAGTTCTTCAAAACTGTAAGCTGTGAAGCAACATTCGCAATCATGTAGTGCTTCGTTTGCTTCCGCCTCACTATTATTAAGTTTCACGGCTAATGCATGGTCCTTCGCCTCCTGATCAGCCAGTGTTCGGTATTGGATTGGCCCTATAAGTGAGTCGAAGAGTTCCTTGTCCAGCTCGGGGGATCCTGTAGCTTTCAATGTAGGGATTATAGATCCCTGTCCTGAGGATTGCCAAATGACAAGAGGGTGATGCTCGATCTCCTGAGACGACGGAGATTTTCTGCGTAAGAATAGTGAAGACAGGGAAAACCGCCATGATTTCGAGGACAGGGCAACAAGGGTTGGTCGAGCGAGCGAGTATGAGTAGTTATGTTCGGCCAGGACGGCATTGATCGTGGAGCGAGAGAGACCTTTGAATTCGCGGTAAGTGGTAGCCTTCACAGCCTTCTTGTATTCCGGGCTTCTGAACTTCTCTTCTGCTCGCACAGCAACTTGTGAGATAGTTGGAGCAGCTTTGTCTTGGTCGCCTTGCGGAACTCCTTTTCTAGCGGCAACCCTGTACCGGCCTCGCACCCACTTCATCTTGGACTTCAGAAGAGCCTCAGTCACGACGGCTAATCTGGACTCCTCGTCGAAGCTCGAGAGCATCTCACGAAAGACCTCGACTTGCACATCTGGGAATATGGCAGCGAGAGCAGCAAGGCTGTTGTTCAGCTCGCGCAGGTCCGGACCTTCGGAATTGACAGGCTTGAGATCTACGGCCTCGTGGATATATGGACATTCAAGAGTTTCGCGTGAGGATTCGGGCTCCGGAGAGCTTTCGTCGGATTCTTGGAAGGTTGACGCGTGTTGTGGTGAAGGACGAGGAGCAGCGTTGTGGCTTGGTGTTTTCAAGAGCGCCGAAAGCATATTCATTGTACTGCACTGCGATGCAGGTGGTTGGCTTCACATGGTTCGAAGGAGTAACAACACCACAGGCCCATCAGTCTACGTCGTGTCGGTTGTTCTGGTGACGATATCTGGACTTCTATAATACTGTAAGTAGAAAGAAGGGAGGAGGAGCATAAAGCACTTATTGAGATTTATGACGATGCCGCCGGAACGCTTTCCGATGCATATACCGTAATTATGCTTGGCGAACCCGTTTTATACCTATGCTATCTTAGGTGGTGCTGCCCCTCCATAAGCCCCATTTAATCAAAATATGCGTATTATTAATCAGGTAATAATACTCCGGTAGGAAATTACTGGTATGTCATATACGAGGTCACTCGTATAGACCACATTTCATTCTCGTACTTCGGTCTGCTTAATGCAGATTTAAATTCTCATGTCTATACTCCTGTACCTACCTAGGTACTTATTTTCCTATTACAAGTTGATCACTGGTCATTCCTGTAAAATACAGTCTACTACCTTTTTTATTTCCTTTAACTTGCTCCAAGTGAGTTAACTCCGACCGAATGCATAGCATATCCTTCCATACATTTTCTGCGTAGTAATTCCTCCTGCATCTAAGGACGCACAGCTGGCTTCTATTGAGACTAGAACTGACAGCAGGCAATTTTTTCGTGTCTAGCTACGCGAGGGTAATAGTCTCAAGCACTCCCTTAGTAGCGTGCCTCGTTTCGCATCATTTCCTTGTTGTTGGTGGCTTTAGTTACCAGTAGTGATGTTGGCATCATGGGCTGCTTCACCACATTTAAAAGCTTCATTAAGTTTTGGAAGGGATGCCTAAATGTCCATCCCTGGATATTTGGGGACTCTAGGCTGTATCATATTTCTGCGCAAACCAACTGGCCACTTTCTGCCACCTAGTGAACTTCCCTCTCTTTCTCTCGACACAGTACTTGACATGCTCTTTTTCACCTTTATGTGTCTCATAATGGCTTCAGCGAAGACATTACGATGTGGTTAAGTATTGAGACTATAGCATTTATCAGCGCCTCCCGTGTTATCGCAAGGGACAAATCACGTCCATATATATTCCGGCGAGCCCACAACTTCCTGTATCGGCCGGGGATAAGTCGGATGTGAGAAGCCTGCCTTCATCTAGCAGCAAACTGCTTGTCATATTTCTGGACTACCTCGGCAAGCAGAAAGGGCATTTGATATATTCTCAGAGGACAATATCGTCCAGGCTTGCTTCCGAAGCGACTCCTGTTGCAGACTACCGAGACAACTATCATAATTCGAGAAAGATGGATCTGGAGGTAGCACTTGGCTTCGGCACATCTTCCTACACGCCCAGGCTCGAGTTGATTCCATCCTTTCCTTGTCCTTTTCCGGAACACAATATGCATTTTACGTCCCTGAGATGGTGTTGACATTCTCAGCGAAGAGCATTAGCTTAGTTGGAGTGAGCGGAATTGTAGTTCTAAACTCCAGCTCTAGCACACGCTGGTAGAACTCCTCCTCTGTGAGGTTGGTATTGGCTGCAACGTCTTGCATGATTTTCTGCAAAGCAATCCCATCACTGCGGAGTATTGATTTCTCTGGAGCGGTACATATCTTCTAGGCACATGATGCAATCACTGGTTGCTAGAAGTGTGAGATGTAGAAGGAACCTTGCATGGCAAACACGAAGAGAAAAATAGCAGCCAAGACCGAAGATCCAAGCTCAAAAGGAGCCTTAGGAGTCGTTCTAGCATTCTACCATTGCCTCGTTATGCTTCGACGATAGAAGGGGGACTCTATCAGTCCCAATGATCTTTGAAGCAAATGAAAGTGGCACGAACAGGAGACGTTGAAGAAAGATCGATGGGTAGGTTGTTTAAAGTCCATCGGCTTTAGTGTATTCCACTGAGGAGTCCACTGTACAGAAATCTGGAAGCCGAACTGCTAATGATGTTCTTGCGCGCAACACACTTGATATGTCTCGCAAAGTACCAAATATATTGTGAATCAAGCTTCATCGCCTCACCTATTCCAGAAGAGTTCGAAAATTCATGATCATCTGAAAGGAGTTCGTTGATGATTCCAAAAGGAGATGATGTTATATTGGTGTCTAGCGCTCATTGATTGAGGCCATTTTAGACCCATCAGTTAGTGGGCTTCTGAACAGCAAGCTGGCAGAGGCTGTAAACAAAACATTCTGCTCAACTCGCATCAACACTCAAATGAAGAAATAGGAAGATGGAACTTTGAGGACTACCTCGGCTGCCCCTGAATTACAGACGTCTTTCTTTTCTGGTCAGGGCATTGCTCACGTAAAAAGTAATACGGAGGAATAGTCTCCGCAAGACTCCATATCTGAGTGAACGAGAGCGAATAATCTGAGAGCTTGGAAAACTGCCAAGGCTCGCCACTTGTACCAAGATGAAATTAAGCTTAAACGGGGAAGCGACTACAATGAGTGGGGCAAAAAGAGATCACCTTCTAGACCTTTAAAGCTTCGCCGATCTGCTTTTGTATGCCATGAAAAGCTTCAGCAGAGTCAACCACATTCGTTTTAGTTAGTAACCATATAATTCATTCCTTCTTTTCTTTAATATGTACAAATACACCCTCTTTTTAGCTCTCTTGAGCGTCGCCGCCGCGCAAAGTACTACCAGTCTTTTACTTATTGGATTTGATCAACAAGATATTGTTGCTTCAATCGTAGGATCGGTATGCGCATGCAAAAATGGAGTTTTCGTTTATACTAACATGTAAAAAGGATGCCACAGCAACAACTTTTGCTATCGCCTGCGGTGATCCTGACAGCGATGATTGTGGTGTTCCAACAGTGAGTAACAATAAAACAAACTCCACTTAAGCAATCACTGACTTGAGACTGTGTTAGTCTTTTACCTTTACCCAAGGACCCTCTACCATCCATTATGATTACCATGATACCGACGACGGATCGGACGAGTAAGCACTTCCTGGGCCTCCCTCACGATGCAAACATTAATCTGCGACTAGATCGATCGGCCTGGGATGTATGGTGACCTCCTCTGACCACGGCGTATGCACCGGAAGCATGGTGGGCAACTTTGACGGCACCAGCACCAGCACTTCATATAGCACATCTTTCAGCACCGGCGCATCAGACTATGTACAATATCAGGCAGTAACCATCACTGCTGGTGCAGCTGGAAGCTCTGCGTCTACAGCCGCTTCGACAACGCAAGGATCATCAGATGCAGTTTCTGCGACAAAGAGTGCAAGTGGGAGTGCAGCATCTCAAACATCTGGTATGACAACTGCAACGTCGCCGGGGGCTTCAGGAACCAAGACTTCAGGAGCGTCGAGCTCGGCTGCTGCTTCTGCTTCTTCTGCTTCTGCTTCTTCTGCTTCTGCTTCTGGCTCTGCTGTAAGCACAGCAGGTATGGCTATGGTTACTGGCAGTCCTCGGTGGGTTTTGGGTGGTGCGGCCGCTGCACTGGCTTTGGCTGCGATGTAAATTACCAAAGGAGGAATTAATTGTGATACTCGTCCCGTAAGTAGAAAGTGATAGAAATACAAGCATCATACAAGTACTCAGGAGTATGAAGGTTGTCGTCATGTCTAAGAAATGACTTTATTTTGGTCGCACGGTCGGTCGGTGGCGTTCCGAAAATAGATTGAAGGCTTGCGTTTTGTTTCCAGCCCAGCGTATCGGGTAGTCAGATCTCCGAGCTACATTTCCCCTCCCCATCTCCTGAACCCATCTACTGTAATAATCGAGAGAGAACAATGTCTTCTGTTGGAGTCTTGTTGAGAATCTCGACTTGATAATAATGCCCACTCCAAACCTAGCAACACAATCATCTCTTGATAAATATCACTCACTCCAGACCTAGGTACTCTCTGTTCCACTTTAAACAAGCCTTTACTTCTCACCTCAATCATAGCCATAGCCACGCCACATCACATCACATCTCAAGCCTGCGGGCTGTACAAGTAGTGTATGTACCTTGGCTTAGTAGTGACAACTTACAAGGATAAGGCTAAAAGCAGGAACCATGAGATGCCGGCGCTAAAGAGAGTGCTTGGTGTCTGGTGCTGGTGGTGTCGCATATTACGAGTGTTGACTTAAAAGTTCACTGGCCTCCCCTTCGCCTCCCCCTTCCTAGGTAGCTAAAGTATTATTCTGTCTTGTCCCTCATCTGTCATCTGCCTTCACACATCGAAAGCCTGGCTACAGTACTAGTCTTTCCTCGTTGTGGAACTTCATCATCCCCCTGGTCCCGTCCCTGTCAAAGATGTCGAAACGAACCGTCTTTACAACTTTGACACCCCTCCCTGCGGGGATCAGTCGGGAAACTGTCTTGGAAACCCTGCACGACCACCTCGAAATGATCGATCTCAATCCCCTCGTCGAAGAGAGACATCTCATCAAACCGCCGCCAAAGTCTACCGCTGAAGAATACCACTGTCAATGGTATTCTCTCACAGACCGAGTCTCATATCTACCAGGAGGGCTGGCTTCTGGAAAAGTCACCTATACTGCATGTTTTCACGACCTTCCGGTAGGACTCCAGACCCATGTATATGCGCCAATGGGCTTGAACATAAAAAACAAATGGTCGTTGGGGGGATCACTACCCGGAGAAGCAGTGGCGCCAGTAGAAATGGGGGTGGGAGCACCATTGCAAGGACTATGGATCAGAGAAGATGTGGACATGAAGTGCAACATCATGATGACCAGCTTTGTCAAGAAGACATTGAAGAAGGCACACGCCGCTCTAGTCGACCGACTATCAATCAAGGCACAAATTGTCGACGCAGCTCTGAAGAACCAAGAATTGAACAACACTGTGCCATCCCACGCATCTTTACGAGCATCAACCCGATGCGCGCCGAGTACATCAGACTTCGATTCGCAGAGCCATTACGCCGCGTCTCCCCCAACCTTCAACCCATACCCACACAGCCCACCTCCACAATCCGAACACCCCGCCTTCCGCGATAGGACGACAGAAACGACCATGACATTTCGCTCTACCCAAGACCACTTAGCACCCGCAGCTCCCCCACATCTAGCCAGAACGGCAGATCGTCGTATCAAGATTACTCGATGGGAAACCAAAACGCAGGCGCCAGGGTTTCGTGGCAGAACCTGGGTGCTGCGGGGAGGAGCCCTTCGATGCATCAGATGGATCCAGCGTACCTCAAAGCAAGTCCTTACCACCACCGAGACTCGTTCTCGCAGCTCTCTTCTGAGGGATCACCACACCACGTACAGGGAAGAAGGGAGAGCGGAAGACAGGACCAAAAGAGTATGTTTGGGTATCCAGGTCCACCTCCACCACCAAAACCGTATGGCGCGGTTGAGTTGGAATAATGGATGGATTGGTGTAATTTATGAGTGACGGTATTCCTCTCATGGCAAGGAGTTTTGGGGCCTCGATTTATTGGTGAATGGAATGATACCCCCGCAAGGTCTGATTCAGTCAAAAGCAAATATATTTGCGGTACAACTATTGTTAGCAAAGGCGTTTGGGCGTTTCTTAGCTGCTTGCTCAAATTCAGAGTTAAAAGAAAGAATACTAAATATGTAATCTCATGAATTTCACACCCACCCAACACTTTTCAATAGTTTCTGTATACCGCGACTCGCCCTAGAGGCTGTCCATCTACTTTTTCGTCGAGACTTTATAGAAACTTGACTAGCTTCTCAGTCCCATATGGGTATCTTAGTATTACACAACATCAGTCTTATCGTGTTCCATTATCGTCCCTTCACTCCTCGACCTTGTTCGCTTCCGCCTCCTCCTTTGGTTCGGCTGCTTCTTCTTGTGGTTCGTCCTTGACGTCCAAGTCCTCGACAGTTTTGGGAACTTCCTCGGTAGCTGTGACATCCTCTGCCTTCTCTTCGGGGCTCTTAGCTGGCTCCGGTGCAGATACTTCCTCGATTGTTGCTTCCTCGGTCTTCCCGCTCACATCCACTTTCGCATCATCTTCTGTCGTTGGCTTTTCGTCTAAACTCTCCGAAGACATCCTGTCCCAAGACTCCGCAGACGCTGCCGTATCATCGTGTTCCGCTGCCGGCTGTTGAACGTCATCGACCGGGTCCAGCTCTGATTCTGGCTTTTTCTCGGGAATATCATGCGTGCCATCAATTTCGTAGGACTCAACAATTACAGGAACGTCTGCCGCACCCTCTTCATCTGCCAAATTCAATTCATTCAACTTATGCGTAAGATCTGGGTCTTCCTCGTCTGACTCCAGGACGGTGTGAATTGTAGATCCAACAGAGGGGGATGATCGAATATGGCGTCTAGTATTTGTGTTGGCTCGGCCAACATTGACGAAATCTTCATCTACTGCCGACGGATTGTTGTTTTCATCCGACTTCATGATCGACGGGACTTTTGCCTTGGGCTCATCAACAATTTCTAATCCTTCTGCCTCAGGAGGCAGCTTGTAGTTCTCAGCCGGCAACAAATCGTAGGTATCGCAAACTGTCTTGAAAAGAACATACAATCCAGTATGTCCCTCAACCTGCCAGAACACTCCTCGGTGTTGGAACCAGGCATGTGCGAATATCCGGTGTAGCCGTCTGAAAATATTGATCAAATGCTTGACCCCAGCTCCACGCTCATCCATTGCATCTCCAGCACCCAGACTTAGCCGACTAGGAAAGATCTTCTGGCTTGTGACAATGTTCGTAGCCCAGTCGAGTGTGTGACAGCAGTAATCAATAGCGCAACAGCTCTTAGGAGACTCGTGAACGGCGCAGAGGAATTGCCACTCGCTGGCGCGCATTTCGGGGCAGGTAGTGGCAGAGCATGGCGGATCGTCGAAGAGGAAACCAATGATCAGATCATTGCACTTATTAATGAGGAAACGGCAGAGCTCGTAGAGCCAGAGAGCACGGTCAACTCCGTCTGGTTGTGTAGCGATGCGGATGGCTGTCTGTCGGTCTATAGGAATCGTATTATCACTGTTTTCGGGCTTCGTATAGTGATAGTGGAGGGCTTTGAGGTGTTCTTGAAGTTGGAAGGCCGAATCGAGCTATGAAAGTGTCAGCCTTCCTCACAACAACAGGGTTGATGGTGATATACTTCACTCAGAGGAACTAGAGGGGGCCCAGCTGCCATGTCCGCAGACTTGGTTCCGGGGTGTATCCTTCTGGCAGCATTTGCCTCTATAATGCTCTGTTCGAGTAGAGGTTCTTGGCTTGCGGAGCTTCCCAAAGCTGGTGATGTTGGTCCTATTTGGATCTCTGTTGGGGGTGGAGGACTTGGGAGTCTCGGAGAGCTTGGTTGCATAGACATCCTTATGATCTATTTCGAATAGCTTGCCAGCTAAATGAAGGGCAAATCACATCGAGAGACGGTGCGTTGTCCAGCGCTCTATTATGCTCGGAGTATGTACAGTAGGTAATCGAAGAAGGCCGGGCAACGCGAAGGTGAAGTGACACGCGCATTGAAGACCTCACGTCAGCCAATCAAGGAAGCTCGGTTAAAAAAGGGACGAGCCTACTGCTACGCCATGCCATGTAGAAATGAAATACCTTATCCCCTACCGCACCGCTTCTTTTTTCTACACACACCACCCAAAGTCAATAGAATGGATTTTGATGACGATGAAGCTCCACCACTGCTGGTTGATGTAGAAGCCCAGGAGAATGCCGAGGGGGGAGCTGACCGCATTAGGGTCCCTATCACCATTGTCACAGGTTCATCACATCTATATTTCACTATAGATGCTATTGTATCTAACTCTGAGTCTCAGGATACCTTGGAGCAGGGAAGACAACGCTCTTGAACTACATTTTGAACGAACAACATGGGAAGAAGATCGCTGTTATTCTGAACGGTATGGACCTCGAAAGCAAACTCATCGCATAGGCTTTCACTGACGCTCGTCGTTGCTAGAATTTGGTGATTGTGAGTTGGTCTTCGGACCCCCGCCATACTGTAGTAGCATATTATACTAATTGTTTTAGCTGCCGACATTGAGAAGACTTTGACTGTCAACACAGGTGGTGAACAAGTACAAGAATGGCTTGAAGTTGGTAATGGCTGTATATGCTGCTCCGTGAAGTACTTAAGTCTTGTTGTCTTTTCTATCTACGTCGTCACTGACATTACCGAGGGATCAGGGTGTCAATGCAATCGAGTCTTTGATGGAGAAGAAAGGGGCTTTCGATTATATCCTTCTGGAGACCACTGGATTAGCAGATCCTGGGAACCTTGCACCACTGTTTTGGGTAGATGAAGGGCTTGGCAGTTCTATATATCTGGATGGCATCGTCACTCTTATCGATGCTAAGAATGTCCTCAAGAATCTTGATGAGCCAGCTCAAGAGACTATCCCGTCTGAGCACGAGCATGAGCATGACGGCCACACCGGGCCTTTGCTGACTACGGCACATCTACAAATATCTCACGCTGATGTTATCGTCATTAACAAATCGGACCTTGTCAGTGAAGAAGAGTTAGAAGCAGTACAAGCACGAGTCCAGGCAATCAATGGGCTGGCCAAACTCCACATAACTCAACATGGCCAGGTGCCCCAGCTGGAAGGATTTCTCCTGGATCTCCATGCATATGACAATGTAGGAACACTGGATGTCGGTTCAAAAGGGCACAGTCATTTGGATCCGGTATGTATGCTGAATCCTCTTTCTTACCTAATATTAACATATTTTAGTCAATATCAACAGTCACAATTTCGGTCCCTGTGTTGACACCCGAGCAATTGCCACATTTGGATGTCTGGCTTAGATCAATTCTTTGGGATTCGAAATTACCAGCTCCAAGCAATGGGGCCGAGGATGAGGACAGAGACAACTACAGCCTGGAGATTCATAGAGTGAAGGCAAAGCTGCCTCTCTCAACTGGAGATATCAAAATCGTCCAAGGCGTCCGAGATGTGTTTGAGATCTTAGATGCACCGCAAATTACTTCACCAGAGCCCGGCTTAAACGGGAAGATCGTTCTCATAGGTAGATTCCTCTTGAACAAGCCATTCAAAGAGAGCTTCATCAGCGCTATAGGACAAACATAAGGTCGAATTGCATGAATGGATCCATACACGTCACAAGATAGTGCTTGAAACAGAAATGGCCGTTTTTTTATGTCAGATCCTCCATTGTGATGTCTCATTTTTTTAGAGGAAATTTCATTTGACCTCTCTTCATCTAGTACGACTAGATTGAGGGTAAAGCCCGTCAGAGTGTCAACCTGTTTCACCGAGAAGCCTGTAGAGAAAGCTTGGCGTCGAGACAATGCATTAAGTGTTCACACGCCCGTGATGCGACTGTTTGTTTCTAACTCAAAAATATTTTGGCTTGAATGGGGATAGAGGCCAGGGAATGTTCTGATCGCGATTTGTGCAACGAGAATGCGTTGCCCTTGACCGCGACTCTGCCAACCAAGACAGTTATCTGGAACGTGGTGTCTTTCCTAGTGTAACTTATGTCCGGTCTGATGATTGAGAGAATAAGTGAGTAGAGCTTGTGTCGGCGTTTAAAGTCTTTTTCACTAAGTCACAAGTCCTCTCGGATGGCCGGTGTGGACCAAATCGCATTTTTCAAAGACAGCAGCATATCGACTTCGATGCCACTCAGCAACAGACGCAAAAGCATACGGCTGACATATCACGCAGTTTGTTTTGGGGGCATTTATTAATTTCCAGTTTATGGGACAGGTTAGGAAGGAAGCTTGTTGATACTCTAACAGATACGCTTCTCCAAACTCAAAAGTAAAGCGCCCTTTCCCTCATCACAGCGCGAATACTCGAACCTTTCAAACAAATCGCACCTATGACCTGCCTTAACACAAACATCCTTACATATCCATCCATGGGACAGTACTCCATACCCTAGAATTACAAACCCATCTCAAACGTCGCTCCAGTAGCTCACAGTGAAGTTGACGAGGTTCATGAAATTGCAAACATGGCAAAAAGCAGCTTTCCAACTCCGTTCGGGCAACAAGGAAATATGGGCCAGATTCGGCGCTCATCCACCTGTGAATCCGATATAACATCCTACTTTCACATCCGCCAGATGTCGCAGAAAGATACACATGACAGTGCATCTACAGCAGCCTCGCCACGATTCTGGGAGGGTGAAGTTGGACCTAGATCGCACACAGCATTCAATATGTCCCGCCAGTCAGGAGACTCTAACGGTAGCAATCACGACGCGGAGCCACACTCCGTGGAGTCATCAGTGTCAGCATCAAGCAAGCAATCCCATAACATAACGGATTGGAATGAAAAGAGGTCGCATGATCCGTTCACCGATCCCAGTAAGTCCTATAGAAACAATACTTTAGGTCCGCCCCGTCCTGCAAATATTGGCATGGAATGGGTTTGGTTCCCAGAAGGATATTGGGCAGAGCGAGAGATACTACCTGCAAAGAAAAGGCACCCGCGGATCAAGAGACTGCTCAACCGACCGTCGGACCAAAAAACGACATCCTCGCAGCCACTAAGTATTCCCACGACTCCGACCAAATCCATCATACCTAGAATCGAACTCGTCAGATTCAAATCAGACAAAAGTATACTTACAACGGAAACGAACAATCATTCCTCGGTTGAGGAAAAGCGAGATCATGATGGAACTACTATCTCAAGTGGTTCCTCTACGATGCCACGTCTTGGGTTGGCCTGTAGAATCAAGAAGAATATGGCTTCGCGATTCGCAAAACCAAAGAGAGTAAAACCCAAGACGCCCCGATGAGGTTTCCAAAGCTGACCTTCTTAGTCTGTTGATAATGCTCCCATAAGAGACACTAGGGGGTCACGTACGGCCTTGCTTCTTGAGGGTACGAGTTCTTGTTTGGAACGGCTTGAACACGAAGATCCCGGCACACAGAATGCAGCAGCTATATCACCGAGGCCTCGTCGAACCTTAGGACTTGCTCCATGGCACCGCAGAAACTCGCACGAGTCAATTTTGTCAATGTCAAGCTCCGTGCATAAAATATTGATTGGGAAAACCCCAGCAGCTACGCCACGGTCGCCAAAGATAAATGATGGCTATCAGAGAGGTAAGAAATCGAAAGGGGTAAATGTGATTGATAGATAGAGCCAAAGTTGGGATTTGAGAATACTTTCTGACTCTGTACGTAGTTGAAGCGGATCTATCAGACTTAAGTGTACCCGCTACGTTTCTAGCATCAGTAAGTATTGCCATAGAACTCACTAAGATCGACAGGCTAATGTGCGCAAAACTCAGGAAGCTAAGCGTATCAGTACTTCCCCCTCCAGGCGCACATCTCCTACCTACGAGTCTAGAGCCCAAATTCGCGGGTTCGACTTCAGCCCCCCCGCAGATGGGCCAAAGCGTTACGGAGAAAGGAGTGAAACAGCAAACGGGCCTGTAAGTCCACCATCAAGTATACTACAAAGCGAAACTAACCTTACACTCCGGCTAAGAATCGATCAAATAATCATACAGAGGTCCGTCAGGATTGGTTCGACGCCAATACCAAAGTTGCTGCTGCAATAGAAGAGCAGTTACGAAGAACACAAGGGTCTCAATCCGAGCTTGAGCTACCCGAGCATTTCCCAACCAGCCCATTGTGCCCAAAGAACCCCAAACACAAAAGCGGTGGAACTGGGATTTGTTCTTATCATGGAAGTAATACGAGCGAGGTTGGCGGAAGTGGGGACGAGGTGTAAGTAGTAGCTGCTTGTAAATGCTTGAGACCAAAATTGGAGTCGTGTAAATACAAAAGGAGCACACTATCTGATTGCTTTAGCCTCTCGGACGCTGAGGCTGGTATTTGTATAGAAGTAGGGCACGTGACCAGGCGAAGCTCGCTGCTTCTTTGGCTTGGAAAGGCCACCGTATTTTCACTACAATTACCTAGAACTCCTCACGAGGCTCCATCTCCTACCCTTCAGCCTGCCCTGCCCGCGCGTAGCTGCCCCCGACCCAGCGCCAGTCAAGATGGCTTCTTCGGAGACAATTCAGCAAGATCCCCTCTTGCTTCTGCGACAGGCGATAGCCTCGGACAGTCCTTGCATACCGACTACAACCGCAGATGCATCCTCAGCTTCATCAGTCGATTTGAGCTTGTCGACAGCAACCTACCTGCTCTTTTCCTCGCCCGTTCAAGTCTCGATACCCCTTGATACACCCACGCGTTTTATCTCATCTGACAAACCAGTCAATCTCCGCAGTATCTATCTCGCGTGGTTGAAGAGAGAGACAGCTATCCCCGACTACAATGCTGCAACGCGTGCCTTGAACGAGGAATTGGCTGCAGATGGAGGCGCAGGCGGAGAGGTCCAGAATCTCCCATTTGTGGAGAAATTAGATTTGCTTACCTGGCTTGAGAGTGCTTCCGAAGAGAGTGAATTCATCAAGCCACTGGCATCGGATACGTTGAGTGCTGCTGCTTCGGCGCAAGTTGCTTCTGGGAAAGTTGGGGGAATTGTGCCTGTCACTAGTGGTGCTGCTGGGAGACAGGGCAAGACTATTGATCCGCGCCTGGCAGAAATCTACAACGGAGAGAGGCGAATGGGTGACAGGAATAGTGTGTTGAGGGGAATTAAGCCGACAGTACGTCCAATTCAAGGACCATAACTGTATCATATTTGCTGACTTGGATTTCAGGATTTCTCTCATGTACGCAAATTAGCCGCGCCTTTCAATGCACGCAAGGCCGCTCAAGCAGCTGCGAATCTCGCAAACAACCCTACTCTACCCCACAACCCGAAAGCTCCAGCCCGCCGACCGGACCCCATAATACTACTCTCCCCTTCGGCATCCTCCCTTCTGCGTATGTCAAATATCAAATCCTTCCTCGAAGGCGGTAGTTATATACCCCCGGAGTCCTCGAGCTCAACATCAAGCTCTTCTGCCTCAATATTACACATTACGCGCACGTTACCTTTGATAGATCCTACCCGTGCTATGCGCTTCATCATTGTTGATACGCCCGAACAGTTCAAGCCAGAGTATTGGTCGAGAGTTGTGGCCGTCTTCACGACAGGGCAAGTATGGCAATTCAAGAGCTATAAATGGCAGCAAGCAACAGATTTATTCAGACATACGTTAGGTGTCTATGTAGGATGGAGAGGAGAGCAGATGCCCGACACGGTTAAGGGCTGGGGTCGAGGTGTACTGGGAACTCAGGTAGACAAGTGGAGTGCTGGAGCGTCTGCTGCGAGCAGATGGCGGGATCGGGAGGTTGTTGAAAGCATTTGGAAGGCCGTCGAGGAAAATATGCGGAACAAAGGCTGGAGGAGAGACTCGGGTCCAACGGTAATCTGAGGCTACATGTACTAAATGGCGTCTGGTGTTGTGGGATTGGGGGTTATTGAAAGCTGCGAAAAGTCTTTAGGATGATATCCATAACTTGAAAAGCGTCACTCAGAATGCCCTGACATGGTGTTTATAAGTCTGGCATAAATATGCTTCAACCTGTCTACCTCATTTCCAGCTGAAGTCTTAAGTGTTTCGTTGGTGAACGGTTAAAAGATCTAGAAAAGACTTAGTCGACGATGCGAAGGATTCCCGAAAGACCCAATTATCTCGCGGACAACCTTGGCCAAGGGCCAAGGGCCAAAAAGCGAATCTTACCATTTGAATTCTTATGTTCTCTTCCTTTGGTGCGTCGAAGACACTCAAGTATATTGGTCGTTGAAGAAAGCTAACTACCTAGGTACCTACCTATAGCCATTGCCCCCTGTGGATAGAATTCAATCACCAACCGCACTTTAAGCTGAGTCATCGCAATCACCTTGCTACGGTATGTATAGACATCTTACCTAGTAAATCAAACCCTCAAGTCATTGATTGCCCTGTCGTCGCCTTCAAGTTCTCCGTACCGTTCCTCCTGCCCAAACAAAAGGATAAATATTGTGGGCAACAGCAGCTGATATAGAGTATCTCGTCCAGTGCTCAGTTGTACTGGGTCAACGCTCCATTGCTGCCTGCGGACCTGCAATTCAACCAACCGGTTAAATGTGAATAGCGGTCTCCAGAGGCTCTGAAGCGAAATGTTCACTTTCCCTCCGCATCAACAGAACGACTGCTTCATGAACGAGCATTTATATTCTTCTGTTCCCGTATAATTCATACCTTATTATCGCGTAGCTCGGGAGGAATGATGTTGGCAATCCTTCTAATCCGCCTTCGCTTCTTGTGGCGACTGGGTGCGAAGTCAACGCCCACCCCCACTACCTTCAATTGCTATTCCAAATACTCAATTGACTGCCCGATCAATAAATATAGACTCTAGAGCCGTCCCTGCGAGTGCCTAAATGCAGCTTTGACGCGCTGCAGACACAATAATGCCAAGCTTGAGTTCAAGTTCAAGGCCAGATCAGGAAGGAGAGGCACGCTCTTCACATGCACATAGTAAGCATCTCTCCTCGAGCAAGCACTCAGCGAGCTGTACCTTCTAGGACTAGGCAGGTATGTTGCTGCTCGTGGCTGCAAAGTTGTATCCCTGACTTTCGGGACCACATTCCGGATGCACCTCCGTATCTTCAACGTCCATTTGCATTCACTTCGAAACACATACAGAACTCGACGACCAGACCATCCCAAATAAATTCATTGCAAGGCAGAATACTTTCTAGTGCTCCGGACTTTGCGAGGCAGGGTCTGACTTCACAAACCCTGTTGCAACCGCAAACCCATCTCTTGCTTCCTACCTCAGCTTGCCCTCATTACCCTTGTGCCCCCCAAAGAACTTCACCGTTGAATACAAGAATGTTCCTGCAGGTCCAAGATAGCTCTTGGATGGCATAGATAAGGCAATTGCTCTAAGTGTGTTGATATATGGTCCGAGTGGAGAGAGTCAAGTTCCACAATGGCCTGGACATTACGCCTCGACAGAAATGAACGCTGTGCACATGATGTTCTATCAAGTGAAGGTTGAAAGCTTTGCAGGAGAAGGATAGCCCAAGGAGCTGAAATGTCGAGTTGCTTGGAAGAGCCGCGTCAAAACTGCGCAAGTCTTAGGGAGGACAACGTCTGAAATGGAATGGACCTACTAAGCAGGCCTAATTTGAACAACTGGAAGCTTACAGCGCTTGCTGCTGCTATATCTCCTCAAGGCTGTTGTGCTTTCTGCTTAGAGCCCACAAGTGTGGCAAGTGCTTGTATTTATGAAGAACTGTATTTGGCATTTCAGATTGAGATATACATATTCAAAAGACGTCGAGTCTATCTAGCGCTCTTCATTTTCTGTCTCTAGGCGACAGGCGGCGTATTTGAGAATTCAAGAGCCGTTCTCTCGTTCATATCTACTATATCTGTGGAAGTATACAAAGAGCCCAAGACGCGTTAATCAGATTTTCAATTATGAGATTGTTCTACCAACACTGATTCATTCAAGCTAGCAGCGAGGTCAAAGTCTGCTACAGCACTTGCCGGGATCAGTCAAGCAGCGTAAAATGATGTCTCTCATTCTGCGGCGGAAGGGTTGAAGGAGATTGTAGATGTGAACTTCTCAACTTTTATTCTTGTCCGCTCGGATCCAAGAACCAACATTCCAGGACGCGGTTTTCAGACCCGTAAGAAATTGGAATGTTCGATTTGGCCAAGATATTCTCCAAGTGCCTCCCTGCTGATGGGTCTAAGTGGCTCGCATGCTTGCAACTTGTTGAAAATACAATATGCTGCAAGGAGCCGGTATTGTAAACTGTGCAGAATATCAATAGTCAACCCGCTTTCCGGACTACACATATGTGTAGTGAGACGGATGTATGAACCCTCAAACTCTTTCATTTGTCGGATCTTCAAACCTTTCACTTGACGTGGGAGATTCTAATTTCATATGAACTAAATGAATGCGTTGTGCCGGTTTTTGTGTCACGTAGAGAAGTGCGGATTGGACAAAGGCAGCACATTAAAAGCTCTTGCATGATCTGACACCTATTCATCACCAACATGCCACAAAGCGCATGTCCCACATTGTACAAACCATACCGCTATTTCCACCCACCGACCTCCCGGCTCTGGAAACAACACAGAGTTAGCAGCGGGAGGGTGGGTGCATATACGCTAAGGGGTCACAAAGTGACAAAGGAGCGTACGGAGGTAGCTGTGCATTGAGACACTTGCCTCGTGGCTATCGACGACACGGCGGTAGGCTGCAGACTTCGCGGCACCACGCACAACCGTTTGCCTCGTGGCTATTTCTCCTGTTATCCCACTAGCTCCAACGCCATGCAAGCCGCCGTGGAGAAACCAAACATTGGGAAAATTGGGCGTGGAGTGTGGCGCTGAGCTTGTATCCTATTCCGCATGCTGTACGGCACGGGATGCTGTACTAATACCTATTGGGAACTTCGTCCCCCTCGATTTGATCAACATGCTCACAATACTGGTATCACATTCCTGAAAATTCCAACATTACTCAAAGTCTTTAATGGATTTTGGATTTTGTCAGATAAGATCCTATCAACGAGGACATTCAAAGCTTTAGAAGGACACTCATGACTCATGAGACGATGCTGCATGAAGCCGCTGCATGTTACTTCGTATATTACTCACTCACAGTGAAAGAGCATATGTTTGATCTGCTCCAAGTGTAGTGGAGTGTCAAAGTGGACTTGAACCTGGCGTATTCTTCTCAAGCGCGGCGCAGCTGGCACTATAGGCAGGAATTGGACATGATTCGTATAGAATACTACTAAGTAGACCCTACCTAGTATAGTAGGGAGCCCTCTTTCCCAAAACCCCGGGACTGGATCAGCAGGATGTGGTTTCATTCAAGTTTATTGAAGCGGCAGGGTGTTCTAGAAGGAAGGCTAGAAGGAAATTATGATTCCAGAAAGGAAGTGACCCTAGACATTATTCAATATTATCTCAGACAGGGGGCTTGGTTTGGGCTACGTCTCAAGAGATCATAGGCTGGATAGGGTAAAGCGGAGCGTGTGAAGCACGTGGCGATCTACCTTAGCTTCCCGGAGATTATGGAAGATTGTTTACGATCCAAAGTGTCCGCTGGGGAGAATTCGGGACGGACCCCTGATCGGCGAGCTCCGTTTCGTAAGGATCCGAGAGAGAAACTCAGTCAAAGATGCGAGGAGAGGCTGCAAGGTTGTGTTTTAATTTCCTTTATGCGCTCGGCTCGGTTTCGTGGCGTCGAGCCGAGAATCATGGAGTGGGGATATAGACGCCGCACGCCTGGTGATGACTTTGAGGGTAAATTTGAATAGATTACCGTATCTATGCCTCCTTTTGTGCATACAGTAACTTGGTCGTGAATTAAGCTAGAGCAGGAGTGAGGTGGTAAGCGAGTGTTTCAATAGAATATCTCAATGTGGTGTGGTTCTAGTAATCAATGCAGAATCACTTCACTGTCACTTATCGGAGTGTGGGGACCTTTCTCCTACTGTACTGTACTGTAGTCCGGAATACGGACTAAGGTAATCATGAGTTGCACTCGTTTGCATTGCATGAAAGTAATTTGACTCTTGCCTCCTCTCCCATTCCCTTTCTCTCCCTTCCCTCCACTCCCTCCCCTCCCTCCGTCTTGCACATGCACAAGGCTGAAGCGAAGCCGAGAGCACCACGCCCACGGCTGAATAAGTAGATGCCACGTGGGAAGTGGTACTGCATCCCAGCCTCTTTTCCTGCCCAAATCTCCCGTCCCGCGCCCGTGCTCCGTGCCCTCGTATCTCCTACTTCGTACTCCCGTACTTTGACTTTAGCCCTGCCTTAAGAAAGCGTCTTATTATTTTTATTAACTCCGACTCGCCACTGGCGCTACTCTAGAAAAGGCACTAGGCGGGACGGAACTAGCCCGCTTCTCGATGCTAACCTTTTCCCGAATGGGCTGGGCTTACTCGTACAGGACTACCTTCGTACCCTTCGTACTGTACCGTACAGGGGTTTGCAAGAAAAACGTGGTTTGACGTGTGTGAACACGCCTGAAGAACGTGTGCGTCCGTGAAACAAACGTGCGAAGGACTGCTGCTTTTAACCTGTGCCGGAGAAAGTCAAGCCAGGCCAGGCCAATCCCAACACCCAACCCCTCACTTGCCTGACAGAAGAATCGGTGAGAGTTGCGCTAATTGCAGCGATCATTACCTTTGTGTTGAAATGCCGCACACGTGCCGTCGTGCGCTCGCCTATACAAACAGAGGCTTCTTAGTGATACCCACAAGTTGAGCAACCTCCTTCTCTATGAGAAATGGTCATGCCGGTAGATGGGGATGGCGCGAACCCGAGTTCATAATCAGCTCATTTTGACGACAATGTAAGGAAGTATCGGCCTTTTGAAAGTCTAAGCCAACTTAGCCAAGCAGTGCGGCTATTCAACTAGTAAAGTCACCTGGGCACTTATCATGGATATATATGCTTTAGTATAGTACCGCAAGTCTCGTCCAAACCGTCCGTACTCGGGTCAAAGCCGGCTCTTACGGGTAAAAGGTTGACCTTCTTTACGGAGGTACAATTATCCTTTTGATAAGGTACGGTGATAGTCTGCAGTTGCAAGGAAAGAACCGATCATCGCTGCGTTCCTACTGTATTGCGCGCGTTATTGATCTTCATTACCAAGATGGCTCGTTCACCTTGACATAATTCCAAATATTTAGTTGAAGATTCACGAATTCCCAAGGAACTCAAACTATTGCTTCTTATTTTATTTTACTTTTGTCGAGCAATACCTGATAGGTCGTTAGTACGTGGTGGCACGGTTTCTTGTCATACCCAAGCTCACAAGATGCCCCTCCCATTTCGGATGGCAAGTGTACTGGGTAAGAATTGTCCTATCATACAAGATATCGAGGCCCCAAGTCTACCTACCCATGCTGCCATGCTGCCGTGCCATAATGTGCCAGCTAAACCTTTTCAACACTAGCCTAGCCGACCCCAAAGTGATGCACGCTCATGCAGCATGCTCAAGCATCTCACCGCCGTACGGTTCTTACTGCATCCGGCAGTAATCGTTCGATAACCGACAGTCATGAGATTCGCCTGCTCTTGCAGAACAATCATCCATGATTCATCCCATCCTTTGTAATTATCTGCAGCGAATTCCTAAATTTTTAGATCCGTTGAGCGCCGCTCATTCTCAACGAGACGACTTTCCCGCCTGGATACCAATTGGACTGCAGATTGGTGGGGACAAAGAGATTAGTCACCAGACCAGGGCCATTCGAAACACCGGCTATCAAGGCATAACGGCTGATTTCCCCTCAACCTTTGTGGCAATTTGATTTGTTTGCGGCGTGGAACGGCAGCGGAAACAGACGACTTTGTTGACTAGGCAAGCTGTGAAACATTGTTCAAGGCCTATGACGATTTCAGAAGGAAATTTAGAAGGCGACGGATCGACAGTCTAGGGGAGGCCCTGAGCCTCACATCCCCTTTTTCTTCCACCGTTTACGGAGTATTACTGTCCTAGTCCTAGGATGAGTGTGGAGGAATTATAGGGCGGATAGCGGGTACTGACAGGTTATCGTACAGGCAAGTGAAACTTAATACGAATCCCTCACGATATTGTGGGAATCATTGTGCTGGAGTTTGATTTCGCCTTGTTACACAATACGAATAAGAGGCAAATTCTTTCAATATCAGACTACCTGAAGGACTTACTTACGAAGTAGATAGGATTCACAGTTGATTGTGAGAGATTTAGTAAAAGGAAGTAATGAGTGGAACCTCGTAAGATTCCTGTTGATTTATTATTATGATATATTTTTGTTTTCGTTTTTATATAGTCCAGGCCGAGGTCCAAGGCAATGACGGTGGTTGTACTACCTGTGGCGTTGGGCCTATGTCGTCTCGACTATCAACAATGTAATGTTCTGCAGGAAACCACTTGACGTTGTACACATCAGAATTTTCAGATGAGAAGCACATTGCATTGCATGGCATCATGACAGCGGGAAAATGATAAAGAGAAGGATTAGTGTCTTCTACGTATACTGACTGTTGTTTTATGGCTTGAAATAGACATCTAGACTTGCTACTCTGTTCTCCGCTTTCCAGCAGCCAGACAATCAGGAATTGAACCTAAGGGTTGAAACGCAGACAGGCTGGATGCATCTGGTACATTTAGGAGAGTGGGTAGTGTATATAGGTAGTACTGTACAAGCGGAAGCCCGTCCCATCCTATAGCTGTATAGCAAGCAAGAATTAATTAGTTTTGAGGTTATTCTGACGGGCTACTTGGTACCTCTCCACCATACATATTGACAACGTCGGGCTGGTCCTCGCATCGCATCGTATCATATCTATCCTATCGTATCTCAGTTTCAGAAGCATAGGGGTTGTGTCTCAGGTTCACCGGGTGTGCCTGGAGCCTGGAGTGGATAAAGTCGTGCCAAACGTGCTAAGCGGGCTAAGCGGGTGGATGGGTCAGCGCTACTCTGCATCTGGAAGCACACACTGCATGATGCATGCTTTTGGCTTCGGCTTTAGGCTCTCACCCCTGCACCAGTAGTCAGCGAAGGAAATGATAGAGAAAGGCTTACCTCCGTCAGAAGATCCGACGCTGATTGGCCTACAGCTCGTCCTTCTGAGCTGGCATTATCCCAGTGGACACCCCTGCCTCACCTGCCGTATCCCTGTCCCTTTCCATCCCTGTCGGCCACGAGAAGACCCACCCTCTGTTCTAAACCACGAGGGGCGGCAACTAGCACCTGCACCTGCGACCGGCGTATGAGAAAGCAGCCACCCAAGATCTAATTGTTTCGCTTCTTTCTCTCTACATCCCACACCACACCACACCACAGTGACCACACTACCACTCACGACCAGTCTCTCACTCCTTTCCTTACTACAGACCTAACAACGGCCTGCCCAACACTAGACCTACCTACTCATCACCACAGTACGTGTCTGTTGTTGAGTTGTGTAACTGAACTTCTGTCCTTGACTGACTCTTACAGCCTTGGCCCAACCGGGAAGGAAGCCAAAGGCAAGCAGGCAAGGGGGAGTGAGGCGGGACCGATTATTAATTATTGGCATCCTGAACTACTCACTCACTCACTCACTCGTACTCGCACCTTCACTCCCAATCCCCCTCACTCCCACGCCCGCTTCTTCACAAGCTCGCTAGGTGAGGCCGTTGTCAGTCATTTGCACTCGGCGGGACCTGCCTACCTTACCTTACCTACTCTTACGCCAGCTCCACTTTCTCGATTTGCCGGACCCTACCTTACCTTGCTACGTACTATTATACTTCTACTATACCCTATACCCTACACCCTACCCTATTGTACCGAAGTACGAGTGCCCTATTGTTCCTAGTCCCTAGATCTCATCTGGCGACAGAACTCGACTCGACAATAGCAGCACGCAGAGCAGGGCAGGGCTGGGATAGTAGTGTAAAACAACCGTCCCCCAGATCCATGGCTCTTTCCCAACCTGCCTCCATCTCCACATCTACATCTACGTCTACACCAGAATCTCCCTTCCAGAAATCCACCTCACCACCAACCACAGACGGCCTCTCAAACGCTACATCTACCCCTACACTACTTGCCGCCGCCCAGGAAGCTACGGTCCGCATAGTCCCTTCCACTGGGGCCGTTTCTACTTCTACTTTTAATTCACCGCCCTTGGACCCGTCAACTTCCCCCAACCCACCGGCGAATACTTTGAGGCACCACCGCCAGTCAACCCAGTCCACCAGTCTTTTGAAACCGAATCGAGCAGGCATACTCAACTTTGCGGCCTTGGCTAAGGAAAAGACCACGAGTGCAATCGCAAGCTTCTCTGAACCAACACCACGGAACCGACCTTCGTCCAATAGTCTATACCGCTCCGCGCAGAGCTCTCCAACCTCTCCGCCGCCCGACCTTGTCTCTCTTCCTCGATCAGGAGAAGTCAGCCCGCAAGAGACCCCCGAATCATTTAGTCTCAGCACCATACCAACAACCCCCCCTTTACAAACGAGAACAGATACATCCAGCGCGAGTTCCCGATTTCGCCAGTCTTTGCTTGAGACGAACCCACCCTCGCAGGCGTATTCCAATACTGCTACCAATACGCCTGCCCCCCATCTCAACAAGATGCATCAAACGTCTTCGCGCTTATTGCGCATGACCACGGATGAGAGACCATTCACACGGGTAAGTAGTTTTGAGCACACCCAATAGACCGGTTGGTCAAGCTGACATTTGAAAAGGACTTCAAAGACCTCTTTGCGACATTAGTCGTCAGCCTTCCACTTGCACCTCATCGCGTTCGGCTGACCAGAATTGAGCATTCCTTTATATCAGAAGAAGCTATCAACAATCTTGGATCGTTGAAGTTTTCTCAATCCAACCGAATGCCTGATCCAAAGGACCCTTCTAGGATTGTTACTACTACGACTACGACTACTTTTTCTATGGCACGCGAGATGGCTCGATCTGTGTGTCAGCGATTTCTTGACGCAAGATTTATCGAATCTGCTGATGGCAAGCAAGCGAAGGAGTTTACGATGAAGGGCTCTATTTGGCAACTAACACCAAAGGGGATCCACGTTTTGGAGAGATTCTGTGGAAAGAATGGAATTCAGCAAAAGCATGTTACAGAACTTGTAAACTCTCCCAGAAACACAATGCAGCTCGTCATTCTAGAGAGAGATTCAGCAACCGATAAACTTTCGTCTGATCGAAGTACCGTCGAGGTGATTTTCCGCCGCTTTGTCGGTCAGAATGGCCCAAACATTAAGGCCACCACCAGCTCTGCGGACTCGGATTCTCTGAGCGAATACAAAGATGGACTTGCAGGTGTAAGAATGGCCAGCGAGCGCAGAATTGGCACACCAGCAAAGATTGTTCTCCAGACATTTACGGGTAAGGCGGCCGTCGAATGGTTAATGGACTGCTGTACGACAGTGGATCGTAGAGAAACGGTAGAGATTGCAACGTTGTTTCTGGAGCAAGGCTTGATATGGTGTGTACAGTCGGATAGAGCGTACCTCACCCAGATAGGTGCCGAAAAGGAGAAAGACCCCAGATTTCAACCAACAAAATACGCCATTTATCAGTTGTCACAAAAGGGGAAGGATGTTGTCAACATGACTTCGAAGGAGCGAACATCGGAGAGTGAAAATTCGGGTAGTGTGGCTTCAAGAGCAGGCGTTTCCCGCGATTCAAATACTCAAAAGTTAGACAAGATCTTGAATGATGCAGCACTTCGATTGCTCTTCCGAGAAAACTTACGAGATACGCATTGCGAGGAGAATCTATCGTTCTACCTTGATGTGGACGAGTTTCTCAAGTCCTGCAAGGTCGCGATCAAGTCCAATTCTTCGTCATCGAGAAATGCAAAGAACTCTGGACCAAGTCTCGATGCTATTAAGGAGACTATGGCTTCCGCATATGGTATCTACAACGCTTTCCTGGCGCCTGGGTCACCATGCGAACTCAACATCGACCACTTGCTTCGAAATCAGCTTGCAACGCGAATGACGAAGGCGGTAGGACAAGACAGTGCAATGATAGACAGTTTAAGGGAGGTAACCAAGCTGTTTGAAGAAGCCCAATTATCGGTGTTCAAACTTATGGCTAGTGTAAGCTGCTAATTGTCCCGAGAGAAGTTCACATTGCTAATTTGCGGTCAGGATTCCGTTCCCAAGTTCATGAAGAGCTCCAAATACGAACAAACACTCAAGAACTACGATTTCGATGCTCTCCCACATAGATTCAAGGAACAGGGCAGTCCGCCTGAGCGTAGCATTAGCAGATCGAACCGAAAGTCATGAGAGAGGACTCTATGACCCAACCACCAAAAACTTTTATGCATCAAATGCTTGAAAATCCAAGTACAGAAAACGAAATGACATCCCGTATTGAAAGGCCAGTCACATACCGGTCTTTTCGATAGGTGGCCCTTTGTCTTTAGCAATTGCATAGATTACCCCAGCTCGAATGTTCAGGCCGACTTCTTTAATGCCATTCGCTATGGCCTGATCCATGCATACGTCGGTTTAACCTTTTCGGATACTGGACTGTTCTATACACTGCAATTCTGGAGTTCCGGTTCGTTGATATATGGCCTATAGAAAGACACACCGCTTCATATACATGATTGTTTTGGTCGGAGGAATTGCAGATGGCTCGATGATGAAAATGCCGAGGTGAGAAGTTGGTTTGCGAACTTTCTTCGACAAAATACTCTATTTTCGGTATCTTCGCCAGCCATGGAGGAAAGATGGTCTACTTAGCGCACTGGCGACTTCTCAGTGTATCTATACTTAGCTACAACAGAAAATGAAAAGAATGTGAACCCAGGCCTGTGCATTCAAGGCGGGCGCCGTGACTGTGTTCTATATACCATCTTCCCAAGTCATCAAAACAAACAAATGAGGCGCGTTGTAGTGTGACGCGCTCTAGAATGTGGTGGGCATTCCTTTAGATGGATTGCGCAATCTCCTTTTGTTTGCACCGCCCGGTTCTTCTTCATTTCATATCTGCATTCTTCGCGCTCCAAAACAACTACTAAAACATGACATGAATTGAGTTTAAACAACGCGCGATATCAGGAACGTGGATGCAGATCTGGTGCGATCTAGTCGTTAATAAAGGTGCTGATTGGGCACTAGCTAGTCGAAGCAGTAGTGTTGGTGCATTTGACTAGACTAAACTGTTAGATACTCTTCAACTAAGAAGCTGTGATCCGGGGCCGAGAGGAGGTTCCAAAGGGATGGAAATCTTTAAAACTCCCCCTTCCCTCTCCCATCCTGACCTTTTCTCCTTTCCTGTCAAGCACATCTATCTAAAGATCATTCGCACAGTCTCTCTTTCCAGTCTTCAGACTACTACACTCGTTTTATAAATTAATATTTAATCCCCCCTCCGTCAAGATGAAGTACTCTTTCGCTGCTTTGGCCTTTGCCGCAACTGGTGCAGTGGCCGCTTACAACAACGGCACCGTCTATACGACCGAGATCGTCACTGCTCTCACCACCTACTGCCCAGCTGCCACCGAGATCACCCAAAATGGCGTGACTTACACTATCACTGAAGCCACTACTTTGGTAAGTCCACAAGATGCGAGTTCTTGGTAACACCCAGGAACTCTGCTCTCTGTTCCACAGGGCATGTCCATACTAACGCGTTCGGCAGACCATCACCAACTGTCCCTGCACGGTCATCAACCCAGTGATCCCTACGCCAGTGATCCCTGCGCCAGTGAATCCTGCGCCAATGATTCCTGCACCAGTGATTCCTGCGCCAGTGGCCCCTGTACCAGCTGGCCCAGCTGGCCCCTCCACCGTCCTCTACACAAGCTGCGAATCTTCAGCCACCGCAACTACCGCACCCGTCTTGAAGAACATCCCGGCCAAGGAGAGCACCTTCTACTCGAACCCCCTCACCGTCATCCAGGCCACCGGTGCATCCACGCCAACCGGCGCGACCCCCAGCCAGGCTCTTTTCACAGGCGCTGCTAACGCCAACAAAGTCGGCGTCATGGTCGGTGCCGTTGCTGGTATTGCTGCTTTGGCTCTGTAGAGAGCTCAAGTGGATGCTTCTGTAGGGAGGAGCGTGGGTGTAGATAATTTATGCCTGAGTGAGTGCGGATAAGCATTGGGAGTGGGAATTTGGGAATTTTGATGGCGTTGCTAAAGTCTACTTCATTTGTATATAGTCATGGGGTCAATTGCTGTCCTCGCTGCTGGCTCTTTCCAGATAGTTGTTTAGAAAGTGGTATGGAAACCAATCGGATTTGAAATTATATGTTTTGGTTCATCTGCTCGTGTGTCTGGATTATTCTGCCTACTTCCACAAGTGTGATATTGACTGCACAGTACTACTTTAACTTGTCAGTAGTCACTGCTACACTTGTACTCGATTTCTACAATCCCGTTTCACAAGTTAATATATACTTTACAACGCCTAACGCACGTTTGGGCCTGAAGTAGACCTCTGATAAAGGAGGTGCAACTGGTATATTTTCTGTATTCTGATTGGAATGATGACATCTCGACGCCCTGCGAGATCGGGAAACCCCAATTTATCAGCAACGCCAGACTTGGATCGCCAATTCCTCCATAGATAGTACGTACCTATGCTTTGTATAACAGTAGATGGGTATCTATAAAAACACGTTCAACAATCTTCGACCTCCCGACCTTTATACCTTGCCAATACTGTATTTACCTATTTACGTCGAGAAGCAATGAGCGACGCTAACATCACTACCCGTCGCGCGTATCGCCGAACAGACGACTACACGCCCGGCACGCCAAAGATCGAAATCGTCACCGAGCCTCTGCCTGTCCCACTCTCCGCCACAAAAGTCCTCATCAAAGTCCACGCTGTCGCTCTAAACTACAGAGATGCCAACATTTCCAACGGGGGGAACCCGTGGCCCGTGACGCCACACGGGATCATTGGCAACGATGCTGCCGGAGAAGTCATTGCCGTGGGCGAGCAGGTGAAGACTCTCAAGATCGGCGACAGAGTTGCGCCCAATATTGATACCGAGAATATCACGGGTCGGGAAACTACCCGATCTTGGTTGGCTGCAGATGAAGATGGGGTGTTGGCGGATTATTTGGTTTACGATGAAAGGGTCCTGGGTAAACTCCCGACTTATTTGGATTGGGTACAAGCTAGTATCATGCCATGTGCTGGCGTTACTGCTTGGTCAGCGTTGAAAGGCGCTGAGGTTGGCCAAAGCGTGTTGATCCAAGGTTAGTCTTACAGCACGGATTTACTTGCGATAGTTATCAATTTGACATATTACCAGGCACTGGTGGCGTCGCCATGTTTGCTCTTAAGATTGCTAAAGCAGCAGGTTTGAAAGTGATTCTTAGCTCGTCCAGCGACGAAAAACTTAAGAGCGTTTGCGAGCAGTTCCCAGAGCCGCCGGTGCTGACTGTCAACTATGCCCAAAACACGAATTGGCACGAAGATGTTCTTAAGCATACTAATGGCGTTGGCGTCGACATCGTTGTTGAGATTGGCGGCCCCGGTACGTTGTTGAAGAGTATGAAATGTACACGAAGGGGTGGTATTGTCAGTCAAGTTGGGTATCTTGATCGGAAGAAGTTCGACGATGCGCTAGAGATCCTGCCAATGTTGATTGATAGGAGGATTATCCTTAGGTATGTTTTGTCCTTGGGATTGTCGTATTTCTTGCTAATTTCGGCGATAGAGGTATCAATGGGGGATCAAAAACAGATATGGATGATCTCAGTACCGCTCTGACGGCTACGAGAATCAAATTTGACGATATCATAGATTCAACCTGGACATTTGACAAGGCTGATGAAGCACTTCAATATCTTTGGGAAGGCAAGCAAGTTGGAAAGGTTGTAATTAAGATATAGCAAAAGAAGGAGCCGGCTCAAGACGTGTTGAGGCTCCCAGGCGATCCAAATCGAGTCAGCCAGTCAAATACCTCGATAGCGAATCTTTCAGGCTGATCTAGCATAACTAAATGACCGGCCTCAGGGATAAAAGCAAACTCCTTTACCTTACCATTCAACCTCCCGATTAAATCTTCCACTTTATTTTTCGGAATCCACTGGTCTTGCTCCCCCCACACGATCTTCACATCGCACCTTACACGCCCATAGAAACCGCCCTCCAGCATCTCTGCCACATCTCCATCATCCGCCTGCGCAATCTGACGAACAAAACTCTTCTGTCGTTCACCAGCTTCGCCGCCTATCCAAGGCCGCGCAAGAGCATCCTCCCACCCAGTCTTCAGCACACTCGGATCGTGGACAGCGCTTTGGATCACAGCCCGCACAACTGCTTCGAAGATCCTCGGCGGCAATCTCAAGAAGGACGCCGGCTCTTCTCGCGCGAGCTTGTAGAACCCGTCTCCCCAGGGTAGCACGGCATTGGCATCGACCAGCATCATGGTATCAAACTCACACGCTTCCAACAGATGAGCTCGTAGCACAATTGTGCCAGCTATATCGTGCGCTATGACTGCTGGTGCTGCGTGGTCTGGTTTGCCGTCTAGCTGCACGTGTTTGAGCAGTTCCGCCAGAGCCTTGGCTTGAAATTTCACAGATGTGTCGCCTTGAAATAATTGTATTTCTGGGGAGGTAGTCGCCGTGCTGCTTGGAGCGGAGGGAGCGAATTCTTGTGACTGTCCGTAGCCTGGAAGGTCGTAGATGAGGATTTGATATGAGGGCTTGGCTAGTAGTGCTTTGATGACGGGTTGGAAAACGGCAGAGGACCATGGTGTACCGTGGACAAAGACTAAGGATTTTAATTGTGATTGATTTAATGCCGTGGTGTTAATGGATCCTGCAAGTTTATATCGGATATTCCAGCCTTGGAAGTGGAATGTTGATGGTAGATCCATGGTTTTCATTTCGACTTGAATTGTTCAGTAGTTTCCGGTCCGTCGATAAGTCTGCAGGCGATATAATAATCTAGTATATTAGAACTTTACTTGGACGAGTGCTCTGTTACATCAACCAGTTTTTGGAGATTTGAAATTGACATCATTGATAACGATGGATTGATTGTCAACAATAGGGCGTCGCCTGCTAGTACTAGTAGGTATACTGTGAACTTGTTATTAGTAAGCACATAACATCGTTGCACCCACTATATATACATGCAAATAGAAACCAAAAGGCATCGGTATGGTTGTATTTTGAACAGTTCCCGAGAAGGCGTGCCAGTGCGCCTAAGACTTGAATACTAATGCAGTCCGTTTCTGGACATTACCGGTCTATTTTTAAGCTTGTTCATTTTTTAGTTTGACACCAAAACTTGCAATGTTTGCCCAACTCTAGATTTGGACTTGATTTAATTGGGCTGTTCTTATAAGATAAGACTTAAACACCACTTGACTTGAGTCTAAACTTGAATTTTAGTACTCTCTGATCCGACTAGGGGTTTTGAATCAAGACTAGACCTACCTAAGTTCAAGTCCCAGTTTATAAAGCATAGCCCTAAACTGCCTTGAGATTGGCTTTGGCAAACCTTGACTAAAAGGATAAATGAATAAGATAGGTGCATGATTGCACTTAATTGTATCTCTGCCGGGCGTTCAGATAGCTGGGAAATGGTGTGTATAGATAGAAATGGTGGAGGATGCTCGTTGCCTTAAGGAGTAGACGTAATCTTACGTGGCTTCCTCGAACTCTAGTGTAGGATTTTGCGTTCATTTAGGCAATTGTTTAATGTCTGACTGGGTAGGTAGGTTTCCTGGATTGTAATTTCATCCTGTTTACTCATAGCTTACGCCCTATTAGAAAGGACTCATGCAAAGGTACTCTGGGTAGATTCATACTCCACTTAAAACCCATAATTAGAAGAAGTCGTAAAACAATCAGGAACACTTGCACAAAGGGAGCCTAAGGTTTATAATATAGGCTAGTCCCCGTTAGGTCATGTTTCGCTTCCCTTTTCCTTCCTCTTTTGGGTGGATATTCATTCTGAAGACAGTTCCAGTGATAGCACCTGTCCTCGAAATTGCAGCTGCGCAGCATGTACACGACCACCAAACGCGACAGCAATTAGACTGCGTGCAGCTATCGCGTTCACATGTGCAGTAAAATACTCAAGCATGTTTACCATTCGGAATCGATCGACGTACCTAAAATCCACACTCTAGATCCATTAAACGCCTTTTCCAGACTATAGTTTTACGAAGGGAACTTGTTCAAAAGAGCTAAATACTGCCAGTGCCATGGTGGGCATGCGGTCTTACAGGTTACGTGGTTTTAGAGTCCTGCAAGTGGCTGCTGCCTGCTGCGATTCGTACGTACATAATTGCTTGCGAATGCCGTTTGTTGGTTAAAGAGGCAAGAACGAACGAATGCTGGAGCCTGCTGGTGCAATTTATAGCTAGTGGCTGCGAGCAAACTTTCAGATAGAGCAAGAGGGAAAAAGCCTCTGGTACTAGGATGGTGTGACTGCCTTTAATATGGTTGAAGGAAGTACTAGGCTAATACATTCATTTATCCTAATGTAGTTTAACCTATCCTACTGTTCTGTAAAAACAAAGCTTTGATTGATAGCCAAGTAGTCGAGGCGCTAATATCTTTCCATGGTATTTTTTGAAGATTGCTGAAGAGCAAGGTCCGTTTACAAGACCCATTCAATTGTAAAGGGGTTCTCGCTTAAATATCATAACGATATGGGGATATTTAAAGAGTAAATATGGAGAGAAATGAATGGCCTTGGTATACACTACTTGTTTGTTATAGGGTTGGGATTTAGGATTGTTTTATAATGAACCTGATTTCAAGTTGAAAGCGTGGAAATTAAGGCGCAGTGTAAACGCTACCTAATTCGGGCACCTAATGGTAACTTCTACTTCGTCTTTCAATGAGGTAAATTGGTCGCTGGGTAGATTTGTTTGATATAACACCGTACTGCTTGTGGTTCATCCTAAGGCTCTCTCGCCACTTGTGTTTGGGCTTGGTCTGAGTCCTTTGAATACAAAAAGGGGTTTGGAGGGAAGGGCAGTTGAAGACGTTACATCCACCTTCGAGCACCCCGAGGACATTTCTCGAGATGATATCAATTTCAATGCCCATGAATACGCGAGCTTAAAAAGCGAAATGTTTTCATATTAGTAAATTTAGACTTCCGAGCCATGTCACTCAAAACCAGCAGAGATTTCCAAGTATTTTTCGCATTCCGCCTCCAATGCTCTTTATCTACGCTTTTCGCGAAAACCGTGCAATGCCAAACTACAAATAAGAAACCACCATATCCGTACAACGTTCATTAGCAAACCGTTCCCAATCAAGGGATATCAAACAGAGGCTTTAGTTTTTTGATCAGAAGCCACTCATCATTGCTGACATCGGGTCGATAGAACTCCTTAAGAGTATCAATACTAGCCCTGCTAATCAGCGAATATAACGTGTCTTTCTCCTCGAGGTGACGGCCATAGGTAGGCTGGTGGTTGCCCATTTCGATCTTAACAGCAACGGATGGCTGGCCTTTTTTGCAGATTTGGATTTGCTTGTGGTCACGCTCGATACCGGTACTGTAGTTGTTAGTCAAATGTCAGATCTAGGAATTGAGAGAAAACTTACACTCTGCCTATATTGATGATCTCCTTAACGCCAGTGACTGAGTTTTGCTTTACTGCTGCGATAGGTGTGTGCATTCTGAGATTTCCCTCGACGACATCGACACCCACGACAATTGGACCGGTCTTATTGAACACGGCGACGGGACTCAAGACGCAAGGGAAGACGGCAAGAAGCTTGGACTCCTCTTTCTTCTTCTCAGCAATGATAGACATATGCTTGGTGAAGGCGTCGAACAGATGGTAGATGATATCCGCAGTGAAGATCTTAATGCCCTGGTCGTCTGCGTACGCTTGTGCTTCCTTGTCGATCTTGACGTCGAAGCAAAGCATGACTGCATACTCTTTGTTCTTCTCGAGCATGGTACCGCAGTTCATGACATCTCTCTTGTAGACTGGGCCAATTCCTACATTTGCCACAGGAATCTTTGAAGATTTCAAGAAATCCAAAAGAGCTTCCAAGGATCCAAGAGTCGAGGCCTGAACTGTAACACCACGTCCTGACTTCTCCACTCGGCTGAAGAGAGCACCAAGATCAGCCTCAATTTCATCTTCGATGTCAGATTGGTCATCGTCAGGACCAATGACCATCAACCTTGAACCTGCAATTGCACCTTCAAGGCCTGGAGCACTGATCTTGACACCAAGGGCGGCCTTGACCTCTTTGTTATGCACGTATGCAGATTTCAGACGCAGCTCCTTCAAAGGCGCTGGAGTCAACAATGCTCGGACGTTGGTTGTAATCGCACCGTCAACTCCGCATAGACAGATTTTGTCACCTTCTCGCAGAATACCATTTGAGAGGATGACATCAATTGTCATACCGAAACCTTCAATAGCCTTAACTTCTAAGACTGTGCATTGGACCTCGGAAAGATACATTAGTGATCCAACCATTCTCTCCTGTGTCAATTGGAGGATGAGCTTGAGCATGTCTGGAATACCCTCTCCAGTATGAGCTGATGTGGGCACTAAAGACACGAACTTGGCCATTGATTTGTTCTCATAGTAAAGCTCGGAGTTGAATCCTTGCTCAGCAAAGGCGACCTTGGTATCGTCCAATCGCTTAGCAAACTCGTTCTGCACGCCCTTGTTCTGTAAAGCCAGACTCTCTTGGAAGCCGTTATTTTCCACTTTCTTCCATCCGTAGAGACGATCGATCTTGTTTAATGCGACAATGAAGGGTGTCTTTCTGTCTCGAAGCAGCTTCATAGACTCCAGAGTTTGAGGTTCCAGTCCGTGCATAATATCAACCACAAGAATGGCAATATTACATAGGGAAGAACCTCGAGACCGCAGATTCGAGAAAGATTCGTGACCAGGGGTATCTATGACCAGTAAACCAGGGACCTTGAAATCAAAGCTGTTGTCTTTGTTGATGACTGCAGTTTTCTGTCTGATAGCATCGACTGGGAAGTACGTAGCACCAATTTGTTGGGTGATACCTCCAGCTTCTCCTTCCTGTACATTTGTTTGTCGGATTTTGTCCAACAGCTTAGTCTTTCCGGTATCGACGTGGCCAAGAATACAGCAGATGGGCGAACGCAAATTATCCGCTGATCGAGCAGCCATAGCTGCTTCGTGCGCCTTTTCGCGTCGGTCCAATGCCTCTTTCTTCCTTTGAGCTGCAGCGGCTTGGGCAGCGGTGGCCTCTTCATCTTCTGACGATTCTTCTGACTCTGACTCAGATTCAGAATCCTCTTCCACGTTGTCTCGGATGGGTAACGACTTGCTTCCTGCTTTGCCATTCTCTGCAGAAGCCTTCTTAGCAGCAGCCTTCTCTCTTTCCTCATCCGAGTCGGCATCCCAGCTCTCCTTCAAGTCGTCTTCGCTCTCGGCAGCGGCAACCTCCCAGTCTTCTAGGTCGCTATCATCCTGTGCCTCCTTGGCGGCTGCTGCTTCAGCGGCTGCTTTATCGGCCTTTACTTTGGCCTCAGCGGCAATTTTTTCGGCTTCTTGTCGTGACCGTTCGGCAGCTTCTGCAAGGGCTCTCTCCTCCTCAGCCTACTGAATGTTAGCTTTGCCAATGCATAGCCTTCTTGAAACATACCTTTATCTCTTCTGGGTTCTTCCTACCGCCTTTCTTTTTTCTGTTGTCATAAACAGGTTTCTTCTTTTCTCCGCTTTCATTCGATCCGACTTTAACTCCAGCAGCAATCATTTGCTTCAGCTTCATCTCATTCTTAAGCTTCTCTTCTCGCTGGGCCTTGGTCAGGTATGTGCCATCTTTCTTCTGTTGCTCGATCTTCTCCTTCTCCTTCTGCCTTTTCAAGACCTTAGCCTCCTCCCTCTGCTTCAACTCTTCAGCCTCCCTCCGCTCCTCTTCTTCAATCCGCGCCTTTTCCTCAGCCGCAATTCTTGCCTTCTCTGCTTCTCTTCGCTTGAGCTCTTCTTGTTGTGCCTGGAGCTTTGCAAGGGCTGGAGGTAACTTCTTGCCTTTGCCACCAGCTGCGGGCTTGGAGGCGGTTTCTTCGACTTTGGTATCTGCGACTGGCTTTGCGGCCTCGGGGGCTTTAGTTGGAGCTGTAGTCTTTTTCTTCGCGGCCTGTGCATAATCTTGTCAGTAAATAGATATCATCCGCTACATGAAACGAATCTCACATTCTCCTTTTTTCGTTGCTTCTCACGCTCCTTCTTTAATTTCTCCTTCTGAGCCTTCGTAAGAACCTTTCCATCAGCACCCCTCTCGTCATCCTCGCCTTCATCATTCGCGAGCTTTGCAGGCGCGTTCTTGCCCTTGCCCTTCTTATCTGGTAGCGCGAACTCGTCGTCTATCGACGCCTCAACGGGTGCCTTCTCGGTGAGATCGGATTCTTCTGCGCCAGGTGGATCTTCGCCTTCGACAAAATCTTCTGCTTGCTTGCCCTTCTTCTTCTTCTGCTTCTTCCGCAACATAGCCATTAATCCGCCCGCGGGGAACTCCTCCTCCGCGTCTGCCTCAGCCGGAGCATCATCCTTTGTCTCTGGAGCGGCTGCATCTTTGGGTGCATCCCCTAATTCCGACTCCCAATCATCGGCCTTCTTATTGTTCTTCTTCTTGGGTGCCATTGCGAGTACGTTATTGTCGTATCTGAGAAGGTGGCCTAGATTGTCGTTGATGGTCGTGGCGTAGTTTCTTCGCACGTCTTGAAAGTTGCAAAATTGCGGGGTCGAGAAAGTGTGCGGGCGGGCATCCACCGGCGATTGCAATCAATAAGCGAGCAAGCTGGGAGTCAAGCCCCTACTCCAACCTAACCCCTTCTTAACCCCTTTATTTCCTATATTGACTAGAGAATTATAATTCCGAGGTTACGAGTCACATCTAAACACTTCTGTCCAATTTGCACCAATGACAAAATGAATGGAATACTCATTGGTCACTTTTAATTACGATAGGCCCTCGTCTTCAAGCTTACTCGCTGTCATACATCATATAAGTCGTCAACTCCGTGAGTCACAATCCTAATCGACTAAAGCTTCCTGTACACACTAACACTAAAGACGCCGTTACAGGAGTTTCATCCTACAGTACAGGGCGTAGATAGAATGCTAGATCTGTGTATGCCTGCTCCACGTAGGCAGCAGCATCAGCATGCTCGTCCAACTTCCCTTCATGCAGTTCTTGAAGCAGCTCACAGAACTTGGGGAATATCTCGGCCGCTTCCCCAGTTTCCTCACCAAGACGCAGGAGTCCCTCGAGATTTCTCTCTGCTAGACAACGCTTTAGGATATCACCATCCACGTGCATCATCAGCTTCGGTGCGCTCAGAGGCTCCAAGGGAAGAGGTTCATCTTTGTAGGTAAACTCGCAGACTTTTGGTGATCGTATCGCAAGGTTGATGAAGAACCTCAGGAACCTCCACTCTGTAAATTCAAGGATGGTGTGTTGACTCAGTGATCCGTCAATCGACAAGCCTAGAAACTCGGAGCGATGGGCAGATCTTGGGATATTTTCATGACCTGCACTGTCTCCGGCAATGGATATAGTACTCATACTGCTAGAAGTCCAGCATGGATCCCAAAGCGGGCGGCACCTTCCTGGACGGAACTTGAGAACCGAATGTGAAAGATCCGCCTCGAAAACTGTCTCGAGAGTATCTGCTTTCGTGTCCTGAGTAGCCCACAATCCAACTACAGAACAGTGCTTGTCTGAGACTAGATGAATGGGGCGTCCTAAGGGCCGATCAACACTTGCGTGGTGTAAAGTATTGCGGGTAATTTGATCACCATGCGTACGAGTGATTTTTGCACCTCTGGCATCATCCAAGACCAATTTGAGGACCTCCAGTGAATGACTATTAGTTAGGGCATATATGATACCGTTATCGTATGAAATTGCTGTGGCTGGTGATGGGAGTTCGTATTCTGCTATGCGCTGAAACTTTTTCTCCTTAATATCAAGTGTATCGCAAAGGAGCTTATTTCCTGAACACCAGAGTAGACCCTCTGGAGTTCCAGTCACCGAATATATTGGTTCTGATCCTGGAAGTTTGAATTGATACTTGGTCCAAAAACATATATTTCGCCCCGTTTCAATGTCAGTTCTCGTAGTTACGACTAAAAGTCGCCCGGAACTGGTAGCAACAATGACGTGGTTCCAAGTTTTCTTTTCTTTGGTAAACGACCATTCGAGAAGATGATATATTCTGTCCCCAGTTCTGCCAAGACCGCTGATGAAATCTGCTGGTCCGGAGTCGCTCTTAAGCCAAGGCGCTGATAGATCTTCGCCAGTGCGTGGGTCGATGAATAGAAGGGCTGTCTTGTTATTCACAATTGCGCCTACAATAAGGAGACCCAGATTGTGAGAGTACAATACACGCGTTGGGGTGCCTCCGACAGATATGTGGCGAGGAACAGATTTTGGCTGAGTACTGAAAGCAGCCATAAGAAGCTGATTACCAGCCACGAGAAGAAGCCCGCCATCCGCACCCCCAGACGAGCTTGGCCTTAGCCTCGCTATTGAACTTATATCCGGCTGCTGAAGTCCCGGCTTCGTGGCATCGGTAAGCCAGACTTGATTGATGGCCCAGCGTGGGCTCCGTTGCCTACTACTAGGCGGCAGTACTGAACGATCAGAAGCCAAAACGAAGGTATTTGAGTCGCAGCTCACGAAAAACATTTCTCCAGAATGTGGCTGCACGTCTCTTTTAACAATCGTTTGACTCACACCAAAGCGATCACATCGAGAGCTTGTGATCTGGAAAGTGCTCTCGCTGACATCCATTGTGAGCAAGTACCCATTTCGTGTTCCACAAAGAACGGTGACTATTCCGGGTATCCTATAAGCCACCGAAATACTGACGAATGCTTCGAGCCGAATGTCGTCCACATACGTGGACGGGATCTTTAATTCTTCGCGATTTGTGATCTTGATAGCTTCAAATATCAGGATTATCGAGTCGTCATGCACTTCTGTAATGATAGCATACAGGTCTTGCACAATTTGACAGATTGCAAGACTAGTAACCTGAGATGAGTACTTGCCAAGAGTTCGTACGTTTGTTTCAGGTTCAATTTCAGACATACTATCGGTCTCCATATAAACTTCTTTTTGTTCCAGGATTTGGAGATAGACTGAGTTATCGAGACGTGATGTGAACAGAACCAGATTTTCGTGGATGAGGGCCTTTTCTATTGCTGGACCATGACCAACAACAATGCTGTCTTCACGAATCCTTAGGATTTCATCTTTCTCGTGGACGTGGCTATTAATTGTTAGCTCAAACGACATCATGCCTATGTGAGATACCTACACTTGCGATCCATTCATCAATACTATGGTCTGCTCGGTCACCTGTATCGTGAAGCTCCTGTGCATGTTTGCAGCGATAGTTCGATACCTCAGATCAAACTTGGTGTCTTCTTGCTCAAGATTGTCTATGTTCCTGGCGTCACCAGAGAGCTGAAGTACTGCGGAGTGGTCACTAAGTGAGAGAAGGAAAAGAGAGACGTCGTCGTCGTCGTCGTCCAACGAGTCGAAGGTTGGGCATAGAACCCAGGCCTCCATGATAGGAATTTGATAGTCCATTTCCAATCCGAGTTTTGCTTCCAAACCATAGCGAAATTCGGTGATGACACCCTTGGACCCCTTTCCAGCACAAGCATAAATTTTGTCTGGCCGCGGAGTTGTGTTTCTTTTGCGACGACCCCGTCCGTCCAAGGAGGCTTGATCATCAGCAGCATACGTCGTTATGAAGTCGGGCGCTGGAGACCAGTTTTGAATTGGTTCAATGAACGCGGGGGCCTGTCGGGCTCGAATCTGATACGGCATTAATGATTGGACTACCAAAGAAGCCCCAATAAAAGGTCATATGCACTTACGAGATAGGTCCCACCGGAACACGAATCCCCTCCTGTAATGAGCATGTCGCCCGTTTGACTACCAGCAGCAAGGAAGAAGTCGAGACTTGCTAGTGCTGTACCACAATTGTTTTCTAACTGGCCAATGGTCATGTCTGCTCCAATAATTTCCTCAATATTGGAATCGATCTCAAGGATTTTGACAACGCCATCTTCTCTCACAATGTAGATATCGTCACGATGCTCGGTAAATGCCCTCCGTCGCGCTGGTCTCGTCCATGAGGTCCATAATGGAATACCTCTCCCATGATACAGGTTGGTTGGAGGGTCATTGGCGTGACAAAAGTCAAAGAATTTGGGATAGCCTTCAAGAATACCTGTAGCGACAGTCATGAATGTATCGTAGATGAGGACGAAAGAGGATCTGACAGTCAACGGAATGAGCAACAGTGGCATCTGGTGCTCCTTCGTTAGGAGGTGGCCCCTCTGGTTACCAGGACGAACGTTCGCCAGCTCATTTCCAGTCTCCCATTCATAGCGCAGAATCCGCGTTCTGCCTTTCGCAACCACCAACACTATCAAAATAATATGTGTATCGTCACCAGCGCAAGGATACAAGAATTCCATTTTGAGGATGATTCCCTGTACGATAAAGCAACTCTTGGATTTGACTGGCTGTAAAGAGGAGCCTTGTATGTGCTGTCTTGACAGCTCCTCCTGGGAGTGTAATGCGTAGATAGCGAATATGTGCTCTGAGCACCCCACAGCCATATACCGGGAGCTAGGGTCAACAGCGAGATGCATGCCTGGTTGTAGCCCTAACATCGCTTTCGTCACTCGGTGTCTGCTGGAGACAAATTCCAGTTTCCCCGCCTCTGATTGACGTAGGCTCAAGAATACAGTGTCTCCTGTGTCCAATTGTAGAATGATGGACTGTGTTGACAATGGAAACCTGGTATGTTGACCGTTCTGATAATCATCTTCAGCATGTATGCCCACATCTCCGTCCTCGTCCTCGATCTGAGTACCAGGGAATTTTTTATTCCACTCTTTATCAACTGCGTTCGTTGGTCCAAATACACGAGCATTTCGAATACGGGCTCCAAAGTTCTCCTTTCGAATAACATCCCAGAGCTGCCTATCTGGGCGGAGTTCTCTGATTTGAACAAAATCATCCTGAAAACATTAGTTTCTTAATCCCGGATCAGTATTGACCGAGACGACAAGGCATAGTTAGTTCTGCAGACATGACTTGGGCGACAAATGAGGGTACGGCCCTGTAAACGACGGGGAGGTTCACAGCTCAAGGAACAGAAATAGGAAATATGATTACTGTGACAATCAAACAGAAAAACAGAAAAACAGAACAGTAGAGAAAAACTCTTACCCCGATGAAAGCAACATCGTTTCTTTCCGGATGCCTGAGAGTGGCCGGCAGAATCCAATGCACTAGTGGACTGCGAATAACGGTCTGCGTCAAGAGTCCAAGAGTTGGAGCTCTCTCAATGTCCAGATCACGTATATTCGTCTCTTTGCTCTCTTGATCAAAGTGTTTCAGAACGGTGTTGATGTCCAGAGTGCGAGTGGTCCACTCTCCATTTACCAAGGTGTTGGTCTCGAAGGCCATAGTGGCGAATCAAGTCACACCGATTCTATGAAAGAACGGAGGGAAGGCTCAATGAGCGTCAGGGCACAACGGTGACACCAGCTGGAACGGGTGGACCCTGTGTTGGAGGTGGGAAGTCCAGCGAGTCGGGAAAGCTCGATAGTGGGGGGGGGGGGTGGTGGTGGTGATGATGATAGCTTGGGAGGAGGCTTCCTGAGCCAAAGGAGGCCTCGCGCTATAGATAGGAGGGTAATGAGGCCAGTAAGACCAGCAGCCTTGCTTGATGATGATGTTCCACGATGATCTTGCGGTTGCCTCTTAAGGTACAGTACAGAGTAGTAGGTAGCCTTGTCACCACAAGGCTGTGGATCTCTGCCGAATGAACGCTGAACCTGGAGACTGAAGTAAACAAATCGGGAAACTCTCGTCGTCAAGAAGACATTGTTGACAACTGATGCTCTCCGGAATATCGTGAACACCAGTCAGCAAACATACTTCGATGAGGGGTCGTTGCAGACCTGACATATCATTTCATGGCTTGCACATGGATGACGCTGCACGAACACATTTCCAGCCTTTCTAGCGCGTTTTACAGTAACAACGACCAGGCCAGGAAAGAGCATTTGCCGGAATCATAAATTCTTCTTGTCTCTCAGTACCTCCCTTCGCGTCAGACTGCGATGATAACCACGCGTTTAGGCTTCTGTCCTAGATATGGAGTCTGATGGAAAGGTCGCAGAGGAGTATGAAAAGAAACCTACCATATTACGGACCTCGTCTCAACAACAGAAGCACAATGCAAAGGCCGCGAAGATCCTCGAAGCATGCAAATGGAAGGATATTCATACGCTGAAGGCTCTGGCAACATCTGAAGGTGGACTGCTCTCTGACGACCTTCGATGCCAGGCATGTCCGTACGACCGACAGACCTCCCTGAACCAAGACTGACTTTCAATCGCAGGGCCATTACTTCTCGGATACCCGAGTCACGACAACGATGTAGAGTCGGAGACTGAGGAGCGCGAGATCTGGAAAAGGCTACCAAAACATCGAGACGAGGATCAGGTTCAGTTGGATGTGAACAGGTCTTTTATATACTATCCCAACGGTAAGTCTTGAATTGCTTTTATTGGCACATATCACATAGAAACTGACACCGTTTCGCACAGACCAGTCCGTGAAAGATCTTAACCGTCGAAAGGAGGAGCTCTCGGACCTGATTACAGAAGTCCTGCGCCGCCAACCATATCTCTGCTACTTCCAAGGCTACCATGACATCTGCCAGGTATTTCTTCTGGTCCTGGAACACAGAGATCGCTCGGCGGCCGTAGCACGCCTCTCAACTCTGCGTATTCGAGACTTTATGTTACCAACACTTGCTCCAGCCCTAGCTCAACTGCGTCTCATCCCAGCCATTTTATACGCCGTGGATCCAAAACTCTGCAACCATCTTTCCCAAACCCAGCCATTTTTCGCTCTATCTGGAACGCTAACAATGTATGCCCACGATATCCAGGAATATGGGGACATAGCTCGACTGTTCGATGTATTTCTCGCACGCGAAGCTGTTCTCTCAGTATATATGTTTGCTCAGATTGTTCTCCAGCGCTCGGATGAGCTTTTTGAAACCCCGGCAGATGAGCCGGAAATGCTTCATTCGATTCTGTCCAAGCTGCCGAAGCCACTGGATCTTGAGGCGCTGATACAGAATACTGCGAAGCTATTTGAGCAACACCCACCTGAGAAACTGAGTTTATGGCGATCGATCTCGAACTCTAGTGTGCTGAAAACAGCGCGCTGGGAAGACCAGACGGTGAACCAGACCTTGAAAGATGGTGAAATATTTTTCAATAAGCAGGTTCAGGAATTAGAGTGGGCGGATCGACGTGATAGGGTTTTCAAGGTGGTTTGGAAGTATCGGAGACCAGCTGGGACTATTGGGCTCGCTGTATTAGTAGGGGTTTTGTCATTCTGGATACGAAAATCTTCAGGACCATCTGGGACCCTCGGGGCGTTTTGGAGACAATGGACTGGCTACCGGGGCCATTAAATATCAGTCAGTGCATTTGGCTTGGGACGGGCACAGAACCAAGGCCGCAAAAATGGGACACAGTCCACAATGTCTCAATATTTGTAGGGTATTTTACAGGAGTCATCACTTAGATTTCATATCTGTATTTATAACATAAGGCTCCGCAGCCTCATGCACCTTCTCCAAACGCCCTCTTAAGTTCCTCAAAATGCTCCTGTTGATCCAGCGCCAGCTTGCCCTCAAGATCCCCGATGATGGTCAGAATCAAAGAATAGTTATTATAAAGGAACCTCTCCCTTTTTCTCGAGTCCCCAATATTCTTACTTGTCTTCGTCAGGAACGCCTCTATTTCACTGCGGAGTCTTATCAAGCTCGCAGAGACAGGCTCATCGTCCCCTGCTTCGGCACTCAGGGTTAGAATACCCTGAATGAACTGTGCAAAACGCTGTGTCGTAAAATGCGGGGCGGCTGACTGCTTCGCCTGCTCCGAGGCGGAGGGTTTGCGACTTGAAATGCTGTTTGTGACAGATCGGACTGAGTCGCAATGCTGGTCCATTATCTGTTGGAAGCGAGGCCATAGCAGCATGCTGGTTCCGTTGATATAACCATCTACAGCCGGTATTTTCCGGCGTTGAAGCTCGAATGCGAAATGCTGGTTCAGTCTCACACATAAAAGGAGACCTAAACAGTCATATGACTCATTGACGAGTGATTTTGTCAGGGTCTGACCTAGAGCAAAAGTCGGCTGGAAAATAAACTTGAAGTGCTTTGATATCGTAGAGTACGAGAGTGCGGGTGAAAAGAAGGTAGTTAGGAAGGAGTACTCTGCAGAGGCATTGTCCACGAGAGCCAAATTAAAATTTCGAAATGGAAATTCGAGATAATGTGTAGTTTTATCTTCCTCCGCCAGGAAAGATGACAATGCCGTTTGATTTGATGTCTTCAAGAGGTCGATTCGACGACCTAGGTTGAAAGCATCATGTGGTGGGCCCGTAATTTTCGGCGCAGATAGGATTGTCGTTTTCCGAGTCCCATCATCCTGGCCCAAAACATCATGCTTGTCCAGTATGTGAAGTTTGACCTTCTCCAATGCCTTTTGATAGCGAGTAAATTGATTCAAAAAGTACCATCGCATAGTATTCATGTATGCTTGACCAATCTCTTCAGCGAGCTGAGGGTGGTGTTTGTGTAAGAACCCATAGAGGTCCTTATATCTGATGAAGTGCTGCTGCTGTATAATCTGAGCATTTATGTTTGGTGATCGTAGGGCTTTAATTTGCTGCACCAAAAAGTCTCTAATTCTCTCCAGGGCCTATAAAGGGATTAATAGTCTGAGCGGAAAGAGGTGGGTTTCAACTGACCTTGTTTATGAGATTCTCTAGCAATGGCTTGAGATCACTAACACCTTTCACATTTTTATGCTCCTTCGACTTTGAATCCATTGCTTTCGATCGTTTCTCAACTTCTGCCAATGCTCTCACCCAGGCCTCATCAATGCTACCGTCCACTATTTTTCTGACGACCGCAGGAGAAACACTGATTTCCTCCACGAAGGGTCCCAAGCCATTCTCAACCACTTTGCGATTCTCCAACCGTACACTGAGTGCTGTAGACCGGGCTTGTAGAGTTTCGATTTCCGTGGAGACTGCCGCAAGATCATTTTGGAAGCTCGTTAAATTGATCTCAACCGAATTCAGCACGTCATCGCAGGCACGAATGGATTTATGCAGGTCTTCGAACTTGTCTTTGTCATTCTCAACTAGTATATACTATCAGTAACTATGCAAAACGAACATGCGATTGGACATACACTCTTCGGTAGTCTGCGAAGTATATACATGCTCCTCTTTGGCATTCGAGGACTGGCTTTCCACTATCTCTCGCAAACTTAAGCCATCGAAGTCGAGCTCAGCCTCGTAGTCGTAGTCCCCTAAGTTATTGTTTGTGGAAGTTCCATTGGTAGCTTTCGAGGATACCTTTTTCTTCCCTTCGGAACCCAGAAGCCTCTCCAGTACTTGTAGGGGATCCGGTGCATTCACCGCTGTGGCCGACTGTTTGAGCCCAGATCCATTCGGCCGCCGCGACGAAGACAACAAAGACGTTGTAGAATCATTGGAGATCAGGGACAGGGACGATGACCGCGGGTTGAAAGGCGGTCTTTGAGCCGCAGAAGGGGGCGCTAGATAGCTAGGCCTCCTGGGGGCAGGAGAATAGGATCTGTTTGCAGGCGGGGGTGGAGAGCCAGAGGGTGTTGCAGCAGGCGTCGAACGCCCCGAGAGCCACATGTCCTCCTCTTCTTCCCAGTAGCATCAAGTCTAGCTTGGTTATGTGGTTCCAATTGCCCGTACAATCATGATCGGCGCGACGTTTCTGCTGTTTTCAAGGTGCAGACCGGATGATTTATCCAGTTCCTCGAAAAGTAATGTAAATATTTGGTACCGGAGAAGGTGTTATAGCTCGAGCGATCAAGGCCTAGCTACCTACCCGCCCGCTGAGGATTCATCGGCCAATGGCGGCTGTAGAACGTAAGCGGCTTAGTCTGGCCATCCGCCCACATTCAAGCGAATGAAGGTATTTCTTTCAATTCTATCTCAAACTTGTAGAGCCCTCCCTCCTCTTCGATCCCCCACCAACACCACCATAATCATCTTTCATTTCGTTTTGTCGTTGCTTGTCGTCGACTTCACCACAGCGCCCCCCTTCTACACTCAGTTCACCACCACTTGCGCCTCTAGTCATCATGGCGGACGACGCTCAGGTAAGAAAACACCCCGCACGCGCCCCACCACTCCTTGCAGCGCATCTCGAGTATTTCCATTTGGGTATCGCATCACCTTTTGGATCGCCACAATATCTGCCTCTCCGCAAGACAATTCGCTGACTGAGCGCCAACTAACAGCATGAACACACCTTCGACTCGGCCGATGCCGGCGCGTCCACCACCTTTCCCATGCAATGTTCTGCCTTGAGAAAAAACGGATTCGTCTGCATCAAGAACCGCCCCTGCAAGATCGTCGACATGTCTACCTCCAAGACTGGCAAGCACGGTCACGCAAAGGTCCATCTTGTTGCCATCGATATCTTCACCGGCAAGAAGCTCGAAGAACTCTGCCCATCCACCCACAACATGGATGTCCCCAACGTCATCCGAAAGGAATACCAGTTGGTAGGTTCATGCCCCCATATGATTACAAACGGTCTTCTGACTCTACATCTAGCTCGATGTTTCTGATGACGGTTTCCTCTCCTTGATGGCCGATGATGGCGAGACCAAGGATGATGTTAAGGTTCCCGATGGAGAGGTTGGAGAGAAGATTGACAAGCTGTTTACCACTGAGGAGAAGGATACCAGTAATTTGCCACTTGAAATAAACTTGGAACCTCACACTGACACTGAATTATAGACGTCATCGTTCTTACTGCCATGGGTGAGCAGTGTGCCATTGAAGCTAAGGAGGCTCCTCGCGGTTAGATATCACCAACTCGACACTCCACGGCATCGACCTTGTCAGCAATGGCATTCCCACTTCGTGTGCAGGCCGTTGGATCTGGAGGATATGCTATTGCGGTGTATTCTTTAGAGATTTTGGTACTTGCATTCTAATGGTCGTTGCGTAGGAAGACGCTATCTGGACAACTTCTATCACTGGTTATGTCTCTCGGGCTTCGCACAGCATCATGTTTTCTTTTGTTACACTTGATACTACCTTGATCACAACTGGCCGGCGTAGTCAAAAAGTGGACTTACGGGAGGTGCAAGAACATCTCAGTAGAAATCGAAATCGAAGGTTTCTTGATTACGTTATTGCTATAATGAATGTGAAAAATGTGATCAGTATTTGGAGGTGAGGACTCAATCGCAAGTACTAAATCAGAAGACATTAAGAGTCTTACTTGAAACTTAAGCACAAATGAACTAGAACCGGATTCATTCATCGACAGATGAGAAACATGTAGCATCGGGCTTCTTGGGTAATAATATACTACCAATGTCAGCTAGATAATAACAACACAACCCTCATCCGCCAAGTAGACGATTTACAAACGATACTTCGATGGGTGATTTAATTCAAGTGTAAATTTTACTTGGGGTTCGCAGGGATCCCTCTGGATCCCTCCGTATTGACAAATGCGGAAACAACACCAAGGAATTCTCTTAGTGACCAAGTAGTCAAGACACGCTCTAGCAAATGTAGAAGTATGTTAGAAACGACTACCACCATAATGCATTCAAATAAGCTATTAAGTTTAATTCTCTCAACAGTAGTGATCTAGACTGAAAACAACCCTGGGTATCCTTTTGAACTCCCAAAAATACAAGCCCCTCTCAAGAGAATTCAATACCAACAACGCCTCCCCTCAATCCTCATCATCCGAAGATGACACACTCTGCTGCTCAGCCAGCAATCGTCTTTTCCTATCCGCTAGATTCCAATTCTCCATCAGCGTCTCGAGTTGCACTACGCCTTTGACTAGTGTTTGCAAGGAAATCCCCGTATTCTCAGCTACGTCAGTCACATTAGCCCCAACCAACCAATCACTCACTCACCCACACGAAATTAAAATAGAACCTGAACTTACCGGATTTTTCATAGAAAGCTCTTGCGTTCGCGGGAAGATCTTCAATGTGCCTGTATCGTCTGTACAGTTCTCCGGGCCGGTTAATCCTTTCGCTCTCGTCTTCTTCGAAAGGTAGGGGTTTCTGAGATATGAGGTCTTGTTGTATTTGCTTGATATGAGGGATAGTGTGCTCTTGCATTAGTTCCACAACGGGTTTTGGAGGCAATTCTTGGAGCGGGAAAAGCTCAAGTATTTGTTCCGCCACTGGGATTCGTCAGTATACCTCTAGATGGATGAGCGAAGACGTACTCTTCGCATCCCGATCATCAATCCAGGTCCTCTGATACCAATCTAAATAATCATCCATCTTCTTCTCACTCATACCCAAGACATCTACATCAGTGACCTTGATCTCATCACCTCGTTTCAAGCCCTCCGAAGAACGTTCTCGCATAGTATTCCGCCATTTCGCCCAATCGATTCTCAAGACCGTGGGATCGAGATCACTTTCCGGGATACGAGTGATACTATCGAACGGATGGCTAAGTTTGGTTGCGAGGATGATCATGCTTATGATCTGGATCTCGGGATATGCTTGGATTTCATGGACTCTTTTTCTTAGGATTGGATATGTAAAATCGAACCCTAGTATTGTTGAGAGACGACGGACGGCAGGGTATATTTCGACTAGGGTGTGTTAGTAAACGAAGCATTCTTACGTGGAGTGCTTACCAGGTAAGCCTAGGTCCTTGACATGCTTGAAAATGAGCAATGGAACGTTGAGGGGTGGGAAAACCATCTCGAATTGGTCGTTGTAGAATTCGACTAGTTGAAGAATTGTCCGGTAAAGAGACGAGCCTCTGAGTTGTGCCCGAATCTCTAACGAGGCATAATAGTATGGCGGCAATCTGGTCCGCATGTCTTTGGGGACCTCCTTGATCTAGAAAATCCAATCAGCATATGATGCGCAGATGCAAGATGTGATTACTTACTGCTCTTGTGTATATCATCTCCTCCTTTGCGGCCCAATTATAGAGCTCCCCTAAGCTCACCGGCAACCTCAAAAGCAACATACCCAAATAGCATAGCCCCAGTGTCTCAATCAACTTTGGAAGCTTCTCCTTCCCCACAACGCTTCCCCTACTCCTTTTTGATGACATACTTCTCGCTCCATCTGTATCCGTATTCTCGCCCTCACTCTGAGAACTGAACATAGTAGACCCATAGCCACCCCTCTCTTCCGGCTTCTGAAAATCCTGTATTCTCAAAGTCCACAGATCTCTCACAACAGTCTCTAACTCTGGAGGGAAGCCCTTGACTTCAATCAACCAACGACTTTGTTTCCACAATATAAGCTGGAAGCATTCCAGATAGTGATTTGAAGCATCAAGACCACTAAGCACCTTCTCAACCTTTTCCTTTTCCTCTTTCTTTTTACGGGTCTTTCTTCCCTGCTGATTCCAATCATCTTCATCTTGCTGAGTTTGTGTGAAGCCCTGTATTCTGTCAGAAACCATTCAAGTGAAGTACACTTGAAACCGACTGCTTGCTCGTGACCTCGTTGGCAGAATTTCTTGCCGTCTTCGATGTAGTATTTTCGAGATCTGCAGCCTTCTTCGGTGCAGCTTTCGCCGCGGGGAAAACGATGATAATCTATGTAGGAAGACATATTGGTAATTTAGGCATTTATATTACATTTTGATAATGAAGTGACTTTATGTTTTCTTGAAATTAGGTACATGCATGTTTATAAGTTACCATAAGTTTTTGGAGCTTTGACCGTTCACTAAAATGGCGGGGCATTGTCCGCCGTACACACGTGACTCTCGCTAATAAATCCACAATTGGCGCACAAGTCAAAGTCGAAGCCCAAATTTGTTCGACGACATCAATCAACCCACGTCGAAACCGCAAATAGTAAGTCTACCACTCGCTGTCTCCAGATTCCAACTCTCATGATAGGACAATGCTAACATTGCCTCCCTATCAGTGCAAATGTGAGTACAGGAATCCACGATTGCGGTTCGCCACGAATGGCGACGAATTCGAAGACAGAAGACTAATCTTGGCCGAACAGCTTCGTGAAGACCCTCACGGGCAAGACCATCACTCTTGAGGTCGAATCCAGCGATACCATCGACAATGTCAAGAGCAAGATCCAGGACAAGGAGGGAATTCCCCCGGACCAGCAACGCCTGATCTTTGCCGGCAAGCAACTTGAGGATGGACGCACTCTTTCAGACTACAACATCCAGAAGGTACGGACTCACTGTTTGGGAATGGGGATTATGACGCGCACAGAGGCGCAGCATTTTGAAGGCGGGATGCAGTCTGGAAGCAATGGCTGACTTTGGCGATACAGGAATCCACTCTCCACCTTGTTCTCCGTCTCCGTGGTGGTATTATCGAGCCCTCCCTCAAGGCCCTCGCCTCCAAATTCAACTGCGACAAGATGATCTGCCGAAAGTGCTACGTATGTTCACCCGCACTCCTCGAATTTTGCCCTGGAAACTAACAAGCGAATCAACAGGCCCGTCTCCCTCCCCGTGCCACCAACTGCAGAAAGAAGAAATGTGGCCACACCAACCAACTCCGTCCCAAGAAGAAGCTAAAGTGATCTATTCGCTCGTTTGGCGTTCCGGTAGGGCTAAGAGAAGACTGCGGAAGAGACTTGATGCGTTGTTATGCGTGGCTGGCTAGCTGTACTTTCTCACAATAGCATTTGAGGCAAGCAATATGACAATGATCAAGACAAAACCCTGGGTATACCGCTGTGATAGTGAACGGAAATCAAGTGAAGATGATTTGTAATTTTGTGGAAACGAGAGACGTTATGGTGCTTAAAAGCCATGAATATTGAGGTTTTGGGTATGGTATTCTTCAGATTATGTGATCTTACACATCGAATCTCAAGGCTTAAATCCCAATAGTATCTTTATATCTGACTAGAAAGGGCTAGGAGTAACGGACTGAGACGAGGCATTTCGAGTGGCTGTACGAGCTGCAGGCCCTTCTAGATTTGTGATCCAACGTCTCCGTGCTCTCTCTAACTTTTGCGTGATTCAGTTGCCATCTCGCTAGACCCCTTGTTTCCCCTGATATTCTGACGATATATAGCCGTATCTTCGAGGGACTTCTCAACGACATCCTCGAGTATCTGAACCATCACATCTGCTCCCAGTGTCATATTCCTATATTTCTTACTTAGCGTCTGTAGTCGCAATCTATTTGCTCCAAAAGTATTAATCGGATAATTTCTGTTCGCAATCTTCTAATGGGTAGAGGATTTCGTTGTACTCGTCGCTGTCCCATCCTTTCAAGGATACCAAGACATGCCAGAGTCCTATCTATCTTCTCCCCGATATATTTGCGACTAGGCTCTCCTCGACTAAAATTCGCTTTCAAAAACTCTTGGAGTCGTGATAGCTCGCCCCATATATTTCTCTCGGTGGCGGTCCACCATGCGTGCATTCTTCACATGTAGGTGTAGTCCAAAGTTGAAGGTGCTGAGCGCGTGATATCTAGTATTTCATAGTGTGAATGTGAAAATTCCAGGGGATCAGTTGAAGTTCTGGTCTGAGCAATTGGACACTCAGAACGAGTGGGGAAGGCTTTCGAGGCGCCTCGACTCAATGGCTATATTTGCTTGAAGTTTGCTTTTATTGATCTATGCACGTTGCTCATGCGATAGTTTGGACGAGGATAAGGTACCCCGCCTGCCCTCACCATTCCAAGATGGCGGCTGCACTTTAGGCACAGAAACGGCTTGCCGGAGACGGGTTTCCCTACGATCTAGAATGAAAAAGTAGCAGAGACGGGAAAGTTGGGGTTTGATCTTGCGGTCCATGCTGGTGAAAGGGTTTGAATCTCAGATGGTATTTAGTGTTGACAAGAGAGGTAACGACAACGACTGCCTAGGAAATGTCTTCTCCTACCATACGTCGTTCATTCATATGCCTCTCTCAGTAACGGGTGATGAGGTGGAGGTACGTCCGGACGACTTCAAGTAGCATATAATCTTGATGCTCAAAGATAAGATAGTAACCCAGTTACTGTTACGGCAGTAATTGACTGCAGACAATGCCTCTGAGATTCAAGTTACATGCTGTATTCTGGTATTGCCCGAGTCCCTGAAAAGGCTTCTGGATATCTTAATTTCATATTGGCGTAATTCCCCTAGCACAGGGCTTGAATATCATGAAGATTCATTGGCCGGCTTTAAAGCTTCATTGAGACTAAAAGCTTGGTGCAGAGAAAGAAAAGAACGTGATATGTTGATTGTGGTGGTGAGGTTCAAGCTGAAGCGGGAAATGCGGACAGGGTTCATGTGACCATGGATTCGCAAGCTGCCAGCTCACCTTCTACCACCAAATAACTCCACGACCACCGACTCAGAACATTCGCTGCAAGATGTCTGGAGCTGGGTATGATGTAGTAGTTGATGTTGATGAAGAGGTAAATTCATCATGAACACAGCGCATGTTCCTCTCCAACTGACTCAAATCCAGGGTGATCTTGGACACACTGATTTACAAGAGGATCTCGAATTCCATTCCTCGAACTTCAACACCGACCAATCTGCAGGCGGGCGAAAGCTCCCGGGTGCATCTTCTGGCCTTCCTGCTCCAGTTACAGCTAGCAGTGGCTCCTCGAAACGCTTTCTCTGGTCTCTATCCTTCTACGCGCAATTCTTCGACGTCGATACCACCTCCGTGTTATCGAGATGCTGGGCCGCGTTATACCCCCGCGCAAACTTCCTCGATGTTTTGGAGGGGAACGCTGATCTTTATGGGCCGATCTGGATTGCGACGACGGTTATCTTCATCTTGTTCTTGGGTGGCACAATCAATAAGTACTTGGCGATGACGGGAACCGCGCACTTTGTGTATGACTTCAAATTGCTCAGTGGTATGTACTTCTATTGAATGGGTGGATGAAAACTCTACTAACGCTTGCATCAGGTGCTGCTGGTCTCATCTACGGCTATACGCTGGTCATACCCGTCGCCCTTTTCCTCGCCCTGAAGTACTTTGGCAGCGAATCAGCTAATCTCCTTGAATGCTGGGCTTTATACGGCTACTCGAACATTGTCTGGATTCCAGTGGCTCTCATCTCATGGTCGACTATTTCAATCCTCAACTACGTGTTTGTGGCCGTGGGGTTTGGACTCAGCGTAGCGTTCCTGCTGAGGAATATGTATCCAGTCTTGAGTGCTACGGACAAGCAGACTAGCAAAGTGTTATTGATATTGGTCGTTGTTCTCCATGCTGCACTGGCTATCGCGATTGAGTTTCTCTTCTTTGCGAATGGGAGTCCGGCCAACAAGGATACCCCAAAGGAAGATACTCCAGAAACGAAGCTTTTGAGAATGTTGTTCTAAATAAAGGGTTATGAGGATTTCATATTTCTTCGAGCTTGCACCATGCAAGCTTTTGGTCGCAAATTGGGAAGGAGTTGGCGATTGCATAAAGCTTTTCCCCATGGGGCGGGGGCTGGCACTGTAAACATAGTATACCATCTTCAAGAGACGATATCAAATTTGCCATTCATCTCAATGATCAACGCGTGAAATAAACCCCAACAGGACCCTCAAATCCTCCCACCCTCGATCTTACCCCCCTTCCCCTCCCAATCAAGCCAACTCCCCTTATACTCCCCAATCTTCGCCCACCCCGCCTGCCTCGCCAGCTCTGCCGCAGCCTTACTCCTCACGCCCGCCTTACAGAAAAACACAACCTCGACATCCTTCCCCGGCCTCTCAAACCCATATCTATCTTCAAACTCATCCGGTGTAATAAACCAAGAGTCCGCTTGACTAACAACCGGTATATTCAAAGCCCCTGGAATAGTGCCGCTGCTTTGCAATTCGCCGGGTTCGCGCGAGTCGATTAGGATGCGGGATGGCGAGGGGTTTGTGGAAAGTTTTTGGACCTGCGTAGTTCTTTAGATTGAGGGGCATATATAGGGAAAAGGGAGGGGAGGGGAGGTACATCTTCGAAGGCGTAGATTTTGCTTAGAGGGGGGGAGTCTTGGGAATAGGGTCGGAATTGGCTTCTGGTCGCAAGGGGCGTGGCGCGGGAAGTCGGGATTGGGAAGGCTCTAAACTGTCGAGGCGCCCTCGCAATTGAGGATCGCGAGCCCCGCAGGAGGAAAGAGGTTGCAATGCGTGGAATTGACATTGTTGTTGAGCTGTTGGAGGGTGTTGTATTTACTCTGTCAGAGAAGCTTATCTAGTAATCCCTGCCCTCGGTGTCGTCAGACTTGCATTGGGTGAGTTTGAGCTGAGAAATCCAGAAACGTCAAAAATATTGTATTTTCTTGGCTAGTTAAGTGAGCTGTGTAGCAAATCAATGAATGATTGAAAGTTTAGAGACTTTTTTAGTTTCTAAAATGCTATAAATGTTGAGCGCAAAGCACCCCAAGAACCGGGCACTTAATAGATGGGACCACTGCATTGTACCTATAATTTGATTATACTATAGGGTTCTTTTGACCACCCAAAAAGTCAGCTCCAGCACCAAGAATCTCAAAACCACGCCTTTAGTTATTATCATAACCCCAGCAACAAGCTCTTGCAACAGCAAGTCGTGCCCTATCAAGTATACTTGAAGCCACCCGTTCTCGTCGGAAAGAACCCATTCGGATCGACGTTCTTCTGAATTGCCCTCAACCTCTCATACGAATTATTCCCATAACTCTGTGCAGGCTTTTGGTCATACATAGCATCGTTCAGGAAAAGCGGGTTGTACTCCTCGTAAGTCAAATTGCCCTCAACATAGCGAGTATTGGGGACTCCGGCGTAAGTGGTCCGCACGTAACTATCAATGTCACTTGTTATCTGCTCGGCAGCTGAAGCCGCAATGTCATCGCCGACAGCTGTTTCCCAGGATATAACTAGATCTATCCATACTCGATCGCCGTTCCTGGGGTCTAATTGAATAGCATCGCCGCCAGAGGCGACGGAAGCTGCAGATAGCTGTATCGAATTAGCATAGTATAAATGAGACTGCTTAGAGAGAGCCGAGGGGTTGGAAGCTGTTTCGGGAGCCCGTATTCCGGCTCTGGAGACAACTTCCAACTCTCAAAGGAAAACAGCATTTCTGTACGAGAATAAGCGTACCAGGGTTTGTAGAGGCTATAGATGATCGGTCGTTAGCATCTGATCTTTTAAGAATGTTTTAGGAGCGGATGAATACGAGCTGCCAAATGATTCAGGTAATTAATCACAGAGCGGACACCCCAAGACCATATCTTAGAAATCCAACCAAACTATAGAGCCATGTTGAATGAAAGGGCTTTACCCCTGAATTACATACCTGATAGGCGAGGGAAAAGACGAATCCGGGGAAGAGGAGGTCGTTGGTGATAACGTAGTCAACAAATTTGCTGTAGACAGTGTTGTATAGATCCGTGCCATTTATCCCGGGCAGGTTGGGAATCGTTGTTGTCTGGATGGTTAGCTAATGTCAATGGAAGACTACTCTTTCCTTACTCGGTATAGATATCTGAGACCTTGAAATCCGTGTCAGTGCTTTGAATCCTGACAGACAGGTTGATAGTCAAAAGGGCATGAGATTCGTACTCACCGTAAAGGCTATATTCATCATTTCCTGACTCCTACACAACAAGTCAGCAACATCATCTTCAGGTACGAAGCTTACATACAAAGTCAGAGTAAGTCTGGGTCGTGACTTGATCAGAGGTAGGAATAAGGGCATTGAACTCGTCAAACACTCCGCCTTGGGGAGTCTCTCCATCGTAGAAAAAGAAGACGACTGCCACCTGAACAAGCGTGTCAACGGCAATATCTAGCGTAACAATAACTGCTGCTTTCGGATCGTCGTTATACTCGATAAAATGCTGAGTGGCGTTCAGAACCGCCGATAGCTTGGTCGCGTCGTATATGCGCGTTCCAGCCCAAACCTAGGTACTGGTTAGATTTATACACACTACTATACCTGCAACTTACCTGTCCATCAGTTCCTATGGGATAAGTTTTCAGAGTAAATTTAGTCACAATACCTGACACATATTAATTTACGCGATACAAGAGCTCAATGCTGGACTTACCAAATTGGTTACCACCACCTTTCAGAGCCCAGAACAGATCCGTATTCCTATGCTCATTTGCATTCACAATTGTAGAATTGGCAAGAACAACTTCGTAGTTCACTACATTGTCACAACCAAGCCCATACTGAGCGCTTAAGAAACTCAAGCCACCCCCAAGAAGCAAACCACCAACCCCAACGTCGCCTAAGGATGTCAGCGCTATCTTTTCAAAAATGACAGTTCGGTCCCCACCTATACGGCCACCAACGACAGCTAGATTATAGGGTTCCAGAGCAGATATGGCATTCTCCCAGCGTGCTCCTGATCCAACCTCGGCCGTTGCCTGGTCTGAAGAAAGGATAGTAGAGTTCAGCTGACTGAAGGATATCAACACCCCAAAGTCGACGCTCGAAAACCCCACGTTGGTGTTATGCCCGCCACTTTTAACAGCAAAAGGAACTGTTGGAAAGCTTAATAGAACTGAGACAACGTAAGAGACCTGTTCGGCTGACGTGGGGAAGACAACACAAGCGGGAGTCAAATCCGCATTCGCAGCATCCCAATAATGATTCTTGGCGGTGAGATAATCTGGATCAGCCAACGCCTGGGGATAGATTTGGGTTTCCGCGGACCCTTGCGAGATGTTTTGACAAGCTGCTGAGGCTTCTGGTGAAGGTCCAGTGAGTAGGCCTTGTGCTAGAGCCAAGATACAGAGAAAATGGACGGCTATTGACAGCGGGGTCGCCCTAGGAAGAAGCATGATGTCGTAAAATAGAGAGATATACACAATTAGAGTGGATCTTGGCAATTGGTATTATGAGGAAAGGAGAAGGGTATACTTATATCTGAACAAGGAAAAGATTCTCGGGTGAGCAATAACAGGGAGCGGCCTGGACGTGGGCCCCGACCTCTGTTACTAGCTGTGATCCTTGCATTGAATTGCTCGAAGGCGAGTATTGTACGAACGATAGGTCTAATGCCTCTATTCATACAGCGAGGAGCACGGAGGATGAATATCCGCAGTTGCTAGTCTCCTGTACAGTCCAGCTTTGGAGCTCAAGAACCTGGAGATGGCATCCATTATGGCACCTAGATCACCAAATGGAGAGGTACGATGCAAGCAGACACCCGACTTTTCAAGACACTAGTCTATATTGCATGGCAGGTGGGGCTTAGAATGGTCCCCTACAGCTTATACATCCAATGAAAGGCTAGCTATGAGCCAAGCAGCTTCATAGATCTTCCTAAAGCCTGAAATGGCAGAAAACATATCTGAATACAAGAACATGCGACGCTTGTCCGATTATGATTGGAGACTAAACGATGGTAAAGTCTGGGATAACGTGGAATCGGGGAATTTCAGGACGGTAAGAGTATATTTATGGAGTCCCTGATCCTGAGGTAGTCTGCAAATATCATTCATTCTACTTAGCGAGTAAAATTCTTGGTTGATTGACATAGGAGGCATGGATCTGCAGCAAATTAGGACGGGTGTTTGACGAGTTCAATGCCCTTATTCCTACCTCTGATCAAGTCACGACCCACATGGCGCATACAGAGCGTTGGGACTATTGAAACTGGAGGAAAGTTAGGTTGCATTGCATTGCATGTGCCTATAGAGGACATATCGATACTTGTTACGAGTGAGTGTGGATGAGAAGGCGTCAATAGCGCGCGAGGAATTGCTGGCAACGTGAAAAGTAGCATGTTCCGTGATGGAAGCGGCCTAGCGTCGAATGTAAACCATAATATTTTGCCAAGCTTTCGGTTAGAATAAAATCACTTACTAAGCTAAGGTAACAATCCCGCAAAATCGCGTCGCCGTTGCTGTCGCGTCTTGTACCTTTATATGGACTACGAGTAAATTAACCGCATGTTACACACACAGTATTGCCTTTTTCAAAATGACTTCCCGGGCAAGCACTTCGTCAGCTCGACCTTTGACTCTGACGGAAGAATTAGAGAAACTCGAGCAGTCCATCACCCTTACCCTTCAAGGTTCGTCTCACCGACCCCCGAACATACACATGTTTCTAATATCATTATCATATAGAGATCGACCACAACTTCAGCCGCGCCCATCGAATTGTCACCTCCAGCATCTTGCCCATTGTAGAGCAATATGCGGAGCATTCTAATGCCGTGTGGGAGGGATCAAAGGTTTGCCAGACGCGTTTCCGTGACCCATAATTAACACTGATTGCGGGGTAGTTCTGGAAACAATTCTTTGAAGCCAGTGCCAATGTCTCTCTATCGGGCGTGGAGGAGCGAGAGGAAGAGGAAGATGACCTTTCATACACCCAGTCGCACGAGAATGCCAGCACATACGCAACGTCAACCTCACAAGCAGGTGATGAGACTTTAAACGCCGAGAGCGAGCACCATAGTCGCTTCAATGAAACAGACGACTCTCTTCTGGACAGTGGCGATATCAGTGGGAGCACACCTCGAGCTCCTCGCCCCAAGAGCTCATCCTCCGATGCGCCCAGATTTGCTGAATATCCGTCGCCGTACGAAGATTTGAAAGAGGAACTGAAGGGTGACGGGAAGAAGCCAGAGCACGATGAGGAAGAGGATGCGCCCACAACGCCTGGACCTAAATCCAGGATTCCAGATATGTCCATGACTCCAACGTCATCTCCTTTTGACCCGACTTCGCACCTTCAATCTACGACCCAGAAACGAGCCGGCGGAGATCCTCTTTTACACAGAGTGCTGGACAAAAACTACAGACTGCAAGCTACGCCTCATTTGACCCGAAAGGATGTTTTGTTCAACAAAACCCCTGCAAACAAGCCTTCATGGAGAGACACCACATCTCCACTATCGTCACCACCTGCCGCAGCTCCGCAGCTACGTTCAGAGATTTTCAGCTCGCCAATTCGACAGCAGTATAGTAAGCCAAGCGCACCTCGGACACCCGGCGTTAGTGTTCAGACGCCAGCTAAGGGGAAAGCGAAGGATGCCTTTGCTAAATCTTCAAAGAAGGATGAGATTAGTTGGGAAAGTGATAGCGATGAGGACGCAGAAGGAGTCTACCAACAGCTTGGCATGAGCCCTCCAAAGACCATTCAGTTTAACCTACCCCAGTCGAGAATACTCCAAACGCCAGGCACGTATATTCTTGCTTTGCAATGCTCAATACTAACATTATACAGCTCAAGAAGCTAGCAAGAGGATTGTTGAAGACTTGCTCCAGACAGCTGGTGCACGTTTTGACAGTGACGGACTAGATGATAGTCCGAGCATGGTAGCCATGCGAGATGATTTAGATGATAGCTTCTAGGGAAACAGATTCCATTATTAAATAAGGTAAAATATTATGCAATGAAAGATCTTGTTGCCCCAGAGGATCAATCTTTATCCGCGACACCTCATCTGTTTTCCATTCCAATCTTGACTTTATCAAAGTCTACCCAAACGCCAGAGATCTCTTTTAGAGCCGCCCCAATCGCCAAAAACGCTAGATGAGCTAAAATCCAAAGCCAAAGAATCAGATCGAATCGACTGCGACTACTTGTTCATCGATATATACATGTAAGCTTCCGCAGTTCTTGCCTTCGCTATAAATCCACTTGTCAGCTTTCAATTCTTTGAACTCCCATGAGCGACGCTCACCATCCCAATCCACTTGTCGCTGAGACTTACGTGATTTAGAATCCTTCAGTACTTTCTTCTCGGACTCGGATGACTTGCGATCCTTGTGATCTTTATAGGACGGCAGCTTGCTCTTGATCAATCCGATGGTTGAAGAGAAACTTGATGTGGTCATGGTTGAGGCGCCGTCGTCCATGACTTTGTCGGACTTGCTGGACTTGTTTTTAGGTGAGGCGGGAGACAAGAGGGTTGGTGGTTTATCGTCAGGGAATTCTAGGTCACTGTTAGGATTTGGAAATTACATTGAGCGATCAAGAGAAACATACGACTTTGACGGTAGGCTGGGAGTCCAGGCATATTGAGTGAAGTTGCGTTGATGATTGGTTCTAAGTGTTGATTGTTTGTAGTGGAGTCTGGAGACTGAGTTCAAGTATTGAGTAAATCTTTTCAAACTGAAGCTGTGGATGTTGATGAAGAAAAACCTAAATCCTGAGGGTGACAAGACCGTCATATATACTACATCAGACAAACAATAGACTCATATTCGTAAGCCTCGCAGTAGGACGCCCTTTGTTACTCCGACCTGCACCTTCAGCCTCCTAATGCTGCCTTACCCCCCTGACTTACTACTGGGCACTAAGCGAACTCCGACAACAAGACATGACGCTGAGGCCTTTAAAAGCTTAGTTAGCACTCCCTACCTCTGTAAAGAAAAGTAAGCACCACTCGAAACTGTCCGACCGAGTGACTCAGGCCACTCTCGCTGCTAATCCACATTTGTTGAGGCCTCCTTTGTTCGTACAGCCGTGCCTTTGGCAGCAGCCGCTTTCTCTACCCCCTCCCCCCATCCTTGTCAGACTCTAAAACATATCCATATTAATTGATGACTGTACGGCGTGGCTAAGCGATTTCAGTTTAACTTGTCACTTCGGAAGAATCCCTTGAATGCAATGAAACCAAGCCATACCAAGTACAGGAAAATGCCTACGGAGTAACTATCAGAAGACAAGAAAAGTGGAGGCTTGTCAAAACCCATTCCGGATAATCAACGCGAGGCACGCCGTCGTCAGCCCCCTCAGTAATTTAATGGCTGCCTTAATTACCCTACCTACTCACCAGACAGAGTGGAACGTGTAGTCTCATAGGAACTGCACTTTTTCCATTGCGTGCGCAATTGCTTTAGGCTTTTACTATTAATTTCTTCCTCTAGTACGTACAGTACGCAAAAGCTTGTTCAGCATTTTTCAATATGACTTGCACGTGTGTGTTTAGTTTAAACTCCGTCCGTCGGAGTTGCTTTGCTCGTACTTTCTTGCTTATGAAATCAAAAAAGAGCAACGGTGAAGCTGCCTTTAGCTAGGAAAGTTACTCATTTGACGTAAAAACGGTTCATTGTTACTAATACTCACTCCGGTTTCTTCAAGGTCTAACTGGTATGGATTATTAGAATCCCGCATATATGACTGGCGTATTATCCCAGCCAGTAATGAATCCCCAGAACCGCAAAAGTAATCTAATTGTAGAGTGAGACTTCTGTTTCAAAGGCTTTTAGTGAGCTCCTTAGTTGAATTCGAACTTTCTAAGTAGGACAAACTATACGAAGACGCTTATAAAGGAAATCGTATAGACTTCAAAAACAGGAAATCTCATCACGCGATTTCTAAATCTAGCTTTCTTAGCGTTGGGACGGAAAGAGTCATAATTGCTATGCATTGTAAATGTGGTTAGACTGAAAATAGTAAAGGTCTTGCTGTGAAAGCATTATGGAAGACAATCTCTGCAACAACAAAGCTCCTCAATTGACAAATGCTATTATCATATAATCGGACTACCTGCCTTGTGGGGATTAAGCCACTATATTTGCACATGCTTAAACTTAATGTTGACGGCAGAAAGAATTTCAACAACAGGCAAGCAAATTGTTGATCATCTGAGAACCTGCATATCTTCCACGAGTTCCTTGTCTAGACTTCAGGCATCGACATATCATCAATGTCAAGGAGGGGTACGGAGTTGAAGCCTATATGGCGCTTGCGTGGCTAGTAAGATATAGCGAAATCGGACTTTTCTCCTTTTCTCATTATTCCCTCATTGCGAGGCTCATTATAATTACATTCTCTCTATATTAGAGCTTGATTTCCAATCAGACTCCTACATTTACAGCCCCCCTCAATTTGCAAATGCAAATGCACCAGAACGCCATGCCGCAAACCATTGATCTGTTAAGATCGTCTCGAATCGAAATGTGCGGACCACGTTGGCTTAGACGCCTAAGATGCTGCTCGAGAGGAAACGAGTTATGATGGACGCGAGGTAAATGTCAAAGGACAATCATCCTGGGGTATATTAGTCTTGATCTCAAGTGCAGAGGACATTCCTGCTTACCTGTGGGAAGATAGTCGCGAACACCTTGATCTCTTCTGAAAGCGGAGTTGCGTGATGAACCCAGTCTAGATGCATCGCGGCCTTTCCGATCATAAGAGCCAGGTTGTTTTGAGCATATACTTGGCCCAGGCAGTAATGTGGTCCCGTTCCGAATACCAGGAAGTTCTTCGCGCCCTTGACCTCGGCATCACCCGTAACATAACGGTCAGGATCATAAACATCAGGATTCTCATAAATCTCAGGATCATGGAGAGATGGGTAGGTTGTTGGAATAATCATGGCACCTGAAATTTGTCAGCTTAACATGTAAGTTACAATTTAGACCAGTACTGACCTTTAGGGACAGTGTAAGAGTCTGTAATTGGGAATGCCTTCTTCGCTAGATATGGAACCATGATGACTGGAGGTCGGTATCTCAATAGTTCTCTAACCGCGCCACGAGTGTAGACCATTTCATCAAGGATCTCCATTGTCACTGGAACATCTCTGTCACCACCACGTACGCGCAGGTTCTCCTCGCGAATCTTATCAAGAACGTCAGGTCGTTGAGCCGTAATTTGGAATAGCCAGGTGCAAGCGCTGCTAGTAGCATCTTGGGACGCAAACAGGAACGTGAATACGGTCTGGGCAATCTCGAAGTCGGTGAAATCACGGAGCATGTGGGGTGGCTTTTCAATGCCTTCCATTGAAAGGCCCTTCTCTTGGCGCTCCCGATATCTGGCAGAATCGATCTGAGATTTAACCCACCCATCCATAATACACGTAATATCGCCTCCGGCAGCCATGCGTACTTTGCTCTTAGCAGCGCACTTTGTAAACTCTTCCAAAACCATGTCAGATGCTTTCTTACCATACCAGGTCCTCGTGAAAGGGATGATAATGGGAAAATTGACAAGCTCCAATGCGGCAGTTATATGATAGTAGTCATCGGCAATCTTCTTGATGGCTTCATCTGAAATGTAATGACCAACGAAAGTTCGGCACGAAACGGCACACATAACCTCACGGAACTCTGACATGAACGGAACAGGCTTGTTTCCAGCATCCTTCGAAACCTTCAGAAACCTTGCAAAGTATGCGTTATAGACGTCCTCTTGACCAGGTAGGTAGATTTCGAGGGCCCTGCGAGTGAAAAGGCCGTTGAGACCTTTGCGGAAATCGACGTGTGCCTTGCCGTCCAAGAACACCCAGTTGGTGGCACCCAGGAGCTTGTGTGCGACATCGACTACACACGGTTTGACGAAAGAGGGTGAATTGAACACCTTACGCGACATTTCACGGGTAGAGGCTATAACGACAAACCTGGAAACAATTAGGTACTAAACATGGATATCATAAGGCGCGTGGGACCTACTTGTGGAAGACAGACACGCAGCTCAGCTCACCACTGGCCCATTTGCCCTTGTACCCCTCGAACTTCGGGTTCACGGACTCGAGAAAGGGTCCAATGAAGGGGATTTTAAACGCTGGGCCAGGAATTGATCCCTTCTGCCAAAGGTAGCTACCTGCACAACATTAACAGAGGTTCTGGCACATTGAGGATGGTTGAGGATGTACATTGATCGTATGCGACGAGAACAGCGATGATGGTCAAGGCGATTGTCCACCCACTGAGCTCGGAAACCTTGGATAGTATGCCATCGAGCTGGGGGCTTCCCAAGATTTGTGAGGCCTTCGCATCGGCTAGGGGCGACGCAAAACTTCCATTCTGGTTGGCGGCCATTGCTTTGGATTCGTTGAATATGCGCCTGTTGATTACCTAGGTAGAGGTCTTATCGCGGAAGGGCAGTTGTGCGCCAATTGCAGTCAGAGTGCTGCGCTGCGTGATTTGGGCACTCCAAAGATGGAAGTATATCTGGTCCGGGACACAGAATCAATAGGGAAAGAGAGCGAAAAAAAAAAAAGAGTCGATGCGAGGAGAGGAGGAAGGAGAGGAGATGTCTCGGTATATTGCGAAGGGCAAAAATGGAAATTGCAATGCTCGCTTGATAATGAAAATTGACTAATCAGCGTAGTATACTGCACTACATGGGGAAAGTGGTGACCTAACTATGTACCTACGCCTGAAGTCTAGAAACCATTATAAAATATTCACAGTTTAGGAGATAGAGTTATACTACGATTTCCCTGCTTAACAAAGGTTAAATGACATAAATGAAGGTTACAACACGTAAATGAGGCTTGAACCACGTAAATAATGAGGCTTAACTCGTAAAGTCTCCACGAAATGTGAAACCATACATACCTACCTAGGTATATAACTGAAGGGCTAGATGTCCTATAAAACTTGTCTATTTTTTACGGTGAGGATACGAAGGTTCACTTGTAAGATCCTACAGGGTCCTAGATGTAGCGATATCATTGGCTGAAGCCCCCTTGTATTTACGGGACATTTTTCTGTCCCTGCAGGTACAGTACCCGTACAGTAACACCCTTGAACGCAAAGCTTACAAATGTCGCGGATATACCTCCGTGGCAATTGTAGCTAATCCATATCTCCTAGTCGATTATATATATTCTTCTCTCAACTTATTAGCTATAGCATGACTAATTATAAAAAGTCATCAACTTCTAGGACAGAACAACAGTCTTTCCCTGCAGCGAAACATATTATTAGGGGTACTGGTCAAACTCTTCTCCAACCGTACAACCGTAAGAGTTATTTCCGGTTGTGGCAACCACTACGACTCCAAAATAATTACCAGGCGCTGATCTTTTGTCTTGGATTACAATGCAATGCCTCCCTAAAAACCAGGTCTTTTTTTTTCACCTGATGATTGATATCATGTATCTCTGTATCTCGTGCTGGATACCAAAAGGAGCATCTGTTATCATCGACTTTTAGTGTATCACTCTGTGTGGCAATAATCCGGTGCCGCTTTTTCTGTCTACTACGAGTCTATCCAACGTTCGCTCTGCATGATCATAATGCCTTATAGTAGCCCCTACTATTAGAAGGAAAGTGTAGAAGATAATAATAGAAGCGGCAAAGACGATTTCAAGTAGGCGTGACAGGAAGGGGCTATAGAGTAGGATTGAATAGTTGCAAGCTGACTAAATGCTTACTCGGTAGTTTCAATGCTTCCCTGCTAGGGAAAAGGTCCAAAAAAAAAAAGTCCAAAAAATCAGATCTGATCACTACGAGGGTCGAACTCGCGACCTTGGCGTTACCATTGATGGTATTAGCACCCTAAGGACAATCGTAAGCAATTGTTGTAGTGATGTTTCGATGTTGGCAACTTACACGCTCTAACCAACTGAGCTAAGCGACCTGCGAAGTTGTTTTATTGAAGGGAAATGTGGTCTATTTCACTTTATACCGGTCGTATTAACTGGCATGTGATCTGATGCCAAGCCAAGCCTTACCTTGGGTTAGCAAAGCGAATTACCTAAGAAGTTATGCCGGCTTCGACCCAAAATGTCACAGTTTTTGCAGAGTTAACTTCGGCCATCTCGATAGCGTGGGTCATAATAAATATGTTGTTTCCAGTCTTTGTGTGGCGGAAAGTTGTAGTTGTCGCTGTAGATTTCATGAAATGCCAGAATGCAAGACTTCAATGATTTGAAAAGTAGCGATGCTGCGAATGATGCAAGGTTGGCAAGTCGTCCAACCTTCAATATCCTTAAAATAATGGCCGAGGTGATAAGTAGGCCGATGAAGCTCAAAGTCTTGCCAATGATACTAAGCAAGCTGAAGAATAAAATTTCCCTCCCTCGAAGAGTGACCCAAATGCCTACTGCTTGGGCGGCAGGATGAGAAGATATGTTACTGTGAGTGTCGTAAGCAACGATATAGTATTGAAATACTATGACTGTGACTATGATATTAGGCAGGATCCATACTCCACTCCAGTACTAAACGCAATGAAGACCGAAAGCCCCAAGTTGTCATTTTCGCTAGAATAATATTCCAACTATGACAGCTAGAATGACAATCTCTTCAAGGGAAGATATATAAAACGACATATTAGAAAGTTTATGGCTTGCAAGTGTCGGCATAATCATACTGTAGTCTGCTCGGGAGATCTCTCCTGCCTGGGATCATCCAGCCTTTCGACGAAGCTTTTCCGAGGGATTCCAAAAAGAGATGGAAATAGAAAAACATAACTACTTCGTACAGTAGGAGCAAGGTTATATGGAGTAACTGCATGCATATTTAATGGATCCGGGTCGATCATGCTGCAAAATGACGGGTTGCGGGGTTAGCGTAACTCTCAAAGCTGCACAAAATACTACGGAGTATACTATACTGTTTCGAAATTATTGTAGTGCTGTTATAGCTCAGTGAAAGCGTAGGACTTTCCTAAAAGCAGCAAGAATCTGGAGATCGTCACTACTATTTTGGGCGCCACATTACTACATGCACATGTATAATCATGTAAAGATTGACGGATATGAATCCAATTCAAGACACAATTGGTAATGTAAACTAGTGGCTTTGGTATGTCGCAAGGAATTGATTCATCACAAATCTGGAGCTGGAAAATGCACGTATGGAAAGCCAGCGCCCAGGTATTCGTTCATAAATCGCAGTATTCTTAATCAAGTGGCAGTGGGGGAATTTCATCGATTGACTCGACATACACCATAGAACACCGCCCAGAAAAAAGTTGTCAACCCAAGGAAAAAAGGGAACCAGCAGTCCACCAATTCTCTGAAATCAAAACAAACCACTATCATCCCTGGTCGATGAGAAAGAATCCTTGGTCTCCTGTTTCAGTCAGAACACACACTCTACGTTGTTCCATCACGGCTCTTTCGGTAGCTGGCCTGCGAGGAATGCTTCATCAGCGTCCGCTTAAGCAGAATATTCCTTGGACCTACTCACTTCCTGCTCAACTTGTAGACCATCAACAACGGGAGCAAGCTCGCTGAGAATCTCATATGCCTTCTTATGGTATTCGAGCTGGGCAGCGATCAAATCGGCAAGGTTGCGGAGTGGCTCAGGGGTATCGAGTACCTATAACATTTAGCAATCTATTAGGGGCAGGAAATGATCGACACTTACGTTCTTCATAACGCCAACTGCTTCCTCAGTCTGGCCGACAAATTCATCTTCGGCCTGCTCAATCTCGACTCGGGACTCCTCAGTCGCATCGCTTTCCTCATGCCCCTCAGCTCGTGCAGAAGCTTGGCCTGGTAGTTTCCAACCAGGGTTCTTGGACTTTGTCTTGGCAGCATCAAGCAGGAGCCTCGAGTTCTCAACACTTTTTCTGGCACGGGTCGCGAACATAAGGTTGGTATTGAGGGTTGTGCTCCAGCCGGCAAGGAAATGGCTCTGGATCTGGGAGTCTTGTGCAAGTCTAGCTTCACCAACACGCTCGCTGGCAAGCGCGTACTTTTCTAGGGCGGCTGCGAGAGGATCTTCACCGGTACCGGCATTTTGTTGTTGGAGGAGCTGGCTGCTGGCCAAACTGGCCCGAGCGATGGCATGGTTGAAGGTCTTTGGTTGTGGTTTCGCAGAGGGAGGAGCAGTGAGGGCTGCTTGGGCCTCAGCGGGAGAGGTTGCGGATGACAGAAGGTGAACCTTTTCACTGACTGTGCGGCTAAGATCTCCCAAGCTCTCCTTGAGGTTCGCAGGGTAATCGTATCCTTCGTTGGTGTAATGGGAACTGTAAATAAGCGATTAGATTTGGACTCAAGACTTCTGTTGCTAGTATTCTCTATAATAGCACTTACGTAACCTGGAGCATTTTCTGGTGAACCTGTTTCAAGGCATCAACTCGCTTCTCGAGTTCGATATAGTCCGGAGGAAGCTGGGTCTGCGGATGAGGAACGTATATCAGTTTTCTGCCAATAGCTCATGGAACGGCTCTCTAACCTTATCCTCGGTCTGGCCAAGCTGTTCCTTCACATATTGCTGTGTGCGGGCGGCGAAGGGAGTAAATGTGGCCCTAAATGAAATGTTAGCATTCGTCGCATAGTTTCCGTATGCCGGTGATGCCAGGTAAGACAGTTTGGTGTCGACGATAACATTGAATGGGCTTGCAGAACTTACGAGAAGTTCTTGCCAAATGCTGAGACTTTATCCATATTGGCGATTGTGGGGAAGTATGCTTGATAGAATAGTGACTCGAAGATGTGATTGTTTTGTTTATGTTAAGGGAGGTCAAGTCGTTGAGCAAGCAAGCAGCATGCGTCGTATCCCTAACGAATCTTTAGCGCGATGTAATACTCCCTCGCTGCTCGCGGTGGAAAAAGCGGCACCAATTATACTACTAAAAGTCGATGATTGTAAGTGCCGCTTTTTGCGTCTAGCATGAGACTCCTTTACCTTCACGTGCTAGTTAGTGATATCCATCTGATAAGGTCATGCATGAATTTAAACAACCCACCCCTTGCTGGAAGAAAATATTAAATTTGGGAAGCTTTTCAGGGACTCGTGTTTCTCAAGAGGTTAGTAGGTTAAATGTCTGCAAAGAAAATGAGAAGTATAATTTCGACTCAGCAATTGAGACCCCTGCAAGCTACCATACCCCTATTTATCACTACTTTCTGAACACGATTGTATGACCGGCGGGTTTGGTTTCTCAAATTCTATTTTTAATCTAGTATTGACTTGCCATCGGCCCACGAAGGTTCGATTCCACGGCATACAGCCTCATAATCAAGGAAGGTCTGTTTATCCATATCACGAGTTGTCCAGAACATTGTCCAACCCGTATTGGTCAATTGCCAAGTCCCTCTAGATCTCTCAAAGTACCACTTATTGACCACATTCGTAGATCTTGACCTCCATACCACACCATTTGGGAAGCAATCTCGCACCATGGCTGTAAATACAGCATCCGCAACTCCCCCAGATCCTTGAGATTTTTTCAAGACCGCAAATTTGTCTAGATATGGCACCATCCTGGCCCTGCTTTCAGGACTCCCATCATCAGGTACGCCTGGCGGCGTTTCCCACGTTAATAAAGCCCCGCCTTCATATTCGCCAGCAATGATAACCCCGGCAATACGGCCATTCACACGCTTGAGATATTCTTTGACATCAAGTGTTCGGCCAAAAGAATCATTTATTAGATGGACCAGACGAGGGAGATCGATATATGAGTCTGTCAACTTTATATGTTGCTTTTCAGACAGTGGTGGCTCCCAAGGCGCAAGTTTCGGATCAGGAAATATGGTGATATGCATTCCGTGTTTTGCGAAAGTTGTTGGAGTAATGCTTGCAGCTAGAGTGGAGGGGTCATCCCCCATCATTGGTTTTGTTTGACCTAAGCGGCCCATTGGTAGTGATGATGAAAACCCCGGCTTGTCAGTGAGTAGGTTATGAATTAAGGGATTCCGGTGTCGTCGCGTGCCTACACCTCCAGCTCGGAAAGGAGTTTTCTTGCCGGCGTTCGCCGCCTCGTCCGGAGTAGTCAACAATGCTGATGAGCTAGGTGGTAGCATTGAAAGTACAGAACGGACCAATTCGAGGTTCTGAAGATGATACTTGTTCTCTGGCTTTGGTGTCATCGTAGCATCTGGTTCTGGAGCCGCCGTCTGCGGAGTAGGCTTTGGGCACCCAAATTCTGTTTCTACAAACCTTGAAAAGGGATTGCTTAAACCAAGGTCAGAAACATGGTTTTGCTTGAATTGACCTTGCAGAGAAGCTTCAGCCGTGTTCTTTTCGACCCCCTTTAGCAAATCTTTCTTCGCGGGTTCGAATTCTTGTTCCATATTCAAGAAGACATGGTAGCCATTCGGACGATTAGATGTTGGGATTCCCCCAAGAGGGTCCAATATGATGATACGATCGAGGGAGACCTGAGCGCGACGAGTTTGTAATCTTTCCCTAACCTCTTCTGGGTTTTCATCGGGACAAGTCTGGGTAGGAAGTCCTGCGAGCTCCCTTGTAAGGGCAAGTACAGCATCGCTAGCTAAGATTGGAACTGCAGTTTGAGTAATATCGGTATAGCCTAAAGAAGGTATGACCGGAATAACACCACGTCTTAGAGGGGTCATCATCAATTCGCGGAGAGTGACATGCGTTGTAACGGGTGTATGAGCTCCGTATCGTGGCTTTTCAGAATCCTCATATACTCCTATGACGTTGTCGACTAATCTTGCTTCTGTTACTCCTTCCGAATCGATCGCTGCCACGATTCGATTTGCCTGGGCTGTTGCTACTGATCGCCAAGTGGGATCTGGGGTAGATTCTGGAACTCGATTACAATCAACCACCACCACACTTAGTAATCCCAGCCGTGCAAGTTGTGACAATGTTCTTCCCACGCCATTGAGAGTGTCATCGTCCAAAGTCTGGGGGGCTCTAATCTTGACCAACGCAACATGAAGTCGAGGGCCCACCAAGGAACTGGTCTGTTTATGAGGATGCTGTAGAAATTGCGGGCTCCCCACGACCGAAGCAGGTCCATAGAATCCCCCGAGATTGACACCATTACCTTGTGATGGTTGAGTTCTCTGCTCGGTGGCCGCAGGGTTCGTTGTGGGAGGCTTCGGCGACTCCTTCGCAGGAGTGAAACGTTGTATATATGCCTTTGCGTCTCTTTTCGTCGCCGATGAGTTTAGAACTGACATAAAAAAGTCCTAAGATGAATTAGCACTGCAGGCTATCCCGATTGCTGGACTCGCACTTTGTCTACCGCCCTGGCTTCTTGCCTCGCTTTCTGTTTGTTAGATAGATCTTTGACATGCTCTTTTGCCATTTCCTCTCTCAATTGACTAGCGGATAGTCTCTCCGTAGCAAATCCACGCTTGCCATCTTCATGGAAAGCCTCGATGTGTCTTCGACGCTTTGCCCAGCATTGTACCTGCCAAAAGTCAAATACATTCTCACCGCTTGAAGTTCTTGACTCACATTATGACCAGCCACTCCTTTGCTCTTTTTCCAAGCTATATTTTGCAATATCATTGTGCATGTTGGAATATATCACCATGAATCAGCTTGAAAGCGACATGAAGAAATGTTTAAGCAAGTGAACCGTGATTGATTCTGACGGTCGGAATCTTTGTGTTAGTTGAGGTGAATTTCGATGGCCGATGCCGGCGCTAACCTTATCGATAACGCTTGGGGCCAATCCTAACCTCTCCGAGCCTCGCTCGTAGCACCTAGTGCTGGACTGAAAAAGCGGCACCGATTTACGATGTGTTCTCGAGTAAAAGTCGATAACTTCAAGTGCCGCTTTTTTCGTCCAGCATGAGCCTCCATTCCGTCATCCCGTCCGATTCGTACGGACCGGACGGGTGGCCCAAGTCTTTTGAGAAAACGAGTTACATTGGCCCAAAAATTGTATTAGTTAATTGATGCTTTAAATTCTGATCCTCAAATGGCTCTTGCTAACTTCTTATGAGAAATCTAGGTACCTATTTAGGTAAGGTTGTCTGATATCACAACAACAACCCCACCAACCTCTGACGTATATAAAGCTCCAAGTTCATCGCCGACAGAGTGAATAATAGTGATAATTTCGTGGAATATCTATCTACAAAACTGGAAAATTTGACAATATGGCTCCTCAACTAGCATTTCTTGGCCTTGGCTCTATTGGTAGGGTAAGTTCCATGCTTGTTCCTCTTTAGCTAACCATACTGATAGCATAAAAGGCTATGTGCAAGAACCTCGTCGAGAAAGGCCAACTGGACAAGCCTTTGATCATCTATAACCGTACCGAAAAGCGTGCTTTAGATCTGAGCAAGTCTCTAACTTCCGGAAAATCTACTGTTGCCTCCACTGTCGAAGACGCTGTTTCAAAAGCGGACATCATCTTCACGTGCGTTGGAGATGATGCGGCAATCAACCATATCATTGATACAGCTCTCAAAGTTAATAGCAAAGGCAAGTTATTCATCGACTGCTCAACAGTTCATCCGGATACCGCAGAAGGGCTAGCAAAGAAGATCACAGCCGTTGGAGCCGAGTTTGTAGCATGTCCCGTCTTTGGAGCTCCGGCCATGGCAGATGTTGGTCAACTTGTCTGTGTTCTTGCTGGTCCAAAAGCGAGTGTCGAAAAGGTTAAGCCATATACGAAGGGCGTAGTTGCAAGAGCCAACATCGATTTTGGAGGTCAACCTGTGGGAAAGGCGCTTCTTCTCAAGGTCATCGGAAATACATTCATCTTCAATTTGGTCGAGACTCTGTCAGAGGGTCATGTCTTAGCGGAGAAATCTGGATTGGGCAGCGACAACCTCCATGAGTTTATTGAGGCGATGTTTCCTGGTCCCTATGCTGCCTACTCGACGAGGATGATTTCAGGAGACTACCACAAGCGGGAGGAGCCTCTCTTTGCGGTAGATCTTGCAAGGAAGGACGCGAGACACGCTATGAAATTAGCTGAGGATGCTGGAACGCGTTTGAAGGATTTGGAAGTGGCCGACGCTCACTTGGAGCAAGTGAAGAAGCATCAGGGGGAGGCTGGAGATATTGCTGCAATCTATGGGGCAGTGAGACAAGAGGCTGGGCTTAAGTTTGAAAATTAGATGAGTCGTAGATGAGAAAGCAGAGTTTGAGATTGATCAAATGTCAGAAAATCGAATACAGTAGAGTTTTTGATTTTAAGATACCTCCAAGAAAGTGTAGGTTCTCTAGTGACTTTAAGCCTTGCTTACTAAGCGCGTATTTTGAGCTTCGCCTGAAAGTCAAGCACGACAGCTCCTCCCCAAAGCGCAACCCAAGCTTTAGAAACACTCGACAACATGGCGAACGGGTAAGTATCACATTTATTTCTATATTATATCAAGTCAAATTCCGATAGGCCATCCGCTAATATACCACACTTCTTCTAGCTGGAGCATCATCATCGGCTTCGTGGTAATCGTCCTTGCCTGTGTAGCAGGATGGTTCTTGTCGCCCAAAGGCGAAACACAAACGTACGCTCGCCCTATCTACCTCTCTATTTCTGCTGGAGATTTTGCTAATAATTCTACAGAATCTGGCGAAGTTCATTGATCCTTTCCTTCGCAAGCTGCTATATCATGTGGGGTACGTCCTTCCCTAACCATGTTTCATTCCTCCCCGGAGACAAAAGACTGACACAATTTGTTAAACAGCCATTACGTTCCTCGCACAATGGCACCCACTTATCGTACCCCGACGAAGCGGCTTGAGAACGGGGGCAGCGCATGAGAATTGAGGACAAAGATATTTATATTACAGAGAGAAGTTGAAGAAGGATTGCATTGATGTATATTTGGCGTTGGGGTGTGGGTTATAGGATGGATCTTCCAAGAGCCTTGTGTATTGATATGGAACGGGAGCTACTAGCTGCTTGAATGGCAAATCTTTTGACGGACGGATATCGCTTTTTCACACGGGGTGCTGTGAGATTATAGATTCAGAATCTAGGGCGTCCCATATTAGCCTTCACTTGGGCTTCGACAAGCACAAACGCAGAGAATCATAATGATGGGTCTCGGGATTTCACAAACGTCACGTTGAACAAAAAAAGATCATATTTATTCACTATCCCAATCCTAGTCTCCCTCCCCATTCCCTCCCCAATTCAACCACAGCCCACAGCGCCTTGCCATCAGAAGCAACCCCGGAATCCCCTACAGTATCAACCCCATCTAGCCCCGCAACCCAAAGAATCCCTCGTCCTACCATCCATCTCGATATAGCCCCAACCGTAGCCAAGATCGCCGCAGTTCCATACCCGCAATCCAGTAGAATCTTCAGCGCTTCAACATTATTCGCAACCACCGCCCAGCCCAGTGATCGTGCCGCAGCTGGCACGTCATATTCCCATATCACCATGAGGATCGGGAATAGTTTTGTAGATGAAGAGACGAGCAGTGCGGTGCTGACGGAGTTCGGGCGTGGGTAGCGGGGGATGAGGTTCGAGAGGACAAGGGGGGATAGCGGGGAGGAGGTCAGGAAGCGGATGGAGAGGTGGAACGAGAGGGTGGATAGGGCGCAGAGGATGACTAGAAACCGTCAATTGGAAAATTAGAAATGGGACGATGAAACGTACGGAAAAAGACATATTGGAAGACTATGGGTTGTTGCGCCAGACGCAGGAAATTGCTGTTGTTTTCGTCTGCGGGGGGGTTGTTGGATGTCTGCTTTTCAATTCGCGCCCAGGTGAGATAGACATCAAAGAGGAGGAGCAGAATTCCGAGGCGTATTATTGAGGGCTGTAATGTATAAGTATATATTTTCCGGAAGAAAGAGGGGTTCTTACATCGAACTGATCATGCTCTCTCATCAACGTATTATGCAATAGATGCCGGTACACCTCCAAACATTAGCAAGAGACAACTTGGAAGATCTTCGCAAACTTACTTGCGGCTTGATCAATACCAGATCAATAAACAGTACCACAAAGTCGTGCTCTACGTATTTATCGCAGAAACGACCGCAGTTCTTGCATACCGTGAGGCGTACTCCATGACCAGAAGAGCGATCATCAGCCCCCGAGTATTCTGTGTAGAGGGTTTTGACGGGGTACCGGCATTCTATACAGATTGGCATTGCAGAGATCTATTAATATCATCTGAACATTGTGGGTTTGGCTATTTCAATATCAAAATGACTCTGACTACTTTCTTTGGAGTCTGGTCTGGAAGACGCGCCTGCCGAGGTAGGCCCGAGACGCGGTGAGATCTCTCACACGTTACTTGATTAAACAGTTCTTCAAATATCTCAACTTGATACTAAGACAAGGACCGTTCCAGTCCACTATGATTTTTAAGAAGATACCATCGCCGAGTTGTGGTTTTTTCTTGTTGATCATTTTCTCGGTTTCGGCCAGTAAACTTAATGCATATGGGTAAGTGAACCCTTTGGGCTATTGGCGAGTAGATATGATGCGAAGAAGAGGCTTGTTATTGTCAGTTTGCTATGGTGCTATTGCTTTTGTTCATCAGGTTATTTGGCGTCGAGTGACTCTTCTCCTTCTACCCCTTTTGGAAACACTGGAATAGGTATTTTGCCTCACCAGCCATACCAAGCACGAGCAGTTACAAAATAATGGTTCAAGCCAAAGACCAAGCCAAAGATCCAGTTTTTCCGTCTCTACAAGGGGAATAACCATAGGATACATGCTATAGGCTAGAGATTTGCTTCTATTCAATGATACAGTGCGGGGAAACTGTCCGACCCAAGTCCGTCGATGAACAGCCAATCAACATGGTGTTACTTACAACCTCGTGAAGAGACTCCGTCAAGTGATATTCTGGTTCCCATCCGCCCGCAAAGTGCAAATAGTGTTGCCGTGGCATTATATCTATTGATCGCGTTACCTAGTTGAAACTCTGCCTGTTGAAGAACCGGCATTCGTTACTTGCTCTTGCTTCAAAATGTCCTGTACCGGTCCACGGGATGTGGTAGCCAACATCAACTACTTCGCCGCTGACGGGACTACCAGGCAGCCCGGCATTTTCAAGAAGCCAATTCATGGGGAGCGAACGGGATCTGCTCGTTTGATGACGATCCATGATGTTCGGCCGATCGTAAATCAATTCAAAATCAACGCAAATGGATTCGAATTCGTCAAATTGCCGTCAAAAGAGAGATATATGGACGATGAAGCTATCAAACATGAATACTACCCAGAAGTGTCCGCCATTGTGCAGTCAATGTAGGGTGTCCATTTAAGTCGAAAGCCGGCTTCATGAAACTTACTTGTACATAAAGTACTGGTGCAACTACGGTCCACGTATTCAATCATTTCGTTCGACAAAAGGCATATGACCCTTCCGGCCATCCTCACGTCGACTACTGTGGTGTTCCAGAGCTTCTAGAAGGGACGAGAGAAGAGCTTCAGTTGCCACCGCACATTGCAAAACTATATGATACGAGCTCACGCTTCTGCTACGTGAATACCTGGCGACCCATTCAAACCATCAAGAAAGATCCATTGGCGTTAGCGGATGCGACAACAGTGCCGGACTCGGACTATCAGCTCAGAGCTCGAAAGTTTCCAAGTGGGGTTGAGTCGGGAAACTACATCATGTCCCATGGCAGTGAGAGTGAGCAGCACCAGTGGTATTATATGCATGAGATGAGCCCAGAAGATCTAGTTGTGTTCAAAGGTTATGATACAAAGCAAGATTTACTTGGCTGGAGATGTCCTCACACAGCAATCATGCTTGAAGGAACGGGCCGCCTATCACCCAGGAAAAGCATTGAGTGCCGCGCTGTTTGTTTCTGGGAGTAAGGTAAGAATATGTATTAATCTAATTTCAATCAAGGTAATTCTCGTATAGCCACAAAGGCAGAATTACTCTGTGTGATGAAACTTCTCCCTAACCATATCCCTATACATGGCACAAACTATGTACCACATGTCCTTCCGGCTCTCCCATAGCGGCATGAAGACGCAGATGATAAATGAGGCCCAAACCCATATGAAAACTATCACCACAAAACCAGTGAAGAATTTAACGGAGAATTCATAGCCTGTCCAGTACAGAGTGAAAGGGATAAGCTAAGAAAAGGTGAGTCTTTGTTTCCAGCAAGGAACGGGATTGGGGAACTTACTATCCTGAAAATAAGGGATCCAAAGGCCAACGAATACCACGCCAATCTTTTTTGGGACTTTAAGCTTTCCGGAGTCAATGCTCCTTCCGCAACATACTCCTCCCCTTGAATTGGCTCCAAATCCTGCGCAGCTGCATTTTCTTCCACCACATGAGCTGTTTTCTCAGGAGCGCCCTCCTCGTCGATTGGATGATCTGTCTTTTCCACCGAAACATTCGCAATAGCCTCTCCTCCCACAGTACCCTCAACCACAACCAATTTCTTCTTGCTTGGGACTGGAAACGAGAATACGACAATGCAGACAGCTCCCATACCCAACGACACACAATCTCCTGTCAAAGAACTCCAGACATTCGAAGTGGTAGTGATGTTGATCGTCCCCGAGCGCAGCTTCGTAGCAACCATCCAGGACGTCAACCCACTCACAAGTCCAATGGTTGGCGAAACAATGACAGCGAAGGTAGATGTCCGATCCCAGAGCAAGACGCAAACAATTGGAATTGTTCCGCCTCCCAAAAGACACCTAACGATCTTGATCAGCTAATTGAGACTTATTCCTACTGAGTGGAAGATGCACGAAATAGCGGCTAAGAAGGCGCCATATATCACAAGACCGGTAATAGAGACCCAGAATAAGGACATTGTGCTGGCCTTTGGGTTGATCTATGCCTTGTAGATGTCGAATGTAATGAGTGGCGATGCAGCAATGGTTTCAGCTGATGTTGAGGAAGTTATGGCCATGAATAGCAATACTACCATCAACCCTGCACCGACCTTGCCCATCAACTTCCGCCGCCGCAGGTCCTACAAGCCCGGCTTAGACTTGCGCCGCGGACAACTTGATAGGCAGGGCCGCAGTGCCGGTCAACCCTCCAAAATGTCTGAATTCCAAGATCTTGCAGGTAAGAGCTACACATACATTTTACTCACACCAGTGAGTTAAAGAAGGGTGCTAGTTGTGTTACATGATTGTAGACATCTATAAACGCTGTTATGGAAAGAACAAGCTCACGTTTGGTTCTGGACCTGTTTTCATAATCATCGATTGTGTCAAAGCATACCATAACCCCAAATCGCAGTAGGGAATCCCTGTTGTATTCTCGTCTGTAATATTCGAAACTCCCGCCTAGGGAGGCAAATGGTACATGGAGAAACTTCCAAATGTCTTGTGTTGATATGACGCCGGAAACCGATTCAGAGAATTCGCCGAAGGAGTTGTGCCAAGGAATGACGAAGTAGTGGTTATGAAGCAGTTCTCAAGTAGCTTTGGAACGAGCTCGGCCAGTGTATTGGCAAGTATGGGTTGTGACACCACAATTTTGTAGGGATACTCGACAAGTGGATGTGTGCGAGCAACAGGTAAATCTTACCAGAAGAAACTTCCCAGAATGACATGAATCTGACAATACAGCTCTTGATGCTATGCAACATGGATATAGTCCATTTGTGGTTAGGGAAGCATGCGGGGATAGATACCAAGCAGTAAACGACAACAATTTGTTTGATATGGATCAAAAATTCGCAGAAGTCATCCTCGAGGAGGAAATGTTGGCTATGTACCCTTCTCTATGATATTGGCTTTGGGAGCTAGTATGGACACTGCCCCGAAATCTTAGACCCCCTTGCTCTTTTACAAGTCATGTCTAGACAAGGGGAAATTGATAAGGCAGACGAGAACTCAGATCAAAGATGTCCTACTTTGTGCCGCTATAAAATAACATAAAAAGGCCACTCCTCAACCCAGTTACTCGCGGTGTATATAAGTAAGGAACAGAAAGGCCTTTGTAAGGTTTGCGGCGTCAACTCCAGCTGGATATTACTGGAAACTTCAGCCAACGTGCAATTTGCAATTTAATGGAAATATAACATAAAAGGATTCTTTGGCCAACACATTGAGAAATTTGACAGGAAGGGGCGGAGCAGACTCCCAGATGTTGCCCCTCCGATCAAAGTGCAGTTCTAGGACAAGTTGCATACTCACAGTGCAGTGCTCTCACAGTTGTTCACCTGAGACGGGGCATTCATTGAAGCCATTCCACCATCTTGAGTATGATTCGTAGATATGTCTAAGTCGGATATGTCTGTGTTTCCCTTCATGACATGTAGTTGGCGGCTTGGATCGCATACAAGTAATTCTGGTGATTTACATGAAGTGATTACTTAAAGGGAGATGCCGAAACGAACGGCCACCGTAGCTCATCCTGAAGCAATCCACTCTCCACTCCACTGACTGCCACTCTACTTTAATACCGTACAAGTACGTACCACCGCGCATTTTAATCTAAGATATATGCAATATTCATGTCATAGAGCTCATCGACCGAGAGAAAGTTTGAAAGCCTCATATCCTTAAAGTTGCCCAGCAATGCCCTCCTTCCCACGATAAGACCATCCCTCGCCGGCAAGTCGCTCTCATGCCAGCCTTGAACCAACAACCGGCTGTCGGCGCGCAACCACTGCTACAACATCATCCATCATGATACCCTCTTCCTCTCGGTCGAATACCCTGAATCCGCGATCTAATTCCGTCTCCCGCACAGGGGATGCCGCTGCGAACTCGAGTATCAGGCCCAGAAACAGGCGGCTTGGTACCTTAGAAGACCAAGAACTCAGCACCACCAGTGCAACGTCCACTCCTTCAGGTAGCCGGGATGTTAGTCCCATACCTGCAAAACATCCAAGTAGGAGTAATACTGCGCCCTTGCGAAATGGGAGGACAGTTGGGGGCAGGTTAGCTCCAGATATAGTGGGGAGAAATGGGAGGCAAAGTAGGAGCACGAGTCCTGCGCCCGGCATTTGGAATACAGGTTGGATGAGCAGTACATTTCAGCAAGTAGCGAGTTCTGTCTTAGGGAGTGTGGCAGGAGACGAGGACCCAAATGCTCGGAATGAGACAATCTGGGGGACTACGAAGCGGACTGCCCCTGTGAAGGAATGGGGCCCATCACAAGCGGCTGCGAAGGCGAACAAAGATGGAGGCATTGGAACTGGGAGCACGAGCGAAAGGGAAGCAGCGGTCAGGGCGAAGAAGATGAAGAGGGTTCTGGAGGGGAAAGACGAGGACCATACAGTAGTTGATGCAAGTGGAAATTATAAACGAAGGATATCAAGCGACGAAGAGAGGCCTGGAAGTGCGCAAGGCGATGGACATGCATTGGTATACATACATTATTTACAACCCCAGGATACGTTTGCCGGGATAGTCTTAAGGTATCATTGCCCAAGAGACGTGGTTCGCAAATCTAATGGGTTATGGAACGACTCTTTATCTTCTCGGAAGACATTGCTCTTGCCGGTTGATGCTTGCGCTGTCAAGGGGCGGCCTTGCGAGGCCCCTTCAGCTGATTTCCAAGGAGTAGACCTACTTGCTCCTACGCCTGGAATTGAGGAAACTCCCCCTTTCTCAAACGGGAGTACATGGCCAGGAACACAAACCGGAACATCTGCAGAACGTCCGGAAGATGGCGATCGGCCTTGGTCTCATGTACGATGGGTTTTGATAGAATCTTCGCCCTCCTCGAAACCAATCGAGATAGTCAGAATGCCTCGAAAATCGCTGGGTTACTTCCCTCCGCGTCGGAGAAACAGCCAGGCAACACTTTCTTCCGCGTCGACCCCACGCGCCTCCCTAGATATGGCCGGACTGTCACAAACTATTTCCCAAACTTCAACGGACCCTATCGGTAGCGCCTCGAGCACTCCATCCCGACGAATGAGTAATCTTGGCCACCGACCGTCCAACACTATAGGTTCTATAGACTTGATAGGAAGCTACTTTCCACCCTCGGCGCCCAGCAGTCGCCCACGCCGCGAACGCCGCGGAAGTGTAAGCGAAGCAGCAAATCGACTAGGTTGGATGAAGGGACCTGGAGGCGTTGGAACTCTAGGGAAGAGCGTTCGAATGCCAGGACCAGCACAGGATAGTTTCAACAACTGGACACGAAAGAATCTCCCAGGGATTGCTATAGACACACTACCCTCAAGCTCCATCTTAGGCGCGGAAGTAGCCCATTTTGGCTTCGACGAAGAACTTTCAGCTATCGCAGAAGGTACGGGCAATGATGGTAATGGTGTTCCTGGAACGGTCACATCGTCTGGAACGGGATTAGAGAATGCTGCTGCAGCAGTCGAAGGCTTCTTCAGAAAACTGGCAATTAATGGGGTATCCAGAACTCCCAGTGCGAATGGGAGGACGGAACCCGCGGACCTTATAGAGCTTTTAGATGGCACCGGAAGCGATGAAGGGGCAAGGAGCTTCGAATTGAGCCGTTCGAGAAGTCCAATGCCTGGTGGATCGCTGAGAGACGATTTAGAAGGAGTCCTCAGGGGGAGGACCACTGCTCGAGCTAAGGGCGGCAAGGGTGATTGATTAATTCAGCATTTGGGTGTTGTAAGACATGTATGGAGCATTAGGGACGGCGTTGGGGATTTTCCCTTCTGAGCTGGCTTGCTGGAGTCACTACAGCGAGTCAGGTTTGTTGGATATCAGGTGGCGTACCGGTACTTGTCTCGGAACCGTGCAGCATGACACGATATGTGATTTGATAGCGAGCGTTCAAATAAGATTTCTTACGATTTTTGCAAGTCTTAATCTGCCCGGTCTAGTGCTCACTTGTTACCTGTATATGTGAAGTGATGTGCTCAAGCTAGCACGTGCTACTTTGCTTTTATTACTATTGCGATGAACTGAGTGGATTTTCTCGAATAAACACCGCAAAATGACGAGCGAACTTGCTCTGATCTCATATTTCAAAACGGATACACGTTCCTTAATTGCACTTGTCGGTCTTATAGTTGAACATAATCCTGCTAACTATTCGTGCTACATTTCATAAGTTTTCTTGAAAGAAGTGCGACATGGTCGACGGTTCACATGATGCGATCTTTATCAACTGCGAGAAGCAAAGTCTCGAGTTGACCCTCGCTGAAGCTGGAGAATTTGGCACATTCCAATATTCCGAAGTTCGCATAGACTTGGATTATGAGGATGACTTTGTTATTGGCAGTGCATTGTCGTCAACTATGGTATGTTCCGTCGAGAGTCTTTTGTTTGGAATTCTAATTTAAAAATGCAGGACTCAACCAAGCCACAAAGTCAATGCAACAACATTCTTCTATCTTTGCAAGGATTTCTTAGTGAAAATTTTAAGCCATTCACAACAAAGACACAGACGAGGAATTCGGGCCCTTCGATTTCCTACGAGCCGTCGTATTGAGTGGCGATGCTTCAAGCTCTGCTACGAATGAGATGCGTGCTCTCATTGAACAGGTCTTACCATCAGAACTCCATGACAAGATCAAAGATTCTGTTGATCCCGGGTATATCGGTGCCATAGGTGCTGCATACCAAGCTAGGATCTTCATTCGCAATCCCAGTATACTGGTGGACGAAGATGACAGTTTGGGTTGGGAATCGATTGTGCATGAAGAGTTGTAGTTGATGTACGGGAGGATGATTGTGTAGGCTAACTGGAAATTGAATTTATGCCGTCACAAAAGCCTGCACATAGCAACATAAGTACAGATTACACTATTCTCCAACCTCTCAGGTCACTTCTCATAATTAACCGCTGCTTCACATTACATCCCTGGTAAACGATTTCCCCAAGAGTTTATAACAGATTGGAAGTCGTACTGTATAGCTATCTTTCTGAATAATCCAGGCTCATGTCAAAGTCTTCAAACAATAATAATTCCCCCTTTCCCGCCTACTCGCTTGCCCAACTTCCTATGCTTTGAGAGTAGCGGTGTTTATTGCACATAATAAATACATACTAGTACTCGATATAACAATATACTGTGTATTAAATTTAAGAACAAGCCTTTCTAAGCAACAGCACAGAAGTTTATATACAAGTTTCATATCAAAACATGCCCAAGCATCGGCGTGCAAGGGATTACCGCCTCCCTAGTAAACCAAGACCCAAGACTCGACCTCATCAAACAGCTCAACCTAATCTCCCCCTTCTGAAAATCCGCCGCCTGGCTCGCCAACTGCACCCTCGACTCTTCCGGGATCTGTTCCTGGGTTCCCCCGGGCTCCAAGCCCTCTTCCTCGACGCGTATCACAAACTCCGCGACAGCGGCCGCATTGGCACTCTTCCACGTGCCTTCCTGGTGATGCATGGATCGCAGCAGCTCCACGGCGCGCCAGCGCGTCGCAGAGTCGCGGCACTTAGTGGCGATCCAGAAGAGCGGGAAGATGAGCCCGATGTCGAAGCAGAAGAAGTTGGTGCCGAAGGAGACTTGGCCTTCTAGGAGGAGGCCTTCGCCGAGAGTGAGGACTTGCTTGTATTTGTGGAGATGGTTGTCGTGAAGGGTTTCTTGACGGTGTATTTGAGTTGCTAGAATTATACTCATGATTATCTGATACATTTTGAAGAGGGCAATGGGTCGCTGCGACTGTCCCTTCAGTTTAGTATTTTGAGCCGTTGCAAATTGCTCGGAGTTCCCTTGCTCTAGAGCTGCAATTGCGGACTTGATGTTTTCTGGTGGGACGGGACATGTGTCCGAGACTGCTGCCTCACGAAACAACCATCTACAAAGGTTGAGGACGATGTCCATAGAATCTTCAATAGAACGACAATTTGAGGGCGATATGGCAAATAGCTCTTTTGGCTCTGTGTATACATTATCTGGATAAGGACTTTTGGAGTCGCCGAATGTTAAGGCTTGAAGATCCAGCCGTTTAAAGAGTTGAATGATGTCTTTCGGTATCCTCGAATGGCGTTGTTTAGTCCGTTCCTTTACGATAATCCGTAGTCCATTCTGGAGATGCATCTGAGCTGTCTGGGAATTGCCCGTAAAGTTTTCATAGCACACGAAAAGTGCACATGCTACTAAGCCCCGGATGAGCTTGTCCTCAGAACCATCGGAACTTTCTACCAGTAACTTCTGCGTACATTTTAAAGCATGGCTATATTGTTCTAGTGCGTAACTTTGGAGATCGGGAGCGGTAAAACCGGGGCTTGTACGAGCTGATACGCTGGTCATGCGATGTAATGCGCTCAAAGAACATAGTGCATATCGAACAGCAGACTCGGAAAGACTAAGCTGTAGAACACGACGTGCCCAGAACTCGCCTCCCATGTAGAGACTAGAGCCATTGGAGACACAAGAGACGAAGAAACCAAAGAACTCTCGTTGGCGAGAGTTATCGAAACTTGGAAGGACAGGCAGGGCTGTAGGCGGGCTCGGGGATTGGGTGCTTCTTCGTGGTAATGGACATTTTAGGGTTCTCATATACCCATCACACTTTATCCCAGCCTTCTGACAGCGAACACAAATTGGTTTGGTTTCATCGCACTTCAAGTGCCGGATTCTAGCTTTGTAGATGAGATTTAGCCCTCAGCTTGTGCTTAGATAGGTCAAGCGAATATTAAAAGGGGGAGTAACCTGCAAGTCAAACAGCCTTTCTTGGATCTTATAAGTCCCCCGGGTCCTAGTTGCATGATGTTGTGGAATGGAACAGATTGGAGGGTATTTGAAAACGAATTGTAAATTTAGCTCTGGCAATTGGCAATGGAAGTTGAAGTGAACTACGACGGGATCATGCTATGGATGACTAATACGCGACCCAGCCAATTAACTCAAAGCAATGCTAATCTACACGAACCCCTTCGGGACAGGAGGACGCAGTTACCAACTATTCGCGCCACTTCGAATTTCTTGGAAGACGAAAATAGTAGTAAAAAGACATTCAATCAAGGCTACTAGCTGTCTACAAATCTATGCCAGACTCCCTAAAATTCCGCTTCTTCATGAAACTTCTATTACCAAATCCCCCCCTATCAAGCATCAATGTCCCCCCTTAACTGCTTCAACCTCCTTCCCTCCTTCGAATTCTCAAACTTATTCCTATTCCAAACACCCAAAAGTCAGCCAATGAATCCACTCTACTCCATTCTCATTATCCCACACCTCGACCACATTTCCTTCCAATTTCCTCTTCCCAAGTTGCTTCTTCAAAACTCACCTCTCATTCATCCACCCCAACACCCAATACGCAACCAAAAACGGCGGCAAAACATAAAACACCTGCCCCCAACACCTCCTTGCAGTATTAAAAACAGCATTGCGCGCTGCTCCCGCAAGGGGCCGTTGCGAATTAGAGCTGAGTGAGTAGGTTATCACGCCTTTGGATTTCGGTATGCCTTTGTTGGGGAGAGATTAGAATGAGTGAGTGATTATGCAAACTGTATTAACTAAAATTGAAATCTGAATATGTTTAAAGAATAAGAAATATGTGAAGAGAAATATGGAGACGTACGATTGTGACCCCAGCAGAGAACGGGGTTTCTGTGTACATATCGTTTGTTAGGATAGGATATGGGGGGGAGGGGGTATGAGTTAGAGAAGGGGAAGGCTAAGCGAAGGGACGTACTCGCCGCGGCGAACGTTGGGTTCGGGGTCGTAGTTCATTTTTGGAGAAACGTTGAGGTTTGGATGAGTTTTAGATAGACTTGAAAAGAATGGAAGATGGAGATTGAAGGTTATCTTATAACATTTTGTGTACTGTACCGCTACTGTCGGGAAAGGAAACTTATCATACTCCATACGGAGTACGGAGCACGGAGGTATATCATAGGACAGGGACAGGATCAGGGGAAGTTATTGTGGGGCGGGGGAGGGGTGCTCGGCACTTAGTCAGCCAGATTCGAGGGGGTAACGGGGGCAGTTCTAAGAAATGGGGTAGCAAACCGTAGGTAGACATACGGCCAGTCAAATACGGATAGGGAACTTGATAACAAAGGCATTAGGCCGGGCATTCCTGATGCACGCATAACAAGACTCTTGAATGCCACAACCCTAATGGCTCGTTAACTTGTTAAGAGAAATGCTAGATCCCCATGTGTCTGACTAAATTTGAGCACATAGGAACAAACCAAGGACCTTACAACACATGCTTAGAACTCAGCTGTACCATCTCTGCCCTCGCCCTTACTTCTCATTTCCCTCCGCCTATAAACCCATAGGAACACCCCCAAAACCACAACGGCAGTAACTAGAATCCCACCCCAAGCACAACGCCGACCACAAGCTTCTTGCTAATCCATAAACCTCCAGTCTCTTTGCCCGCACCAAAAATCCACGGATGAAGTTGAAACATTAGATGGGAAACCAGACGAAAGTGTTTGGGATGAGTTGAAGTGGAAATTTCATCTAAAAACGTGATGGTAAGAAAGACGAGAAATGCAACTGAAATTTCGAAATGAAACTTTGAGACAATTTCTCAGTCCTTACGTTCAGAAACAATAGTTTTTGACATGCGATATGCTGACATGGAGTATAAGATATGGCGATAATGACAACATAAATCTATTTTCTTCATCACACCTAAAAAGCTCGTGGCCTACCTTTTTCGGAAGCAAAAATCCACACCCGTTGACGCCTGCGCCTATGCATTGTAAAATCTCGTGCCTTCAAACATCATGACGGCGCTGCAGCAGCATCTGACTCCTCTATTGGCACTTCAGCTATTGCTTGAGCGGCGCCGGTGGCATGGAATCCATCCATAGTCACTGTCACTGCACCCGCTTGAACAAGCTGCTTCGAATTAGTAACAATTCTACCACTGGGACATTTATGACTTACTGCACGACTCAAATCATCAATAAGATCATCGACATCCTCAATCCCAACACAGAGTCTGATGATATCTTCAGGCATCTGCCTCTCCTTTCTCGTCTTGGCATCAATACTGGCATGACTCATCTGGCATGGCATACTGATCAGACTGTTGACACAGCCGAAACTGACACTGATACCCCAGAGTCGGGCTGCTTCAACAATCCGCTCAGATAGCGCCGCATCCCCGGTTTCAAACGACAAGACAGCTCCAGCCCCTCGGGCCATCGACCAGTGGAGGTCATATTGCGGGTGTGACTTCAATCCCGGATATCGTACTCGGAAGCCGTGCAATTCGAGGAACTCGGCAATAGCCTGTGCATTCGCTTGCTGCTTCTCCATACGAATGGCAAGAGTTTTAATGCCTCTCATGAGCAAGAAAGCGTCGTTGGGGGCAATTCCACAGCCAGTGGAGTTGATTGTAAAATACATCTTGTCTCCAATAGCGGGGTCATTGATCGCAATAACACCGGCCATAATATCGTGATGTCCCGATAAGTATTTCGTTCCAGACTCATACACAATATCTGCGCCAAGGTCTAGAGGATTCGAGAGCATTGGTGAGAGCATAGTGTTATCAACCACCACTAAAGCCTTCGGGTTTGTGTCATGCACGATCTTCGCAATCGATGGAATATCGACTATTTTAATCAAGGGATTCGTTGGGGTCTCTAATAGCACCATAGCCGTCTTTGCCGACACAATCCCTCTCACCTTCTCGGGGTTCGTAGTATCGACATGGTGAACAATGATGCCGTGGTTAGCCTTCATGAAGGTCAACAATCGGTTGGTTCCTCCGTATAGATCGTCTCCCGTAATGACTTCGTCTCCTGGTCGTAAGATCCGTGTAATGACATCCAACGCCCCCATTCCCGATCCAACAACCAATGTTCTCGCCGCATTCATGACCTTGGCTAGATGTCGTTCCAAATGTGTCCGAGTAGGGTTTCCCGACCGTGTGTAATCGTATTCAGAGCCGCCGCCAGCTGATGTCTGTTTGAAGGTTGCAGATTGGTAGATGGGCATACTAGAAGCTCCATATTGGTCCTTACTCTCGGTATAGACGAGTTCTGTGGCCAATGCATATTTCCGGCCGTTTCGGGGGCTTGATGGAGCTGGAGAGGGAGGCAGATTGTGACCATCGAGATCGATCTTGGGGAAAGCCTTGTTTGGGATGCCAGTAGACTTGTCTCCAAATCCCTTCTCCGGGGGTGGTGGTGCAGACATGGTTGTATTCGGGGTTGGTGGCGGAAGTGAGTAAGAGGGAGAAGAGAAGAGAGGGGAGGGTTTCGGAGAATTCGATTTGGCAATTGAGCGGGCTACTGTATCAGATTGGATGGAGGATGAGCTCAATCTCCAGCTCGTAGGTATGGTATGTTCTTGTACAGTTGGCAGATATGGTTTGGAATCAATTGTATAGGACTGTAAATAAAATATTTGTGACTCTTTTTGATGAAGACCGAGCCTGGCAAGCACTTGATTGTACCATCGTATCGTAAGCAAGCCCACCACACCCACCTCAATCTGCAATTGTGTGGGGTAAAACAAATTTAGTCACGCAGGAACGAATGACGTGCTCACTCACCGCCCTTGGAGCCTGCACGTGACCTACCTCCTCGCCCCCGCCTTTTAACGGTTTCAATGGTCTACCTAGCTGTGCTGTGCTGTGCTGTCTCTGCAACTACTCCGTGCGGCGGTAACTAGGTATCAAAAAGGATGATTAAGAGGCACCAGCAGACAAAACTTATCGAGCCTCTCTCTGCCTTTGGCTTAGGATTAAATTCGGCCGCTGCTAATAGATGAGGTCCAGCAAAAGACAAAGTCAACTATGAATATATTAGAAATAATTGCTTGCATTTACTTGTTGTCCATCCTTCGTCGAGTTAAGCATTACTTAAACCTCAGCCAGGCTTCGACCATCGCTTCTGGCGAGTCTACCCTTTATATAAAGACCTCCCAACGCCACGCATATTCTACACAAGTTTCCTCGAATCCCTTGTTCCCTGCCGAAACTCAATCTACGATCGGTACATCGTTTTCATCATCGACGTCCTCATACTCATCGCTCGATGCTTCGACTTCTTCGACTGTGTCGATTCGCTTTGGAGCCCGCTTAGCAGATTGGCGTGCGTGATTTTTTTGGATGCTCTGTGTGCCACCCTTTCTCCCAAAAAAGTCTTCAGTCATAATGCCGCGGACGGCTTCAGGTCTGACACCAGACATTGACACCCCGCGATTCCTTTGCTCTTTGATGAATTCTCGTACTGGGACCATTGCTGCGTCCCTGCAAGCTTCCTTGATATCACTTCCTGACATGCCTGCCATGACTCGGGTTAGATACTCGATATCGAAGTTATCCGAGTCGGTTTTAGTGTCATTCAACAGAAGTTCCAGGATCCGTTTCCTCTGGGACCTTGTTGGGAGAGAGACTGGGAATTTCTTAGGCATTCTTCGGAGGATGGCTTCATCGATATCCTGAATACGGTTGGTTGCACCAAGAATCATGATTTGGGCTGGAAGACCATTTTGGTTAGAAGATGTGAGACCATCCCAGAGTGTCATGAATCTACACGGAATTAGTAACTCTCTTGCCATGGGGCACAAGTCTACTTACTCTGCTTTCACCATGCCACTCGCTTCGTGCTCTCCACTTCGCCTTTGTCCAAGAACAGCGTCTATCTCGTCAATGAAGACAATACTTGGTTGTAACTTGCGAGCCAAGGAGAAGACGGCCCGAACAAGCTTGTTTGAGTCGCCGTACCACTTCTCCGTAAGTGTTGATATATGTAAATTGATGAAGCAAGCTCCACTTTCATGGGCCAGAGCTTTTGCGAGCATAGTCTTGCCACAACCTGGAGGACCGTAGAGGAGTACACCCGAAGGCGCTGCTAAGAGAGAAGAAGAATGCGAATATAAGTGTGGCATCGTCAAGGGGTAAATGACTGATTCTTTGAGTTCTTCAATAATATCGTCAAGACCGCCGATGTCTATGGGTGATTAGCATACATATTCAACATGCTTGATCAAGACATACGCACCATCGAAACCCACGGGTATATCCTCCGGAGCTACGACCTCCATAGCGATTTGGCTCTCATATTGATCCAAAACCAAATCTTCTGACCGAGGCCGCCTAGATTTATCCTTTGAACCCCGCGAATCGTCCTCTGAGTCTTGATCATCTCGCGACTTGTTTAGCCTTCGGAGGTTGGCGACGGCCTTGACGCGGGCTTGCTCATGCTGTTCTTTGTCCGGATCCCCTCCTAATGGTAGATGTGATACTACGCTCTTAGCGATATAGTACATAGAGACACTCTAAAGGGAGCAGTAAATATTAGCAGGCATTTCGATGGATGGACAGCGAGGCAAATGGTCAAAGATAGCTTACAGAAACCACCATTAGCAGGAGATCCTGCAGCAGACCATATCTTCTTGTGCCTCCATCCCCCATTGTGAGATATGTTTGAGGAGTGAGATTGGGTCACTATGGGTAGATTATCTAGAAGTAGCAAGAGTGAGTTGGCATTTGAGAGCGGAGCGGTTGGCGGCTTCTCGGTTTACGCCACACCTTTATGCATGATGTGGCTGAAATGGAAGCGACACTACTTTGCCGAAAGAGGAAGTACCAAAACAAACAACACCCGCGCTTTCTCGAGATTGTTGCTATCCTAGCTTCAACTCCACCTCAACATCCCAGCACCGACTCTGCGCGCGATAGTAGTAACGAGATCTCGCAGACGATAATCCGCCTCCCACCGAACTTGCTTTCTGATCACTTGAACGCGACTTGTCGCGCGACGCCATCGTTCCCGCGAAAGCGCATATTGATGATCGAAATGTCGAAGGCCAAATCTAAGCACGCGACACTGTCGGGGTTGATCGATTCCGATTCTGAAGACGACTTCATCGCACGAGACGTGATGCCCACTCCAGATTTTGCGGCAGAGAACAAAACGGCCGCAAAGAAGGCACGGGGAAGACCAAAAGCCGCGCCGGCGAAGGTCACCAAACAAAAGGCTCCAGCGCGTCGCATCAGCGGACGTCTAACTGCAAAGGCACCTGCAAGGGCCCCGAAGAGGGACAAGAGACAAGTATTAGCAGACAGAACGAACCAACAAAATGCTGAGGACACAGAAGAAGTGGACGAATTCGCGCAAGAGGACGAGGTCATGCAGAATGCTGAAGTCGACAATACGCCTGTTGCGACGAAGCAGAAGCCGAAGGCAACACAGAAGAAAGCGGCTAAGGGTCGACCCAAGACTGTGAAGGAAGTCTCTAGTACGAATTACAGTATAGAGGCATCAGAAGCGCCCAAACCGGAACCAAAGAAGGCAGGAAGGAAGAGGGGACCCGCAAAGCAGGAGATCGAGCCGGAACCGTCACCTGAAAAAGTCATTCCTGAAACGCAAGCATCCGTAATGGATATTGATGATGAAGCCGAAGAAGAGATTGAGCAGACGATTACAAAATCCGCTCCCAATGTGCGATCAGACTCTCGAGTTCGACATCCTTCTGTTCAACGAAGACGGGCTGGGAGTGCATCAGACACGGAAAGGGACAGAGGTGATCCAATTTTAAGACGGAAGCTTGGTGAGATGACCAAGAAATACGAAAGTTTGCACATTAAGTATCAAGACCTGAAGGAGATCGGGTTGAAGGAATCTGAACGTAATTTTGAACGGCTGAGGAAGCAGACCGATGAAAAGACAAAGAGTAAGCTGAGACTTTACATCTCTAATATCTCTGCTAACATATTGCAGTCTCGAATAATCTGATTGCTTCCCTTAAAGCCGATCTAGAAGAGCAGAGTGTCTTCGGAAAGGACTCCAAGGGGCTGAAGAAGAAGGTTGATATTCAGTCAGATGAGATAGCTTCTCTTAAGACTCAGATCGCCCAATTGAACACCTCTGTAGCGGAAATAAAACTGGAGGGCAAGACTTTATTGGCAGAGAAGAAAACACTCACGACCGAAAACAAGAATTTGTCATCGGAGAATAAAAAGCTTTTGACAGAAAATTCTAAGTTGTCTACAGATGTCAAGTCAATGGCCGCTGAAAACAAGACGTTGTCCGCCAAATTAGCAGCCAATCGTACTGCAGCTGCGTCTGTTGAGAGTGCAAACTCGAGGGTTCCTGGAAGTGCCGTGAAGCCCAATGGAGGTATTCGATTGATGGGCACTGTGGAGGCCGCTCAAGTAGCACAGGCAGCTCAATTGAAAGAAGATCTGTATAGTGATCTTACAGGATTGATCATCCGAGGGGTCAAGCGAGAGACCGAGGAGGATATATTTGATTGTATTCAAACTGGACGTAATGGTAGTAAGTCTCCCAAATTCCTGTTCTCCAAATTCCATGCTGATTCAGGTCCAGCTCTTCATTTTAAACTGGCAGCGGCCAATGAGAAGACAGCAGATAGCTACGAAGATGCGCAATGCAACTATATCCCACAGCTCGACCCAAGCAGAGATAAGGACCTAATGGATCTTCTTCCTGATTATTTGGTAGACGAGATTACATTCCCGAGGCCACAGGCTGCGAAGTTCTATGCACGGGTTGGAAAGGCTTTGACAGAAAAGGCTTCTTGAATATCACACTTTTGAAGGACTTGTTAATACGATCGACAAAGGAGGAGGATTGGAGTATGGGGGATTGCATTTTTGATATCCGGGGCTGGGGAGTGTTGGAGTGTTGGAGTGCTTGTGGATTTACGAATACCTTTGGCTTATTGCGATGCAAAGCATTTTCAGTGTATTCTTTGTTTCTGTAGGCTCAAGACGATCCAGATTATTGACTACACGACTGTTTTCTCCATATTTGTTGTTACCCCTGAACCCCTAATTGAAACTTAAAATTAGAACGGCTGCAACCCCTGCCCCGACCGCGCATTGCAGCAACCCTGAAGGCCAGCAGGGGGCAAAATCTGGAGAATAACCATCCTCGAAGACGTGAACGTGTTCTACGACAGACAAAACCACCCATGCATCAGTCCTTTCAACGGACGCGTCATTCTTTTACATCCACAGATGAGATAGAGATACTTCCACTGAAACGTCGCTTCCGATAAATCCTGCGAAGCGTTGACGCGGACATTTTCCATTTCTGAATACCTACAACAAAAATCTACAGCCATGGCGCGAGTCAATCGCTGGGGCTTTTTAGCTATCGCGATGGCATTTCACGTCGTCTACATATTCTCGATCTTCGATATCTATTTCGTCAGTCCAATCGTATCCGGCATGCGCGAATTCGAGGCAGTACGGCCACAGGGTGTAGAAGCTCCCGCAAAGCGCCTCATTCTTTTCGTTGGTATATCCCCTGCCTGCCCTTGCTTTGCAATATTTTGCTAATAGAAACAGGCGATGGATTAAGAGCCGATAAAGCCTTCCAGTCCTTCCCAGAACCATACCCCGAAACCGAGGCGGATCTCGTCCCCCGACCCCTCGCGCCTTTCCTGCGCTCGCGCGTCCTCGAGCACGGCACCTTTGGCGTATCGCATACTCGAGTACCCACGGAATCGAGACCCGGACATGTGGCGCTGATTGCGGGCTTGTACGAGGATGTTTCTGCTGTCACTACGGGGTGGAAACTCAACCCTGTTAATTTTGACAGTGTATTCAATCGCAGTCGGCATACGTGGAGTTGGGGAAGCCCAGATATTCTGCCGATGTTTCAATTGGGCGCGGTGCCAGGAAGGGTGGACGCTGATATGTATGCTGCGGAGGACGAGGATTTCTCTCAGGATGCTGTGCATTTGGATCTTTGGGTGTTCGATAAAGTGAAGGCAATGTTTGCGGAGGCTGCAAAAAATTCGACACTGGACGCTGCCTTGAGACAGGATAAAAACGTGTTCTTCTTACATTTACTGGGATTAGATACTACGGGCCATTCTTATAGGCCTTACTCAAAAGAGTATTTGTATAATATTAAGGTGGTGGACGAGGGGATCAAGGAGATTACGAAGATCATGGAGGATTTTTATAATGATGGGAAGACGGCTTTCGTCTTCACGGCGGATCATGGGATGAGTGATTACGGGAGTCATGGAGATGGACATCCGGATAATACGAGGACACCTTTGATTGCCTGGGGGTCAGGGGTAGCGAAGCCGGTAACGACTCCTGGAGAACTTGCGCCTGGCCATGATGAGCTATCTTCGGATTGGGGTCTGGATCACGTTCAGAGACACGATGTTTCTCAGGCTGATATTGCGGCCTTGATGGCGTATCTTGCTGGCCTGGCTTATCCCGTAAACTCTGTTGGTGAACTACCTCTATCGTTTTTATCTGGAGATACTGCTGCCAAGGCAGAGGCATTCTTAGCCAACGCTAGAGGTATCCTGGATATGTACAGAGTGAAGGAGGAAGGCAAAATGGCCACCGAACTTCGTTACCGACCTTTTAAGGCTCTTGGTGACCAAGAGCATTCGGTTGAACATCGATTTTCGGAGATCAGAGCTTTAATCGACCAAGGAAAGTACGAAGAAGCAATCCAAGAGACATCTGCTCTTGTCCAACTTGGATTGGCTGGTCTTCGATACCTTCAAACATACGACTGGCTGTTCCTACGCGCCCTGATTACCATTGGGTATCTAGGTTGGATCGCGTTTGCGCTCACCACTGTCGTCGATTTGCACGTCCTTCACGGCAAGACCGAAACCTCACGAACACTAGCTGGCACCGTATTCTTCTCTTCTGTTCTTGTTATACTGTACGCTTCTTTCATTGTATCAAAATCGCCAGTCACATATTATGCATACGCCATTTTTCCGGTTGGGTTCTGGTCGGAGGTCTACGCACGACGGAAAGCGCTGGCTGAGGGAAGAAAAGCGCTATTTGGGCATGTTACGAGTATCGGTGGGACTATCGCTTTAATATTGAAGGGTATTTTTTGTTTGGGTCTCGTTGAATCCCTGGTAAGTGCTCTAATGGCTATATATGGCGAAGAAGCTAACGCAGAATAGGCATTGGGTTATACGCATCGGGAGGTGTTTTCGGTCTTGTTTGCCGCTGCTGCATTCTGGCCTGCATTTTATGGAGCTGGGTTCTTGAGAGCAAACAAGGCTCTTATTGCTACATGGAACTTCTCTTGTATGGCAATGAGCTCTTTCACATTACTGCCTGCGATGAAGGTAGAGGATATGAACCTTATGTGAGTAGTCTCCTCTCGGTCATCTGCAATCACTAATATGGACGGCACAGAATGTCTGGTGGTGCTTTAATGGTTGTCATTGGTATCACATATCTTGTATTTGAGAAGAAACTTCTCACCACGTCGAAACTCGCAAGCGATTCTACGGCACCCGCTTACAACAATCTGTCGCGATCGCTTGTTGGTATACAGGTTTGACACCCCGCCATTATAATCGAGATATTGCTAACAAAACACAGACTGGGTTCATCATCTTAGCCATGGTCGTAACCAGGTCCAGCGTTCTATCACTACAAGCTAAAGCTGGTCTCCCTAGGGGAAACCAGATGGTGGGATGGGCTGTTCTTGTCTTTTCGTTGTTAATGCCATTCTTTCATCGCCTGGCGCCTAATAAGCATTATCTCCATCGACTAATGGTCATATTCCTGACCTTTTCGCCTTTCTTCGTCATTCTCACTATCTCATATGAAGGACTCTTCTATCTTGGTTTCTGCGCCACTTTGATTACTTGGGTCCAATTGGAACACAGCATCTACGTATATTCAAAATCGAACACAGCAACAACTACTCCTACGAATGGAGAAGCGCTTATGCCTGCATCATTGACATCCTCCCCTTTCCGATCACTCACATTATCAGACGTTCGAGTATCTCTGATATTCCTCACACTGCTTCAATCAGCATTCTTCAGCACCGGAAACGTTGCCTCAGTATCATCATTCAGCTTAGAGAGCGTCCAGCGCCTGATCCCCGTCTTCGACCCCTGGTCCCAGGGCGCATTACTGATCCTAAAGCTCATGATCCCATTCGCACTCATCTCAGCGAACCTAGGCATCCTCAACAAAAGACTTGGCGTCGCACCATCGGCACTCTTCATGGTTGTCATGGCGATCTCTGATTTCCTCACGCTGCACTTCTTCTGGGTAGTGAAGGACGAGGGTTCGTGGCTCGAGATCGGATCCACGATTAGTCACTTTGTCATCGCGAGTCTGCTGTGCGTATTTGTGGCTAGTTTGGAGGGTGTTAGTGAGATGTTTATCTCGGGCGTAGAGGTCGAGAATGGTTCTGCGCAGATGGGGAAAGAGAAGGAGCTTGGTGGGATTGTAGCGAAGGGGAGCAATGGGGTTATTCCTAGGAAACCTGTTGCTAATGGGAATTGGAAGGGTATATAATCTGGGGTGGGACAGGGTGGGACGGGGTGGGAAAAAGTATGTATGTTATGTATATTTATGAAATGAAAACATTAGTAATATTAGCTCGGATGCCAAATTTCACATGTCCTTTAAGCATGCCTTTATAAACCTCGTCCGAAGCTGCTTGGACGTGTTTAATCGCGTGCACACCCCACTCCTTCCCCCCCAAGTCTCTGGGTGCCAGAGGAGTCAAGATACTTTCTTCCACCAGCAAACAGCCCCGCGTTACTGGACCTGGACCCCTCATCATACCCATGCCACATACCTCGGCATCTCCAGATCTGCTGGTGCATACGACCCGAACTATCGGTACTTCACGTAAAACAAGAGATGAAACCCTAATGGCCAAATCCCAGCCTAGTCCATTTGAGATATACCGAGGTAGGTAAGTGTAGGTGGTGGGTTCTGGAGCACGGAAACGGAACGAAGGAAACAAAAAAGCAAAGTGCGGGGATGACTTCATTTCCCCAGGAAAAGAAAGCCGTGTGGCGCGGCGGGCGGATTTGGCGGGGGATGGATGGTTGCTTGGAGCGGGTTAGTGTTACGAATGGAGGAGCATAGGTAGGTACCGTGAGTTTGCGGTTTCTAGAAACATGTCAGGGTTGGTAGTAATTATACGTTGTACGAGTACATTATGCGGTTGATTTCTGTTTGTTTGAGAATAGAGAAATGTATTGTGAAGGTAACTACCTAGGGTGCAGTAACTCCTTTGGGGCAACTGGGCTAGGTATAACATGGTGCGCCGGAATATGCCCAGATTGTATTTATCAAAGAGGATATGTAGGATAGTTATGCTTCAACAGTATATAAGTGCAGTATCTTCAGGAAAGCATGGATGGCAATTGCATTGCAATTGTTTTCTTGATGTTTTAGGATTCCAAACACTCAAGGACTCCGCACACTATATGAGTACCCGTACTAAACTGGTAGAATCAGAGTAATCGGACGTGGTAATCTCTCATAGGCAAGAGGGATTTAATAGTTAAGAGACGTTGTGACTTTGAGGTTGTAAAGATCTACAAACCAGCTGATACTTTATTGGATATCAGACTCCAATTTTCATGGAAAATCCCCAAGTAGGAAATTTGACCGACAAAATAGGCAGGAGACCCTTGTAAACGTAACGGGGACATGCCGCTGAAACCTTGAATCCCCATCGCATCCCCCACGTTTTTTGTTCTTTCTTCAGAGCTTGTGGTCTAATGAACCAACTCGGTTAGAATCTTCAGCTGTGAGGCATCGATCGCATCGACATCGACAAAGACCCCACAGGCACACGACAGGACAGGACAGGACAGGACAGGCACCGACTCTTTAACCATAACTGCATTAACCCTTCCCTACCTACCCTACCCAGGTCCCTAGGTACCTTACCTTACCTTACCTTACCTTACCTTACCTTACATACCTTACGCTACGGCCCGCGACCACCACATCAACCAGACCAGAGCCAGAGACAGAGACCCAGAGCGCTGAAGGCGGTGGATGAGTACGATTACTGGTTGCAGGAACCAGGAGGAACATTAACAATCAATCATGGATACCGCCATGGCTTCGAGCGACCAGCCGCAGTCGCAATCCAACGGCTACGGGGGGCCACCAGCTGCGAATGCGACAAACCCAATTTCAGCATCACCGCAGCACACGCAGGCACCACCGCGCCCAAATCCTATGCCCAACAACCAAACACCAGGCCACCCAAGTTTCAGAAGGTATGCACCCATCAGCGCATGGTGTCGGGGATTATATAGGCACAGGCCTGGCTGACTGCGAGAAAGACAACGTGCGTCGCGAGCCTGCGAGGTATGAAGCAATCCGTTTCCTTTTATACTGAGCAATGTGATGTGTGGATCGTGCCTCGGCACCGAGGGTCATCAAATCAATCATCCATCACACAACCCAAAGTCAAAACCGCATAATTGCTAACCAGATACCATGTTATCCACAGACATGCCATGCAAGAAAGGTAAATACCCAAACCTTCCCTCACCGCCCAATTTCATTGGCTTTTCGCGCCCAACCCCTCGTACCATACCGCAGTCTTGGTTGACGTAGATTAGGTGCGATGCGATGCCGCCAGTTTGGGAGTGCCATGCACAAACTGCGTGGCTTTCTCTATAGAATGCCGGATCCCGACACCCAAACGAAAGAAGACTGCTGTTGCGGGAAAGGCAAAGGATTCTGATAGGTATGTGGTTTTTCTTCTAAGCTTTCTGGATGCATGTGACAGTTGCTTACTATCACAGCGATCGAGGAGACACCATCGAAGACGGCAGGTCTCCAGGGAATGACTCCCCCACGACTAATGAACGAAGTACAAGCGCATTTACTGCTACTGTCGCAGATGGCACGCCTCCTACGTCCCTCACCGACGCTCAGTATCGCCAGAGGGCGGAGGATGATGGCATGTATGCCCAATTTATGAAGCCGAAGTTCACAAGGGCTCCGATCAAGGAAGCGGGCAGAGTGGCATATCTGGGAGAATCTTCGAATTTGACATTACTGGTTCATGATAGACACGGAATGTCAGATGTGGTCCATTACCCTTTACCGGAGAATGTGAGAGGCACTCGTGCAAGGTTGACAGAGTTGGACAATGTGGAAATCGACATCTTGCATCAGCGAGGCGCTTTCTTACTTCCTCCGAGAGGTCTTTGCGATGAGCTTGTCGATGCCTATTTCAAATGGGTTGCCCCGATCGTCCCTGTTATAAATCGAAACCGTTTTATGAAACAATATCGAGATGCGAAGAACCCTCCTTCGCTGTTGTTGCTGCAGGCTATGCTCCTGGCAGGATCCAGAGTGTGCACCAACCCACAACTTATGGATGCAAATGGGTCGACGACACCGGCTGCGTTGACTTTTTACAAGCGGGCGAAAGCTCTTTACGATGCCAATTATGAAGATGATCGTGTTACTATCGTCCAAGCTCTCGTTCTCATGGGATGGTACTGGGAAGGTCCGGAAGATGTTACTAAGAATGTATTCTACTGGAGTAGAGTTGCTACAATTGTCGCCCAGGGCTCAGGTATGCATCGAAGCGTTGAAGGTTCACAACTCAACAGGGCCGACAAAAGACTTTGGAAGCGGATTTGGTGGACCCTTTTCACTCGCGATCGATCAGTTGCTGTCGCTCTAGGCCGCCCAGTTCACATCAATACTGACGATTCTGATGTCGAAATGGTTTGCGAGGAGGATTTCATCGAGGACGAAGGCGACGAGTTTCCTCCGGATCCCTTCCATGTTCAATTTTTCCTCCAATACGTTAAGCTGTGCGAGATTATGGGACTGGTGCTCTCGCAGCAGTATTCCGTGGCTTCAAAGGCCCGTCGTCAGAATGCTATTGACCTCACTCACAGTGACATGGCTCTGGCAGACTGGCTTCAGAATTGCCCAAAGGAGGTATCTTGGGAACCGAATCGACCTCACTTCTGGTCTGGCTTGCTCCATTCAAATTATTACACCACTCTTTGCTTGTTGCACCGAGCGCATATGCCCCCCGCGACCAACAGAGCTGCAGGATGGGAAGACAATGCGTATCCATCTCGAAATATTGCCTTTCAAGCGGCTGCAATGATCACCTCGATTATTGAAAACCTCAGTGCGCACGATGAACTCCGATATTGCCCAGCATTCATCGTGTACAGTTTGTTCTCTGCGCTCATCATGCACGTGTATCAAATGCGGTCGTCGGTGCCTTCAGTTGTGCAAGCAACTCAAGAGCGATTGCGGATTTGTATGAATGCTCTGAAAGATGTTTCGAAAGTGTGGTTAGTTGCAAAGATGGTTTATACACTTTTCGAGTCTATTCTGGGCAACAAGGTCTTGGAAGAGCGACTTCAGAAGGCAGCTGGCAAGCGTCATAAGAAAATGGCCCAGAATTTATCTCAAGGCATAGCTCAGATCAAGAAGGAAGATTCGGGAAAGCGAAAGTATGATGATATGGCACTTGACTTTGGTGTAAATAGCGGACCAGCTCCTCAAGAGTCGTACGAACGATCTCGACCGCAAACTCCGAGTCACACACCTTCACGTGAGCAAGCTGGTGGCCCGATGGCACCTCCTATCTCATCTCCCAACGGTAGACATAACACAGACACTTTTATGGGTGGTACAAACTCTCGACCTCACACCAGACCTCCCACGCCTTTCAATCCGTCATTCTCTGTACCCGCCACGCCTCCAGATCTCTACCTCGTAACCAGAAACTCCCCTAACCTTTCGCAATCCATCTGGGAGAACTTCCAACCCGATCAGCTCTTTCCCGAAGGCTCAGCAAACATGCACGCAAGCCAATTCTCACCACCCCAAACCCACCACAACCTAGACCCGAACCTAATGCAACCACACATGAACGTCTCTCCACAACAAATGCCAACCCAAGCCCAAGGCGGGCAGCTCCCACAACGAATGCGCGGTGCTGCTCCGGGTATGGGCGGTAGTCCACAGATGCTCCAGCCTAGTGTCGCGGGATACCAGGCGGCGCCACATAATGTGTGGCAAGGGGGATTTGATCCGAATATTGCACCGGGTGATCATGGACATAGTCCAAGTGATACGATAAGTAATGCTAGTGCGCAGGCCGTGCCTATGACTATGAATGTTGAGGATTGGTAAACATTCCCATTCTACCCTCACAAAAAAATGATCGATACTAATGGATGGTTGCAGGTTTCAATTCTTTGGCATAAATGGTGATTTGAGCGGGATGAATGGCGATACTACGCCTCTCGTTTAATGCAACTAGCTTTGGTAATCCTGTCCTGTGTGGAGCGAGGAATGGTAGGTCATGTAAAGGCGTTTATCGTTACTTTTTGAGCTGGGGATAAAGAAGGAACGAAGGAAGCTAGGCTCTCTGGAGTTGTTTTGTTTAAAGTCACGATTTAAAAGCGAGCTTGGGCTGATGAATTGATATTGGCATTGGCATTGTACAGTATCATAGGTTGCATTTTGCATGTCACAAATATGGGAATGGAATCGAAGTCATTTTTTTGGTCTCTTTCATTCATGCGTTCTAATAACTCCAACTTGTTACGTCAAAATCCCTTCCTTTCTACTTCGTATATCGTCCTAATCTCATATAAATCATACTTATATCTGAAAATCCAACCAGATTCTTATACCCAAGTACGTGTACATCTCTCTCTCTATCTTATCATCTTCTTTCTTTTCTCGAGCAATTGCCATGAAACACTAATAGAACCCCCCACCCCCTCTGGAACTTCTCCGCCATCGTCATCTCCTTGACAGACGTCTCGTTCGCCCAGCGGTCTAGCGATGGCGTCATGCTGGGATATTCGTCTGTTCTTTGGGCTTGGGCTTGGGCTTGGACTTGGGGCTCTGGGTTGTATGCATATGGGTCGTAGATGTAGTGGGTTGAGGAGTTGTTTGTTGCGCCTGTTGTTGAGGGGGGTGAGGTGGTGTGCTGGTATGCGGATTCTTGGAGGGGAGGGTTAGGTTGGGGGGTCCAGGTGTAGTTTTCTGGGTCCGGTTCTGTGTAGGGGTTCTTCTTCGGGATTCTTCTTGGGGTGGAAGGTGGGGTCGTTGAGGGCGTTTTGTCCTGTGGGTAGTTGCCTTGTGGGTTCTCGCTGCGAGGGGTGTCTCGGTCTCTGTGGGATCGATAGGAGGAGTGGTGGGAGGAGCTCTTGGAAGAACGGGTCTTGGAGGATGTGGACCTATGTGGCTGTTAGATGGGATTGGTAGGTATAATGAATGCTGGGGGTGGGACTGACTTCTTCTTGGATCCGCTTTGCGTCTTGGATGTGTCTTGGGATTTCGTCATGGTGGATGGCTTGGGGATATCTGAGTATCCGAGTGCAGTGGAGTCGTCGGGTGGGGAGAAGAATTGAAAGGGAAAGACTGTTCTTTCGAGTAGAGAGTAATAGGCAAGGGTGTCCTGTCAGGTGATTGATTGAATGTAATGTTCTGAGCTTCAAAGCTGTTAGTAGATGGAAATTCATGGCTTGGATTGGGAGACCCAGGAGCTTTATACCTCTACAGAATAGCCAGCCTTCTTTCTACTAAACTCTTTGCTCCTATTTTCTTCGTGAACAAGAAAGAGAATATTAAGAATAGAATCCCTTCACCGAATCTCCCTCCCCCAAATATACCATCTGCCTTACCTTGCGGACAGTACATTAGAGTGAGTGAGAATGCGCGCAAGGCAAACTCATAGCTTGCCAATTTCATAATTAGAAAGTAAGTGTGTTTGAGGAAATAATTTTATGGATCCCTGCTCGGTACATGTATAATGGACATATTTATGTATGCTCACGTCCTCTTGTCGTTCACGCTCTACTAGTCTTCATAGTACCCATACATGACATCGCGTAAGGTAAGCAGGTATTAAAGAACCTCTCGAGCAGAACAGGGGTCTGCGCCATCCATGTGAGGCCCCTAGCTCTTGTGATACTGTACCCGCTTTCACATAGGGGGAATTCTCACCCACTCTATTCGTGACTTGTTTTCTTGTAGCCCCCGAACCACATGGTAATTTACAGGGGTTTGGTTGCAGCGTGCGCAGGTACTAGAAGTAAAAAAAGAAACTTGTCGATCTGCATGCAGGCTTAAGCACTCTACTGTACCCCTTTTCAGCTGAACATATGCGCTAGTCCTGTTTGTAAAATACGAAGGCTTGGTACGTACTCCGTACCTGTACTTCGTACTTTCCATGCATAATGCCACGTTACCTGCAGCATCTCCTTGCAGCAGAACACCGACGGAAACATGAAACATGCACTCTAAAACACCGGTGTTGCATTTGGAAGCAATATTTGAATCCTTCCAGAACGTATCCACATCCACATCCGTATTTTTGTGTAACACGGGGAACCAAGCACGGGATACCCGTGACAGCGGAACCGAGAAGCCGCTACTATTCGTACTCGAAACCCGTAAGATTATCGATCAGATAGCGCATCTTTTCCTATATCTCGACTTTGCCTGCTTGAGGGGACACGAGAATAGGTATGTGTGCCTGGATTCTGGGAGGTCTTCACGGTTCTTGACTGAGGTGGTGTTCGGGCCTGGGTGGAGGCCATGGCTCTGGCCTGGCAAAATCTGCAGCAGATCGAGGTTAAATTTGCTTTTTTGATCTTGAAACATGCATGTTCTTGCGGAAAGCAAGGTTCTAGGTATACTAGATAAGTAGAAATTTCCGTCCTTCTGTTCTAGCGTATGTGAGATGTGATTGCTGGCTAGCCTGGCTTCTTTGACCGTCGTGGGGCCGCCTTCCTTAATGAGAAAAGTCCAAAAACATCGAGATATCCCATGCACCGTAGGATCAAAAATACTTCAATGTCGAAACATGATTCTAGGCGTAAAGATTTTCTGTCCAATTAATTTCTTTAAGAAAGAAAGTGGGCCAATCTACTACCATTTTCAGTTTAGTCCCCTGCAGCCGAGCGGAAAGGGGGGAGGGCGAGTGCATCAAACCTAGCAACAACATTTGCGCAATGTACACTGCGACTCAACTAAGCAGTTAAAGCCGCGCTGAGTCGGCAGGAAAGATTAGGCCTGCTTCCAGCCGACCTCAGTACACCAACGAGCGCGTGTGTATAAGCGCTCGACGAGAGTGAGCGACCGTCTTCGCGGTCATGTTGTCAGCTTACGGACGCACCTGAGTCTCTCGGCAGCCTCATGCCGGTATATTTGAGTTATTGTATTACTCCACACCCTCTTTAAAGTCCTTGTGTAGACATTTATGGAAGCTCTTGCGAATTTAAGCGCCCTGTAATTAGCTGCAGCCGACGCTTCGATTCCATCCCCCCACCCCCCTGGAGACTGCAGACTGCAGGTGAGATGAAAGAGATGAACGCATCCTACTGCATGGTTGTGGGTTGAGTCAACTCGAAGGGGGTGATTTCCAGGTACAAGGTTCATGGACGATAGATCGGCGTGAATTTTGTACTATATATCTTGGTGTAACGGTCGATCTTCGAGTGCGCCTAGTGGGCCTTCCTTATTAATTCACGTCAAAATTAGAGAAAGTTTTATTGGCGTGGCATGACGCGTTTCCTTGATTTATCATCGGCCTGGATCCTCCTAATGCATACCTTATAGTCTCTCTAGTCTCTCTTGTCCAATTTTGGTATTCTCCAGCATTTCGGTAAGAGTGAGACTTGCATTGAATGTCTTATACATCCAAGGATGATTCGAGGTTGTGGATTGAAAATACGCCCAAGGAGATAGTGTTGTATTCGAGCGGCGTGGCCATCGTAGAGAGAAAGTCACTACAGATACATAGCACGAGGCTTGGTTTCCATGCTCAGAGGAAGCTTCCGAGGCTTCGTATTAAATGTGACGCTGGCTTGGATATCTAAATCCCGACAGCCTGGTCATTTGCAGGAGCCGGAATGCTAATGCAATTGCCGCCGGGTAAAGTAAAGAGTCTAATTGACGTCATCGAGTTGCATTGAACCATTGCAAGGGTTCGTTGCGTTGGTATTGCATGCGGAAGTCGAAGAGATCGAAACGTGAGTGGTGCCGAACTGAATTGGGTTAGCAATGATTATAGGAGGGACAGTGCGTTTAATTAGAAGTACCAAACTTTGAAGCGTCTTTCACTTCTAAACTTGGAGAGTTTCTCAGCTAAAGTCATAGCCGTGTCTCCTGTGCGGATGTGAAGAACGTGGTCCGAGCAGGGATTGGTATGTGCTTGGCGGAAAACGAAATACGAGGAAACCAATAGAGCATTTGCATATTTCTCGCTTCTCAAATATTAAATCCTACAAGCATAATGTTCAATCTAATCTACCCCGGTTTCGGAATCTCCTCCGAGAAGGTACGAACGTAAGGTAGCTTCAAGCTTTCCACGTGGGCGACTGGGGGATCGGCGATTTCCCGCGTGATGTACCGGGATCTCCAACCCCCCTAGGAACGCATTCCCGTCTGCCGTTAAGTACGCTGATCATCAAAACATGGGAATTAATTACCGCCATTGCGAATAAAGGCTAGTTCAATTTTCCACTAGACTTCGTGATACTAGAGCGACAGCAGCACCCCTGTCTGTCCTTGAATCAGACCGCTGAGGAATGGCCTCGTAAGCAAAGCCCAAATACTTCGTACAAAGTGTAAAAACAAGATCCCAGGTGTACAGCCTGGTTAAAGTGGGTTATGGTAACTCTACGTTCTGTTTGTGCTGTGCTTGTATACTACTTGGTGGACATCTGACTCGATTATAGCACTGGCTCAACCGCTGGAAGATATGCGCGACATGAAACGTTTCAATAGCGTGCTCTGACATGAAACAAATCAATAGTTGATCATGCAAAGAAGGGGCAAAGAATCGCCAAGTTTCTTCACTTGGGGTCTTGATCAAGATCGAGCCCATTGCAGCATCCCATGCAGAAGACTGCCATGTGCTTGTCATTGAACGCCAAGTCCTCAGCGGCCCCTCGACGGTCACAGATCCCATTAGCATTTGCGCGCACAACAAAATGGTGTTTCATGTGGGAAAAGATGACCAGAATCGGATGACAGTTGAATCAGGAATTAAGAACAGCACGGAACTATAAAATACTACATTGAGCTAAAGGATAAACGCGTTTACAATCGGGGGATGTGGGTGTCAAAATTCGCTTCAGTAGTTTCCTAGATCAATCTCTTCGCCCACTACAAGAGCATACTTCTCTCAAGAGCATACTTCTCTCAAGAGCATACTTCTCTCAAGAGCTTGTGGTACTTGATCTTCCAAACTGATCACAGTATGGATCATTGATGGCAAATTTGGCTCATCTT